CTTCTCCTTATTTTCTCAATTTAAAATTTCCTTTTGGTCGAATCGATATTGTGAGTGGAAGAAATGCTCTCTAAATTTAATTCTGTTAGGTAACCGTCACACCCTTTCCATCGACAGCATCGGCCGACTCTTCCTGCTTCTCCTTATTTTCTCAATTTAAAATTTCCTTTTGGTCGAATCGAATGGACAGTAAAACCAGTTTTTTCACAAAATAACTACAGAAAAATTAACGATCACAGAATAGCTAATTGAGAATATCATCCGGAGATCACTTCTTTGGTTTTCGATTTTCTTTGTTGCAATCCTTTGTTTCCGCTTTCTTCTTCTCCACCTTTTTCTCAGCCATCTCTTCAACGACCCCATCGCCACACATCATTTTGATTCTGCAATTGAACTCTCAACACTGTCTCCTCATTCTCATGTTAAAAAAAACTAACCTGTCCGCTGCCGATGTGTTGAAAAACCTTTTCCGGGTTTCTTTGTCGTATTTGTAGTCGAAGGTCAGTTCTTCGCCTGACTGAATAGCTCTTGCCGCGTAAAACAACGCGTGCACTTTTTCCTTGTTCATGATGAACTTCACGTAACACGTCGGCTTCTGTGCGTGGTTGACGAATCGGAACTCGTTTCCATACCGATATGCGTCGATGCTTCCACCGCCGGGGATTCCTGAAAGATAAAGAAATTTATTATGAGTTTCCAAGAATGTTTAGGTTTGTTGAAGGCTTACCAAAGATGTAGCTGGTCGACAGCTCGTAGAGAACACCTCGGCGCTCTGTTTCCGACTCTGATATTATCTCTCCGAGATACTCTCCAAGCAGTTCATCCTTCACGAAGCTCTGTCCGGCGAATGCACCCCATCCAGCAATTACCGATTTTTGTACTATTATCGGCTTTGGGCGAAGACGTAGAGAGTCCATGTTGCTGCAAATATTCCGTCCGTCGGCTAACTCTCCCAGATCACAGTTTCCGCAGACTCCTTTTTCGCATTCCCACTGCGCAGCAACGCAGTGGCATCGCTCGCTCTTACAGTTTCCGGGAGAGCAATTGCATCCGGGATTGCGACGCGAACAGTTTATGTCGCACTGGCAATTTGACGTGCAGAATCGGCCGCAGGTACATCCAGGTCTGTCTGGTCCGCATGGTCCGAGGTGGGCGCAAGGGACATGGTCACCGACGCAGAGCTTCAGGGCGTTTGTCTTTCGAACCTTAGCAAGTTCCTTTTCCACCGACAAGCCTTCTTCCATCGCTCGCTCCGTTGTCTCTCGCGTTCGTTCGACCTCCTTCGCCTTTCTCAACACATGCATCGACAGCTTGAAAGTGGAATACCGTTCAGAGTACGGTCTCTTGAACGTGTTCTCTTGCTTCACTTGATCAGCTGTCGGGTTTTGTACACACTTCTCCAGAATCAAGCGGTAAACCTCTTTGCAAGTCTTCTCGGTATCGCGCTCCCGGACAACTCCGCAGAAGTCGACATTCTTTTCGTCGGAGAGGAAGAACGCAGTAAGCATTTGATACTCGTCCGTTGCCAGTCTGATACTCTTGGAGATGTGCACTATCACACTCTGATTTGAAATGTCTGACTGAGAGACTTGAAGCTTCTCCTTGATCTCATCCAGCGTGATCCCTTTGAAACACTCTTCCGAGCAAGCGTGGGCGTAGGTGTTGGCGGTCGGGAGTGGCAGATTATTGAAGAAGTAGTTCTTGAGATTGTGCTCTCGCGGCTCCATTTCTCCTTTCTGGCGTGGCTTGAACGGCTCTAAGATTGTGTTGTCGACTCCGTCAACGTCATAGAGAGCACATAATTTTGGAAATCTGAAACAATGACAATGTATAAAGCTGCGACCAGAAAATGATACTCACACTTGGCTCATTTCTAACTGTGTTCCCTTGGTGGGCCAAAGACGGTAGCAAACATAGTAGAAAAGATCCGGATTGCGAGCCAGGGGCAGTCCCTCGCACATTATTTTGTGAAGCGTCCAGTCACTTATTTTGCAAAAGTCTTGGGACAGTCCGCGGATTCCGTCTTCATACTTCTCAAATAGCTTTTCACAGATTCTCGTGTAATCAACGACTCCCGGAATGCACGGAGGTTTCTGGAGGCGGGTCGTGTCCTTCACACGAAAGTTTTCATGAATCGGCACGTAGAAGGGTGGGCCACTAGCCGAAGCTGGTCCTACATTCGCTGTGGGAGTATCTACTTCTTGGGATTGCGCTTGCATGAACGGATCGTCCTCGTTCTCGTCCTCGTCTTCATCATTGTCAATGTCAATTAAAGTTTCCTCGGCTTCTTCCGTAGGCAGTTGTTTCTTTTTTTGAACCCATCTTATCCCAATCCTCTTTACTCTCCTCATTTCAGTTCGGATTTCTCGAACCGATGGAGTCTTGTCTTGGAATATCTGAAAAAAAGATCGTAATTGAGGAAAACCAAATACAACGAAACGAAATGTTTACCTTCTGGAAGTCGCGGATCGGATTGACAGGGAACTTCGCTTTCGGTCTCTTCGCATCTTGAGAAGACACGGTTGTAGTGTTTAGACGCTTTCTAACCTTATTTTCCATCTTGGGTGAATCTTGGGCGAGGTGAGGTATCTGAAATGAAATTGAATGAGGGTTGAAAGACGGAAACTAGAAAGCATGGAAGTTAATAATCAAGAGAAAGTGTACGGTCTGAGCACAATGGGACTTAAGTAGAAAACTACGGATCTTGCTGGTCAGGAATAGTTTGAACATTTTGAAGTCGTGAAAAAAATGTGCACTAGATCTGAGACTGACCAAATCTGTCAAATTCTAGGGATGATTTGATAAAAGGGTGACTGTTATTCAAAAAAATGTGCTCTGGAGACCCACTGGTCTGTCCCAAAGACTGAATGCGCGGGCGGAGTTTCGTCAAACAATAAAGAAGAAGAGCGAAACCACTCAAATCCATATTCACAAGAAAGTGGGGGTGACGGAAGGGTAAGGACAAGAAAAATAAACGTGCACTGGGCACATTTTAGGGCCGTAGAAGGGGGTGAGGCAAATGTGTTGAGGACGGTTTAATGACAAGAGACTGGAGGGGTAAGGGGGTTCGACCGTGTATAGGCTAGGTGGGGTTGGCAAGTGCGAAAAAAAGGTGAGCGAGCGGGCTGTGCAGCATTTGAATGGCTGAGCTTTTAATGGAATCTTGAGTAATTAGGAATGATTACAAAGTTTTAGATGTACTTTCAATGCCAAAAGTCATTTTTCTGCAACACTACAGTCAAATTACGTTATTTTCCGAGAAACAATAGTCGGAGAGTGACGGCCACCAACTTTTAGATAAAATAAATGTTCAGGGATAGTGGTCTCCGTTCTCCCTTCGCATTTACGTATGCCGCAAGGTTCCTCTCTGCGCAAGACGCAAGACCTTTCCGCCTAAACATATGAGAAGGGTGTCTGCGCACTCTCGTCATTGCGCGTTTTCGGCCAGTGTTTCCAATCCAATTCGACATTTCTGTAATTTTATTTTTGCAAAGTACAATATGAATGCAATTGTGGAAGGAATTCGGGAATTTAAGTTATAAAAATTGCAAGTTTCTGGAATAGAATACGGGTAACTAAGAGGAAAAGGGGAGAATTTGTGACATGACGAGTTGCTCTGCTAGAAAGAGTGCCATTCTAAAAAGGAAAAGTCAAAAGTGAACAGTTTACGATGCGAATGACAACCGAGGTGCTAATTCGACCGAAAAGGCAACAGTTTCGCATTAAAATAGGTTACCACGGAAAACATATGCACAAACTTGACTGTTTTCTCAACAACACTCCGTTCTAAATGTCTCAGAGATTACATTACCGACAACTTACAATTACCAAGCATATAACAAAGGTATAACAAAGGAGAGAAATGGAAGATCTCTACCCAAAAAGACCATTATGCACAAAGCGGTAGCACGCAAAACAGCGTCAAGCCAAAACTGTTGAGAAGGAGCCAATACATATATGTAAAAAATTATGTTACAGTCAAAAATAAGGCAGTTGTCAAGGGGAACGGGACCGGATGGGGAAAAGGATGAGTAAAGAATGTGGAAAAAAGGAGGGAAGAGTCAAATGAGAGGACCGGAGGGGGGGGGGGAAGTTAAGAAGATAAAAATAACGAGAACGTTGTCGGGCGATATGTATAAAGAAGAAACGGCTCAGGATTGAAAATTTGGGAAAATAGAAAAACAAAATAGAGAACGAGTCAAAAGCGGGAACATGAGGAAACGTGTTGAAATTATGGAGAAGATGAGTACGTCGTGGGGCGTGATGCAGAAGGAGCGGCTTCGGTAACGAATGCTTCGGCAGGAACTTGGCTTCTGATCTCCGTGAACCTTTGACAGGACAGCTGAAACCGGACAAATAATCATTATAGATCTACGCAGCACTCACATTGTAATTCCATTCGAAGTCGGAGAGACATTTTGTCGCGTACTGAACGTTCATGTTGGTGAACTCGCGGAAAGCCTTCACCATTTGCTCACGAACTTCGGCTGGCGGCGCCCCGTCGAATCCAAGTCTGTCCATCCCAATCTGAACTGCTTGGACGGCATCGACCAGTTGCGTTTTAGATCCGTGTGTGACAGCCTGATGGAGCAGCTTCTTGTAACGTATGATTCGTTCTGACGAAGCGGAGGAGATGAACAACTGTGCGGAAAGCACGGCGATTTCTCTGGAAAAAGGTCGCAATTGAAGTTATTGGCAAATGACAACCTACCCTTCAGCACGTGGCGTAACGAGAAAAGTTCACGAGAAGAAATTGGATTTTCCAGCAACGTTTTCTGCAAGATCTCTGTCTTGAAAAATACCTTGGACTGTGAATCTGAGTAAATCTTTGGCCTCAAGGAAGACGTCGACAACAAACGTCTCCTGAGAATGTTTCGAAATCTGCAGTTTTGACAATGTGACCGTGATTTCCAAGCTTCCACGAGCAGTGCGCACGATTCTTTGAGAACAATATCTGCGCCAGAATATTGTGTGACTTCTTCAGATATTGGAAGTGAAGCTTACTGAATGAAAATCAATAAAACGGCATCTACAGAAAGGTAGAAAAATGAAACGTCTGATTAAAGAAAAGACAGCAAGACAAAGCGAAATGGACAGGTCCACAGTCCACGACAGCCACAAACGACACGAATGACTCTGGAAACTACTGTATGTGCGTACTGGCGGAGTGTCGTATTGGGTCAGCAAGCGAGAGAGTGTGCGCGGTGAGGAGTGCGATGAGAAACAGACGGGCCGACCAGCCGTGCTGTGCTGCAGAAAAGAGATTACAGCGTGATCCAACCTTAAACTCAAATTAGGGTAGTTGTGTGAATATGTAAAAAAAATTTGTCTGGTCGGTTTTTGTGATTCATTCAAATGTAAAAGCGATATAAATTAAATACCGACATCTTACGCTGAATTCTAAAGTCGTAATGAACCATAGGTCTTTTTCTGTGATTTATTCAAATGTAAAAGCGATATAAACTAACTACCGACATTTTACGCTGAATTCTAAAGTCGTAATGAACCATAGGTCTTTTTCTGTGATTTATTCAAATGTAAAAGCGATATAAACTAAATACCGACATTTTACGCTGAATTCTAAAGTTGTAATCAACTACAGATCTTAATCCATGATTTATTCAAATGTAAAAGCGATATAAATTAAATACCGACATTTTACGCTGAATTCTAAAGTTGTAATCAACTACAGATCTTAATCCATGATTTATTCAAATGTAAAAGCGATATAAATTAAATACCGACATTTTACGCTGAATTCTAAAGTTCTAATCAACTACAGATCTTTATCCATGATTTATTCAAATGTAAAAGCGATATAAATTAAATACCGACATTTTACGCTGAATTCTAAAGTCGCAATGAACTATAGGTCTTTTTCTGTGATTTATTCAAATGTAAAAGCGATATAAATTAAATACCGACATTTTACGCTGAATTCTAAAGTCGCAATGAAATATAGGTCTTTTTCTGTGATTTATTCAAATGTAAAAGCGATATAAGTTAAATACCGACATATTACGCTGAATTCTAAAGTTGTAATAAACGTTCTGTTGCCATTTCACTGTTTCAAAGAATTGCATATAGAACTCATCTGTTTCTCGCTGTTACGTCTATTCATTACGTCTTTTTCGACCATCCTTCATCACACAATCGACATCTGTAAAAATATTTGCAAAACGGCCGGAAAGAGAACATAGAACAAAAAAGGATAAGTAATTGCATCAGTATGAGTCAACTGATTGAGAATGAAAATGTTTGAAGCAATTTAGAAAATCAATAGATTAAAATTTTCTTATTGGAAAGAGAACGGACGGCGTCGTAACGGTGTAGGCGAGGCGGGAGGATCAGGGACATGAGCGACGAGATCACCAGCGTGAGCGACTGGAGGAGGAAAGAAGACGATGAAGACGAAGTGACGAGGATGGCCGACTATGTATGCTGCCTCTGAAAAAGCTGCTCATTTAACAGTCACACAATGTTTTTGCTCACCGGTGCGGCTTTCGCTTTTTCTGAGGTTCGAGGTGCTCGCAACTGTGCTGGTGGTTTGATTGGACGGGCGACCGCGCTTCTGTTGGCCACAGACTTCTTGCACAGATTCTTTCGAAAGCGGCGGGATCGTCATCGTCCGAGGGCAGCGCAGACATTTTGTTGAGATTACAGCGAGATCCAACCTCAAACTCAAATTAGGGAAGTTGGGTGAATATGTAACAAATTTTCTGGTTATTTTTGGTAATTTATTCAAATGTAAAAACGATATAAGTTAAATACCGACATTTTACGCTGAATTCAAAAATTGTAATAAACGTTCTGTTGCCATTTTACTGTTTCAAAGAATTGCATATAGAACTCATCTGTTTCTTGTTGTTACGGTGGTCGAAACAGTGTAAGCGCGGCGGGCGAAGCAGGGGCGTGGGCGAAGTGACGAGGATGGCCGACTGTTGACTGTGGATGTTCGTGCACTGTAGCAAATGTGGATTCTACCTCGATGTCTCTGAATTTTCTCAACGATTCGCCGCCATTCCTGTTTCCATAATGGCGTGTCAGGCTTCTGTCCAAATCAGGAAAGCATCTGAAAAAACTGCTCATTTAACAGTCACACAATGTTATTGCTCACCGGCGCGGCTTTCACTCTTTGTAAGGCTCTCATATGCTTCACTGATTGTGGTCATGGCGATCTTCATCTTGGACTCACGATTCATTAGCAAACCGATCATCAAGGTGCTCGTAACTGTGCTGGTGGTTTGATTGGACGGGCGACCGCGCTTCTGTTGGCCACAGACTTCTGGCACAGATTCTTTCAAAACCGGTGGGATCGTTGAGTCGGTGGAGTTTGCGTCAATCACATCGTCCGAGGGCAGCGAAGACTTTTGTTGAGATTACAGCGTGATCCAACCTCAAACACAAATTAGGGAAGTTGGGTGAATATGTAACAAATTTTCTGGTTGTTTTTCGTGATTCATTCAAATGTAAAAGCGATATGAGTTAAATACCGACATTTTACGCTGAATTCTAAAGTTCTAATCAGCTACAGATCTTTATCCATGATTTATTCAAATGTAAAAGCGATATAAATTAAATACCGACATTTTACGCTGAATTCTAAAGTTGTAATCAACTACAGATCTTTATCCATGATTTATTCAAATGTAAAAGCGATATAAATTAAATACCGACATTTTACGCTGAATTCTAAAGTCGTAATGAACTATAGGTCTTTTTCTGTGATTTATTCAAATGTAAAAGCGATATAAGTTAAATACCGACATATTACGCTGAATTCTAAAGTTCTAATCAACTACAGATCTTTATCCATGATTTATTCAAATGTAAAAGCGATATGAGTTAAATACCGACATTTTACGCTGAATTCTAAGGTTGTAATCAACTACAGATCTTTATCCGTGATTTATTCATTTGTAAAAGCGATATAAGTTAAATACCGACATTTTACGCTGAATTCTAAGGTTGTAATAAACGTTCTGTTTTTATTTCACTTGTTAAAAAACTTGCATAAAGAACTCATCTGTTTCTCGTTGTTACGTCTTTCCGCATTCCGGCTCCCGTCCCACGCACTTTTTCGATCATCCTTTATCAATCAATCGACATCTGTAAAAATATTTGCAAAACGGCCGGAAAGAGAACAATGAACAAAAAAGGATAAGTAATTGCATCAGTATGAGTCAACTGATTGAGAATTAAAATGTTTGAAGCAATTTAGACAATCAATACATTCAAATGTTCATATTGGAAAATTATTGGAAAAAGAACGGACGGCGTCGTAACGGTGTAGGCGAGGCGGGAGGAACAGGGACATGAGCGACTCGAGGAGGCAAGTCGACGGGGCGATGCTGGGCGACAGTGGACTGTCGCTGGACGACGGGAGAATTCTGGGCGACTCTGGACGCTATCTTGGCTTCATTCAATTTCCTCAGAAATTCTTCGCCATTTCTGAGACTGACATGATGTCTCAGGCGTTTCTGTCCAGAGCAGGACAGCATCTGGAAAAGTGCTCATTTTACATACAGTCGGAAATCGTTATTGCTAACGAGTGCGGCTTTCACTGCGACGTCCACCATTTCCGGCTCAATCAACTGATTGAAATTGATTGTCCGGACGTTGCCGGCCTCCTCATTGAACGCTTTGATTGATGTCGCCGTGCACCAATAATCAGCGAATTTTCGCTGTAGAACTCTGAAATCATACACAATTATTTCGAGAATGATTGAGGACGACAATAATATTTGAAAATTGTAAAAGATGCTTACTTCGTGGCGTTAAACAGAACTGCCGCTTCCAATATTTTTTCTCCCTCCATCGGGCCGGCCAAGAACATATGTTGCTCTATCTGTAAACATGTTGATTTCAATAAGAGCTTGAAAATGGAAAGTGAAACTTACGTTGTCTCCATAAAGTTCTCTGTTCTTATGATACCAAACGGTTTCGAACCTGCTCTTTCCGATGAATTCATTCAGTTTTTCTGCAAGCGGAAGAGCGGCGTGGAACTTATAGTAATATCCATTGCTTCTCAGAAGTGCTCCATAAGAAACGTTCGAGATGTGTCTCTTGAAAGCCGGGAAACTACAAGACTCCATTAAAACTTTAATGATGAGGTATGCTTACCCGAACTTTCGCAAATCGGCGGTGATGTTCTCGACAGCTTTGTGGTGCTGGTTGAAGTTGGGCGGGTTGAGGAGTGTGAACTCTAAGTTTTCTCTGCAAATGCAATTTTCATAAAAAATATCAGAAATGAAAACAGACTCGCACCAGACCGAGCCGTGTTGGGCTAGAAAGTGAAATTCTCGGACTGATCGGCAAGCTTCAACTTTGTTTGAAAATTTTCAAACTGCAGGAAAACATTATACTCACGGTTTTGCCGGAAATTCCAAAGGCTTATAAAACTGAACTCCTGCCGGCTTATACAGAGCATTGTTGTTGCTGAAATAAGTATTTTGTATGTACACTGTTCACATCTGGTTGAACGTACACGTCCAAAACGTTCACATTGTCCGGCTGATCGCCTCCAGGCGTCACACATTGCTGCTTCGGTGCCGGTCCCGCTTGTGTCTGAAAAAAACAGTTTGGGAGTGGAATACATATACGAACAAGTACGAAAAACTGAGTACAAACGAAAAGTGAAAATGTTCACCTGGTTCTCGTCGTCGGTCTTCCTTTTCTTTGCAGCCATTTTCTTCTCGGATTCCTCTTTTCTTCTCGCAGCATTCTCGGCAATCAGACGATCTTTCTGTAATTCATTCATTTAATCTCGGACGCATTCAAAGGGTGTCACTTTGTCGGTGTCGATTATGTAAAGATGCAAGTCGCATGGTTTTGCCGTCCAGCTCACTCCGCCCGCGATTCCTTTCAGGTCTCTCTTGTGACTCATTCCATAAAGCGCTGAAAATTCTCGTGGTGCATCAAATTGAGCAGTCAACGATCCTACCATCGTTTACGTATCTGCAGGAGTAGTACTGTGCGTTCGTCTTTCTCGCTTTGATCGATGCAGTTCTGTGGCAAACTCCAATCCTGAGAAGAAATGTTAAATTTAACTGTAAAAACAAAGACAATGAATGCTTACTCTTGCGAGCACACAATCCTGGTGCCAGTTCTCATTTTCAACAACATTAGCTCAATATTAAAGTTGAATCCTTCAAACTTGACGTTGTTGGTAAAGATCACGGGCGTGTGTTCCACAATGACACGTGCTTGAACTTGATCATCGCAGAAACTGCCTTCAATAAACTCGATCTCACTTGACGACTTCATGAAGAAAGCCAGAAGACTGAAAACCGCGTAAATTTTCCAGTTTGAAAGAACAGAAGGGCTTACTCTTTGAAGAACTTGCTAAACTCGTTCGCGTACTCGATCCTCTCGCCGCAACACTCAATCCCAACAGCTTTGACGATCTTCTTCCGAGCAGCGACGTAGCAAACGACATTTCCGATACCGCTTCCCAGGTCGAAGAAATGCTCGTTTTCTTGAATGTTCACACTCGTCAGGATCGTTTCCATTTGAACAGGATGAATCTCTCCGTACATCTGAATACTTGAAGTCAACTCATGTAATAAATCAAATTAAAATACGTACCGTCACGTTTCGCGTGTCTTTTGCCTTTTTCTTCCGAGGATCCATGAACGCGAGTGCCCAGTTGTAGAGAGTCGTGGCCACTTTCTCATTGCATCGCTCTTCGAACCACTCTTTGTTCTCCTCATTTTGCAACTGAAAAAAATCTAGTTTAGAAAAAAAACAAAGAAATATGTTTGATAAGAAAACCAGACGGCAGTATGAGGAACGTTCGTTTATGGAACTCGGCAATTTAGCGAAAAGAAGCTATATTACGGCCTATTTTTGTTAGTCTAGCGCCCTAGAATCAAATTTAGTACCAATTTAGCACTCAGGAAACAGATCTGACACTGGGGTGCGCCAACGCATGCCGTTGGCGACTTCAGATGCGTGCCGCAGGAGAAATAAAACAGATTTTTAAATGATTTCAATTTTAAGATGATCAATACACTTTTTCAAAACAAAGGGCAATGACAAGTAGTAAACTTACTTCGATTCTCACGAGTATCGAGCATAATCAATCGCTACTCGAAAATTGCAGATTTCGTAGTGACTCCGAGATTTTTTCGCATATTTTTTGTTGCTCTTTGCAAAAAATGGGTGTAATGAAATCTTTCATGAAGAAAAATGAGAAGATGAATCAGAATTCTTCCGGCGGCGTCGCAAAATTTCAGCGAAAAAGGGCACAGAAGACGGAGGCTGCGCGCCAGCCAAGCGGCCCACGGATAGCGGGATAAAGATGACGCAATATTGCAGACGGCCAAACAGATTTGCGCGTGAAAATTTCTGCTTTTACGAACCCTCGCCCATCTCTTCTCCTTAAGAGGACGTTGCGCTTGGGTAAGAGTGCAGGGAAATGTGAATATTAGTAATGAAAAAGAAAGAATTATGGAATAAAAAAAAGAAAAAAAAAAGAAAAAAAATGATTCAAATATCAACTCCACTTCTAACGTTCACTTTCCTGTACCCGCTACCATGGGCGCCCTCCTCTTGCGGGGATGGTTCCCTTCCCTTCCTATTCATCTTGCAGCTCCCTTCTGGTGTTCCCCTCTTTTTACCGGTGTTCCCTTTTTTTCCTGCGATGAATAAATGAATTGAATTGAATAGTAGTGCTAGTATTACCATTTGACAATAGAGCTAACTAAAAGAGACTCAAAACAGGAGGGTGATAAGAAAGTGGTACAGTTCGTGACAATAGCGTTCCACAGGGGGATAACATTACTAAAGAAGTTTTAGAAGTTTAAAGAAGTTTTTTTTTAAATGGGAATTTTGAATAATATCATTGCGAACTGAAAGTGCTGACAAATGGAAATGTGAACTAACTGTGATCTCTTCATCTCGTTCCTTCTTTCTCCTGATGGAGGCGTTCACCCTGGACAAAAGCGCTTCCATCGATTCGAGACGTGGCAGATCGTCTGCCCCTTCGAGCGCCGCCCATTCCGGAAGTCCATCAAAGACATTTAGAGTCATAATGCTCAAAATCCTGAAAATGAAGACGTGGATAATGTTTGTTTGTCATTTTTATGTGAATTTCTTACTTGAGAATCTCCAACAATGTCGCGATCGCGTGTTTCGGCACGCGGAGAACCTCGCCGTGATCGAGAGCTTCAAGCGTGAAGCAGTTTTCAAGAATGGCGTCCATGATTTGCCTGGAATGTAAATGTGAATATATTAAAAAACGGCGGATCAGAAAGTAGGAGAAAACATAGAGCGTTGCCAATAATCATATTCTCAGTGTTAATCTTGCAGAAAAACGGCTGCCAATAAACTTTATAAGAAACCTCAACATTTGGCACCTAGAACAGTATGGCAGGTTTTGCCAGAAGAAAATGTTACTGTTTTTCCTAGGTCTGAACTTCTAACGCACATGATGAGCCCATTCGCGAACCGGGTGTGGACAGATGGTAAGGGTCGCACGGTTTGAGGAAGTCGCTCTGGTAACTGGACACCTCGGATGTCTGGTTGAATGTTTATATGAACGGTCATCACACGCCGACAGTGTCAATCGGAGCACGTGGCCGGCAACTTTAGGTTTACAACCGCCTTCTGCTCGGCTCCAATGGAGATGTGATGAGGAAAATATACAAAACCCCGAATATCCTGTTTTGGTTTGGGGACTCTATTATTTCAGTAACTCAAAAATCCGGAACTCGAAACGTGAATTGGTTTGCAAAATGGCATTGGATCCGAGGGATGAGTGATAACTATTCAAAAAAGGAAAGCAATTTTTCCAAATTTCAGTAAACACTAGCTGATTTCGTTTCAAGAATCTATTTTCTTCAAAATGAATACAATTGGAAAAGGAAAGCAAGATACAAAACGATTTGTGGCTCTTGGAACTTCATTCCTGATAGTTCTATTCGAGCGACTTGTTAGCGTGAGGAATCAAAAAAGGAGAAGATTGAGAAGACAACACGATTCGTATAATGGCCGCTAGGAACTGTTGCACTAATGCCGAGTGAGCAGCGAGCCTCGGAGGAGTGAGGCCAGCGAGCCAAAGGGGCGTGGTCAGTGCTTTGATTGGACGACCAAGACGACCCGTCGGAAGCGGCAGCCACATTATGGTAGAGCAACGGAAGAGAGGGAATTATGATGTACAACTAAATTGAAGGGAAAACGGAACTTGAAATCGTTTCTATGAAAATGAAACTGCAACCTTGGAGAAATTTTGAAAAATATATATTTGTTTCAAATTTTTAGATATTTTGTGAACAGAGCGAGTTTGACACACAGTTTCAGAAACTCAGAAAGTGGAAGCTATACAGTCATTCGTTTGCTGCTTATCCGAGAAACAAAAGTTCGCGCGCCGCGTCTGGACAGATGGTAAGGGACTGTCTGAGGAGGAAGGCGGCTCCTTCGTTTCAGCGCTCTGGTAACTAGATACATCGGATGTCTGGCAGAATGTTTATATGAACGGGCATCGCACGCCGACAGTGTCAATCGGAGCATGGTGTCGGCAACTTTAGATTTATAGCCACCTTCTGCTCGGCTCCGACGGAGATGTGATGAGGCACAAACAAACGATTATTCAGCTCCGTTCCGGTTCGGGGATCATCAAACTTGTCGCGTGCCGGATCCGGACCAATGTAAATCGACAGAGACAGACCAGCGAGCCAAAGGGGCGTGAACAGTGCTCTGAAAAATTCTGAACACACTGCTTTTTCAAAACGTTTTCCAGATTATCACTTGTATCAGATGTTTTTGATTATTCGTTATCCCGATTTCTTTTTCAGAGTTACAATGTCTATGTTTCACTCCACCGAAAACCCATTTTCTCAACACATAAGCGGTGAGATGTTGATGTTTTGTGACATTCACATTCAAGGTATCGCGCCAGTACCTGCAAATCTTTCCGCTTTTCAAAAACCCACTTTTTAGGATGATTTTCTGCCAATTTTGGCCCCTTTCGAATGTTGTTTTGGCACCCTGGTACCTGAACGTGACTCTCGTCTCGCGCTCTCTCCCTCTTCCCTGCTCTCTCGCGTGGTCGTCTCCCGTTGCACTTTCCATGATGACTTGGCGCGGTGAGCAATCATTTTTGTAGCGAGTGGAGGTAGATAATGGGATTTTTCGGTGATACATGGGGGAATGGGATGACTCAATTGTCCCGGAGCCCAGCACTGAGTTGGTCTTAGACGCTAGAGGTATGTACAGGACAAGTAGAAGGTTGGAGGGACTGAACAATGAATATAACGTTTTTGAGTGTATTTTCCAATGTTTCCAATGCACCTTGCTATCCAAATGTTCTGAAAAACGTTTCTCGCATTGGTTTCTAAATATTCACAGAGCAGAATTGATCAAAAAAGGGAAGCAATATGCGTCCAAGTGTGGGACAAGTGATGTTAATCATAGAAGAAACTACTGCAAGCTTGGAAGGACAGGAAGATCACGTGGAAGGTTGCTTTCCTCAGTACTGGGCACTGAGAAGAGGAGAGGCGGACAGTCATAGGAAGAACCAGCTATGAACACGCCATGATGTTCTACTGTTCTGAGTCGTAGGCTACCACCACCCAACACGTCGGGAAACTGAAAAGAAGAAGAAAAAATTCGATGTGAGGTTAAAAGTGGTTTTATTTGTTTATTCATTATATCGCACGAGAGAAACACGTGATGTTACAGGGTAAAAAGTTAAAATCGGTGAATAAAAGTGTGAAGTTAGCACAAAGTGTTTAGGCCAAATCATCCGGCATCCCACGCTTCACCTCCAGACACAATCGGACCTCTTCCGGCATCGTATGCATCTCATCCGGCATCGAACGCGTCTCATCCAAACACAATTGGACGCTCTCCGGCATCGAATGCATCTTATCGAAAAACAATCGCACCTCATCCGGCATCGGATCCAAGTCGTCCGGCATTCGCTGCATCGCATCCACCTTTCTGAGGTCTTTCTCGGAGTCTTTGATGATGTTCGTCATACAGGTTTTGCATTCCTTCTTGAAGGCAGCAATCTGACGGTCGATCTTGTTCTCCAACTTCTCCAACTTTTTCCTGTGCTTCTGATGGAGGTAGTAGACCTTAGCGGTGAGACGGCGGATCTCAACCTTCTCGTCCAGGCTTGTGTGTCTCAGATCGTACCAGTACGGGTGAATCTTCTTCTTCTGCACGTCTTTGAGCTGTTGGATAGTAGCCTGTTTGTAGGCTTTCATCGCATTGTTCGCCAGCCCGGACATGTACGGGTTCATCACTTCCGCGAAAGACATGAAAATCTCCGTGCGTGTCTCTCCGCAAACTTCTTCGAGTTCTTTGAGGTTCGGACATTGTGGAATCGGCATCTCAGCTGAAAATTCTACAATGTAACTATAAGTCTCACTAATTTGCACTTACGATTCTCAAAAACGTCATTCTTAAGAAGATAACACTTTTTAAATATGTACAGACGGAATTGGGTCTCGGTGCGGAGGAAGAAGAGCGCGGCCTCCTGTAAATTCAGAACAACTATTCGTTTAGAGATTCTAAGTGACTCACCGTCTGTTTGATAACTTCCGGGCTCATGTTAGGAGTGAGAAGCAAGTCTTCCATTCTTTTTTCGAGTTTCCAATGCACCGAAGCAGTCAAGACACGGGCTACTGTAAAAGTACGTACTGATGGAAACAATTGAATTAGGAAGAAAACATACGTTTGGTGGAAATCCAAGCCGCACTCATGAGAAGAAGCTCTGAAAAACAGAAGGTTGAACTGGGAATGAAAAATTGGTTTTTCGACATTTCGCAACTTGACGTTTCGGAACGGCCACGTGACTTTATCGCTAAGTAATTCACGTAGTAAACAAAACTGTGGCGGTTGCGGAAACTTACCCATATATCCACTTGGGACTGGCATCCTGAAAGCTGACTAGAACGACGAAAGGCCTGTAAAAAGCAAGCGGAATGATACGGCTGTGAAATAATGTGTGGGAGGGGAACGCAAAAAAGCACAGTGTTTACATTTGAATAGGAAATTTGAGAGAATATGTACAATCGGAATCAGCCATAGAAACAGAAAATACAGGGAAGATTGAAAACTTTTGTGAGAAGCAGAACAACATGCAAGAGAATTATTGTTTATTTCGACAAGATTCAACTGTGACGACACGATGTTTGGGTCGAGGAAACAGGGCAGGGATGGCAGGGACGGAGGAAATAGCTGGAACATCGGGGAAGGATATTTACTGACAAGCACGATCCGACAGCTTTGGTCCAGCTGTTCAGCCTGAAAAGTTATCTTTTTCTCGGATGCATTAGCAGCTGATACACACATGAATGACGTTTTCAAAGTGCTTGAAACGTACCAGGCATCAACTTTATCCAATATTTCTCTAAACTAAAAAAATATATTACAGAAGCAACCCTGGCATCCACTTTTACCAACGCGTGCCGGGTACAATTCTGACCATTTCTAAAGCATTTGCATTTGGAAAACCCCGAGTAATCGACATTTATTGCCTTTTTCCTTCTTTTCTGTGTCATGTAGGACCTTTGTCTGCTTCCACCTCTAATTTCGTTCATTTTTACGGTAGTTTTTTGTTTATACGTTAACATAGCTGATCTGGGGACTGTTCACCCTCCAAAAATGTTTGCTTGTGGCCGGTAGAGCACACCGTCAACTGACCTATTCGGTACAACCGTGCCAGTTGCTGAATCACCGTCGTACAGTCGTCGTTGGCGCGATGTACCAAAATAATCGTCATGTGTTGTTCTTTGTGTTGACCAGAAGATTTCTGTATTGAAAATTGGCACAAAACTGTGGCCAGGAAAAAGTCACATATCTCCGAACCAAATAATCATATTGAACTGAAATTTGGACCCGAGATACTTTAATCCAAATCCAAGAAGCCTGCAAAGTTCGGCTTTGATCAGATTAACTTAAATGGATTTAAAGCCCACGGATTAAGCCGATGAGGTCGGGAAGTGACCCTTTAGGCCTTTCTCCGTTAAAACTTATCTTGAACTGAGTCTCACCAGTCGAAATCGAAATCTTCAAAAGTCCGAACAAAAACCCAGCCGAAATCGCTGGTTCTGGTTCTATTGATCACAGTTTTGCAATTATTATATTTTCCAGAAAAAACTTGCAATTTTTCTTCGGTCGCACAAATCCGATCGATGACGCCGTTCAGATCCGTTTCTAGATGACAACTGCAAATTCTTTCTCCTGAAAATGGCAAAAAGTTTAATTACCATGGTCCATGGTGTCCAATTAGGAAAACCACGTCGCGCCGTTCATTTCTACTCAAAAATCGAGGAATTATCAAAGAAATGCGTCTTTCTGAAGTCTTACAGAAGAACATGTGTTCCGTATTGTTGCGATGATTAAGCGCTGTTGTAACTGTCGTGTGTTCGCAATGGAGCACATTTGCATATCTCTGACAGCTCGATTTCAATAATAGACAAGAAAAAATCACGACAAGAATCAAATTTTTGTGGAGAAATAGAAATTTTCAGTTCGAAAAAGTCGGTCATCTCGATAAGAAGTCTGCTGAAATATAAAAAGGAAGAATTTGGTGGTTACACACAATACATTTATTAAGCGGCGCAAAAATACAAAAAAAAACAGGGCCATGAAACAAGTAAGATTTGGAGAAAACGAGAGGAAAACAAAGTAAAATGAGAAGGCGGGCGATGAAATACTTTTACAAGAGTTTTAGGTCATTTTTACAATTTTTGGGTGGTAACAGATGTCACTGGAAACCAGGTTTGGGCAAAAGCTGGCCTAGCATTCTCGAAGGCTTTTCACAGCCCAAACATTTAACCCAACTGCTTTTATTGGATCGAGACATTACAGCATTTTCAAACCGATTGGATTTACTATGAAGATATGTGAATTAGAGCCGAAACGACCGCACTTTTTTCAAAAATCCGGGTTTTCGAGTCTGAATAATTCAATCGGTCTGAAACTTGAACGCGACGTCTTTCAGATGTTTACAAAACATGAATCCAAGCGGAAATGTGTGATTGGGTCAAAAGTTCGGGCCTTGAAACGCCTTCAATCTGCCAGAGCCGCCATCCGCCCAGGCCTGTTGGAAACAGTTTTTATATGGATTCAATTCAATCCCGAAGGTCAAAATATTCAATGCCGTAGGTCAAAATCTCGACCAGCTCGTCCGGGTCCTGCATCTTCGTCGTCCCCAGCGACGTCGTTCCCTGCGACGTCGTCGTCTCAGCGGTTCTCCTCTCCGCCTCCTCGATCGCATCGGAAATTGACTTTCGCACGTTTGCCATCAGCTTCGACTTGATGACTTCGTTCTCCTTCTCCAGTTTCTCTTCCTCTTGCCTAATCTCGCGAGCAGACTGTCTCTTCTGCTTGCTGATTGCGTGGTTAATGTAGTGAGTCGTGTGCTGCGCGTTCTTCAAGTACTTCGAAAGGCCCTTCAGTGCCTTCTTCTGTGCCTTTTCTATCTCAAGCAAGCGGCAGTCACTGCGAAGTTCGACGAACCTGGTCACGTGATCTTCGGCATTGAGCTCCGCTTCCAGAACGCGTCGCTGAAAATTGAACGATTGAAGGATTTTTAGTGCGAAGCAGGGGGGTTTCTTTGTGTTCGCAGCGGAAGGAGAAGATTTTATGCTTTGTAATGTTTTGTTTAGTTCTAAGAAACGATTCAAGTAACTCACATTAAGCAGCACTTTTTTGGGCTGGTTGACGCACCACTTCTCCTCGTTATGCTTCTTCATGGTGAGACAGTGCATGCAATCGCCATCATTGTTGACAACCTTCTTTCCGGCATACGTGGCATCGATGATCTGACGAATGGCGTTGACGAAGACCCACACCAACATGAACTCGCACCTGCATTCTTTCTGGAAGTCATTACAGTTGGTTGTATGTTTTTTTTAGCAACACATGATGTCAGGCTACATTTTGTCCCAGACGTTATCTTTTGGATATGATTCAGTCTGTCTGGGACCGAACGTTTCTTAAATGATTCAACCAACCTGCACAAGCGTCATCTTCTTGGTTTTTTCACAACACGTGACGTCTCTTATGTAGTTGCACATGGTCGTGCAAGACATGCAGTAGTAGTCGCCCGGATGACCTTCAAGGTTCATAACGAACACGTCGTCCGTGTCCTGCTGAGACATTCTGCTGAAAACAATCAATTGATACGTTGGGTAGCTGATAAATGTAGGGCGATAATAGAAAAGGCGAAAAAACGGTGTGGAGCGAAGCGGGGCGGTCGCGCGTCGCGTGTCTCATCTCCCTCCTCCTCCTCCTGCTTCTGCTGTGTGTAAATGACTAGAGGGTCAGTTGTAGGGAGAGTCGGAGAGACGGATGACGATCAATAAATTGCTGGCAACCCTCTCCTTCTCCCCCTTTTCCACTCTCTTTCTCCTTCTCTTCCACTCTCTTTCTCCTTCTCTTCCTCCACCCGCAAAACGGGTAGAGCGGACGAGCGAAAGGAGGGTCGACCCCACGGACGACGGGATAAAAGAATACGTTCATGATGGCGAAGGAGGTAGAGAGACGGGTAGAGAAAGAAGGGCGAACAAAGTGGGTCACAGGCTCGGCCGGCCGGCTTTTAGTCGGGAAAACGAAATGTGTAGCATCGAAAGATGTAATCGGAGTGTGTAGCAGAGAAGAGACAAATGTTGTGATTTTTCCGAATTCCTCATCACTATCAAATCAAAGATAATAAGAACAAATGAGTGAAAGACGACCGGGCAAGCGGCGGTCCGAAGCAGCCAGAAAACTAATCATGTGCTCAAAATATTTATGCACAAAACATGTTTTTTTACATCTCGTCGCCGCTCAGAGGCAAGACAAAATGCGAATGCAAAACAACGTCTCTTGTGACGGTGTGCAAAGAATCGACAAACACTGGAAAGGCCATCTGTGCTCAGCTAGAGATGGTAGTGGGAAAGACGGAGAGTAGGAGTAAAGAGACAGAGAGCGGAAAACGGGAATGTGCAACAGAAATTAGGAATTTTCAGGTTTAATGCGTAGGAAACTCAAGTAATGTATTCCCGTGGGATTATCAGGAAAAGGGTACTCACTTTTGTTAAGCATAAGCATCTAGCGGTTTCGTTTTTCAAAAGCGAATAGTGCCGAAAAATGAGAAAATGCAAGTGACGTACTCCCACTTATCAGTAGCAATCTGAAAAGTACACGGAAGGCTTGAAAATCATGTCACGAATAAGCTCACAGTTTTTTTTCAACGAGAAAATCAGTTTATCATAAATGTTGGCAAAGAATTGGGAAGTAGGAGATGAGACACAGCGTATGGGTACACCATGCGATACAACACTCGTACACAAAAATATTCTAACACACCCAGGCTTCTATAAATTTCACGCCAAAAAGTTTGTTTACAACCCCACAACATCGATTATTTCGTCATCGGTATCGACTTCTGGCTGCGGCTCGGCGACGGCTGGCTCCTCGAGGTATTGATCTTCATATAACTCGTCGTCCTCCGTGAATCCTTCCCAATCGCTTTCATCCTCCATATCCTCGTCCTCGTCTTCAAGATTCTCCATATTGACGTCTTCAACGCCGCCTTCCTCGTACAAAACCTCCTCTCCCGGCAGCTCCTCGTCATCCACGTCCGAAATGTTCTCGTCCTCGTCGTCGGCCTCCAGATCCTCTTCAGTACAAACCTCGTTCTCATCCTCGTCGTTCGAATCTTCCTCCACTTCACTCTCCACTTCCTCGTCCTGCCCGTCGACGGTTCTTCCGGGTTTTTCCTGATTCTCGTGCTGCATATCAATCTTTCTCAGGTAGCGAATGAACGCGTCGTTCGTGAAGTTGATGACTTCAAAGATGTATTCCTGATACTTTTCAATGAATAGTTCGGAGAGCGCGTCAAAGTTGAGATTCACTGGCTCGAGCGTCGGAATTTGGCCTTCGGGGATCGGTGCGTTTGCTTCTTTTCTCATCCGGATGATGGTCTCATCCATTACGTACTTCTGAAACAATCCGTTCAGAGTCTCGTACGAGATGAGAAGGGTGTGGAAGAAGGGATGGAGTCTGCTCTGCAAAAAAGATCAAGTTGGAGTGGAAATGAAGAATAAAACAGGTCTAAAGTCAGAGGATAGGTGAGTGAGTGTTCAGTCGGCCTCGAGGAGCGGACAGGGACACCGATAGGCATTTTAATCGAGACCGTCCTCTAGATCTTCCAAGTCTATGTTTCAACACTCAAAGACGGGCAGATAGCATCTTGCCGAATGTCATTTTAAAAATTTCCGCCCATCTTCTCACTTCTTCTCACAACATGACCTTGTCACGGACAATGAACTTACAATGAACATGCCGAACTCTGGATGGAAGATCTTGCATCGGTGGATGTGGCGTCTGAGTTTCGGCTCATCCTCGCAAACCAATCCGCAAAGTCTGCACTTCACTTCGATCGTCTGATCCGACGCGCCGCAGAAGAGGGCCACACGGTTCTGGCAGGCGACCATTCGGTTTGCGTGCAAGTGGACATTGTACTGAAATATGAACGTGAAGGATCCATGTGGGGGCCTGGTCAAATTTGGCGATCCCTAGCATCGCTACCAACAGAACGGAGGCAGATAATCACGAGGTTAGCAAGTGGCCGACACTAGAACATGGGGTGTAATGGCAGGTCACAAGGTTGGCCGACAGCCTACGCCGTTTTTTTCGTCAAGATCTCAATCTCAATCCAAATCTCGCATCGTCCGTTTGGTTATTGATGCCGTTTGGCGAGCTTTTACTGATCAAAGTACACCCGTCGACGTGCGTACACTGATAATTTTGACAAAATTAGAAACTCATAAATGCAGCCGATTCCTTCATTTCGTTTTATTAGATGATAACACTTACGTTGACATCTTCTTTGTCTGGTTTGGCACACGCCTTCAAGTGAGTCACAAGTCTTGCCTCATCGTCGAATGTGCGCATACAGTTGAAGCACTGGAGCTTGAGGTTATCTGGAAATAGATACATTTCGATTGAATTTGCGACCAGAAACTTACAGATGATCTTTTCAGATCCTCTGATGTTGAGTGGTGTTTGCCAGACTCTGAGGGGACGCTTCGGGATGCTCCCTTCCATTGTTTCTTGGGCCATTCTGAAAAACAAAAAACTATTGGGAGGACGTGATGAAATTGAACACGGAAGTGTGATAAGAAAACTATCAGTTGGCAAAAATGCTTGGCAAATAGGTGGAAAGAGGTGGAGGCGCTTGGTATCGATTAGCCGCCTCGTCCACTTCGAGGAACATCAGATGGTTTAGAGGAGTATCTTATCTGACAGATAGCGAGATACGATCCTATTCTAGGGCGTTGTTTTCGAATTGAGGTCGACGAACTGAGAAAGATAGAAAGTGAGAAGGAATATCAGCGCCCAAAATTTGGCAAACGAAGAAGTTTTGAAGCATTAGCATCATTACACCGCCACCAGGAAGCAATTTGGTGATTAAGTGAAGAGACAGGAAAACTGGCTGCGCATGAATGGACCGGGAAGAAGAAAGGAATGTTTGAGTACAGAAAAAGCGGCATAACAACTTTCTTCGCGAATAGAATAGCAGCTGCCATACACAGTTCTCGTGTTCTTCTTCAGTTTTCTCCATTCAGCTAACGTCTAACGATCAAACCTCATTAGCCGACGAATTGTAGTGGCGTGTAGAGTTTTCCGATGAATCTTCGCAGAAGTAGGCCGTGGAAAATGATGTCTTGACCTCACGAAAGTCAGATGAAGTGATAACAGTACAACAGGGCGTGTTTGCACTGTCTTCAGCGACTTGTTGGGAGGTGGTCGGCCGACAGTTATCGAATATCACTGACGGATGATCGCGGTGTGAGCGGATTTCAGTCGGAGAACAGAGAAAATACTCTCGAGGTTACGTACGCTTGTTCCAAATGCAACAAACCAGTCGGCAAGCAGGAAGGAGAAGAGACGAGAGGGCAAACAGATTTCGGCGGGCACGAGAGTTCAGCGCGACGAAAGAACGGCCCAGTTCTCGGTTGGTTTCATCATTGAAACAGTTGTCTTTCACTTGATACCACGCCCAAATTCTCTGCCGAACTAAAGTTCTTGATTGGAAACGATGAAGGTACAATAGCGCACTAACAAAAAACGCATTGTGACGCAATCCGCCGCTTTCAATACCTCGAGACAGTTCTTTTCAGTTGTTCCAACCGTTCACATGATTAAATGCCACGATTTTGAAACAAATTTATAAAAACGTTACCTCTCATTCGAGCACATCGGCCCAAAACGGTCCATTCAGCGGTATCGTCAAACATCGGGGTATTGAGCTGAAAGATTCCCTAATTTCAGTTAAAATTCTGCAAAAACCGAAGATAATACTCAAAATTGGAAAAAAACCGTATGAATCACAAGAATAAATGAGAAAATTGTGATCTATTAGAAATGTTTACAAAATCAGGAAGAAATGTACAAACAATGTGGGAAAAATTGAGAACGGTTTGGTTGAGAACGCGGGGGTAAATTGGAAGAAATGGCCGGGTCAGTTGGAGGAAAGTGCGAAATACAATGATAAAAACAACAATCAGATGGATAATCCAGTTACTCTGGCATAGAAAATCTTGTCGAGAGCCTCGCCGAGTCGCTCGCTATACTCTTCTCGGATGAAATCGACAAATTCCGGTTCGATGTTATGGAGTTGGATGTGGAATGATCGTAAGCGATTGACGGCCAGCAAGAATTGATCAGACGGTCCGCTCTCATCCAGATTCTCTCTCGTCGACTCGTCCACCTCGTAAATCGTTTCCATTTCACGCCAGCCACAAGGATCCGAGTTCTTCCGAGTTTGGAATCCGGCGCCGTAAATGCCCGATCTGATTGCACAATAGCACTCGAACAGTTTTTCGTAGTGTGTCTGGACTTTGTCGACCGACGGTTTCATCAGATCCTGCAATACGGACGATCAGAATGACGCAGTCGGAACTACGAGAAACGATCAAATTCAAAACTGACCGAATGAGATCCAAAAGTAATTTTTTTGAGAAAATCGATCATGAACATTTCAAAAACAGTCCAATTGATCTCTAATATGGTCAGCACACATTCATGAATGCTGTTGAGCTTCCTGCCAAGTCTCAGTCGATTTCCATCGAAACTGAACGAGCTATGCGGAAAAGTATTCCATCGGCGTGGTTTTTTTTCCGAATCCGGCTGGGACAAAGCAAAAACATACCAAAAACTGATGACAATTCGACATGTACTCCGGGCAGAACTTGATGTGGTGTCGTATCAGATACGGGTCGTACACAACAATATCCTCAAATAGTCCTTTCGGTTTGTCGGGCTTTGGGACAGGCTTGGCTCGATGGATGAACTGGCACTTGCACATCCGACACGTGACAACTGCAAGAAGCCCGACGATACGCTTGTCATGTTCGCCGTGCAAATCGGCGAACGGCTCCATGTGAAACGGCAGTCGAGTCTCGGTCATCAACGGGTTCAAACCGCTTGTTCCCGTCTCGAACATTTCCTTGAGAGCCAGGATCAACGCGTTCGTGTGATACTGTGATTCTTTCTGCAAAAAAAAAGAAGATAAATTAACAGAACTGAATCGATTTGTTGAACAGAATCACGTCTAACTGAGCGCAGTAGCAGGATATTCCAATTTTTTTCTTACTCGTCATAGCAAACGTTTTCATGGGAGGAAAAACATAACTGCAACGAGCGGAAAGCGCTCAAATAGCGTTTTGGAAGTTCAACTAGATCGATGTTTCAATAGTTTTGCATACTTTAGTTAATTTCTCATTCGAACACTCACATAAAAGTTTGCTCCTTCTGGCGGCTCCCCGGAACACGTCTCAGTGTGCGCTTTGAGCGAATCGAAGCTTCCGAATTTGAAATCACAAGCGGCACAGCACAAAACGTTTTGTTCCGACTCGCATATCGCATCAATGACGTCTTCTTTCAATTCTCTTAGCAGAATCGGTATCTTGTACTTTGGCCGCATTCCGCCAGTGGAACAGTCCTCAAATCCGTCGTCGTCTTCATCGAGCTCACTTCGATATCGTCCGTCCGTCATTCTGGAAGGAAAAATATCAATAATTGTGTGAGCAAAATCAGCAAGAGAACGAAAAAGATAACAAAAATGCACGTATGTAATGTAGCCGGCCGCGAATATAAAAATCGATACAGCGGGCCACGACGAGAAAGGCCTTGAAGGTAAGAGGTACACAAGAAATGCGTACGCGCACGAGTCCGACGGACCTAACAACACAAACCTTCTCAAGAGGAAAACACGTGGTCGGCTCATTGGTCACACAAGAAAACGGCCGCATGCGAAACTCAATTAGGCATGACATTTGCCCGAAAAAGAGGAAAAGGAGATTAATTGGAAGAACATTGCGAGTATTTTGAACGAGGACAAAATAATGTGGGATTAACGGAAAGGGCGTGGAGTGTTTATTGAAGGAGGGAGAGCGGTTTTAACACTGATCAAAAAGATTATGACTTGTTTTGTTGGATGATCGGGAATCAGTAATCAGCCAGTGCCAAAGTGAAAGAAATTACAATAGCCAATTATGTGTGTGTTTGATAACAAATGTGTTGGAAAGTGTTTGCTCCGGCCAGGATTTTGTGTACTCACAATAACAATCTTGTGTACAGCCAGGAGTTCAATTAGAAAATCTGAATAGCCGCTCCAAGTTGTCCTGTTATCGTGATCTCAAAAAATTCCGAAAACAAGTTCATTTTTTGGAAATGATCTTTAAAAATAGCAATACAGTTTGAAAATAGTTGCGTGTAACTGAAGGCGGTCCAACATAATAGAACTGGGCAGAATAGAACCGCGACATAATAGAACTGGGCAGCATAGAACTGCGCAGAATAGAACCATAGAAATAACGTCGGAGAGAGGAAGAGAGAGAGAGTTCGACTTCTTGCATAGCAATAATGTCTAAATAATAATAAATAAATAAAGTTTCGAGAGAGACATAATTCACGTTGTACTCGGTTTATATAGTGATAGTGAAATCACGTCCCCGTCGGCCACGCCCTCAACCGTGCTTCACCGCCACCACGCCTATCTGAGCTCAGCGAACCATAGGCTCGCTAGTCATTCACAACATTTTCATGCATTTGTACAACAATCTGAAACGGCGGTCCAACATAATAGAACTGGTCAGAATAGAACCGCGACACAATAGAACCGCGGCATAATAGAACCGCGGCATAATAGAACTATTTTTGTGTATTTATATGAGCATTTTGTCCGTTCCTTTCAATTAATTTACGCAAAATGTTTCGTCTCTCGAACAATTAAGCAGAAGATCACAGTTTAAGCCAGAAAATTGGTTTCCTTTTGTTTTTGATAGTACAATAAAATTATTTTCTGAGGGTTTTCGTTGCCGTAGAGAAGAGGGATCACGACGGAAGTGAAATTAATGAATGCAATAAATCGATCATGTGATTCAAAAATTATCTTTTTCTACGAAGCAATTATTCTACAGAAAGGCTTAAAAGGCGCTCCAAACAGCCGGTTCTATTATGTCGCGGTTCTATTCTGCCTAGTTCTATTATGTTGGACCGCCGTAACTGAATACCTTCAAAGACCAAAATCATTGTTTACGTTCCCTCTTATCAAACACACAGTTCGGGCGAGCTTATGACCATAAATATCATAATCCTTTCAGCTATCATATTTCAAGTCCTCTACCGATTTTCAGCCTGAACTTTCAGAGGCTGAAAATGAGAGCAGAAGCGACTAAAAATGCATAATTCATAGCTCGCCAGGCAATTTTCTCATTTTTTGTGTCGATGAATGTACACTGAAAACCAATTTTTCCGCTCGCTCATTAGCAGTCATTGCTTTTTTTTGTTCCCTTCTCGCAAATTGCACTTTTTGGACGGAATTTGAAAGCGGTTCGGAAACGTTGGTCTTTTTCACGTTTTGCAACGAGAAATTTTGATCTCTCGATCAAGAAATTTCCAATGAACTGTATCTTTTTTTTCGAAGAGTGTGAAGTCGGTGGAAAGAAGAGAGGAAAGTGTAATTGAAGTGGTTTCCAATGTTCTCCTCTTCCCGCCTTTCTGATTCACTTAATGGAAAACGTAGAAAAAGCACAAAAACGATCTCCGATCAGACATCAAACATTCTCCTGCAAGAACACGAAGAATTCTGCTCATATTCCCACTAAGTTTGGATTTCGATTGATGGGATATTTGGTTTTTTCCTTTCACTTCAAATTTGTACATATTCTTCGCATCTTTTCTCATTATGAGCTTCTAAAGGTCATTCTCAAAGTTCAATCTGCTCCTTCTTGTCCCCCGCTCCCCCTCATTTCGCCCTTTCTTCTGCGCCCCGTGACCAGCGGCTCCAGTCACCGTCTGCATCTGGTTGGCTCCGCCTACTTTTCACAAAGTGCTCTTAGAAATGAAATTCCCTGCTCATCAGTTTTGCTTCGTTTCATCTCGTGTCGTTGTAAATTCTCATTAAATGACGTGGATTGGTATTTGCTTGTTGAAACTTTCATTTGAGATGAGAAGAACTAGCTGTTCCACTCATTCAGTTAATAAATTTTTCTAAGGGTTACGGTAGGATCATGATCTTTGTGATTTCCCTCTCGAACACGTCATTTGTTCATCTTGAATGCACATTTCCAATTCTATTTTCTCACAATATTCCCGTTCCATCCGCTCTTTTTTGCGTCCGTCTCGAACAAATTCAGTCAGTTTCTTTGTCGGTGGGGCCCAGGCCATTCCTTACAACGTCGTCTGACTGTGTGCGTCTGCTGGCCCCCCTGTTCGAGTGAGAGTGTTTGTGGTAGATGGAGAGGCAGTGTGCTGAGAGTGTGAGTGTCTGTTGGGTTGGAAAGAAGGGTAGGGACCGATGAGCGGGCCCGAGTGTGTCTGCGTGTGTGCAGCGGCGGTGTGGTTGGTGGGAAGAGACGGAGAGACGTGCCTGTGCTCGGGTCTCTCTTTCTTTTCCTCTTTTTTTGCTGTATCGCAATCGGTTTGAGGGCAGCAGACCCCGGGAAACGCACACTTTTCTGTCCTGCGCCCATCTTCTTCTCCCTTTCCCACTTTTTCTCTCGCTCACGCTCCTTCTCACTTTGACGCTCGCTCGGTTAGAACCTTCTTCTCGCTCCCCTTCCGTGTTATCGTCGGCCGCCACCGCCACCGTCGTCGTCATCGCCGCGCCTCGCCTCGCCTCCATCTCTCCCTTCTCACTCGCTGGTCGCAAGGGGGAAAAAATGAAACACAAAAGAGAGTGTTGCACGCGAGCCAGAGAAGTGAGAGACAGGCGCCAGAAGGCCCCCCGCTGCCACCCTATTGATCGTCCGGCGACAAAGGGTCTCGGCGCGATTCAACTTCCGTCGCTGGCCGGCGCAGCCACCTTTAATTCTCCAAGAGAAGAGCGAGAGAAAGAAAAGATGAAAAGCGAGGAGAGCGGGAGCCGAGCTGGGGAGATGGGCATGCACTTTGATATCTATCCAGTCTTTCAATATACATATACATCCTCTTCCCTTTTTTTTGAATCCAGGATTATCCTAAGCCAAAACTCTGCCTTGTTGTCTCCTCCTCTCAGTTCTTTTCTCACACTACATCCACGTATGTACAGTTGTTGCAGCAGCCAACTCTACTTGTCGTATTGAATGTCGTCGAAGGAAGAGCCGGCGCAGGCGCCAGCGACCGTTTCACCGGCGGAGTCGGGACGACCACCACCACCACCACAGATTCCCCAGCAGCAGCAGCAGGCACCAGCACCACAGCAGATACAACATCAGCACCTTCCATCGCATCAGTATCACCAGGGACAAGTGATTTATCAACAGGGATATCCGCCCATGCACCATTATCAACAACAGGGGACCACTTGGATTCCACATCCACCTCAAGCTACTGTAAGACATCTTCACTGTTTTTCAGAATGAACTAGTATACAGATTTGTTGAAACAAAGACATTTTTCAGGTCCACTACGTCCAGTATGCTCCACAACAAGACCTAGGAGCCTACCACGACAAGGTGCAAGGATACAATCACTACGGGACCGTTCATTATGCACAGCCAATGGACAACGGCGAAATGATGATGCGCGGACCTCAACCATACATGCAACCGCAATTTGTTGCGGTTAGTTGACAACTCCCAACCGATTTACAATTTCTGGTTTCAGACACCTCAATGGTACCCGCCTGGTCAACCACAGCTAGCGCAGTTTATTCCCTCCTACGCAACTAATTTCAACGTGGCAAATGTGGGTTTTGGTGTCGTCAACGCATAGAGGAGAGTGTTACTGGCTTTCTGTGAGCGACGAGCTCATTTAGCATTTTGCACAAACGACATACATTACGTCACAAAAACGAAAACCAGATGACGTTTATTGTTGTGTTTGTGTTTGTGACAGTGAGCATTCGCATTCAGGACCCGACCTACCACCCGAATCACCCGATGAACCAATCCGTCGCCGCACAACGCGACGACTTCCAAGGTGGCGGTGACGCGTCCAACGGATACATGCAATTCGTGCCATTTGTAGCGCCGATCGGAATGATGGAGAGCCAGGCGCACGTATCTGCTTCCTACACGGCTAATTGGGTGAGCTCGACTTCGAGTATTCCGCCCGAGATGAAGGATGCACCGGAGGTCAGTAATTTGTCATGAGATTGGACTAGTCGTAGAGAAAAAGAGAAAGAGAGAGAGAGAGAGAGTGAGATGAAATTGAGAAAAGATGGATCTTTTTGAAAAATAATGACCATTCTGTTAAATCTCAAACATTTCTGGGTATTTCCTGTTGAATAATAGCTTTTGCGGATGAGTGAGGATTACTGTAGCGGCAATGCAAAAAATACACTTTACTATTTCAGTTATTCCAGGAAAGTTTTCAGCAGGACAATATTATGCAACTCGACATCCAGCGCCCTTCCAGCCAATTAAACGGAGATAATTGGACTGAGCGCGACGAGCACTTCTCTCCATCCGCAACTTCCGCAGGAGTTGGAGCTGCCGGAGCCACGGCCCATTATCATTCCTCTCAGCAATCTGCCAACTTCCGTCACAGCCAATCTTCGTCGTCCCAGCAGCCGACGGACAACAAGTCGGGATCAGTGGAGAACAAAAAGACGGCAAAACCGTTGAAAAATGCAAGGAGTGACAGGTACTCCATCCTTCAACGTCTGAATTTCCAATTATTCTTCTTGAAGGAACGAAGAGAAACGTGAATTGACATTTGACGAGCGGTTGGAGAAGGCGCGAATGCAGAAGGATCGCGTCGAAAGCATTTCCGAGTCGGGTCCGAAGACTTCTTCCATGGCTGCCGGTGCTCCGCAAACTGTTTCTACTCAACGTTCCAACGGACAGCAGAAAAGGGAACCGGAGAAGGAGGCGAATGGAAGCGGCAGCGGAAGCGGAAGCGGCAGCGTGGCCTTGGCCGTGGGCGTCGGCGCGAGCGTGGGCGTCAGCGGCGGTGGCAGCGCTAGGAGCGAAGGATATAACAATAACAACAATAATAGCCACAATAATGGTCGCGGCCGCAACAATCATCATCATCAAAATGGGAACAACACTCATAATGGGGCCGGTGAAGAACAACTGCGACAGAGAAGTCAACCGCCACGTCAGCAACATCAACAACAGTTTGCGAATCAGAATCAGAATCAGAATCCAGTGCGCGGAAGTGAGCCGCAACAGGAACAACGGGAACTACCGCCAAGACGGGAATACAATCAAGCTAATCGATACGAGGTAAGGATGGGAAAACTCTACTCAACTCTCGACCATGCATCACTTTTTTCAGTATAACCCACAAAACCAACAGTTCAACAGGGCTCCAAACCAGAACCCGGTCCAGAATCAAGCGGAAACGTATCGCCAACCGGGCTATCGAGGTGGACGTGGTGTCCGTGGTGGCGTTAACTCAACGCCACGTGGAAGAGGAAGCTATCAACCGAACTATCAACGTGGCGGACATCTGCCCAACACGTACATGGTCCCATCCCACTTGGTCGATCCTCAACTTCTGGCCACAATCAATGCCTTCCAAAACACACGTATCAACTATGTACCTGGAGTGCGCCATTATTCCTTGCTGCCGGGACCGTTTGGAATGCAAATGCAACAAGACGCTAAATTTCGCAATACTTGGCTGGACGTGGCAAACTATCCGCCGCCACTCATTCCCTATTTTGCTCCGGACAATCGCATGATGCGCGGAGGGCCGTCGACGTCTTCCTACAGAGGAGGACGTGGCCGAGGCGGATTCCGAGGAGGCCACAGGGGAGGATACAATAGCGGTTACAACGAGAACGCGGCGGGATCTTCGAGACAAGCACCAAATCCAGCGGAAAACAATTCGAGAGAGGTGAAGGGGAAAAAGAAATCGCCGGTGAGAGAGAACACGCAGGAGAAGGTGGAGGATACGCCAAAGGAGTCGGAACCATCAGTGTAAGTGCTAATTTTGAACACTTCTCGTGAAATTTATTACTAAATCTGTCAATTTCAGATCTGCCAATCCTGCGCTCGCGCCTGTGCCTGTCAAGGAAGAAGCTGAATCGTCATCGGAGAAAGCATAATTCATAGTGTTCTTCTGTCAATTATTTTCATGTTTCGAATCAAATCATCAAATCAGAACAATTTTTGAATCAATTCCACGTTTTTCCACGAATATTGCATAAATTCTCATCAATTTTCCGATAGATTTAGTAAGTTACCACATTTTTCTTTCTCCACGCTTTCAGAATATCACACGAGTTGTTGACGTCAGTAATGTTGGCCCAAACACGTGTCCGACGGTACATTGGGAACCTGGAAATGGAAAGTGTCACGTAAAATCGAGAACGAAGAGGGGGGGAGGGCTTACTTCTGTGGCGGTCGGAAATGAGCGAATATCGTGCGATATCTCTGTTTTCGAACGTTCTTCAGACCGTCTTTTAACTCTGATTCAGAATTTGGAGACATTATGTGTTGATCGAGAGAGTAGTAGCTTATTTTATAGTCTCTGATTAAGGATCTGGTCACGTACCAGTCATCCATCTGGAAAACAAATGTGAATATTGATTTCAAGCAGGGCTGGGCGATTAGACGGCCCGGCGTTCTAAAAGGCTTTCGTGGGCTTGGACTTTTGAAGATTTTCCTGATAATCTAATCGGTCCGAGGCTTGCGTTTGATAGGATTATTGCAGGCCGCGACAGTCTTTCAAAAAGCCTGGGCCGCTCTTATTCCCAGACCTGGTTTCAAATATCTCTCACGCACCCAAAGAATCTGCGACTTCTCAATATTTCCATGAATAATAGGAAGCAAATTGCCACTGATCAAATACGCCATTCCTTGACAATAGGTGCCCAAATTGTTGAACTTGTACTCGTCTTTTGACAAATACCTGGACTTTTCTAATTTTTTGCATATGTTCACCAGCAACATACCATTTAGAGGCAGGATTTCGCACAACTTGGCCATTCGGTAAAACTCGGCAAGCGATAAAATCGTCAAGAGTGTAATACCTAGAGTAATTGAATTCTTTCGATGCTCCATTAAAAACTATTAACCGTTTCATCAAAAACTGCAATCCGATGAGGTCCGTATGCACGTCGTCATCGATTTTCACTATTATTTTCGGACCGTGCTCGCATTTAGCCAGCTCTCGGATCCAGTAGATCGCCTGAAAAGCACACGTCAAAAACTATGAATGAATTGCAGAAATCGACTTTGTATGTGATATTATGATAGTTTTCAACAGCATCCACTTGCAAAACATCTCCAAACTTCTCCATCTCATCGTCAATGTTCGAGGAGTCTTCGCTGGCTACCACAAAGTACATTATAGCGTTATTCTGCAAGAGAATTCCGAGAATAGGAATCGGGAACTCATTGTCATAACAAACCCGATCCAGCCATTTCCTGGTGAAAGTACTTCGTTGATATGCTCGGAGTTTCGTGTGATTGACGTGTGAGTGGACAATTATGACTGTTTTATTTTTGAAGTCACAGTGTAATTCTGCGGATTTCTCAGTTCTGTTTGGGTGATAAGACGGTCGCGGTTCTTTTTGTATTGGAGGGCCACTAGCCAGAAATACCTGTAAGAAACTGTTATTCTTATTTGTCTAACATGGTCTGTGTGTATTGTTAATTTCTAATAAATGTCTCTCTCTCTCTCTCTCTCTCTCTCTCTCTCTCTCTTTTTTTGAGCCCGCCGCAACATTTGCTCGCCAGCTGTTACACATCAGTTGAACGAGCAGAACTTTGAGCGTCTAAAGTCAATTCGCAAATAACCTCCAAAATGAATCACACTTTTTCTGTCCCAGAAACTCACCGGATGGACATAATTATGTGGCGGAAGATTCACACAATGCTCATCTTTATCCTCGTCTTCGAAAAGTTCAGAAATCCAGTCGGAAGTTGAGGTAACGAAAATGAGAGTGAACAAAAGGACTGTGAGAATTAGGAAAACGAATAAGCGTCCGATAATCTTCATAGTCTAGCCGATCCTAGCATTGTTGTGTCCATAAGCAGCGGGAGGGAATGAAACGAGAACAAAAACTGTTATCTACCACTACTATTCGGAATTTTCCAATTACTTTCTTGTATAGATATATGGGTCGCGCGCACATAGTCAAGGACGGAATTCGCCTACTTTTCACACCATTATCTCGCCGTTCGCATCTTTTTTGTTACTAGTATGTACAAAAGTGAAACCTGTACAAATTTATCATTATAATATGGTGGACCGAGAGAGAAAAAGTAACGAAAGAAAGAAAGCTAATAAAAGATCTAACCGCATTCCATTTTGTCGATAAAGAGATTACTGAACAATCACTGTGGGGGGAGTAGTTTACATACATTTCGCATGATATACCAAGTTTCGAATTTAAATCTGAATCCCGAACTGCAGATTCAAATCTCTTGAATGAAATGAAATGAAAAATGGAAATGATGGGCAAGGGGAACAAAAAATAAAAACTCCGAATGATGGGTGTCACGGCAAGTTTCGGGGGAGTTTCAACTGGATTAGTTGTTGTTGTTGTTGTTGTTTCTCGACAAAACGACAGCAAGAATGATGGCGACGACGATGAGGATTAAGACGATTACGATGAGGATTGCGGCGACGCAGATCTGAAAGTCGGGGACTGTTTTTTGTGGACTTGTCCTGATTGGGCCAATGGACACATTTAACCAGGCCACCAGGACCAGCCCGGGATTTGACAAGTCTGTTGTTCTCATTTGAAATAAGACAAAAATCTACTCACCTTCTTCCTCATAGCACTCTTCTTGTACTCCACCGCTGTTTTCACGTTGGCTTGTCCTTGTTTCACATGCTGCAGTCCATCTTCCACGTTGTTCTCGATGTTGTCCACCATTTCGCGCTAAAACTGACCGAATGAGCGCCCAATCCGATGAACATGTTAACAATGACACTTATAACAATGCGCCGTCCCTACCTGCGATTCAGTCAAGTGCTGCATATCGGCGAATATCTCCTCCAACAACGCAATGCTATTCTCAATGTCTTTAATCTCGCCCTGACGCTTTTTGACGTCCTCGTAAGCCGCCTGACCGGATACTGACAGTGGATTCACTTCTCGGAAGAATAGCTGAACCGGTTGGATTCTCATGTGATTGTTTTGACTACAGTACCTGCTCGGATCCACTATTCTCCATGATTCGGTTGATGTCCTCGTCCGTCAGGTCCTGGCCGACAGTATGCAGTTGTCGGCGGACTCGAACGGAAACCCGCGATCGGTAGTCTTGGTGTGTGTCGTTGAACAGACTGATCAGCTTGTTCATTTTGTCTTTCAGCAGTTCCAGCTGATTCTGCCGGATTCGTTTCTCGGTGGTGGAATGTGTTTCTGAAAGTTTAGTTTGATTCTTCTCAGCCTATAGATAAGTCGAAAGGGAAAATTAAACTACATACTCGAAAACCACAACGCGTGAAAGATATCGAATTACCTTACACGGAACATGAGCCAAACATAGCTCGGTGTACTAAAAAAAGCAAAATTGAGTCAGTTGTGGATATCGATTGAGATATCTAAAAATATATAAAATTTTGAGGTGATGGCCGTGAATTTTGTTCTAGCCTGGGCCGAGAACCTTGTTTTCGTACAACTCTAAACAAATTTCCATGGAACATACGTTTAGAAAACTCGAGAAAGTCATCTTCAGCTTGACGCACCAATTTGCGTAAATCGCCCGTCCGACGTCGGATCGTTCCGATTTGATTCTCGAGAATGTTCTGAAAGTTCACCGTGTTCAACTCTCAATTCGGCCATGTCCAAACACCAACCTTATCCCTCGGATCAGCAACAGTCAATGCGAGAATGTGCTGCTGATCTCTGCGCAGTTTCTCAATTTCGCCTCGAACACTGTCAATTGCGTTGCGAACTTCCTTAAAGAAACGCGTTTGTACAATTACAATTGTGTACCCAGGTAAATGGCGGGATTACCTCCAATCGTCGGTCAACATACTCGGCAGCCGACGGTGGACGCGCCGGCGAGAGTTCAACTTCGTCGAAGCGGTCCGTGACGTGGCTCTGAACTGGTCCCATGTAAAATTGCGAGGAGGCAATATTGTATGATTATTGAAATGAGGCATTGTCAATGTCAATATGCAAAGGATTTGGGTTAGTGTGTCACTATGCTAATCCTAAGCCGAAATGAATCACATTTGTGAGTATCGTTGGTCAGAGCTATTCGAACGAGAAAATGAAATGTCACTCATTTTTTAAGGAAACCCCACTAAAATTCAAAAAAGTTCTCACCTGGAATTCGTTCAATCTGTCCCTCATGTCCCGGTCAGCACTGCGCTGAAAAGCCATAATCGGTGAAGAATTTGTATAGCGTCAGTTAGGTTTTCGATTCGAGAGAAACGAGAAGTAGGAATTGGGAGGACAAAGTCAATATGACATTCCAAACACAAATGTAACTCGATAGGAAAAGAGAGGAAAGGAAAGCAGCGAATTTTTATATCCAGGAACATAAAAGTTATGCAAAAGCACAGGGCGATAAAACACACTGTACGATTTGCGGGGGTGGGTGTTGGTAGCGGTTCCGCAAAAATAAAAAAAACATTATGCCGATTTTCCGCTTCTTTTTCAATCGATTTCGATCATTCAATGTTTCGAGCGTAAACATGAGACTGCGAACAAAACAAGACCGGTTTTTGCACCGTTTGAGGGTGATTCAACTATTTTTGGGGGAGGTCTACACATAAATAGACACAAATAGATAAGAGAACCGCAAATTGATAACTGATTAGGAGAACGTTATGAAATCACTATGAATCATGTTGGAATGCACAGGGAACGTTTTTGAACGGAAAAAGAAAAAGATAAAGAAAAACTGAAGACAATTTTTGTGTCGGGCCGTTGAAAGAAGGTAGAAAAGAAAAGAATCACGTTAAAAATAGTTCAAACAAAACCAGGGTAAACTCTGCTAGAATCGATGAGATCGGCGGCAGTTGGGAAGAGAGCGAACTGTGCTGAACACACACGGGTGGCTCAACCGACGGGGTGCGAATCGAATGTTGACTCTGACTTTGGTACTGTGTACGACTGAGCGTCGAGAGCGGAGAAATATGTACTTGGCCTCTTTCTCTCGATTTTTCACTGTGTCACTTTTTCGGATGACTCATAGGTTTCAATCATCGAAGGATTGTGTCACGTCATGGTTCGCAAAGTTTTGTTGGCAATTCTAATTGGTTTTAGAGGATTTTTATTTGTTTGAAACTATGTATATTGTATTTTTCAAGAAATAAAGAAAATACCCGCAAAAGTATTTTCAAAACCGTGCCGTTTGGACCACTTTCAATGCTCCAATCGGGTACAATAATTTGCAAGATTACCTATCTGGGTTTGGAATGTCTACATCAACAATTTCAGAACAATAGGCTTACCTGATTTAGAGATATAGCCATTTAGAGCTGGAAACCCTGGTTTTTGCAAAAAACGCGAGCCCCAGTTGCTATATATCTCTTAATCAGATAATCCAATCGGTCTAAAACTTCAAGATAGATTTCAAGATAGATACTGAAAACAAAGAAAGATAATAACGGAAAGTTTGAGCCGGCTAGAAATGATTCAAGTCGGTTCAATGACCGGGTCAGTTGGTCAGACCTGGAAATTGCGGAGTTTGAGTGTTTCCAGACAGAAATTATAGTTATTTTCTGGTACATTTTATCGTTATGCCTTTGAAATTATACATAATTTGATTTGACTGATTTCTGTATCGACTTGATGGAGTTAGCGAAAGACTTACGAGGTTTTCACAAAAACTTAATTTACTTATGAAAGTTTCATATGAATCAAATAGTTGTTTAGACCCCCCAGGTAACCACAACGCAATAAGGTATACTCATGACACCATTCAGGTACAATTACAACCTACGCAAATAAAAATAGAAATAGAAACGCGTGGTGGTCGTTCCGGACGGAGAGAGAGAGAGAAAGAAAGACGTCCTCAACAACCTCTCCCGCCACAATTATCCTCCACTGAATGCGTCCGGCCAACAGAATTACGAACGAATTGCGAAATCGGTTTGGTCATTTGGGCAGAAATGCGGAAAAGGAAGCAGTGAGGGAGCTTATGACTGTATTTGTTTGGTCATGAGTATGTAGTTTTGGTTTACTCAGCTGTTATTGAAAATAATGAAAAATGATGGAGGAAGTTGAGTTGTTGTGGAAAAACAAAAGTGAGTAACACGATGTTCCAAAAAATTGGGCGCTTTTGTTGGTCAGCTGCCCGAATTATTTCGTAAGACGGAGACGCAGAGGTCTGGAGAAAAAGGTTGCTATTAGCGACGTCTGTGGGCTAGGATAGAAAAATAGAAGCACTTTTCTTCCATTCTTTTGCCGCGCACCCCCAGCGCATATTTGTGAAAGACGGAGAATCACAAATAGTAAGTTCATGAGCCTTGGAAGGCGGAGGAGGGTGAAGGGTGAACAAATTTGCAATGGCAACTGAAAATGTTTGGCTACGACAAGAGCAATGAACCATTTCTTATGATTTGCACTCTGTTTTTCGTCGGTATTACCCGGTGTGTACATTTGAAGAATTTGTGTGCCGAGATGGTTGGAAACTGGTTAGTCACCCGAAAACTTACATATTTTGGCTCTGTCTGGGAAGAACGGACTTCTGAGAAAAGAACGGACCCAGGTGAGAAAAACGGACCAAAATCATGATGGTAATGCTGATAAGAATCAGGCAAAGACACATCTCCACTGTTGCCAATTCAAAAGACGTTTCTTTGGGTCCTCCAGACTTCATTTGAATAAAAAAGATCACAAAAAAAAAACAATGAAAAGTATTGCATTTTGAATAGGGAATCAATTGATCGGGATTGTGGGGTTTCACGAAAGAATCTGGTGAGTTGAGGGGTAAGACACAAACTTTTGAGTTAGACTGATGATTAAGGCGACACAAGCACAAAGACAGGGGGGTGGATGGGGGTGTTGAGTGAAGAAAGGAGGGTTTTGAGGCTTTTTTGCAACTGTGAATATTGTGAACTAATAGGAAAATGAAGAATCTGTTCGAGAAGTGAGAATGAGAAGAAAGAACGAAAGATGCACATCGATCGACAAGATATTTCGTATTTTGATGACAGATTGTAGGAGAAAGAATCAGACAGAGACAATGAAAAGAACATGATAAATATTGCGTATGCGTAAAATGATATAAATATTAGATCACTGAAGATTATTAGGACAATCGCATGAACTGGCGAAGAAACTACTACCATAAGACAAAAGTCTACCCAAAAATTATAGAGGATCTGAGTCGAGCGGCGAGAAGTGCTCTGGCCCAACGTCCGCAAACAGCGACAGTCTGCGCATCCATCACCGCGAGCATTTTCAATTTTAACAACAAAAATAATCAGACGATCGATGGAGTGTAAGTACGCATTTTGTGACAATTGGGGAGACATAGGGGAGGGGGAAAAAGCCACCCGGTTCCGCGCTATTTTTCAGGCCAAGATTTTTCTTATGGGAGAGGGGAACAGGCAAACAATTTAGGAGAAGTAAAAGTAAGTGTTGAGGTGGTTTGGCAGCTTTTGAGAAAGTTGAGGACAGATCACAGAGTGGAAAACTTGGCTACTGGTGATGGTAGTAATTCTCGGATCAAGCCCGTAGTGTATGGGATGGAAGGGCGAAAGCGGCAAAGGACCAGTTCAACAGCTAAAGTGGATGGTCGGAACGGTTGGGGGAAAGGCCGGATAATAAAGGTTGATCAAAGTTTTATGAGAGATTTTTCAAAATTATGATGAAGCTGTGTTGTTTACCAGATTAAAGGGGAGAAAGAATGGGGAATTAAAAGCAAACTGGTTTGGAAAAAGTGAAGGGTTGGGGGGAACTTAGAAAGAACATTAGAATGATTTTAAGAGGTAGGAGATAATCAAATAGGGGCTAGAGGTACAATGTACTCGTTTACAGCGCATAACATGGAGCATCAGATAGAATTGGAACAGGTAGGAGTAACAGAGATTGAAAAATGACAGAAGTTGTTTTACTCTACATATGAGCACACTTTGATTCGATCCCTATCGATTGATTCTTGGTTGCAAGACACAAATCTGCTTAGGCAAAATACATGACATTGTTCGCGTCCGGATGAACCTGAAAAAATACAATTTCAATAGAAAAACAAATTTCCGAGTAAAATATCTGAAAAGTCGATCATTTTTTGCCAAAAAGGTTTGAATCCGAGGCAATTTTCGACAAATCTGTTTGGAATGAGCTTCCTACCTGCACAGCTCTAGCCATATTGGAGAGTGTGGTGTCCTCGGAAGTTCCAGATGGTTGGGATCCCTCTCCAGAATCGTGCTCACGGTCCACAAGATGATAACGAGCACGGAAGGCGACCAAGTGAGCGTAGTAGGCCGGTGCCGGGATCGAGACGGAACGGGTGCATCTGACGTAGGTGTGGCACATTTGGTAGGTGAGCTGTTGGAGCTCATCGGCAGTAAGATTGTTGTCATCCCAGAGTACGTGGTAGTGGGAAGGACGAGATGTTCCTTGGATACCGGCGTGGGAGCACAGGTAGAAATCAAACTCCGTCGGGTGAGTGATTCCGACATCAACTGTAGTTCCAGGTGGAATGTTGTACGCCTTTCCGACCTGGTCCTTCTTGTCGACCGCAAAGAGACGAGTGTGATGTCTCTTCTGGACAGCGATGAAGGTGATTCCTGGCTGATATCCGCGCTCGAGCATCATGCACGCCTCACGAATCGCACGAAGTTCGTACTGGAGCACGTTGAAGAACTGTCCCTCGGACACTCCATCACGGTAGACAACAATTCTGGCCGGCTTGAAGCGAGTGTTGCGGTAGAACTGAACGAGCAACTCGCGGACCATGTAGGTCAGGTCCGAGATGATTTCCTGACGGTGCTGCTGGACACGAACTGTGGCGGCGTATCTGCTCGGGTGAGCATCCATCGACCCGACGACAGCGGCGATGGACGGCTTGCGAGAGTCTCCTGCTGGTGGGTGCGTGATGTCGCATCCAAAGAAGATGACCGGTTCGTTAAAGATCCGTGGGCGGACATTTGGCAGAAGGATGCTGTTCACTCCTCCGAGCTTAACGTTCATCTTCAAGCACAAGTTCGACAGGGTCTGTGGAGTGGTGCGGATAGCGTTCTTGGCCTGCACGCACTGGGTAGCAATACCCAAGACGGTGTCTCCTACTCTCTTGACCTCAGCTGAAAAATTTTTTAAATTACAAATCACAACAAGTCAATTGAATGCCTACCGTAAACTGGAGTCTTTCCGGGAAGAACCACAACAACCAGTTGGATTCCAGAGTAGTTCTGCTTGAGGTACTTGAACATTGGCTCAACCTGCTCGACTCCGACGGCGTACTTGCAGAAGCATGGGTTGCCGACGATCGGCATACCGGCATCGTTCGAAATGCGCTGGAGCTGGTTGGTGAACATGCGGAGGTCGTTCTCCTTGACGTGTTGTTGCTGAGCAAAGCAAGCGATGGCCCAGACGCGCACGTCGATTCCAGTGTGGAATTGCTTTCCACGCATGTCCCAGACTCCCTGGTTCGGAAGAGCAGTGGCACGAGTACGTCCTCCGTACAAAAGTTTCGGAGCAGACAGAACACGTCCCTTGACTTCAGTCATCGCCGGGTTGATGGTAATTCCAAACTCGTGGGCGAATGGATCGGCCGAGAACTCGGCCTTGCGGACCAAGTTGCTGATCTCACGCTCGCGTTCTGGAGCCGAACGGGCGGTGGCCTTAATCATGGTGGAGGTCTGCACATCGGTCAGCTTTTTGATGCAACGCTGTCCTGGGACAATGTTGCACACCTCTGGCGGCAGGTACGTGTGCTTTTGCTCTTGTCCGACCTGAAAAAAGGATAAATTTGAAATCAAAACAGTTAAGGTGGTTATCTATTTTACCTGAAGACATGGAAGGTGCGGGTACTTGAGCTGAATTCTGTACTTGTCGTAGAAGTACTTGGCGACAGTGCACTCGATAGTCTGGCCAGTCTCCAATTGAAGCGGGAATGTCTGGGTTTGAGCCGGGCGACGGGTCACGTTGCACACGCGATACTTTCTGCGCATCTGTCCGCAGTGAGTGATCTCGATCTTGAGCCCACGGATTTCCTTGGTGAACTTGACTCTCTGAGCATCGGACAGAGCACGACGCTCGGCCAAAGCTTGCACTGGCAGCTCGAGCACTTCGGCAATGAATTCGATGACTGGCATCGAGCGGTAGAAAGCGGTAGCGGAGACGTCAATGTTGAGCATCATTTTCCATTGGGATGGACGAACAGATTGATGGAATCCAAACCAGACTTCGCGTCCTCCTCCCAGTTTGCTCTCCGCATGGTACTGTCCCGCAGAGTGAGATCCAGAAATGATCGATCCAGAAGACTGGGAAGATCCACCGCTCTGGGTACCCGGCACGCCTCCAGGAGTGAGAATTGGAGGCGAAAAGAAGGAGCGTCCAACCGGAGTGTACTTCAAGCTCGGCAGATGACGAAGGATCACATCCATGGCCTGGACGGCCTCGAACGGAACCTGACGGACTCTTCCTTCCATGGCATCTTCCAGAGTGGAAAGGGAAACTTGTCCGACCCACTTGAGCGAAACGGCAAACTGACGCTCGACGGCAGAGTCTCCTGGCAGAGTCACATCGAAATCCATGCGTTCTCTTCCAATCGGAAGAGGCTCTCTTGTGTACATGTTCCTTTTACCGTCATAAACCGGGCGGATTGCGTTGAAATACTTTGCGAACGAGTGAATGAGACAGTTGATGATTTCCCTGAAGAAGAATGACTAGTTAGACACAAAAAGTGTGTCAATTCGTATTATTACCGATTGACGCGTCGTGGGCACTTGTCCGGAGTGACGTCGACTTGATAGTGTTGGATGGTTCCTCCCGGAATTCTGACGGCAAAATGGTTGGCGCGCAAAAGGATGGAACGTCCTTCGACTCCGTGGTTCGGTCTTCGTGGGCATTGGAATTGAAGTCCTGTTTGAGGTGCACTAAAAAAAATGGCTCAATTTCCTATAAATTCTATAAAATTTCGATTTGACTTACCCTAAGATCTGTCCTGGCGCTCCGATTCCCGGAAGTTGTGTCCCAATAGTCGACGGTTCTCCAATGGACACTCCTGTGTTTCCGATCGGGGCTCCTGGAGCCAAACTTCCTGCCTGACGCTGAGGAACATCAGAGAAGGAAACTGGCTGATTTGGAGGAGCAGCATTGAAAATTTCCTAAAAACATCTCCTTCGATCGATCACTGTTTACGGTATTTTCTACGACATGAGCGCAAGTCCTCTTATGCATATTTATCTACCATTCACATCGGGTCGATTCTGCCCAAACACCCACTCACCTCTAGATCGTTCTGAAGGGCCGTCGATGCAGCGGTCTGAGCCAACTGGGCAGAGGCCCCGGCCGACGGGACCACTTGGGAAACGAGCGGACCGTTCTGGTGGAGCAGTGATGATCCGGTGGCGACGGGTTGTTGTGTCGGATTTATAACCCCTGGTAGGTATTGCGGCCCGCCCGACATTTGTTCGTTCGAGACGTTCGAAGGCTCTGAAAACAGGGATATTATGAAAGAGAACAGAAAACAAGAAAAAGTATCGATCCGGCAATCTGTCGTGTTGGACAGGTTCAGACGGAATGGAGAGAAGGAGAAGGAAAAATCAAAATTGCATCGCCATTTCTCTCTGCCTCCGCGCAGCAACAGAAGGCCTCTAGGACTGGTGTTAGAAGACGAGGAAAACGAGGAGAAAGAGGACGAAATTGGGCCTCTGCGCGGGATGGACGGAGGAGAGGCCAAACAGTCTCTCGGAGACACAGTGACAGACACTACTACGTGGAGGGAGATGAACAGAGAGAAACAGCGAAAGAAGCAGGTGTGCTGGTACCCCCACTGAGGGCAAGGCGCGGCAGCAGCGGAGAGTGAGTTAGATAAAATGAAGAAGGACGTGAGCGGATGGACCTCGTAGGGTCAGCTGCTCAGGAATGTCTTGCAAGAGAGTGCGCAATAGAGGAGGGATCAGACAGTAAGAGAGAGGGGGAGGAGGACCTCCCTGCGCTCGCTCTCGCAAACAAAGAGTGGATGAACACTACAAAGAGACACCCAATAAATTTGAAGAAAGTTGTAAAAAGAATAGAGTCTAATAAATGTGTAGCGATGTAAAAGATTCACAGATTTAGGATCGAAAATCAATAGAATTGAAGGGCCAAGTGGAGCGAGAGAATTGCAAATGCGTATGTTTACTCGCGGCGCTCGGTTTTGAAATATTGATCGAGCAATTTGGTTTTAAAAAAAATGGATCAAAAACTTGCCATCAGTGGTGGTGTTAAGTTCAGCCGCCATAGAAAATTGAAAGCACTAGATTGGGTGAGTGAGACGGGAAAAGAGCGGTGAAAGCAGACAAAGAAGATCCGTCAGCGCTTTTTTGTCTTCTTCTTCTTCTTCTTCTGATGATGATGATGTGGATGATGATGATGATCAATGAATGAGCGATGGATATGCGCTAACTGCGCGACAGCAAGCGACCGCTGGGATGTCCTTCAGGGTTGCGTTGCAGACGAAACGAAGGATGTGATGAGGCGAAGAGAGAGAAGGAGAAGAAGGGGTGCGGTATGATGGCAGGCGACGATCTCTTCTTTTGTGGATGGACTCGTTGTCAGCGACGCCGTTTCAGGTGCATATGACACTGGGGTGAAAGGAATTGAGTGATTTGCTGAAATATGATTCGATTTACATAGTTAAGGGTAAAGAAAAGGGAAAAAATATAGAGAAGGCATGAGCAGAAGCAAAGAGGGTAACACTCGTAATCGTGCAAAGAATAGGCAAGGTGTTAGATTTCTATCTCTCTCAATCAGCAACGGTTTGAAAATTGAAGGTTGTCTAGACAGACCACATTTCGTTGAGAGAAATTTTCGATTTCAAATGTTTCGTAAATTGCTATATGCACCTCGTGATAAAAACGTGAGATAGAGGATAAAAAACTTGGGCAAAAATCTTTTGGACTTCTCGCCTCGCCCACTAGCATTTATCCGATCAAACCTCAGCTTTGCATAGTCATCGGTCTTGGTTTTGAGTATTTATCCTTAAATTTTCAGCCCAACATGCAAAGATATTCAAACGACAAATATAAGATGTGGTAGTTCAGCAGCCAGGAAAATATTGTCCGTTTGAATGTTCATGATTCCAGAGCCGTGAATCTTCCAGAAAAACAATCTCGAAATGAGCAAAATTGGGCAGAAAATAGGACTTGGCAGCGCGCCAAGACACGCGAGAGTTGTTTGGAGAAGACGAAAAGAACATGACGGACGACGAAAAGAGGGAGGAAAGAGAATGTGTGCGGGTTGAAAGCGTCTTGAATTTCAGAAGCTGTCAATATAAACATGACGAGCCTCCCCCTCGGCTTTCCAAGAAATGTTCCTGCCCAAAGTCACATGTTCTCTGTTCACCACACTACATATAATCTGTCTCAGCATTTGATGGAAAGTAGCGCATTGTACTTATGGATTAGCTTTGGCAGCTCGTACATCGAAGAAGGCAATATGAAATGGAATGGCTAATGTGTAAGACCTTGTGCCACTGGCCGCCCGTCCCCTTTTGTTCCAACGGGACAGAAGGCGGTGTGGTGAATCGATGTGTGCATGTGTCGTCAACCCGACATGCATGGGGACAAAAGAAGATCGGAAATTAAAATGTGCGTCATTTTCTATTCACATTTCTCATGCCCCGAAATATGCTCGCTGGACAATTGGGCAAAGGAACGTAATTGAAAAATGATGGAGCAGGCAGACTGTTTGAAATTTTGAGAAATGTTCTGATAAACTGGTGTCGGGGGGACCGAAGAACGGAGACATCTAATTGCGGCTTGCGAAAAAGAAAAGAAAATCAAAGTGATGTTTCTTTGAGCGGTATCAAAATGAAAAGTATCAAATATGGGTCAGGTACTGACCGTTAGGCCTATCTGTTTCTCGATGCGCACATGCTAAACAGGTCTCATACGACGCCAATGTTGTACTTTTTCTCCTTTTCTGTGCTGGAAACCGATTCGTCGTTTGATACGTCACACAAAATGTACTGGAAAGCAACATGTTTGGGCAAAAATGTGTAGTGCATACATGGCTTTGGAGGTTAGGCAGGCGACGTGTTGGAATGTAGAAATACCGGTTTTTTGTTCGAAAAATTTGAAAAAAGTTCGCAGAGATTTGTATCGCTTTTTCATGTGGAGCGAATTTGAAAATACATACACGACAGTGATGACTAATGAACGGGGGAGAGGAATTTTATGACGCATGGACGTAATGCAAATGTGAAAAAGTACAATCAAATTTTCCCAGAAAAAAGAAAATGGTATGTTGTAGAGAACATGTGACGAGAAAAAAGAGAAAAGAAGCAAAACTTTTCAAAGTGAGGAAATTGATAAGAGTATCAAAGTAGCACGCGCCAATTATTGATCGACAAGGCATGATTCAAAATGTACACATTTTCGGAACAATTGGGGTGAGCGGAAAGTAATTTATGCATTTCCGAGCCTACATTTGATTACCGAAAGATAGCCTGACTCATGAGCGTTTTAAAAGAGGATGACGATTTTGAGTTTGGAGAAATTTATTCAAAAGCCATCGGATAACCGAAATAATCCAGATTTTTGAGGAATCTGTGGGATCAGGCAAAAAATCCGAGTAAACGGAGAGCTAATCAAAATTGGTGGTGACCAGTTATCAGGCAGAGAATGGAGAAACTTGGTTTAGAAATTTTATGAAAAAGTGTAGCTGATCTATAGTGAACCATGCGGTCACTCAGCCACGAAACTGGCTATTTCGACCTGTTTCTCTAGCGGTCTCTTTCTCCAAAAACATGGTCGTGGTAGTGTTTTGGCAAACAAATCGTGTACCCGTGATCAGTCAGATTAGTACAAAAAAGTGTTTAGAAGAATACCCTTGTCGGATTTTCGTCATTTAGCGTAATATTGCTGCTGGGCAGAAGATCGGCCTGGATTTTTGGCCCATTTCGATCGGACCCAAACTCTGCAGGCTTCTGGGATTTGGTGTGAAGTATTTTGGATCCAAGTTTCAGACCAATCGGATTAATTGATTTCAGAGATATGTAACTTGTTTTGTCTGAAACTGGGTCACAGGATACTTTAATCCAAATCCAAGAAGCATGGGGCCTATCAGTTCATTGCAAGTGTGTTGAAAGTGCATGTCTCGGCGGCCTTTTGCTGAGCCATGAAACTCAATGAACTGATTTAAAAAGAGCGCTGACATTTGACTAGTACATGTCAGCTGTGGTACCACCTTCCATATCAAGCGGAAACAATGATTAAAGCACAAAAAAGAGGAGCCGCAACGCGTACGCGCTCTCGCAAACGTACCACGTCGTGATGACACACAGATAGAGAGAAAGAGAGGGTTAAACGAAGAGATAAAGCGGCGGCACAAAAAGGAAGGAGTGAGGGAGAGAGAAAGAAAGAGAGAGTAGAAGTGAGAGAGTTTCTCAACCGGTGGTGGCGCGAGCAGGGAGAGTTGTGCTCTGACTTGCCGCCGCTCACAAAAAATTTGTGTCCCGGAGGGCTGGCAGCGCGGCCTGTGGACCTTGTAATTCGAGAAGAACGCAAAACATTTCAAAAATATTTGGAAGGAAGCCTAGATGAAAGCTTGAAAATCTGTTGATGAAAACTGATTTGAAAATTGAAAAATGACAGCCTCTCAAGAAGGGCACATCACACACATGCAAGGGTCATTTTGTAAAGCAAGAGACGGCGGTGCGCGACTGAACACGCATAAACGAAACGAAGCGGAAGACTCCACAAAATGCTCAGAAATTTAAAAAAGTGCAAGCAAAGGTTAGTTTTGGAAAGTGAGCCGAGAAGTTGACAAAATAACGCACTTCCACTATTTTTGCACAAAGGTTGTTTACACAAGTCGGACGTTTTCCGACAAACATCTATGAGGTCAGGTCCTATGACATAGAGCAGGATGTGATCTGTCCGGACTGATGAAAAACTTGGCGAGGAATATGTAGAAAGAAAAAGAGAGAGAGAGAGAGAGGAAGGAAGTTGTAATGTGGTGGCAGCGAGGACTAGCGACCAGGAGATCTAGTGGAAAGATACGTAAAGCTTTCGATACATATTACAAACGGCAGAGATTGGTTAGTTTTGACTGCTGCAGCAACATCAGCTTTCTCTCGATTTGCTGATAGATCGGATGGAGTTTGGAGTTTGAGCGATTGAGAGCAATTTGAGAGGAATAGTTGCATTTTTCATAGAAAGTCTGAGAGCAAAACGGAGAAGCGTTTGCAACAATGAACGGATTGAGAACGGAAAGCAATGTTTGCAGTATATTTCGATGTACATACATATTTGTCTTTGTACGTCTTGCTCATAGGAGTGACTCGGAATTTACTGTGTGAGAGGGAGAGAGAACGGAGGAACATCTGCTGACCAGTCCAATTCGGGGCTATTTGCACTTCATGGATGGATGCGATTAACCCTTGAATGGGAGTGTGAGGAAGGCGGAATAATGGGGTTAGTGTCAACGAAAGAGGAAAAGGTTGAGTTTCCGGTTCTGTCTCAGAATTTAATCAAATTTCACAAAAAATCGGACTTGTCGCGAGCTTTCTAATGAGTCAGTTTCTTCAAACTTGGAGTTTGCAACTCGTATTTTTTAAAACTTATCGGTAATCGGTTTTTCCAGCTCGGCGCTTTTTCGGACAACATTTCCGTTCTCCGCCGTCAAGCCAATCCAATTATTGCTCTCTCAGTTTCTCTTTTTCTCTCTCTCTATCTCTCACTTTACTATTTGCTATCATTGTGTCCGATTCTGACAAATTGACGGCCGGCAATTGAACAAATTCTCCGTTGCTCTTTTCTCCTTACTTCAAATTGCAACTTTCTTTGTGAATTGAATTTGCACTTTTTGAGGCAAAAAAGGTGCAGAACGGATGGGGTAGGGAGTGAGAAGTGCATTCATAGAAAGTGGAAACGGCGGAGTGATCAAGAATGCAGAGCGGTGCAATTATTGCGTGTTTGAGCTGTCGGGCACACGTAACACAACGGCTTCTTCTGAGAACTTCTTAACTTGCTGTTGACGTAAGCTGTTGTGATGAATCGTTCCATGATCGGCCAAAATGATCATGTTACTACGAATCTTGATCTTAATGAACACAGTTTTTCATTAACAAAGCTGGAAAACTGAAACTGAGAAGAAGACTTGAAAATATGTAATCACAGTTCGCCCATTCTTTTTATCGTTTCAAATGTATTCTTTGCCGCTGATACGAATAATAACGTAGCCTAAACGTTGAAAATTAAATTAGATGTTTACATAGTTGTCACAGGCCGCGCTGCAGGACAATGTTCACCGACTCGGAACTCTCGAGCAAAACGGGTTAGAAAAATGTCGAACTTCAAAAGTTTTCTGTATGTTTCAATCGTTTTTCATCTCGATTCGTGGTTTTGATGTCACGAACGACATAGATATCTTGTTTTCCAAGTTTCCGGCCGATTGGATTATCTGATCCACAGATATGTGCATCAGAGATCGAGAAGGGAAACATTTTCACACCACCCCGGCCTTTTCGGCCTTAAACTAGTACATCTCGGGACCAGATAATCCGATTTGTCTGAAACGTGGATCCAAGATACTTTTATCTGAATTCAAAAATCCGGCATCTAATTGGAATATTGCGTGTGGGTCAAAAGTTCAGACCCGAAAATTGTTTGGTTGCAAACGGAAAATACACAAAATCTTTACATGGTTTGAACGCTTATCCACAATTTTGTTGACAACTGACAAATTTGATGATTGTCGTCAGAATGAAATTGTAGCTCCGCATTCTCAAGCAATTTCAGACGAAGCTGTGCTTTTATTGATTTTCTCAAAGTGAAAAAGTTCTTGAGAGTGAAAAGTGAAAAAGTTCTCTGCAGCTTTCAGAGGAAATCCTGTTTCCTAAAGCTAATCAAAGCATTTTATTTTTTTTGCCAAAACGAATCACCCTCATACCACTATCACCTTATCGGAATGATCACGTATCAAAACATAACCCTTTCCTCGCGGACGGCCATTTACACGCGTAGGATAGATCAACTGTGCGCCCCGCGAAAAGCAGGACATGGAAACTGATTGTGTATCGGGTGGATGGAATGGAATCGTTTGGCCCGTTTGATTTATGTTTCGTTCGGTACCCAATTCAATTCGTTTCGCATCATCTTCTACATTTCCGTCCCCCAATTTATATACTTTCTCGGATAATTTACACTGATTTATTTTTATGACCGTTTCGCATCTCGCATCAGAACAATGGGGGTTTGAGAGTTCAAAAATCGTGTCTTGTTGCATCGAACATTTTTATTATTATCCATGGAATAAACTTGAATGTTATGCCTAACAATTATGTTGCAGCGAGTGAAGAATGGGGGAAAAGAAGTAAGATAACTTGGTAACATTGGTGCTGTCGTACCAGTAGAGTAGATCAAACAAAAAAGATGATGATTGTAAGTGAAGACGTTGTGAAAAAAGAAGAGAAAATGATGAAATATCCACGCTACCAATAGTCATGGCCGAAATGGTCTTTTCTACGATTTTTGGAGTGATTTGAGTTGGAAATTGGAAATTTGAATTTGAATGCGAATTGGAATTGCGTTGAATGCACATGCACGAATAAAAAAGGTGAAAAAGACGATTATAGATCATTGCGAATGGCAAGATACTCTACACATCTACTACGGATTGAAGAATACCGAAAAATTACAGATAAAAAGTCGTGGGGGGGTGAATGACATATTCAGAGAAGAAATATGGATTTCGTATGTGTACATGAATGGTATATATGTAGTGTCAAATTCTCATTTTTAGCATGCAGTCGCATGTCCGTGTCTAACTTGTTGGTGTCTGATATGTGCAGAGTTGGGCGATTCGTTGCGTGGGCGGCGGTTCCTCTTCATGATCCCGTCCTTCCTCAGCGACAGTGGCCGCTTTCGGTTGTTCTTGCGGAAGTACAGATTGCAAGCGCTGAAAAAACACGTCGTTTGAGCGAATTGTCCACCCAAACATGAGCACTCACTTGCACTCGACTCCGCCTTCACCGTTTCGTCGCCAGAGCGTAGTCTCACGTGTCTTGCAGTTTGAACAAATCGAGTTCTGGTGACATTGGACCGCCTGAAACTGTTATCTAGTTAGTTTCGACCGGGACCCGGGCGTACTGCCATTCTCTTTTTGATCTGCTTCGGCTCGGCTGCCAGTGGGTCTTGTGGCGGTGGTGTGAAGTTTGGCATCGGGGTGTACTGGTGCGTGGGCGAACTGTTGAGAAGTGGAAGCGGTGTGTCGCACGCCGAGTTGAACGTTGTGAAGTTTGTCAGATTCTAAAATATTTCAGTTTTTTGTTTGTTTGAAATTTATCAAATACAACACTTACAAGTTCGAAAATGTTGAATGGCATTGGTGGCTGTGGCACCTGTGCAGTATTCATGTAACTAGTGGATAACTGGGTCGGGAAGTTCATCTGCAGCATCTCCTGCTGATGATTCAGCACTTGTCTGGAAAGGAAGATGAACGAATCCATTGGTGAGAATACTTTTTAGATATGATGATGATGAAGATGATGACGGCAAATAGAGAAGTAGAGGAGAAGTCTTTCTTTTCTTTTTGCGGCCCAAATGATTGATGATAGTCATAATTCGAATGACCTTGATGATACAAGAAAGGAAATAGATGGAAAAAAGACGAAGACATTTTTGAGGGCAGAAGATAGGAGGAGAAAGTTCTGCGCGCGCGAGAACAAGAACAATGTTCAAGATAAAAGTCATTGTTTCATTATCAACTCACGCGTTTGTAAAGTCCGCGTAAGTCGGCTGATCAATATGAACATAGGGATCTATCAGAGTGTTCGCCACCTTTTCCACTCGGTAATCGTTCATCGTTGGGCTACCCTCAGCTGTAAAAGTATACAAGTACGTAGTGTCCAATATATTGTCGGATCCTCAGAACTATATAACCGAACGGGCACAGACGCGCGGGAAATCCTTCCGGAAGGTCACTCACACACACTTACAGTAATAGGCGACTGGTTTGGCGGTGAGTTGAGAGTCCTTCATCAAGTTTGAAATGGCCGGAAGACGAGTCGGTGGCAACGGCTGCACGGCCTGAGTTTGATGGTACTGAAACTCGGCGGAAGGCGAATCTGCAACAGAAAAAGGGTTGAAAGATGAGATGATGTTTGAGGAAAGGAAATCAAATGCAACAAGGAATATACAAACAGGGGGAGAAAAAAAGGAGAAAGGTGACTATGCATACTCATAAAACGGTGGTAGTGCTGTGCCAACACGACGCCATGAGCAATCTTTGCCACGGCGACGAGAACGAAACGGGAAAAAAAGGAAGAAAAAATTGACGTTTACACATCTCTTTTTATGATTTCACACTTTACACACTGAATTTCGGGTTTTCAGGAAAAGCCAAAAATGGCGACACAGAAAAGGAATGGAATCGGGGGGAAGGGTAAAGTTTGTCAGGAAAACTTGGATGGCAGGAATGTGTACACTATGACTCGTCATTGTGTTCATTTTTCATTCACACACAAATACAAACTTTTTGGCGCATCATGACCCCGCTGTTTGGAGATTTTGCTATCATTCATGAACTCTAGAGCAAACTTTGTGAAATTCAGGAGAAGATTAGATAAGTAAGTGACCATTCGCTTATCTCTATCACTCTCTCTCTCTCTCTCTCTCCCTCCCTCCCCCGCTCGAAAAAGAGTAGACACAATCGCCTTGTGATTCTTCTGATTCGCAGTAATACTACGGTATTCAAGTGGTCGCAACTTGTCTCGCGCCGCCCTTCTTCTTCGGGTCGAGAATCGAGAAAGAGAGAGAGAAGGAGAGAGAGAGAGTGGCCGGCCAGAAGACGAGAAGGGCGGAGGGGACAGTGGCTGGATAGTTGGGCGACTGTTAACAGTAACTGATTGACTGGGCACGACGACAAAAGAGGGGCTAGCCGCCGGCAACACTGAAAGGCGAGACGAGACGATGCAGAAGAATGAGAAGAAACAGAAAAAAAGAAAAATTTCAACGTTTCTTTCTCTTTCCATTCTTCCGATCATTAACTTTATAGCAGGCATCATGTACTGTGATGTTGCCAAGGGGGCGGGTGGGGGGATACTGTAGCTTGGATGCAAGTGAGACAAGCCAAGTGAGACGATTTCTGTTTCTTCGCACCTTTCGTCCCTCTCATTACCCTTATCATTCGGATCGGTTAGCATGGCGCTAAACCAAAACTAAACGAAATTTGATAACCAACACATTGTTATCAGGGAGGGCTGACATGATAAGATTGTAATAGAATGACGATCAGTAAGGGATTCCCCCGGCGGCGGGTTCCAGAGATTTTAACTTTAGGGTTTAGGTTCCAGAACGAAAGTGGTGAAATGATACAGTTCGAGAAGGAGGAGAAGGAGGGGAGTAGGGTCGACTCAACTCGACAACGACATTTTCGGGAGGACAGGCGAAAGTGATGAAGGCGATTGTTCTCTATCTTTGCCCCCTTCTTTCCTCTGTCTCTACACAAAATATCAGTTGATATCCGGAGGCCGAGCGGCGCGCCTCCTCCTCCTCCTCCTCCCCCTCGTTCTTCCTTCCTTCGCCCGGCTTCGCTCGGTCCCTCGGAGGGCCACAGTAACGTCGCCGTCGCAACGGGTTACAAATTGTTCGGAGAAGAAGAAGACGAAGGAGAAGGAGAAGAAGAAGAAGAAGAAGATAGACATTCCCGACCGCAACAATCCAATCGCATTCGATAATGATTAAGTTGTGATTTAGGCAGAAGATAGGGCCGCGCGCCGCCGCTCCGACGACGACGACCCACCGACCGACGGCGGCGGCGACGACGACGACAATTTTCGAGAAACAGAGATAGAGACCGTACACCTTTTTGCTTCTATGTACCCTTTTGCGGTAAAAGAGCGAGTGCGAGAGAGAGAAAGAGAAGAATAAAGAGACACGTTTGAAAATGACCGTGAAACAACGTGTGTCCGACGTTTGCAAAAACCAAGTGATAGGACTGACAATATGTACAGTAATCCCTTTTTTTGCTAATGGTTTCTATATTCATGCAAAAGGCCAAAGTAGAAAACGCCGAACACAGTGAAAAGCTGAAATTTTTATGTTTTACAGCTGACCGGGCCAGCCAGACCGAGCAGCGCCGGGTCGGAGAAAATGCCCTCGACAATTCTGAGAAATCTGTCGGAAAACCAGTCATAAAGTGTCTTTTCTATACAATAACAGAGCAAACTCGCTTTGAAACAGAAAAAAGCACGTTGTAAAACGCAACAATATGACAGTAGCACTCAGTTTTTTATTTTTCATACATCTGAGGAATGTGCAATATTACGGATTTGCTAAGAGACTATAGATTTGGGAATTTCAAATACAGCTTTGAAGTTCATAGATGTTTGAAGTTCAAATGACCTTACTCTATAACTGAATTTCTAATTAGATTAATGTCTGGAAAAATTGCGTATTCATCAAATATTTATTAATTCGATCGCGAACATTCGGCAGCCCTTATCAGCAAAACGCAACCAGCCAACTACCTGCTCGAAAGTCAGATTGCGAAATGTGAAAATTGATGGTTGACAAAAAGGTTCATCCCTACTTTTTCTGAATCCAAACGCAAATTTCCCATCGATCATTGTTGTCATCAGCATCAACATCGTCATTATCATCATCCCCCACCGACCGTTCCTCATTTTTCTCGGTTCTCCGCGCCGTCGGCCACTCCTCCCAATCCCCCCCCCCCAAGTAACTGATGATGGTGCCAATATATTGTTATGATAACAATCAAAAAAAAAAGAGAAGAAAATATCGGATGAAAGAGAGAGAGGGAGAGAGAGAATCAACTGATAACTTGTTTTTTTCCGATCTGTCCTTCTCCCTTCTATTTTTTCTGAATCAAGGGAAGGAATGGAATGAACAGTAATGATGACATCGTCGGAAAAGCGGAAGCGAACAAACCTTGCCAACAGTTGGTTTGTGATGCCATCATCATCATCTGATCGTCGTGCTCCGCAGCCCAGTACTGTCCAGAACCATGATTCAGATCGTCAGCATACGGTACTGGAGTGTTCATCATGCTTTCTGTAAACCGACAATATCAAAAAAGCGGTATTGGATACTGTAAAGACCCCTTGTGTCGGAACTGGAAGTCGAAGAGTAAGGAGACGTGGAGTAGAAGATGCCGTCTTGAGCGACGTTCATGACGGCAGGTCTCCTAAAAGCATCGTAAAAATGATAAAATTCGAAAAAAAAGTGAATTGACAGGAGAGAAAGAGAGCCCACCCAACATTATCAATCAATAGAAAAGTAGGCTCCGTCATTAATAAAAACAACTCCCCAAAATGTTTTGCTCCAAAATACAGTAATAATGAGAGAGAGCAAACATGAAAAGGAGGCGGCGGCAGGCACAAACAACTTTTTTGGGTTTTATCGCATTTCAACGCCGTCCTGTCCAACACACCTCTCGCTCAAAACGTCGACCGCTTTTGGCAGGGTGAGAATCAGGCGAGCATCGAAAAAGAACTTATCAGGAACAAAGTAATTCGAATTCGAAACTGAAATCGAGACGGAGATAACAGAAACACTTACATTGCGAAAAGCGGCGTCGGCGATAACATTATGCACTTTGCATTGACTTTTCACCGACTTTTCTAGGAAATCCAATAGAAAAGTGGAGCCGAAAGACGGAGAGGAAGAAGAAGAAGAAATCGCTCGTGTGTTGTGTCGTTTGTATGTGTATTTGTTGTTTTTTGTGTTTCGTTCAATTATTGAAAGTGTAAATGTGTGGCTCTGCTCGCGATGTTACCAGAAATTCTTGCCTAGTGCTACAGTTCTTAGTTCACACGCACCGAAAAAGTCTGAAAAGCACAGAAAACAAAATCTCGGTCTCTGTGAATTGTGAAACATAGCCAATTGACTGAAACTTTTGGATGACCGATCACAACACTGAAATCCACTTTTAGTAGCTTTACCGCTCACGGAATCTTGCAAAATCATCCTAATAAGGCAAATTTCTGATTCTGTATATCGAAAATTGATTTTCTGATCAATCCCCCTTCTCTTTCTTTGAACCGATCTGCAACCGTTCTTTGCTGGTTTCATCGCAAACATCACTCGCTTTTTTGTCAATCCAATGTGGCAGTTCTCGATTCTCGATGCGCGCTTTTCTGTCGCCGAATACCTCTAGGTTCTTTTTGCTGAACAGCTAACGGTTTATTCGGTCAGTCTCAAAAGACAACGAAGAAAAATAAGCTTGGGGATTGAAAATATGCCCGGTTAATGAGAATTGAGGCGTGTGTTCCATCTCTCCGCTTGATATTCTTCGCATTTTTCAGTTTGAAATGGAAACGGGAAAATCCTTCAATGCAGAAGAACACATTTCTAATAAGTTTCGAAAGAATGCACGTGTACGCTTACTTTATCGATTTCAGGTCCGACAAAATAAAGAAGGTGTCCGTGAAAGACAAGTTTATAATAGAGTTTGTAAGATCTCATGGTAAAGTATGGAGTTCGGATAAAAATGAATGAAGTGATGGGTTTGAAGTAACCGAGAAGTACTACATTTGTACTGCAATCAGACTTTTCCTTGGGCAGGATTTTCGTTGAAATTGGGGGCACGAGGACGTGGCGGAACCTCAATCTCGTAGATCCAAACTGCTCCTTGCTTATCAGAAACGGAAAGCAATTTCTGGTCCCTGGTGATCACAATGTTGTCAAGACCTGAAAATAATAATTGAAATATGGTTCTGTAAGTGATCCAAATGTCTTACCTGCTAAAGTCTCGATCATTGTCAGCGGTGCAACTTCATCTGGTTTGTCCAGTTTTCGGATTTTCACGGATTTCTCATTGATCGAGAAACAGTGTCTGTGGCACTGATCGACAACCATTCCCAATAGTCCAGACTCAAACTCCGGAAAACGTTTGAGAGCGGCTCCCCACGTTGCAGGCTTGGTAGATATCATAATCACGTAACCATTTTCAAAGGAGACAAGAATGGCACGGTCTTGGAGCCACGAATAACTGACCACAGGGCCATAGAACTCGGGGAACTTGGTTACTCGACATTCTGTTAGATCATCTGCTGCTGCTACAAACAGCGAATCCTTGTTAAGCAGCACACTGACCACAAGTCTTGGCGAATTCTCCCCGTGGTTCAAGTAGCTGCATTCCAGTTGTGATGGGGTTCCCGCCAGCTTCGTGGCACTTTCTATCTGCCACTGTTCTAGGTCGTTCTGCTTATAAATGGCCAGAACGTTGTCCTCACTACACGCGGCGAGCAGGTTATTCGGAATGAATTTCAGGCCGGTGATCGCTTTGTTGTGGATGTCCGCCAGCATTTGTCTTTTCCCTTTTGTCGAATCGAACACACAGATGAATCCGATGTCGTTTCCTATTGACAAAGCCGGGGAACCCGAAGACCAGGCAAAACACTTCGGGACTTCTCTGAAAATCATAATAAACTTGAAATCATGATCAATGTATGTATGCACTTACTCCATGCCACACAAGTGACTTTCCATCGTGTCCGTGCGGTTTTTGTAGACATGCCAGATGTAGACCCTGCTAATATTCTTCACCGAAATCGCTAGAATGCTTCCTTCTTTGTCCCATGCTATGTTGGCGATATCTCTGCAATTAGAAAGTGAATATTGGAAAAATCTAAGAGGTTCTACTCACTCGTCGATCTCGTTTCTTCTAACAACGGTGCAATTCGAGTTATAGAACAAAACAGATCTGTTTTGACTGAAAATTATTATTGTTTTGATGCATTTTTCGAGTGTATCCCTACCACGCCACTGCGAACGCTTTGCTACTGGGATGCCAGCGGAAAAAAATGCTAGAGCTACCATGATCGGCTGGGTCAACTTGATGAACAAGCTAAAAATAAATATGTTTTAGAGATATATTGATAGGAGCACTTACCTTCAGACTCATTGTATCTAAATGGTTCAGACAAGTATAGAAAAATAGTAGAAATTGAAGAGTAAAGAGCTGCGAGAAGAGACGGGTTGTTGACGGAGAAGAAGAAGAATGAGAAGGCGTATGATCTAGAGTGCGTTTTGGGTATATTACTCCGAGCGGCGATTACCATGGAAACGGTGTGGTGTCATCGACCCACGCCCCCGTGCACATGTCCATCTCGCAAATAATTGGTACCTACTTTTGCGCTTATCTGCGCAAATCTGGCACCCGATAAGACAATGAGCAGGTGTCGACTCGTGTAATTGTCCCTCAAAAAAGTGGATAGATTAGATCACTAGCATCTGTCCTTCTTAGATCGACACGCTTCATTTCGTTTCCGCCTGCATGCGAACAATTAATAGAAGAAGAGCAGGTGGGTGCGTTTTTGAAGCGTGCAACAAGGCCGAACAATTAGGCGGTTTAGGCAATATGCTAGGAAATTGAGACAAAGGGACTAATTACTGGGATAAGTGCAAAAGAAAGGTTCTCCGATAGACGTCGGGTGAGATAAAGAGTATGAATGTGTCATCTGCGTGTTTAGATCGGAAAACGATAGTGGAACGGGTCGCACTGTCTCGACAGGAAAAACTTGGTAGCGATGATTATTAATCCTAAGAAAACTTGATGCAAGTGATGATATGATGACTGGCAATGTCACGTTTTCTTAGATTAATCGTTCGCTGAGTGACATTAACCTTTTTTCAGATTTGCAAGATCGGCGGGCCCGTCCCGTTGATAATCTGTTTCTTTTTTACAAATTAAAATGTAGAATGTTCAACTTCATACTTTTTTGATGAGAAAATCTGTCACTTATCCGAGATCGTCCATTTTCTTCTTCTACGGTAGTTGTCACTCCTCTCATGATTGACAGTAATTGTCTGTCACAAATCTACTCAACTCTGCCACGTGGGAATGGTCACGAGAGCAATTAGCAGGTAGACCGTTCTGTAGTACATATTTCCCTTCTTTTCGACTACCTCAGTTTCTTATTCCAACACAATGAAACTGTCTAACTTCTTTGGTTTTCCTCAAATAAGTAAATATTTCTACATGGCTTACAAAGCGCTGTCGTACAATTGGATGTCATTGTGAGTCGAATATCTTTTTAACACAACAATACGTTTTCAATTTTCAGGTTATTCATTGCACTTTTCTCCAGGATGGGCAAACTTCGGATGAGAACGGCAGCGATTCTGATATCTTCCCAGTTTGCCGATGTTTTCCTCAACCGTCGATTCCGCGCTCTTTGGAGAATTGGATTGCGAACTGCGCTGCTCTACAGAAATGTTTATCGAGAGTTAGCCAAAAATTGATTGACTCTGTTTAATAAATGTACAGCAAATTAGCTCACTTCAACACAAAAACAATCCGGACAAAGTTCACAGACCAACACGAAATCTCCACCAGAATAACAGCGATATTTTCTGGTCAGCAGCACTTTTCGTGTTATTGTTATCGGTTAATTCGAGATTTTCAGTCAGTTCTAACCGACTGTGTTCAAGAGCAGAACCTTCACAGTGTCCCTCATCCCATTAGTACATGTTTTGTTCCACTATGTATTTATTATGAATTCCAAAGTTCTTTCTACTTGTCCGTCAACGACTACATCCTCACGCTATCTTCTATCCTTTTTTCCATCGGCTTCGCGCCAAACATCGTTTCTAATTTCTTTTCTTTCAAAAACACACGTGTCACTTTAAACAATATCTTATCAGCACTTTTTAGGTCGGATACAAGCTGTGACGGATTTTCACAAACGTTTTAAATGTATTTGCGTGTGTGTATTTCTGGAAAATGTTTCAAAGACTGAGTGACCCTCGTCGGAAGGCATAAAAGGGATTTCAGAAAAAGTGCATCTTTTTCTCATCTTCTGCGGTTTTTCACCACTCCGATCTTCAAGGACATATCTTTATCGCATCATCTTATTTGAAAAAGGAAACAAAGATAACGATGTTTTTGAAAAAAAATGTTTTCGAATTCTAGGAACTGTATTCACTAACAAATAAACTTCAGCGATTAATCTCTTTATCATGAACGGGATGGTCTGCCCGTTCCGTGTAAAATGACGGACTACTGTTCTGGTAATCGATGATCAACTAGAGAACAAAACTGACATTAAAAACTGATCGGGACAGGAAAAATACCCACAGAGCTGTGCAAAAGGCCGGTTCAGGCTTTCCGATATACGGAGAGAGACCATGTAAATGAGCGATTGTTGCAAAAACCCAAAATTGCAGGTGGGTCAAATGTCTGAGCTTGGAAGGTCTTTAAAAAGACTTTTACCAGTCCTGCCCATGCAGGAATAAAAAAAGTGGAAAGAAGAACGATGTTACACTATTTATTCTCCATTTTTGTTTGAATCCATGTCTCTGGAACATTCCATGCTCAATATCGGACCCTGCCTGTTGTTGAGTACCCCACTAATGTTGAATTTTGATACAGTTTGACAACATTCACACCTTGAGGCATTTCTTTGATGCGGTTAACTTCTGGTGCGCAACTTGACCGTGAATAATTGATATCAACAATATGAAGAAGCTTCATGATGAGATTACAATTCCGATTGAATTCTTGCAAGGCAAGTTGACCTAATCATCTTTTTCCGTGTTCGTTTAATTCCAACAGACCGGGTTACTGTAGTGATCATGAATGTTTATGATACCGACAACTGAACCCGCCAGACAATAAAGTACTGTAAATGTTCTGACTAAATTTGTTGGATCGTAAAAATCTCCATTCGCCAATTAAACTGTCGATTTCCAAAACAGACGACCCTTCAGTTACTCTTCCCCCCGAAATTGCCTTGCCCAAGTCGTAAAACACTTCAAACGGACAACCTCTTTCACGTAAGGTTTACTGTAGAATCTGAAGAGTACGGATTTGATCTTTGATGGCTAAAAAGTCTCTGAAAACGTTTTAGAACTACTTTAGCAGTATATATAGATAAAAAGGTGCTTAGGATCATCTGAAGAGAGCGCCTCCATGACAGTAGGTGTTCGAGAACGAACTGTCCATAGACTGCTCTCTTCAGCTTCACTCAGCTTGGGTCAAACTCACTTTACGACAGCCGTAAAATAATTGGAAAATGAATGCCATTGCGAGTTGAGCACGAGAAGTATGGGTTGGAGGGGCGGGGTCGCTTGATAAGAAGAGATAAGATAAGATAACTGACTGGATTGCGAAATTGGAAATTGTTTTGGTGTCTCTTTCCGAATGGAAATGAAATAAATGAAACACTCGTTGTTCACACCCCATTTGACTTCCTACCAACCATTCCATTTCCATTGAAATTACCATTTTGGCGAAAGGGGGGGGGGGGACGCCAAATTTGAATATTAATAGGAGCGCCGGGGAATGTGTTGCCAACAACTCTTTTCGCACAGTCCCCTCCAGGGGGTCGGAAAGAAGGAGAAGAAGGAAGACCTTGCCGGCGACAGCGACAGACAACTGCAGAACTAAGTAGGGAAGAGAATCGGCAAAAAAAAAGATAGGTCACAGTCGCCGCCCCACCTCTCCTCCTCCTCCTCCTAGACCTCGTCTTTTCTTCTTACTCCCTGCCCAGCCCCTCGCCGTTTTTATCGTTCATTGTTCTTTCTCGCTGGCAGAGAACGAAAACCGGTTCGGTTTGGATCGGCAATTCGCAGTCAAGGAGAGTCAGAGAGAGAGAGAGGAAGTTTCTCGACAATTTGAAAAAGGGAAGAATGGAAGTGGAAGGGGTTCAAGAAATCACATTAGACAAAATTGGTTGTCGGAGACGTGGAATTCCACGAAACTTCAATCACAATCACATTTTGCCATCGGCCTTCGCCTCCAAATTAATTGAGAACGAAGAATTCGTCTAATTAGAAGAAATTGTGAAGAGAAGTGAAGGGAAAGGAAATTGGGGCGTAAACAAGCGAGAAAAGAATTGGGGAAGGACGAATATTATCGTTTCACCGCTGCACGGTACGATGATAAGAGTGGTAACCGATCAATTGACGCAATCTTTCATACACGCAACGCTAGATTAGCTCGATTGACGTTTCGGGTTAAGGTTGGTGCGAATCGGAGTGTGTACCTGAAGTTATAAAATATTTGGTTGCACAAAAGGGAGTCACGAGGGAAAAAATTGAACGATGGGAATTTTTCTCGCCTTTTTGTGGTCACCAGAAATTGGAACCAAAGGTTCTACAGCCCGGTCCGGAATCATGCCAATCTAACAATTGTAAGGTAAACGTGTGTACACGTGTTGTGATATTAAGAAAAAAAAAGTTCCTCGATTGTCTATCTATGACTTGATTCGTCTGGACTTGAGAATTGCATTGTTTACAACAACTTTCACTTTTCCTGTAGAAGTCAGTTCCCAAAAAACCCCTTCGCTCGATTATGTTATCAATCGGTCGGGCTGAATGTGTACATGACGTTTCGATACGAATTCTTTTGTTTCAAACTGTTTACCAAGTCTTTTTTATTGATAACACGGTTCAAACATCCAAGATCCAGCGAACACAGTCCCCCCCTATATAATCTATCCCTTTCCCTTACAAACTCAACCTGAACATTCGTTTCCTTTTCTACGATAATCGGCGCCCATCAACCCCCCAACTTTATGAGCGTTGTTCGCATAAACGATCGACCGAATTAGGTAGGTAGTTTAAGACAATATCATCATGACATTCTTTTTGTTTTATAATCCTACCAGACGTAGTACGTATATACTTCTTCCGAAAATGGATGTGATAATTAGCCGCGTACATAGGCGCTGTCTGGGTCATCATGGGAAAAATCGAGGGCCGAGTTGTCAGATTTTTACTTTTTATGCTGTTGTTAAGAATATTTTTGAGGAAGGAAGTGTTTTTTGCAATTATTTTCAGCCTCAGTACACTTTTTGCAAAAACCCAATTTTTACGGCCTCCCATTTTCATATCTGAAATCCGTCTGAGCCTCAGAACCTTGTAATTCAACAGGGTCAAAAGTTCAGACCTCAAGCAGCGCATTGAACTGGCATCTCAAGTTCCATACAATTAACATAATTCAAAGCAAGTTCTCATGACGCTATGCACTTCAACTAATGTTCCTCCTTTAAACACACGTGATGCAAGGAGAATCACATTTGTCGTCGTTCTCTCGAAAGTACCTCTACAAGTACATACAGCCTGGAGTACCTCTCACACGAACTTGTCATAGGAGCATTCCCTGAGTATTCTCTGCTTTAATCCTATCAGAAAACCTCTTCACATCCGTTTTCTCACGGAACAACATGGAAATGTGAGAAATGTAATTTAGTTTCCCTTTCCTTTCGATCGGCAAGAAGAGTTCGTTTTTGTTTAGCGCGTGTCCGGGTTGACGTGGTTCGTTTCTGCTGAGAAAAATGTTGTATACGTGTGCTTTTTGCTCTGGACCTCCCTCACCTCTCACCAGGCCACATTTCATCGCATCTCCGTTGCTTCTCCAGCTTTTTGGTCGGTGTGTGTTGCCCCTTCCCCTCCTCAGCAACTGCAACTGCCAGGTTGTGTCACGAACTTCACTTTTTCCGTTTATTTACAACGCTCATGAGTTCAGAATCAGGGAGAAAAGAAGAAAAGGTTCATATCCGTCGGGCTCCTTTTCCTTTGACCCCCGCGCCACTTGGTCCCTCGGCCGCTCAACTCTTTTGTTAAATTCTTGATTGGCTCCTCCTCTATCCTCTTTTCTCCAAAACATACTAACGTTCTAATTTTTGGCACTCCAAGCAAAAATTGACTTTTCCTTTAGGATCTTCTATCAATCTGTACATTTGCAGGGTACAAAACCGGGTGATGTCAATGGAAGCACTGGAGGATGATTTGAAGTGCCTATTGGTAGGTGATCGACCAGAACCAAGACCGCTCAAGCACAGTATCGCTGAAATCACAAGAGAATCATCGCCATTGGCTCAGGAACCGCAGCCAAACGTCATGGATAAACTTTCTGAAGAAGTTGAGCTACTGGCTTTGGAACCAGCAGTAGAAGAGCAAGAGCCCCAGGCACCGGAAAGCCCAGATATTGATCCAGAATTAGAAGCAGTTCAGCCAATTCCACCGGAAAATGCTCAGCATGTACTTCCAAACCAGCAAATGTTCGCAGTCGCATATCCTTACTACGCTCCTCTCATTGACTGGGGTTTCCCGTCTTTCCGAGGATGGAACATCGGTGCTCCTTTCCTTTCAAACAGCTGGAACGTCAATCCTCTGGCTTTAAGCACGATGAGGTCGCTTCCGAATTGGGGAAGACCTGCGGAAGAAGATGATTGGCGTCCTCCAGGTTTCAATCCAATGCCAGCGGAAATGGCTCCGCACCTGCAGCCCGGTTTCTCGTTGGGAGAATTCGCTCCTCATGTCCCCATTCATTTACTTTATCAACGATACATCCCGGAAAATGAGGAAGTTGAGATTCCGGAACCAACATATTTCTGCAGAATCTGCGACAAATCGATTTCCCTTATGAAAACCAGCCACCGAGAAGAGTGCCGTAAATCTCCAAAGAGTAAGTGAAACAACTACCGTAATCTAAGCAAGCTTTCATTCAGATCTTTCTTGTCCAATCTGCTCTCGGCTTCGTCGTCATTATTTGATGGAGGAGCATGTTCAGTACTGCATCAAGAGCTCAACTAAATGTGAACTTGAGGTGAGTCAACTACAATTTGTTTCAAAACATTGTGACACCAACTGTTATTTTAGAGAGAGAAGGTCTTCCGTTTCCATCAATCATCCGCGGCCGTCATCGAGAGAAAGTTAGTCGAGATCCGAGAACAGCTCTTTAACAATCTGAAGGACGCGCTGCACACGAAGAACGAACGCCCGTTCATGGGATGCATTATGTGCAACACTGATCGGGAGCACCATGACGGACGATGTCTTCGCTATTACGGGGAGAACGACTTTCGGGTTGGTTGAGTGAAAATAAACTTTTACGATTTCGTTCCAGACCTGCTTTTACCGGCCCTGAACCTTGCAAGTTTGGTCTTCCTGCCTCTTTTTACTTTATTTCCGTTCTCAAAAGTCAGGTCAACATTTTGACTGCGCGCCCTTCCGTTCAAAGGATTTTTGAGAGTTGAGAGTTACTAGGCGACGGGAGCTAGACACTCATAAACTTGCAGAATTTTTGGTTTTATTTTTACATAGAATCAGAAGTAGAAATTTGAACTCTAAACAATTCCATTACAGTTTCGTGCCGGCAAATTCCTCGACGAGACCGTTTACCCGGCCTACGAGAGATATCTGACTGTTTCCAAGGAAGAACAGCTTCTCCACGCCTACACCAAGTACTCGGAAAGTGAGGACGATCAATTGCAGTCGCTGAACGAGTTTCTGGACGTTCATTCGCGGACAATCAATCAAGACAACGAAAGAAAGTTGATGGAAAAGAAGGAATCGATCAGAATGCTCATGCAGGAAGAGATCAAGACCCTTGGGAACAAGATGACTTCCTACCGTAACTACTATTTCGATACCGTCGCCATCCCGGAGTACTACGCCGAGAAAAGACGTCTTGATGATGAAATGTATGAACGTCTCCGTCGCTCTTGAATTTTCGCCAAAACTTCTTTTCTTATGTTAGCGTTCCAGTTCAAACACAGTAGTGCCTTGTCATATCCTCTAGTCATACACCATATTCTGCTGTTTGTCATTATAATCCTACCTTTTTCCCGTGATTCATTGTCTCATTCTATGTAACTAGTCTCGGTAGAACTTCTTTTTTGGCTATAAACGAACGGTGAATAATAAATAATTGAATGATACCGACAAAAGTGTCATTTTATCTAAAAATATAAAAGTGATCACGTCATTAAATGGCGTTCCCGTTCTACCGCAATGTTTGGTTTTGCATACTAAAACGCAATTCGTTCGTTTTCCAGTTTCTCAACATCATTTCTAAAACATCCACTTTTATTGGAAATATATAATCTTCGCCCCTCTGATTACCCCCTTATGGCTTTGGTCTATCGACGTTTCCCCCCTCCCCATTCCGAGAAACCAATTCACGTTGAACGGACTAAGAATTCTACGCCATTCGATTCCATTCAGTCGTCCGACCGAACCGAAAAAAAAAGATTCATTTCATTTCATTTCCGCCCTCGTCTTCCTTTTTTATTCTTTTCACTCCCTTATCTTTTATTGACCGCGCCACGTACCGCTGCAGTGGCGGGAAACGTGGCGGAAGCAATAGGAATAGGGAATAGGAAACAAAAATATGAAAGAAAAACAACAAAGCACTGATTGAGGAGCGGACTTGATTGATTCGCTTTGTAATTTCACAAAGACATGCTAGCCGAAATGTGTTCGTCATCAGGAACTTTGCCCTTTTTCTTTTCACGTGCTCATTTATTTGCAGTTCACAATAATTATGTCGGCTTGCATGTAGGCTAGACAGAACGTTCTTATCGTTCTCTTCCACCCAGTTCGCTATAATTTGGTTCCAACATCTGTTGTCAGACGGAAATAAACCATTATACTCCCGCTGATTAATGTACAACTTTGTCCTATAGTCGACCGCTTTTTGAGCTTTCACTCTACCAATTTGAACTTGAGAACTTGAGAACTCTGCAAGTTCACTCGAACAAAATCTGGTTTTCCTTTTCCAGGACCCTTCTTTTTCCTCGTTTTGACTCGTTCCGCTACGGTGTCTAGTCAGTTTCAGAGAACGAAAAAGAAATGGCAAAAACGATGAGTGACTACGTCCGCGAACGGATAGAATACCATCAAGAAGTAATCACCGGCCGTCATCCAGACTGTGCCCGTCTGTTCCGACTTGCTGGAAATGGAGATCAAACCGAACCTTATGTTCGTTTGTCGCGTGGATTACTCCGGATTAGACCGAGTGACCTCATGGAAGGTAACATTTTCGTTGTTAGTTGTAACGGGCCGGCAATCTTCAACTTTTATAAGAAATTTGACTTTACTGGGATTTTTTCGAAGAATTCTCCTAAAATGTATCATAGCCGAACCAGCAGATCTATTTTCAGCTGAAACCAAGTGTACTTTGTGCCATCGCTCTTTCCCCAATGAGAACTTCCTGGAGCACATCAAAAACTGTGCGGCGACTGATGAAAAGAGCAAAAAGCAGGTCGGTGCCGCTTTGCTTATCAGAAATTTCAAGTTCATAGTGTATACAGAAGGAAATGGAAATACACAAGTTCTCCGGAAGCATTTATAGTTTGCTGGCACCTTTGAAAAAGGCTGCGTTTGAGCTGGAGAAAGAGTACATGGAGGCTCTTCTCACTAGAAAAATGAACAATTTGAGCTGCTTCGGATGTGATTCCCTTGAGGAGCATGCACGAGGAAAGTGTCTGGAAGACCGAAACAAAACTATCTTTTTGGTACCATTCCAGTTTCTTCAAGGTTTTCAATGCTCGTTGAACTTTCAGACAAATGTTGATCAAATAGCATCCACAGCTCTCGCCCACATGGAACATTATCTGAACTTGAGGGGAAGATGCTTGGTGGATGAAATGGATTCTAAAGATGAAACGGATTTCCAACAGTTGTCTAAAGTTGTGAAAACAATCGAAGAAGAGAAAGATGTTAGTTTGTGGTCTTGATTGTTTGATTCGTGATGCAATTCTTTCAGAATAGACCTTCTAAATACTTGTTCTGGACGCAATTCTGTCACAACACCACAACAACAAACAACGGTAAAAGGCAAAAGTTGGAAGTACAGATTACCCTTGAGAATGCACGAGCCTATGAAGAGCACAAGAAGAAGATGGAAAAAGCAGTGGATTCCCTGAGTGAAGACCTCGAAGTAATCTGCGCAGTTTTGTCCAGAGAGGCTCAAATCATCAACAACATGGACCCCGCATTTCGATTCGATCGAGCTCCGACTCGGGAAGAAGTGCAGAAGTTTGAGGAAAAGTACCCTTGGATGAATGACTCTCGCAGGATACGCCGAGTATAACCGATTGTGCACTATACCTGCCTGCTTTGTAATAAACTGATCAAAACGAATTTTACACATTGTCTGCAAACTCATTCACGGATAAATGTGATCAGTGAAGTGTCAGTTGTCCCGTTGAAACAAACAAAATGAAGAAAAGTTCTCTTCTCAATACTATCTGTCTCGTTTTTCTGGCATCGACGAAATCGGGAGTGTGTAATAACGAGGAGGTGTTTCAAGAGATGTATGTTCCCAACCTTTCACCTTCTTTCTGTGTTCTTCTCTGCGTTTATTGGAATTACTTTGAGGGGATAAGTGAAAGCGATCGACATTGACTGACGCGGGGGTTAGAGGGAAAGGCTATCAGTTCGAGGATATTGAAACATTCGAAAGTTAGATCGTAGGAATACAGTAGTGAAAAGAAGAGGAGGAGGAGAAAAGGAAAAGAGTTTTCACAATAGAGATCAAAAAGTGGCGGAGAACGAGCAGAGTACATATGTATAAAATGGGAGAATTCATTGACGGCGCTGTTGCTCTTCTTGATTCTCTTCTTCGCTGCCGCCGACTCTCTGGCTGCCGCCCACCATCATTTGCACCATCATTTCAGTGTATTCCTCTTTTGACATGGTATTTCTACCGGCCTGAAAACTTCTAATCAGTAAATTCACTCAATGAAAGCTAACTTACGGCTCGTGGATCGTTTCTACCGTACATTTGGAACACAACATGATTCTCAAGTCCTGGAACGTTCATTTCAAGTCCCACTCTCACTCCGCTTGCAACAGCCTCCTCCTCTTCGACGCCATCATCCTCGTCGTCCTCATCCTCTTCTTCGTCCAGTTCTTCTTCGTCATCGCTCTGAACGGATTACATTGAAGGGATTTAATTTTAATCCCCGCTGGCTCGAACACGATGTTTCATACATACCGAGAGAGGCTGCTCTTCGGATTGTGGTTGATCAACTGGCACATCACGCTCGGCGATTGGATCGTCGACGGTGGCCGGCTCGGAGATCTGTAATAGTAATGTCTCTCCGTGAACATCCTCTTGCTCTTATACACATTTCCGGCAACGTCCGCTTTTTAATGTCAAACCACTCAATCCCCATTTCCTGTCCTTTAGCGCAATTTAATTCATTAGTGTAGCAAGCACGAGGGGACGATGTATGCTTACGCATCTCAAGATTAAGAAGTCCTACGGCGGGAGTGGCAGAAACAGTACTCCCTTCATTTCGAAACACTCACATTTTTCTCAATTTGGTCTTTCTCAGAGTTCATGATGTCGGTGAGCGCTTGACAGTGCAGAAACTGAAAAAACAATTTCATTTCATGTGTAGAACTAATCTAGAATGATCTAAATTGCGTATAACGGAAAAAGGTGAAAACAAGAGCAGGAATGAGGAGCTCCGATCGGAAAAGAGCATTAGCAATGGCAACTGCGAGCACTCACTGTGTCCTATATCCTCCTAATCCTAGTATTTATGCTGTCCGTCGGAAAAGGATCGCCACGCCCCCGGACAGGTGCATCACGCTATGCACGCACATCTGCGATGAGCTCAGATTGCAAATAACGGGCAAGATCTAACGAATAATCTCATAATTACGTACGCACTAGGAAAGGTGCCTAGCGAGGTATGAACCGTTTTGAAATGGAAGGAAAGAGCATGCTCACTGAAAAGAGACACCGACGTTCACTCTCTCTCTCATTACCCTAATTATCCTCCTTTGTCGATCTCACCCGCTGGATTAGTTACCTTAATTTGCACCTGTCCAATGAACAATTAAAAACCTCATGCGCGTTTCGGATCATATCTCACGGAATATAATCTGGTATTTATTCGAAAGAGTACAAACGTAATTGCTTATTTGCAGTGGTTCCGTTCCAAAATGAAAATTGGAACCTGGAATGGGGATTAATACATTTTGTCGATTAATTCAATTCGTATCAATTTGCCCCATAAATAGTAAAAGGTTGAAGAGTGAAACATTAAAAGTGCGAAAAAGGGAATGCAGAAAAATTAAGATTCAGCGTGATCTATTGAATCTCAACCAGATTGAGATAATACGGGGCGACAGAAATAAAGAGGAGCGAGAATGGGTAGTCTTCTCAAAAAAATGGCGATTGCTTGTCAAAACGGAAGAACAGTAACCATAAAAATGAATAAGACTGATAGAAAACCGTAAAATTCTCCGAATTCGATAATAGAAACGTATGTAATTATCCCATAGTCTCCTTGAAATCCATTTGAACCATGCTGTTTGTGAGAGCTATCATCGGATTCATAACAGTGACGTTGGATGTTCCGTTGTGTCTGACGCACGCAATGCACGCTTCTTCGATTTCATTGCACACCATCGCATTTGTCATAACGACGCACTCGGCACATTCCGCCACTGAAAAGCAGTCAACGATTGAATATGTTCGACAAATTCTCAGATGATTACCTGATTTGAAGCAGATGCTGCCGTAGTAAACAAACTTGAGCAAGTTGAAAAACGTGGCAGGATTGTAATCCACGGACATTTCGTCTTTTTCTCCACTTTCGAACTGGAACAGTCCCTTAAAATACGGAAGGCGGTGGGAGAGCAACTGAAAAAATAGATTAAAATACATAGACTACCAGATAATTGAGAAAAGCGATCCACCTGCTTGTTGATCTTGAATCTGGTTTCTCCAGCGGTGAAAACATAGTCGGTGACCCCTGGCATCACAATTTCTGAAGGCAGTTCGGATAGAGTGACCGGTTCGATTTTCAAATCAAATTTGATCGAGATGTCACGCTCAAAAGAGCTTTCCAGTTTGAACAGCGTTGGAATTCCAAGAGTCACGATTCTTGGCGTGACAATGTTTTCAATTTCTTCGTTTATATCCATCTCATCGGATTTGACTTTTATCGAGAGCTGTTGAATTTCCAGCAAGCCAATGAGCACAGCACCAAACGAAAGATACTCTTGTTCGTCAAAAGTCTCCACGTGGATACATAATACACTGAATTAGGATGTATGAATTCAACAGACATCAAAACGATCACTTACATGCTCATTGATGTTCCCTCAATCTTTACTTCTTCCTCCCAAACGATCTGATCCCGATCTGTGGTCCCGATCTTCACACACGTTTCCAGAGAGTTTTGCCAAGTGAATGTCGATCTCACAATTCTCATATTGATGATTTCGCAGCATGTTTTGCTTGCGAACAGCTTGAACAAAGTCGCCGATTTCGGCAATAAATCGAGTCCGAACTTGAGTGCCTGGTATCGGATCGTGAGCAAGTAGCACTCTGAACGTGAACGATCATTGTTTCAACTTAAAATTCTGGTTCACCGTAGTTTTTCATGGAATAAAACTCATGATAGTACGATCCGAGAACGCCCCGAAGCAATTGAAAGTCATCCGTAGGCATTGTGTTCAGATCTTTCAGCAGCTTACGGATTTTGAGCTGCGGATGCATTTTGTCGAACCATTCCACTTTGACTTTGACATTTCTTTCCTCACACATCGTTCGGTATGTGTGAAACGGCCAGTTCATTGAGAACATACTCCTGTGCAGCAGTAGAAACGCACAGAAATGGAAAGAGAAGGAGAGACAAACACTGAAACATATATTTTTGAAAAAAGTTCAATGCAAAAACGTTTTGTGTGCAACTCACACATCTCCTTCCATGAATTTCGAAGTAATCACAATTTGTCCACTGTCGTCTCTATGCCAATCGATTTCCATGACTGCGTTCACGCATTTGCTGATATCAATAGGAAGCATGTCATCTATATAAACTTCTGTCAGATTTTCCGGTTTCCTTTTAGCGCTAAAATGCAGATTTTTCAAAACATGATCTAGAACAATCCATTTCTTACACACACAACTGACGAATCATCATCGACGACTCGTTGCCGGAGAAGTAAAATGGCATGATAGGGAGCGATTCGATGCGCAACATGATTACGACGCCCTCGCACGGCTTCAAATCCAAACACGATATTTTCAAATCGAGTGTCGGAAATTTGCCATCCAGTGACATGGTGCCGGTGAAACTAGCTTCCCTAAATTGAGAATTTAGAATTGATTAAAGTAAATGAGTTGAAACCAACCATTCATGCGCACTCAGCGGAAACCGCACACTGTTCGCTTCGCCTCTTGCATTGCGCAACGGAATCTCATCTCTATGCGGTCCATCCTGATTCTCTGGGGGCTCCATGGTTTTTCTGAAAGGTTAGATGAGCAAAAAGTGTTCGAACAATGTAAGAAACGAGCAAAGTATTATAATCAGGCTCAAAAACCTTCTGGTGAAACAAGTCAAAATTTATGAAAATGTTTTCTTTATTTTAAACAGGTGAGTGCGGAATGCAAAGGGAAGAAAAAGTAATGAGATATGCGGAAGAGAGTGGGAATGTCAACGTCGAATCAGATGTAAAGATGGACAAATTCGACGTGATTATAAAATCAGTGTGCTCAACCGGATTGAAAACCAGAGGGATTTCGGTTTCCTTCACAGGCACGAAGCCGGTTTTAATCAGAAAGAAACGTTTGGTTAACCGGTACGAATACAAGTTTCGCATCGGTGAAAAAGCGGTAACAAGCGGTGCCCAACCAATTTCCCAATAGTATCATCGCAATTTGGTTGCTGCGTGCGCCAGGACGCCGTATTTGACACAATGGAATTCTGAAATTCGAGCATTACAATTCACTTAACTATTTTTATTGAATACCTCGAATACCTTGAAGAAATTTTGGACGACGTTCAAGCTGTTCCGTGTTGTTTGAATATCCGCGATCGTGCACAAGTGGGTCTTTTAGACGTGCTAACCTGTTGATGTGCTCACTGTGTAGGCCACGACAAAACTTTTCCGTTGGAGAAGGCGGGAAGAACATCCGATTTGAAGTTTTCCACATTGACGTCTCCAACTCTCGTGTCATTTAGAACTTCTACGACGCTGTTCCACGCTGTCCAACTAGCTCTTCTACTTCCTCAAAGGAAACTGGGAGCAGATTAATGGTAGTCAATAGCTGGTGTGCAGCAAATGGCGGATGAATCGAGTCGTCTTTTTCGATTATTTTTTTAGCAACTGGCCGCACTTCCCAATGATAACGCCACAAATTTGATTGCTGAGTCAGGACGCCGTATTCGACACAAGTGGATTCTGAAATTAAAACATTTTAAGTACCTTTACCATTTCTATTGATCATACTGCACTTGAATTCAGTAGTTCTGAATAATCGAGCTCAATGAGATTCGGGTAGGCTGCCGGATAGATCCTAACGTTGACCGTGTCCGGTTTTTTGAGTGGGCCCACAAACAGCCTTTCAAAGGAATCTGCGGTCGAAGGCTGACAGATTTACACTTGTCCCATTCTTTCGCCGGATTGCTCATCCTTCTGGGTTCTTCTTTCTCGGCTTCTATTTTGCGTGTTTGCTTCATTCGTCTGTAAATTGTTGAATAATAATCATCAAAAACATTTTTAGTTGAAGTCAAGAAGATCAACAAATTAGTGCAAGATGTCAAAAGTGGTTTGGAGTAGAACAGGAATTTGAATGGCCCGCTAAAAATCCGCTGCTCTCGCTGCCTAATGCGTGCGCGTGTGCTCTCTCTCTCTGTTTCTCTCTCGTTTCCCTACTATTTACCTTATTCCGTCGCATGCTATCAGTTTTCGAGTCGTAATATTACTCTTATCAACTGACAAGGAAGAAAAGTGATCAATGGTAAGACGAAGAAAAATAGTTTTGACTAGAATATCTATTTTGTGTCTAGTTTATGCTCTTTTTCGAATAAAAATCACGCCAGAAACGCGTCAGTGGCCGTATATTTGCGCACAAAATGTAGGACCCACCGTTGCCATCGTATTTTGATGTCTCGACGTCGCCCACACTATTTCGTCGCCCAAACCAATCGATGAGGGGTGAGAGAACAGAAATGTGAGAGAACGGCCGCCTGCGTGGCCTCTCCATCTTTTTCCACTCTCTTCTTCTTGCCTCCTACCATAAATGTCCGTACAGTTGGTTGTTGTCGTTCGATTTTTCTCTCGCTGGGGTTTTCTGTGCTGTTTTTTTTTGTTTACCCACATTCTATGTAGTAGGATTTCCATGCCCCTTCTGCTTGTTATCGATTTTCCGCGATGTTGAAATATCTTTCATCTTTTGTTTTGTGTACAAGACCTGTTTGCAGAATATGTTCCGTCTGCAAGATTTCTTGAACGCTCGTCTGGACCAGATTGGGGAGGAGGATCCGGCTGCAGGTGATGAGCCCGTTGAAGAGGTCGCCGAAGGACCCGGACGAGAGCAGGATCGTGCCGAGCTCGCACGTCTTCTCCAAGTGCAGCAGAACGCCATTCAGCAGCATGCAATGTTCGGCATCCAAAACAATCGAGAGATAGTTCGCATGATCATGGACAATGCGAGACACGTTGACCAACACGTGGACATGATGGAACGCAGAGCCCGGTTCGATGGAGTGCAGCGTCGCCGTCAAGAGATGGAACGTAGGCGGCGTAGTCCAGAAGGCATGGAAATCATGGAAATCAACGTGGCACCTCATCTAGAAAGAGAAGACGGTATTGATGACCGCAGAGAAGTCCTCATGAGAGAACTCCCCCGCAGAGATTTCGTCGCTAACATCAGAGAAGACCCCGATGTTCGTCAACCGGAAATTGAACGCTTACTCCAAGAAGAACGGGCTCGTGCTCGTGCTCGTGGTCTTGGTGGGGCGCATGCTCCCAACCAGAGACTAGCCAATATAAGACCACCGCCTTTCTTGGCACCGGGCATGCCGAGAATTCAAAACCAAAATCCGTTAAACATTCTTCGTCGCCCAAATCTTGTGGAGCCGTTGACTTTCGAGACAGCACGCTGCAGTAAGAACAATTATAGTTTCTATTCAGCACAACACCTTCTTATTTCAGAAATGATTAAGTGCGCAATCTGCAAAAAATTTATCCGCACTGACATCACTCTGGAGCATTTGAAGACCTGTGGATCAGACAAGGACGGCGTCATTGTTGATATTGTGGGTACTCCAAGTTTAGGAGCAGAGCGCTATGTATTTTTTGAGCCACTGAGTTTGCAGAAAGTGTGAACGTGCGCTGCCCAGGGCTGCGCACTTTTGACCCACTTGTAATATTCCGATCGGACCCAAACTTTGCAGGCTTTTTGAACTTGGATTAAAGTATATTGGGTTTGAGTTTTAGTCCGTTAGGATTTTTAAATAGTCCCGATGATAACTGCAAGAGGGTCGAAAGTCCAGATATCAAAAAGACTTCGGTAACCCTGGGTCGAAGTTTGCCCAGTCGTGCCTATGTATTTAGGAAATATCCTTTCATTTGCCTAACCAAGAGACGTTCATCATTTTTCAGAAAAAGCAAATGACCCATCAATACTATTCCTCGGATTTTGTCCTTGGTCAACAGCTCATGGAGCTGCGTATCCGACTCGAGATGCAGCTTTATGATGCGCTTAAGGACCGGGCAAAGCTCATTAACCTCGAATGTGTCACTTGCGCTTCAATCGCTGATCACCTCAAAGGCCAATGCATCGACGATTCGTGCCAGCAGGTGTTTGCGGTGAGCCAAAGTTCTATCGGAAAAGTGAATTAATTTGTTTCTATTTTCAGACGAAGTCGCAAGAAATTGGATCAACTGCTATGGCTAACTTCGAGCAGAGTATCGATGCGGTCAAACAGAGAGGACTCGCAGAGATCATTGAGAAGCACAACAAGCACTTTGACTCAATCGAGGAGAATCTCAACGATTCGCCGGCGGACGCTGTGAGTTAATAGAATCAATGCGTTAAATCGGGTCATAAAATGTATAAAGGTTTTCAAATTTCTGAAATAACGGCCGTTGGTCTTCCACTATTGCTAGATAAGAACGCTTTGTGTTATACATACAACACACTGTCAAATAACAATTTGACAAATATAGTACCACGATAAGAATGAACTATTTATTTCAAATTCTTCAGGGCTGGGAAATAGACCGGACTAGGGGTTTCAAAACCTGTCGAGGCCTCATCCGTTCGGATCAAGAGCCTGCTTCTTGGACTTGGATAGAAGTATTTTGAATCCCAGGGTCAGACCGATTGAATTATCTATTATTGCCGGCCTTTAGCCCAGCGCTGAACTTTAGTAGAGCACAATGCTAGATGAAGTGAATCGGACTAAATGCCGATTTACAAATTTCTGTTCTAAATTATCGAAATTTACAGGAAACGGAGACTCGGCGCCAGTTCACGTGGTACGAGTTCCGTAAGAACACCATCGACAGTCAGCTGAGGGAGAAGACCAAGTACATTTTGGATACCAACGAGAAGAACCGCATTTCTTACAACACCCGCAGACGCGAAATCTGGTGTCAGATCCGCGAAATGCAAGGCCGCATGTTGAGCTCGATCAGAGAGAACAGACGGGACAGCGGACATATTCTGCTTAACGTAGCCGCTCACAACGCGCTGAAGCAAAACAGCTTCCCGGAGGTGGTCATACGAATTTTGGAGAGACGTCCGGAGAACCGTATCCCGCTCGCAGGAGAGGAGATCGAAGATGAGAGACGTATTTCCAATGATCATCAGCCCCTCCGTGCTCGTCTTCGTGACGGCTTGGTACGCGAAAATCGAATTGACGTGGATGAGCAAAATGATGCCGACGATAATGTTTTTTGAACACGTTTAATTCTCTGATTTTCTTAAATTATTTGTCAATCAAAGGAGCCTTGTCACTAAAAAATTGGCGCTCAAGATAGTTATCCCATCAGATAAGACGTCAAAAGTTACATACGGTTGGGAGAAAAATCGTATTCTGATTTTTTTGTTCTTCTGTCCATTGTCTTGATCCTATTGTATTCGACCCTCATTGTCTTAACAGTCCCAAATTTTTTGATAAAACATGACATGAATTCCTTCTTCCTTCTCTGATGCTTTTCTTCAACTCGTTCATTCCCTTTTCTCTTTTCCTCCCGCAAAATAACTTATTGGAAAAATTTTCATTCTGTCTTATATATACATATACTCACAGTTGCCTTTTCCCCTGAGAGTTCCCGTGCAGATGTCGATCCTTGTAATTTTTTATTAATCTCATAAAATGTCTATTTTATAGTCGAAATGAGTGTATATGTATATCAGAATAAAGGAAAATGAGGAAAAGGAAAAGTTCAGAAAGTTATGAATCATTCCTTCAAGATTGCAGCTGTTATTTTCAGATAACGCGTGAGAAATGATCACGTCTTGAACTGGAGTGCACCTAAGAAAGTGCATGCTCTTGTGCTGCTTGCTATATAACGAGATATTAGTGCAACTTTGTGGAAATCTTTCCGCGTGACTCAATCTCGTAGTTAGTTCCTCTTTACTTGTCACCCAAGACGAATAATTACTCGTTTCTTTCCAGTATCCCTCATTTTTTCCAAAGCGCACGTAGCTAGGAGGCGAGGACGGAGAAAGACCAAAAGAAGAGCTGGATCTTCGGTCCGCGTCTCCTCTTCTGACTGCGCTGTGTTGCACTTGAAGGGCTTGCCACCTCAGTGAGCCCTACGACCGCCTGCAAGTCTCTCTCTCTCTCTCTCTTCTCATTTCCTTCTTCCCCATGAAGGGTCTTTCTTTTTTTTGTTGCGTTTCTCCTCTGGCGCCTATCGATCTTCCCATGCACTTCTTCCTTTTGTCCTCATTATCATTTTAATGTTTTCGAGCCCCGCGAGCTAGAATCAAAACACACAGATGGTGTTATCATTTCCAATAAGAGCCCTTCTGTTCTCCGTTCTGACTGTTACCATGGCTTCTGTGTTATTGTCTGTTCCGCGTGACTACTTGAGAGGAAGGGAAAGAGAGAGAGAGAGAGAAAGCCAGACAGTCTAGTAACAATACAGCCATTTTTTGTGTTCGCCTCCTATTCCCATTGCTATTGTCTCGTATTATATAGTTGTCTGGTTACAATGATCAGTTTTGTAATGGTTTTTACTGGTTCTTTGCATGGTCTCTGGTTCTTTTGTGCTACCTCTTTTGTGTAATGCAATGGTCAAGTCAAACAATTCTGCTTCTGATCAGTCTTTCTTGACACTTTTTTTGTTATTGAGAAATTTTTGAATGTCATAGTTTTGTTTTAGTTCCAAATGGATGATATCGAGCTGTTCCGTGCTTTGAACGAAGCTCCAGTGGGTTCTGAGGCCAAACAACGTCTCACTGTTGAAATGAAAAGAATGAAAGAAGACATGGAGCGTCTTCTCGCCACATGGACAATTGAGGAAATGAAAGCAATTTTTGTGCGTCCTGCCAGATTTCGCTGCCGTGTTCCATCTCTTCGTGGTGAATCAGACATGGATAAGTGCAAAAGTGCCTTGACGATCGGAGGAGTCACATTTCTCTCGGATATCATTAACCTAGGAGATTTCGCTATGGCCGATCGGCTCAGACAGACTAAACTGCACATGTTCCCACGTTTAGTCAGCCGGGACAACTTCTTTCGGCCAAGAAGACCACAGGATGAGCAAATCGGAACAAAGAAAAACACGAATGAAAATGATGTGGAAGATGCTGTGCAACTTTTCGATATTCTCAATCTGCCAATTGACATGATTGGGAAAATCATGGCAAGGGTTCGTAATTCAAGCATAAAATTACAGAATTGTGTAACAAACAGCGTAACAATTTCAGACTCATTACAAAGATGCTCAAAACCTGGCAATCACCTGCCGAGCAACCAACGAAATCTACCGGACCAACAGTGTTGTCATGCTGCTCCCGGACATTGCCCTCATTCTGGACTTCTCGAGCGGCGAACTCAACGTACGTTGGTGGCTCGATAAAGAAGGAGGACAGTTCGATTTCAACCCCGACAAGATTCTGATTAACAACCGTGCAAACGAAAAGAAGAAGAATCAGCTATTGCGAAATACCACTTATCTGCTGGTAGAAACAACCGACGATTTCGATGCAGAAGACATTGGAGCTGTCCGCCAGTACATTGGAAACTGCAGATTCAAGCGAGTCGTTGTGAAAGGATACACGTACACTGAGAATATGAAGATGATGGTGGATATGTTCGACGAGGATTGCGTTGAGATTGAAGTGAACAATTTGACCGGCGAAATGGTCCATTTTCCTGAGGTTTGCTGATTTGTGTGACCTCAAAACGATTCTCCAAATCATTCATAGTGTCAAATTTACGAATCCAGTGTATTCGCTTTATGAATCATGTGAAAATGACAATCTTCAATTGTAATCTACTGTAATTTGAGCTGTTATTTGATATTATCATTGAACCCAAGGACATTCTATTTTTTTAGATTAAAACAATATCGGTTCGTGACAATTTGACAAAAGAACAAAGCGAACGAATCTTTGCCGCCAAACACTTCATCAACATTTCTTGTGCCATTACAAACATCGACACGCTTCGGAAAGCTCTGCAAGAATGGGACAATGAGGAGCGAACAATCGGTCGATGGGTAATTCTGAAACCGTTCACAGTATTCCAAACGCCGTTCGGAAGACGTCATCGTATGGAAAATGTGAAGCAGAAAGGATATCTGCAGTTTGTAAGCGAGATGAACTTGCAGCAAATGGCGCACGGAGAGATCACCGAATATGTGTTTTATCCTGTTGATTAACGAAACTCTTTTATCAAGTTTGCTCAAATTGTCAGAGGCTTATCTTATTTTTCTCAATATCAATCTCCCACTTCTCAGTTTCCGATTTTAGTTTGCATTTCACCCCACTGAGCTCTTCCCATGTGTTTGTTTTCTCATGACTTCCTCGTGTTTTTCATCACGTCCGTTCAACTCCTGTTTATCCTAAAATAATGAAATAATGCATTTCTTCTCATCGCAGTCAGAACAAACTCATTTGAAGTTACATTTGAAAATGGAACGAAAGAAAGAATTCAGCTGAACTCACCTCCGTTTACGACGAGAGGAATTACTTCTCCGTCTCACAATCAGAGTTGAGCGGAATTCCGTCTTCCGGCTGCCGTCTTCCGGGAAAAAAGTTATCTTCCGTCTTCCGTCTGCCGTCTTCCGGGAGAAAAATTTACTTCCATCTTCCGTTTTCCGTGTTCCGTAAAAAACATTTTCTTCCGTCTGCCGTCTGCCGTCTTCCGGATTTCAAAATTCCATTTCCGCTCAACTCTGCTCATCATACGTAAACGGAATGGCAAGATGGAGCAAGGGAAATCCGCTAGTGGTTCTTTTCGTTTAAAGACCGAGAAGGAACTTTTGATAAACTCGCACTCTTCTAACTTGATGCACGTGTATCAGTGTTGAGCGGAATTCCGTCTTCCGTCTTCCGTCTTCCGGGAAAAAAATTTTCCTCCGTCTTCCGGATTTCAAAATGCCACTTACGCTTAACTTTGACTTGTATCTTCTGTGTTTGGTTTCTAGTTTCTTTCAAAACCGAAACAGACACATCACTTTGCGGCTCACCTTTTGAAACGGAGATCGTCATCTGCAATCTCTTTTTATTCCTTGTTTTCACTTCTTGTTCGCCTAGTGTAACATCAACTTCATCGTAGTCTCAGCCTCTCTTCTATCCTTTACTTTCCCGTGATCGCTCATCTGCTTTCTTCTTTCTTGACGCAAATTCAGAGAACGTGTATCGCTAATGGACACAAGCGAAAGATCTGTCTACGATCCGTTCTCTGGTTATACGTGCTTGTTCGCTCATTTTCTCACTCCCGAATTCCGATTTTCCATAAGCAGACATCTGCGTGATTCTGAAACTCAATTTCACATACATAGATACATAGGTAGATCGTTTCTTATCTTTTTTTCATCAGAGAGGAAGTGAAAACGAGCACAAACTCCAGTGTGCGCATTCAAGAAAAAGAATATGATCGAATCAACAGAAATGGATTGCGATGCGTGCGAGAAAGAACAAGTACCTGCTTCAAAAATGCTCATGGACTTGCCTAAGGAATTGTTGATGCTGATATTTGAACGTGTGAGTTTGATGTCGCTGTGACTCAACCCATAATTCATTATTACCTTTCATTCTTCAGCTAGCTCGAGGATTGCCCGAGAAACTTCGTGCTACTTGCACAACGATGAATGATATCTACAAAAAGATGGAACACAAGTTTCCAGTGCCAATCGATAACATTCTTTTGCTCACTTTCATAGTGACTCCGGTCGAATACGTTGTTATTACTGTTCCCGGGAAGCGAATATTCATTCGTGAACCGTCATGGATTCTCCTGCAAAGATTGTTTCGAGAAGTGAAACACTATTCCGTCCGTCTCTGCTGGGAATTGGACCGAGTATCACCGTTCTTCAGAGGAATCGACGAAAAGAATGAAATGATCAGAAAAGAACTTCTCAAATGGAACCACGTTCGCTCACTTGAAATATATTTGGAAACCTATTGTTGCCACTTGGCTCCCGTGTTGAATGCATTTCCGGAGTGTACCGTAATTTCGCTTTCCCCAAGCTTTCATTTTTCTGGAGTTGAGCTAGTTGATTCACCCCGAGTAAGCTCAGAAACTGGACGGAAAAGTTTAAATTTAACATTTTCAGATCAGAAGAAGAAACTGAGACTGCGCACAAGTTGACACCATTCAAAATCCGAGAATAACGTTGAATGTCAATGATTTCTCCTGAATAAGTGCACGAAAATCTCCAGCATTCGGTTTTCGAATCTTTACAGGCAATAAATGTTTCCCTTTCTTTTTATGAGGTATCGTGTGAGATCCCGACAATTTATGCATTTTTCTTTCATCTCAAAAACACAAGATGAAAAGCGCTTTGCTTTATTTCAGGACGGCACTGTGCAAGATCTTGGAGCACTCAGAATACTTTGACCCCTCCTCCTATCAAATGTTCCCCACCCTCAACCACTTCAGATCTATCTTATATTAAGTCCGCAATTGCGCGTAGGTTCATGCGCCCCCGCGCTAATATACACAGGTTTTAGCCCGCCAATTCTAGGTGTTTCATTGATTTGTTTACTGCTCGATTGAGATCTTAGGAGTTAGTTCATACTCATTTCCTTCGTTCTCAGTTGTGAGTAGTGACTCTTATTTAAGTTAATTTGTTGTTTATGAGCAGGCTTTATTACTATTGTCCCCTCGTCTGTTATCATGTTAATTCCGATTTAATTACCCAAGTTTGAGTTTGAGACCAAATAAAGGAGCATCAAGCAAAGGGTAAAAAAAACATCGTCTATCCAAATTGATGTCGCATAATGTCCTGCCAGTACGTTCTCCTCTGTCCACTGTTATTTTTTCTTCTAAACTGCACACGTACTCTTTGAAATTACTTGATTCCATCCCAGCACCAAAAAAGCGCAAGGGCACGGGCAATGCGATGTGTGCGCGCTGGCAGGCGCATGTCTCGTGCACCCTATTTTGCCCTCTCCCTCCGTCCACCGGCACGACCGGCCTCATCGCTGTCGGCCGTGTCCGTCACCCTCCCAATTTGCCGTACTCTCTCTCTCGCTCTCTCTCCACGAGCAGGACCTATCGGTCATTGGCATTGAGACACGCCACACTTCCCCACGCGGTTATCGCTCTTCTCGACCATCCTTTCCTATTTTCTGGCCTAAAATCTCGTTTTTCTTCGATTTCCATCGCTTTTTTCGCCGAAAAGAATGGATATTTTAATTCATTATTAATTCATCGGTCTAAAATCATCATTTTTTCAGCAAGAATGGCTCCAAAGAAGAAGCAAGTCAAAGCTCGTGTGGTCACACCGGTTGGTCAAGTTTACATTCAGATCTGAAAGGTCCAAACTATGCAATCATTACAGAAGAACCCGGTCAATGAGCAATCGTCGACAAGAAGTGGCCGTCAGCCAGAGACCGTGGTTGCTGCGGGCTCCGACGCGCCAATGGAGATAGAGCAGGCGGTGAGTGGGACGATCTTAACCGACTGGAACCACAAAATGTCGTTCCCACCGGCTGAACAGTGTTTTTGCTTCTAAACCACCGTCCCAGTGGTCGGAAGTTTGATGCCAATCGGTTATTTGTAAATTTTCAGGTGGCCGCGGACGCGCCGGTCGTCGCTGTTCCGCCACAACAACGAGGCCGCAAAAACAACAAGGCCAAAAAGGGTCCGGTTGTTCAAAGCGCTCCAGCTGTTCCGGAGGGACCAGCTTCTCGGGAAAGACGTCCCGGAGAGACGGTGAGAACTGAAAATTTTTAAAACTTTTCAGCAAACGGTCCTGGTTAGACCAAGCAAATTATTCTGTGAAATATCTTATCTTTGGGTCCTTCTATCTCGGGATTATATTTGCCAAAAATGATTATTACTTTCAGGACGATGAGTTCTACAGTAGAGTATGGAAGATAACCGAAGTGATCAAATACTCGCCGGCGTCGACCACGGACACTTGGTGCTCTCTAAAAATCGCTGAGAACAAAAGAATCAAGGAGCAGAAAGAGGCGGCGGCACGGGCGGCCAAGGGACTCGGTCCCAAACCGGCGGTTAGTTTTCGAGAGATCCCTAGGAAAATATCAATCGGCCGTGGGTAGAAATATTTCGAGCTTCATGTACATGCACACTAGTGATCCGATTTCTACCTAAAAACATGAAATCAGGTATAAAAGCCGATACAACTTTTCCTGAATTTTTATCCCAAAAAAAAAGTATGGCCTCTCAATTTTACAAGAAAATTTTCATTTCAGGATCCTCCCGTCTACGACCATATCATCGAGCCGGAGACAGATTCGGATTCGAACCCGAGCTCGGGCTCGGACTCTGAGCCAGAGGAGGAGCCGCAAGCGGGACCCGGTCCCAGCACTTCAGGCCCGGCTCCGAGTTTCCAAAACAATTAGAGATCGTAACGTCGTCGACACGCACACACACACAAATCTTTCGAAAATACCGTCTGTTCTTTTGTTAACCGTATTTTGGTTCAAGTCCTGTATTTTACAAGGCTCCCAAACCAATTTTTTTGTTTTATTTTTCCTCTATCAGATCTAAAATCTCGACTTTTCCGTTTCTCGTTGATCATCAGGAACACCATTCCGCTGATTCTCTCTCCCCTTTCGAAACCCCTTCCCTGTATTTTAATACCCTCAATCAGTCCCCAACATTTCTCTGTATTCGATATTTATTCCTGTTGTTTTTTGATGATGTTAACGAATTATTTCTTCATGTGCCCTGTCTTTTCTTCAACATCTCTTCCTGTTATCTATTATATTGTTTTCAAACCAATGTATCTGTATTCAATCGAACTCCCCTCATTCAATGTCTGGCTCCAGGGCTAAGCAATTGGCCGGCTTTTGTCCTGGACTTTGAAACACTTTCAGTATTCCGCTCAGATCCAAACTTTGCAGGCTTTTTAGACTTGGATCAAAGTATCTTGGATCAAAGTTTCAGCCCGATCGGATTATTTACTGATTTGGGCCGAAAAGCACGGGCTTTTGACCAATTTCGATCAATGATCCACATATCTCAGGACTAGATGATCGGATCGGTCTGAAACTTGGTCCCAGTTTACTTCAATCTATGTCCAAGAAGTCTATATAGTTTGAGTTCGATAGGAATATTGTAAGTGATTCAAAAGTCCAGGACAAAGGCTGGCCAATTTCCCAGCCCTTCTGGCTCCATAGAAGAAGAGAAAGCGATCCGAACTCCTCAGCGTGACGTTTTGGTACAAGTAAATGGGATTTGACATTTGACTATTGTTACTGATCCTCAGATCACAAAAATAAATGAAGGGTTTCTCAACAGAACGCGTTTAATTTGTAATGCCCCAATAATAGATCAGACTACTGAAACACGAAATGTTCAGCCAACGTCTTCTGCCAGATTCGGTTCATCTTTTGAAATCTTTCATTTCCACACGGGATTGAAAAAAAAGAAAAAAGCATAGAAAACATTAACTCTCAAGTTCTTGGCATTCAATCCACCAGCTCGCACGTTTTCAGAAGCTAAAGTCCATGACGAACACTTCTGGCGGCTTTGTCATTAGCTGAACGCCTAAAAGATGCAAAATCACCCTGAAACTATTAAATTTACCGAATACCAAGTATAAAAGTGTTCCGGAAATTGTCCTCGTCAGGGTAATCACGTCGAACATAAGTGAGACTAATCTACAATCGAAAATAATTGATCACAAAGAGTTTGTCAAGAATTATTTACCTCAAGTCTTTTGAAAGTTATAAGCAGATTGTAAAACGCCATTTTTTTCGACTGTTGCAGATGAGATCAGACACCTAGTATTGGCTAAGAAGATAGAAAAGGGTAGTCGGCTTATCATTCGCATGTTCACGAGTCCTTCAAAAAGTCCACTCCATTCAACCGGTTTCCGTTCGACGTGCTGGTATCAAAGCGCCGAAAAGGTTCTTCTCCCTTCTTTTTTTTTTTTAAAAAGACCAGACATTTTTAATAAAGGAACGTGCGCATCGTGTCTATCACAAATCAACAGAATCATTGGAGTTCGCTTTTTACATAGATTTGACACGTTGGCGTGCTGTATTTGGGTCTTTGTTTTATGAGAGAATTCTTGAAATAAGAAAATTGGCAGATTCGTCCCTAATTGATGATCTAGATGAATGCAGAGCATGGGTTGAAATACACTGGCTCTACATCCGTGAACACCGTCTTCCTCTCGGATTTTGTGATGAATTGTCTAAAAACGTTGGTTCTCAACGGAGCGCACTTCAAGAAACAGCCATCTTTTCACGTAACAACACTTACTGGGTGACAGAAAACTGATACCAGTCAGCATTCTTCACATTCTCATTCAGTCAGACAAAATCAGACATAACATTTCTGTCCGTATTTTCGTTACTCTTCTTCCTTTTTCAACGTGCCCCATTCTTTCTAATTCTCAAGTGTTCCTGAGGCTGTAATGCGCGTAACATATGCTGTCAAAGACGCAATACGTCGGTTACGTCTGTGTTTGCAGACTGAGATTAGATGACAAAACAACTGCTCCTGAATATCCTAATTTAACGCTCGTTTACTCTTTTTTCCGTTGAATCCGTTCAAAATGTTTGTTTTCAGAACTGCATAATTTCAATTGAATAATTTTTCCTGAAACCAAGGCATTCACTCGGAAGCCACTCAGTTTTACCCGATTTTCTTTAGTTTTTTGTTTTCTCTTAAAAGCGGTAAGTATTTTGTGTTCATTTTCATATTCCGAAAGCCTTTTTTTCAGATTCCACTCAATGTTGATCGGAGTCCTGGATTTCTCCGAATTTTTCGGAACTTTTCAAAAAATTTGCGCCTACTGCGTCAGAAAGGTGAGTCAAAATCGAGAAAAAAAACATACACTTCACAAAACGCCCAAAAAAAGTCGCGAAGAATCGGCTTTCGGAAAAAAAAATCGTTTGTAATAATAATTTCAGTTCGTGACCTGCTCCAGTTCCTATTCAGCACCTACGCATCTCCGAAACGCGACAACAAAGGACGGAAGGCACGTGGATGAGGAAGCGTCATCCTTTACTGGAGGAACGCACTAAACTGCGTCATCACAGTCTTCTCCAAATTGAAAAAGAGCGCAGGACCCTCGTTTCGAGAGCTCATCACAACGTTTTAAATTTTATTGAATAAATAATATTATTGCAAACAATGATTGGTTCACGACTCACAAATGGACAGTATTGAAGTCCTGGAACACTATGAAGTTCTAAAATGAGTTGGTAGCAGATTATGACACAAAGTCCACTCGAACCTATCTTGTGAGTTTCAATTTGGCGGGCTCAAAACGAACCGTCAATTTGGCGCTTGGAGATCGATGGAAGGACATTCCCGAAGCTCAAAGGTGTCATTCTGAATCTGCATCACGAGATGGTGCTGAGGCGAAAGGATGCCAACACACCAGCAAAGGATATCTTTCTCCGGCAGTATCCGGACTGCGACTGCTTCCGCGAAAAAACCACAGACCCCGGACTCTGCGGAATGTTTTGCACTTTCTTCCCACTTTCCTGAACCCCGCCAGATTCTGTTCAATCCATTCTGAGCAGAATGTACTTTTCCGTGTTGTTGGAGCGATACGGAGCAGTATAATGGCTCCCTCGTGATAACCACGAGGATTAAGAAGTGATGTGGGAAATGATGTGGATAGGTTTCTTTGGCCGCAAGCGGGTTCTGATAACCTCACATCATTCGTTGTTTTCCAATCACCACTTTTTTGCTCTTTGCTCAAGATCTCATGATCATAGAGCACTTTTTTTTCAAAGTACACAATGAACTTTTTCCTCTTGAAAGTGCACCTAATTAGTACATGCAAATGTCATTCAACCGGTGCGAAGAGAGCCCGCTGCCCGTGCCAGCACGTGCCTGGTGGAGCAGAGAGTGAGAGCGGGCGGATTAGTGAAGTGAAGTGTGATGATATCTTCTCTGATGTTTAACCAAAAAAGGAATGTTGATTAATAAACAAAAGAGGAACAACACAACAAAATTGGATTTAATCCGATTTTAATCATGTCGATTCTTGGGCCCCAGAACTTTGACAGAATCTACCGTTGAATTCCGGCTCACTAATAATGCTTCTTGTGTGACGTTTTGCTCTAATCATCTCCAACATTCATGCTTCACTGGCTTCGCGATGATCACGTGCCTACTCGTTACTTGGAAGCCGTAAACATCGAAGTGGGCGGAGCCTGCTGAAAGTATAAAATCAACGCCGGAGAAGCTTAGCTATGTATTCGCCTTTTTAGGAGCGCATTGCGCTCCACCTCCCACGGCGACCAAAAGTGTAGAAAGGGGCGTAGAAAAGTTTTAAAAAGTTATGCAATTACATCGTCGAAATCGTACAAAATTTGGGTAATTTTTGACGAATAACATGAAAAATGGGGTTAAATTTCGAATTTCGCGCCAAAATGGTGATAAACCGTGCACGCTAGGCCACGCCCCTTTCTACGTTTTTGGTCGCCGTGCCTCCTATTTTCTCTACTATTTTATGATATTATAACTATCGTTGCTTTTTCTTCATTTCTTTGAAGTGTAAGTTTTTCGTTAACAAACTTGTCGAAAAACAACAATCACAAAACGATTCTAAAATGCTGAACATTTTTTAATTTTAGTTCTATCTTATTTTTGTGACAATCAATATCTTCGAAACCATGAATTCTGTGATTGTCAAATGTTCTCTTCTTCCTCAATCCTGTGTATATGTAGTTATTTGAAGCCAGAAAAAGTTAATGGAACACTTCAAAGTTTGAAGTTGCACATTGCTATTTTTCAGAATTCTAAAGACATGCAACATGCACAAGTTTTGCTTGTTTGGATTCGGTCATGAGCTGATATTGGGCCCATTTTATCTACGGTGAGCAAATTGTCCATTTCCCCACTTAAAATTAGAAGCCAGCTTGAGAGTAGGGGGCCAGTAGAGACACTTTCTTAATTACAAATATACCCCCGGCACAAAAAAATTATTTTTCAATTCCAGTAATATATCATACTGAAATTTATCAACATAATGGTGCTGATAATCTCTATCTGCCTCAAACGTCGACTATTCACGGATCCTGTGTATGTTTTTTCAAAGCTACAAGACAGTTCTAACGTTAAACATTTTCAGTCGGAAACTAAGCATTAGCAAACATCAGAACGCTAAAGATCTGCGCTATGCCCTAGATTTTGCTTTCTCAGATTTAATCCTTAATATTCTCACGTAAGTCTGGATAGAGCCAACTTCTAAATAACCACTGTAAGCATCAATTGCTTTCAGGATATTTGTCAATCCGAAGAAAACTCTAGGAGCCCTCCGACGGTGCGGAGTTCTGTTCAAGCGGAAACGGACATAGGATTCAACCGAATTCGATCAAAGTGTTTGTTTTTAAATAATAAAGTCTTTAAAAATGGAATGCGTTCAAAGTGTCACCCATAAACTCAAGTGGTTATTGAGTTTTTCTCGTTCGTTTCGCTGATTGATGCGATTGACTTCTCCAGCATTCAACCAAATTAAAACCAAATGATATTCGTGTCATTAAAGTTTACCCGTCGCTCTGTTCTTCCCCTCTGACTGCAAACAGAACAAGGACGTGCGTCTCTAGCCGACGGGCTCTCTCTTTCTCTCCGTCTCCCCACCGCACGAACTCTCTCGCAGCATTATGCAAGGGCGCTCCAGTGGAATGGCGGAAACGGACACATCCCGACGAATAATTCACCAACTCCTTGGCCGCTCACCTTATGAAAAGGCAACATTTTGCTCGTTCATCATACTTTTTTTTCCTTTTTTTATAATTGTAGTAGACGCTTATCTCTGTCACTGGCTAAGAAAACAGTGCTAATTTTTATTGATATTTTACAAAAGGATTACTTGGAATCGGAGAATGTGTCGCCTCAGCAGCCGACGAAAGCGATCGAAAAACACTCAAACAGGAACCTCCCACTCAACAAGGCGACTTTATTCCAAATTGCAGTGTGTCAGTTTCCCAGAAATATACAATATCGTTTCAGAACTGATAGCAAACCGTTGGCGCCAACGAAAACAAACGAAGCGAAGCCGTCGGCGAAGGACATTTATTTATCAAAAAGCAAATACGTTCCGGGTACAGTAATCGGACTGCGCGCTCTTTTTTCTGTCAATGTGTTCTGTAAATGCAATCGTTCAGGTCAAACGACGAAGGAAGTTTCTTCTTCGAATCAGAATCAGATAATGACGACGAACGGCCTGACGGGCGCCACGAAAACGACGACTTTCAGCGCAAAGAAGGAGGGGCGGACGGCCGTTCAGACAAGGTTTTAGTACGCGTACGGTTCGTCGTTTTGTTCTCTTCTCGGCTGTCCTTTGGTTGCTCACTTGAGGAAACGGATCCACATTTAAGTGAAATTGAAAAAAACCGAGTGAGAACAGTGTGCTGGAGAAAAGCGGGAGCAAGGAAAATGAGGACGGTAGATTACTATAATCAAATTAGAATTACGGTACTCTAAAACGGTTGAATAATTTAAAAATCACACATGAAAATCTAGAAAAAAAAGGAGACGGGCTTAATTCTTAGAACCGAGATATTAGCAGCGGACATCGTCGAATCAGCAACCACTGAATGCAAATTATAAAAATTCTAAAGAATGAACACGGAAAAAGCTATAAATAAAATGATTTTAAAAAAAGGAGGAGGGACTAATCAGAGCACCACAATGAAGTGAAATTGGAGGAAAAAAAGTATATCATGGGGCAGATTATTGCGGCTGATCAAAAGTGAACATGGGACAAAATTGGTATCTAGACAACAAAAAGTGCAGTTTACGCATCCGTACAGTCTGTTGACATCTCTTTGGATTCGGATGGCTTCTGGAATCAAATCTGATAGGAATAAATTAGAACGGTGGAATGAAACTTGCCTCTGGCGTGGATGGCATCGGATCCATCGGTATGCCGGCCTCTTCTTCACCAGTACTGGGGACGACGACTGGGATCGTGGGAGCTGCCTCCACGACTTTATCGATCTCCATATCGACCACATCCGTGTTGTCTTCACCTTCTTCCACGCGCACGGCAACAGCAAGCTTCTCTGGGGGTTTGGCGATATCTTCCTCTTCCGACTGATTCTGTAATAGTTTTCGATCAAGTGTTAGGAACAGTATAATTTCTCAACCATAAGCTCATCCTCGAACTCTTCCATTTTCTGAATCGGTGCCTCTTTTGCAATTAATTCTTCAATGTCTTTCATCTCATCCGTAGAACCTCGTTTGATCTGAATTCCATCGGTATCACTGAAGCAATCGACTACAAAACTAACGACTTGTTTGACTTCCTTGCCGACGACACGAACAATACTTCCAGTCGTACCCGTCAGAATCAGATCCCCAAAGAATGACTGTTCGCAAAGTTTGGCAAAGTTTACGGTTTTTAAAAATTGGCATGGACCCCTGGACGGTCACGGGTACGCGGCAATTTTTAAAAATTGGCATAGACCCCTTGACGGTCACGGGTACGCGGCAATTTTTAAAAATTGACATAGACCCCTTGACGGTCACGGGTACGCGGCAATTTTTTAAAATTGCTCGTAACATATGCTGTCAAAGACGCAATACGTCGGTTACGTCTGTGTTTGCAGACTGAGATTAGATGACAAAACAACTGCTCCTGAATATCCTAATTTAACGCTCGTTTACTCTTTTTTCCGTTGAATCCGTTCAAAATGTTTGTTTTCAGAGCTACATAATTTCAATTGGATAATTTTGCCTAAAACTAAGGCATTCACTCGGATGCCACTCCCTGTTTTCCCGATTTTCTTTAGTTTTTTGTTTTGTCTTAAAAGCGGTAAGCATTTTGTGTTCATTTTCATATTCCGAGAGCGTTTTTTTTTAGATTCCACTCAATGTCGATCGGAGTCCTGGATTTTTCTGAATTTTTCGGAAATTTCCAAAAAATTTGCGCGTACTGAGTCAGAAAGGTGAGTCAAAATTGAGAAAAAACCACAGACTTCACAAAACGCCCAAAAAAAAGCAGCGAAGAAGCGGCTTTCGAAAAAAAATAGTTTGTAATAATAATTTCAGTTCGCGACCTGCTCCAATTCCTCTTCAGCACCTACGCATCCCCAAAACGCGACAACAAAGGACGGAAGGCCCGTGGATGAGGAAGCGTCATCCTTTCCTGGAGGAACGCACTAAACTGCGTCGTCACAGTCTTCTCCAAATTGAAAAAGAGCGCAGGACCCTCGTTTCGAGAGCTCATCACAACGTTTTTAATTTTATTGAATAAATAATATTATTGCAAAGAATGATTGGTTCACGACTCACAAATGGGCAGTAATGAAGTCCTGGAACACTATGAAGTTCTAAAATGAGTTGGTAGCAGATTATGACACAAAGTCCACTCGCGCCTATCTTGTGAGTTTTAATTTGGCGGGCTCAAAATGAACCGTCAATTTGGCGCTGTAATCGCAGATGTTGAAGGTACTACGGTTTCAGACGGGGAGGAGCCAACATCATGAAATCGGAGGGACACACGAAAGAGGAGAGAAGGTTCTGCGGACGCTGGAGATCGATGGAAGGCCATTCCCGAAGCACAAAGGTGTCATTCTGAATGCAGAAGCATGAATGCAGATTCCCATGCAGAAGCGATGGGATCCTCAGAAATCGCAAAAGCCTGACGGACGGCCACTTCTTTGTGCACTGCCAGGTTTTCAGAGGTGGCGGCCGACGTTATAGACCCGATTCATATGTCTGCGAACTTTTAGATGTTTTTTTTTCAAATGAACACTAAAACAGGTTTGATTTTTAAATGATTTATTGTAGGGGAAAGAATTGAGCCATTCTACCAATTGTCTCCCCAGAAACACCCAACCTTATTTAGGTCTGGGTGTGTCTGGCTGTTTCGGCTCGGATCGAGCTGAGGTTGGCATCGGAGAAGAAGTCCCGGCGGACGAGATGAGGCGAGGAGCGAACCTGCAAAAGCAACATTTCAGAATTTCAATATTAGGGCTGAATGGTTTTCTTGTGATGGAACTTTTTGCACTTTCTCTAATGCTGAACGCTGGAAAATAACGTACAACATGATGTTTCGGATTGTTTTGTCCTGGAGAGAAGAGAGTCGAATCCGGAAGACTGGCTGTATGCGAATGAATTTCCTGGCCGAGCGGAGCGCTTTTATTTCCGAATTTTTGGTGCTGATCTTTTTATTATTCCGATCAGCGATAAAAAATGGAAGAAAAACGGAACACCCCTCTCCCATTTTTATGTATTTTCTGGAGAACGGACAGAAATGCACGTTTGTTTCGCAGGTGATCAGAAAACAAGCGCGGGGGGCCGTTCGGAATACCTGCGTCGGCCGCCGTATCCAAAAACCTGACAGTAAAGTACAAACGTGAGAATAGCGAGAAAGATAGTAGGATTATCTCGCACGTCTTACAAAACATGCATAACATAGACGTGCTCAACTCGGAGATTCAGCATACATACAGATTTAAGCATGTTACCATACTTTTCCTCTGTATATTGGGTCCAAGTTACAGACCGACCGGACTATCGACTCGGTGTTGAATGATTGCATTCGAAATCGAAAATCCTCCAGCTCCTTATTTTGAATCCTCTTGGCACGGTGTCATGACGTTTCGAAATCCCAATCGTTCTTTCCTATCAGAGCCCTTTGTCGGCGTCCTTATCACTAATCTCCAACGGTAATTGAGTCGATTGCTTTGAAATTTGCCGCAAATCCGCTTGAAGTTGAAATGCTGAAATCTGTGTAAATGCTGAATCTCCGAGTTGAGCACGTCTATGTTATGCATGTTTTGTAAGACGTGAGAGATAATCCTACTATCTTTCTCGCTATTCTCACGTTTGTACTTTACTGTTAGGTTTTTGGATACGGCGGCCGACGCAGGTATTCCGAACGGCCCAAGCGCTCGTTTTCTGATCACCTGCGATGCAAACGTGCATTTCTGTCCGTTCTCCAGAAAATACATAAAAATGGGAGAGGGGTGTTCCGTTTTTCTTCCATTTTTTTATCGCTGATCGGAAAAATAAAAAGATCAGCATCAAAAATTCGGACATAAATGCGCTCCGCTCGGCCAGGAAATTCATTCGCATCAAACCAGTCTTCCGGATTCGACTCTCTTCTCTCCAGGACAAAACAATCCGAAACATCATGATGTAAGTTATTTTCAAGCGTTCAGCATTAGAGAAAATGCAAAAAGTTCCATCACGAGAAAACCGTTCAGCCCTAATATTCAAATTCTGAAATGTTGCTCTTGCAGGTTCGCTCCTCGCCTCATCTCGTCCGCCGGGACTTCTTCTCCGATGCCAACCTCAGCTCAATCCGAGCCAAAACAGCCAGACACACCCAGACCTAAGTAAGGTTGGGTGAATCTGGGGAGACAATTGGTAGAATCGCTCAACTTTTTCTCCAGCAGTAAATCATTTAAAAATCAAACCTGTTTTAGTGTTTATTTGAAGAAAAACGTCTAAAAGTTCGCAGACATATGAATCGAATCAACACAGAGTCGATAGTCCGATTGGTCTGTAAGTTGGACCCAATATACAGGGGAAAAGTATGGTAACATGCTTAAATCTGTGTGTATGCTGAATCTCCGAGTTGGCCTTGCGCAACTGTCTTGTTACATCCAGTCTTGACATCCTGCTTCTCCTCAAGAGACTCACGGAGCTATACTGGTTTTTTGGGCAGACGGACTTTCCAGACCCGTCGCTGATCGATATCGATTGCAGACGTTTCTTTTTCGCCGTTCCACTCCCTTTCGCTTTCCGTTCTATTCGCAGATTTGCTTCTTCTATTGCGAAGCATTGCCAGCGGTAAGATCAGGGCAATCAGAAGCTCAACGAAAATGTGGTGCAGGTCGCCCGCTCATTTCGTCTGACGGTACCCAATTCACCGATTCTCCAGAGTCAGCAAAAAATTTGGTGATTAGTGAGTTTTGTGTGAGCGTAGCACCTTCGAACCATGTTATTTATAGCAAGACTGCCCGTCTACTGCTTCGGGATAGTATCCAGCAAGCTCAGCTCAAAAGTGATATTGTGTGCTATCAGCTGGCTAATTTCGAGCTGCACTCGACTCTTGTAGCGCTGGGAATTAACGCATTGCTCGAGTACAAGTGAGACGGTAACAATCTTTGTTGCCTTCCGCATAATTTCACTCATTTTTTCAGAAACTGAAGAAAACAGAGAGGAAGATCCGCGTGTGCCGAGAAGAACGCTGAAGCACATCGACAAGTGACTTCTCTCGGACCTCGAGACATCTTGTCCTAGCACTATTCAACACGAAATTTTCAGATACAAGATTCAAATGGCCGAAGTGCTGGTCTACCACACATCCCGCTGGCTCAGATCGTCGCCAGTCTCTCCCAATTCAGATTCCTGGACATTTCGAGCACGTGCGTCTCCGACATCACTTGCATTTCGAGATTCCGCAACCTCGAAGTGCTCATCATGCACTATCTGAACATTCTGAAGGGCGAAGTCACCGAGACGCAATACGTTCCCCTTCGGGGCAACCGGTTTTTCTTTCATGGTACTGCCTGCGGAATACTGTAAAAGAACTTTCAAAAAATACTATTGTGCAAGGCGTAATTTCAAGTCCTCCGGCCACCGGCCTGGGACCGCATCGTTTGTAATTTAAAGAAACACGGCACATTCTGATTGCCCAGCCTTAAGAGTTTCAGGGTTTCCAATTTGAACACTTTGAACACTTGAACACTCTTTCGCTTTCCGCAAAATCGTCATAGGAATCGCACATAAATTTTCGGTTTATCACAGTGTTTATGCATTCCGGTCACGTAGCCCAAACATCTCGACCATTTTCCTTGTATAAAAGGAGCGCTGGCTGCTCGGAAGTTACAGCAGCAAAGCAACTGAGAAAGTAAGTTACCTTGGTCTTCTCGCAAGGGAAAAAGTTATATTTTCAGCTTCCTGCCTACAATGATCAACCAATCGACCGCTCATCACGGAGGGGATCCAGATCCTGAGCCGTACGTTCCGACACCAATTCCCAAGTAATTGGATCGGCCGCTGAATAAATCATTCCAAAAATGCACTTCTGAAACACAAAAAGAACACATTGTCACTGTAATTCGAGAACTGACCTTCGCCATCTTTTTCTTGTTGTTAAATCACAGAAGACGGAACATTCTTCCACGTGTTCCTGAGAATCGATTAACTTATTTTCTTCCGGCTCACTCGGATTGTCGTCGTCTTCTTTTTCGTTCTTGATAGCTGTCGTGTCCATGTTTCATTCCGATTTGAAAGTGATTGCAATCGCTAGACATATTTTTAGTGAGGTGGTCATTCCAGTGAGTTCGAGAAGCAGAATAGGATACAACAACATCAACCTCGCGATGGAAGACGAGTTCTCCACCAACCGCCACGGCAGAGCCTGCATCTGCATGCATTCAAGAAAAGTTTCAGGCAAAAACTATAGTTTCGAGCTCTACATTGTTTCTCTTCTCGAGTCACTCTTCCATCAGAGTTTTTATTGTTCTCATTTAGAATTCTGAGTTCTCGTCGTAATCTTGCGAGGGTGGTTCAAACAGCTGTGCGCAGAATGTGTCAGCCGATCCATAAGTGCGTCAGTAACCGTGACCCCCCCCCCGCCAATTTCAAACGGTCCATATTGATCTTACTCATTTTTTTTTATGTTTACACTAAAATTCTGCAATTATTAAGCACACTTTGATTGTTTCAGAGTTCGAGGAGAACCACAACCGTCGTCGCGATGATTCCAATGTCTCAAACACGTCCAGCCGCCGCAGCTCGTCAAACGACAGTACTCTGTTGCTCCACGACCAAAACACGGACAACTACGGAGTGGTGCCCACGAGCCATCCCAGCCAACACATGCCCTCCATCATCTGGACCTTCTTTCTCATGTTCAAGTGGGACGTTATCACTGCGATGTTTGTCAAGCTGCTCTCGGATATCCTTCTCTTCTGCAACCCAATGCTGTTGAAATCGCTTCTTCAGTTCACGGAACACTTGGAAAGACCGATGTGGCGAGGATTCGTTCTCGCGTTCACCATGTTCGGATCGGCTGAGCTTTCATTCATCCTTCTCTCCCACTTCCTCTGCCTGATGTATCGAGTCGGAACTCATGTACAGACGTGTCTCACATCCGCTGTTTATCGCAAAGTACCCTCTCTTCCACTCGGCGAATATAAATGTTACCTCTATTTTCCAGACGCTCCGTTTGTCGAACGCCGCGCGTCATTAACGAGACACTGGAAAATGATGTTGCCAACAACGTAGCCGACATTAAGAGGTTCAAAGAGGATAACGAATTCGAAGGTAAGTTGACTGCCGAAAATTGCATTCCCGACGCAATGACTCCGGCAAATGTGGTCTCGTCGAGTAGCATGGAGGATGTGTACAAAGTCTTCTTAAGAATAATGATTGATATTCGCGAAGCGATTGCAGAGGTATCAGAAAATCATTACTACCTAAACTAAACTATAAAACAAATATAATTCCAGAAAGCGAACCGGATAAATAAAAACCCCGCGTCTGAAGATAATACTCAAGCAGCGCTGAACAAACTAGTCGCCTCTATGGATGGATGGTTTAGACTTATGAAAGTACGATTGGGAAGAAGCAATCCCAATCGTACTTTCCCATCAGACCTCTTTGTCGGCGTCCTTATCACTAATCTTTCCCGGTAATCAAGAACGCAGGAATAACAGCTTCAAGCGGATTTGTGGCGAATTTCAAAGCAATCGACTTAATTACAGACGGAGATTAGTGATAAGGACGCCGACAAAGGGCTCTGATGGGAAAAAACGATTGGGATTTCAAAGCTTCATGGCACTGTGCCACAGTATGCAACATAACTGGGAGAGTGTTTCAACATCATTGCATCCCATACAGAAGCGATGGGATCCTCAGAAATCGCAAAAGCCTGACGGACGGCCACTTCTTTGTGCACTGTCAGGTTTTCAGAGGTGGCGGCCGACGTAAAAGACCTGATTCATATGTCTGCTTACACGTTTTTCTTCAAATAAACACTAAAACAGGTTTGATTTTTAAATTATTTATTGCAGGGGAAAAAATTGAGCGATTCGACCAATTGTCTCCCCAGACACACCCAACCTTACTTAGGTCTGGGTGTGTCTGGCTGTTTCGGCTCGGATTGAGCTGAGGTTGGCATCGGAGAAGAAGTCCCGGCGGACGAGATGAGGCGAGGAGCGAACCTGCAAAAGCAACATTTCAGAATTTCAATATTAGGGCTGAATGGTTTTCTTGTGATGGAACTTTTTGCATTTTCTCTAATGCTGAACGCTTGAAAATGACTTACAACATGATGTTTCGGATTTGTCCTGGAGAGAAGAGAGTCGAATCCGGAAGACTGGCTGGATGCGAATGAATTTCCTGGCCGAGCGGAGCGCTTTTATTTCCGAATTTTTGGTGCTGATTTTTTTATTATTCCGATCAGCGATAAAAAATGGAAAAATAACGGAACACCCCTCTCCCATTTTTATGTATTTTCTGGAGAACGGACAGAAATGCACGTTTGCATCGCAGGCGATCAGAAAACGAGCGCTTGGGCCGTTCGGAATACCTGCGTCGGCGGCCGTATCCAAAAACTTGAGTCTAATGACGGCTGACGACAGACTGATTATTGTTTTTTTGCAGATAACGACATCATTGCCTTTAACGACTCCACGCTGTCCTGGGCTATCGAGAACAAGCCGGTGCCATGTCTCCACAGAATCTCCTTCTCAGTCAACCGCGGACAATTTTTCACCATTGTCGGACGCGTCGGAGCAAGACATCGATGCTCCAAGCGTTGATGGAAGAACGTGAGAATAATTCTGGAAGTATCTCTATGCACGGACATCTTTGCTATGTGTCCCAACAGCCGTGAATGCAAAACAATGCGCTTCGCCAGAGCATTACATTCGGAAAGCAATTCGATGAGTACTTCTACTCTCGTGTCCTCGTCACCTGTGTTCTTTACCGTGACCTCTAAATTCTTCCAATCTGAGATAGGACGGAGATTGAAGAGAAGGGAATCAACATGTCCGGTGGTCAGAAGGCCCTCATATCACTCGCGCGTGCCGTCTACCAGAACCATGACATCTACCTACTTCGACAGTGCCGTGGATGCTCATGTTGGAAGCCAGCTGCTCAATTCTGTGATTGGACCCGAAGGAATGCTCCACAACAAGACCCGCATCCTGGTGACGAATAAGCTGTCGTTCTTGGAAAAGGCGGATCTGATCATGGTGATAAAGGATGGAAGGATTGAGTTTGAGGGAAAGTACGAAGAGCTAATGCAGCAAGATGCTTTCGAGCAATTACTGATCGAGTGCCAGCAAGTCGACCAGTAGCGGCGTGAAAGTCGGCTTTTAACTGACGATGACGATGACACCTCGGAGCCAGGTGGCATCATGATTGAAGGAGATTCGGGCTTTGAGTACGATGATAATGTGATGACGTCGCCGATCATTGATCACGTGCTCGGAACCAGTCACATGTCCACCGTCTCGGGAATCATCAACCGCCGCCGCATCAGCACGTCCACCCAGAAACAGCGCCACCGTCTCTCCACCACTAAATCCACCGCCCCATCGATTGTGTCGGTTTACATGACGTCTCGCCAAGTCACAGGAACCGAGCGTGTCGAGACTGGACGCGTCAAGATGGATACCTACCAGAAGTACTTTGGAGCCATGGGAATGTCTATCGCCGTCATTTTTGTGTTTGGAATGACCACGAGTACGGTTTTGTCGATGGGAAGGAGCTTGTGGCTGACGGATTGGTCAAACGACTTTCTGGATCCTCTCGCGCTGGAACCAACGCCACTGGAAACAGTATTGGAGTCCGTCTAGGAGTGTACGCTGGCCTCGGATTTTCGGAAAGTGAGTTTTCCCGCCACGTGCGTCCTCAGAACGTCATTCTTTCTTTTCAGTTATCCTTCTCTTCATCGGAATGCTGTCCCTGCTCTACGGAAGAGTATCAAAGGTAGCAGAAAATCATTACTACCTAAACTTAACCATAAAACAAATATAATTCCAGAAAGCGAACCGGAAAAATGAAAACCCCGCGTCTGAAGATAATACTCAAGCGGCGCTGAACAAACTAGTCGCCTCTATGGATGGATGGTTTAGACTTATGAAAGTACGATTGGGAAGAAGCAATCCCAATCGTTCTTTCCCATCAGACCTCTTTGTCGGCGTCCTTATCACTAATCTCCCCCGGTAATCAAGAACGCAGGAATTTCAGCTTCAAGCGGATTTGCGGCAAATTTCAAAGCAATCGACTTAATTACCGTTGGAGATTAGTGATAAGAACGCCGACAAAGGACTCCGATGGGAAAAAACGATTGGGATTTGGAAACGTCATGGCACCGTGCCACAGTATGCACCAGAGTTGAGCGGAATTCCGTCTTCCGTCTTCCGTCTTCCGTCTTCCGTCTTCCGTCTTTCGTCTGCCGTCTTCCGGATTTCAAAATTCCATTTCCGCTCAACTCTGGTATGCGCCATAACTAGGAGAGTGTTTCAACATCATTGGATCCCATACAGAAGCAATGGGATCCTCAGAAATCGCAAAAGCCTGACGGACGGCCACTTCTTTGTGCACACTGCCAGGTTTTCAGAGGTGGCGGCCGACGTAATAGACCCGATTCATATGTCTGCGAACTTTTAGACGTTTTTCTTCAAATAAACACTAAGCAGGTTTGATTTTTAAATGATTTAATGCAGGGGAAAGAATTGAGCAATTCGACCAATTGTCTCCCCAGACACACGCAACCTTACTTAGGTCTGGGTGTGTCTGGCTGTTTTGGCTCAGATTGCGCTGAGGTTGGCATCGGAGATGAAGTCCCGGCGGACGAGCTGAGGCGAGGAGCGAACCTGCAAGAGCAACATTACAGAATTTGAATAGGTATCAACGGAGCGCGAGGGAAAATCAATTTCCATTCGACCCAGCGGAAGATCGAGGAAACTTGTTCCATTTCGTGTGGAACAGTTAAGCAGGAATTCTCCTTGCAAGGAGAACTAGCGGAAGAAGCAACGTTCGATGCGTCTGGACTTCGGGATCGGTTTGCGGAATTCACTCAGAAGATCGGGGAAGGAGGAATTTTCGACTTCATCACGGGAAAGATAGCTGCCGTTTGGAGCACCATCACTTCATGGATCGGCTCGGGAATCGTCATCATGGTTGTGCTGGTTATCGGAGGAGTATGTTGTGTCCAGTGTGTCGGAGGAACGTCGGTTGGCTGGCGTTACATTCCCTTGGCCCGGGAGTGTCGCAGATCGCGATATCGACGACGGAGGAGATGATCAATGACCACAGAACAGAGCATTCCCATCGACTCTCACGATAATAATAACCATCCCCATTCCTCACCGTTCCCAGGCACATTCACGGTGATTCGATTAGCGGAACTCCGTTAAATACCCCGGAATCGCTCTTCTCAGGATATTCTCTTCTATTCTTTCTTCTACTTTCTACATTCTTCGACTTCTACGATTCCTTCCGAATAAATCGTTACACCATAGCCCGCACCTGTTTGTACAACAAATGGACAGTATTGAAGTCCTGGAACACTATGAAGTTCTAAAATGAGCTGGTAGCAGATTATGACACAAAGTCCGCTCGGACCTATCCTGTGAGTTGCAATTTGGCGGGCTCAAAACGAACCGTCAATTTGGCGCTGTAATCGCAGATGTTGAAGTTACTACGGTTTCAGACGGAGAGGAGCCAACATCATAAAATTGGAGGGACACACAAAAGAGGAGAGAAGGTTCTGCGGACGCTGGAGATCGATGGAAGGACATTCCCGAAGCTCAAAGGTGTCATTCTGAATGTGCATCACGAGATGGTGCTGAGACGAAAGGATGTTACAAAGAGGATGCCAACACACCAGCAAAGGATATCTTTCCGGCAGCATCCGGACTGCGACTGTCTCCGCAAAAAAACCACAGACCCCGGACTCTGCAGAATGTTTTGCACTTTTTTCCCACTTTCCTGAACCCCGCCAGATTCTGTTCAATCCATTCTGAGCAGAATGTCCTTTTCCGTGTTGTTGGAGCAGTATAACGGCTCCCTCGTGATAACCACGAGGATTGTGAAGTGATGTGGGAAATGATGTGGATAGGTTGCCTTGGCTGCAAGTGGGTTCTGATAACCTCACATCATTCGTTGTTTTCCAATCACCACTTTTTTGCTCTTTGCTCAACATCTCATGATCATAGAGCACTTTTTTTTCAAAGTACACAATGAACTTTTCCCTCTTGAAAGTGCACCTAATTAGTACATGCAAATGTCATTCAACCGGAGCGAAGAGAGCCCGCTGCCCGTGTCAGCACGTGCCTGGTGAAGCAGAGAGTGAGAGCGGGCGGATTAGTGAAGTGAAGTGTGATGATATCTTCTCTGATGTTTAACCAAAAAGGGAATGTTGATTAATAAACAAAAGATGAACAACACAACAAAATTGGATTTAATCCGATTTTAATCATGTCGACTCTTGGGCTCCAGAACTTTGACAGAATCTACCGTTGAATTCCGGCTCACTAATAATGCTTCTTGTGTGACGTTTTGCTCTAATCATCTCCAACATCCATGCTTCACTGGCTTCGCGATGGGCACGTGCCTACTCGTTACTCAGAAGCCGTAAACATTGAAGTGGGCGGAGCCTGCTGATTTCTTTGAAGTGTAAGTTTTTCGTTAACAAACTTGTCGAAAAACAACAATCACAAAACGATTCTTCAAAACGATTCTAAAACGCTGAACATTTTCTAATTTTAGTTCTATCTTATTTTTGTGACAATCAATATCTTCGAAACCATGAATTCTGTGATTGTCAAATGTTCTCTTCTTCCTCAATCCTGTGTAAATGTAGTTATTTGAAGCCAGAAAAAGTTAATGGAACACTTCGAAGTTTGAAGTTGCACATTGCTATTTTTCAGAATTCTAAAGACATGCAACATGCACAAGTTTTGCTTGTTTGGATTCGGTCATGAGCTGATATTGGGCCCATTTTATCTACGGTGAGCAAATTGTCCATTTCCCCACTTAAAATTAGAAGCCAGCTTGAGAGTAGGGGGCCAGTAGACACACTTTCTTAATTACAAATATACCCCCGGCACAAAAATTATTTTCAATTCCAGTAATATATCATACTGAAATTTATCAACATAATGGTGCTGATAATCTCTATCTGCCTCAAACGTCGACTATTCACGGATCCTGTGTATGTTTATTCAAAGCTACAAGACAGTTCTAACGTTAAACATTTTCAGTCGGAAACTAAGCATTAGCAAACATCAGAACGCTAAAGATCTGCGCTATGCCCTAGATTTTGCTTTCTCAGATTTAATCCTTAATATTCTCACGTAAGTCTGGATAGAGCCAACTTCTAAATAACCACTGTAAGCATCAATTGCTTTCAGGATATTTGTCAATCCGAAGAAAACTCTAGGAGCCCTCCGACGGTGCGGAGTTCTGTTCAAGCGGAAACGGACATAGGATTCAACCGAATTCGATCAAAGTGTTTGTTTTAAATAATAAAGTCTTTAAAAATGGAATGCGTTCAAAGTGTCACCCATAAACTCAAGTGGTTATTGAGTTTTTCTCGTTCGTTTCGCTGATTGATGCGATTGACTTCTCCAGCATTCAACCAAATTAAAACCAAATGATATTCGTGTCATTAAAGTTTACCCGTCGCTCTGTTCTTCCCCTCTGACTGCAAACAGAACAAGGACGTGCGTCTCTAGCCGACGGGCTCTCTCTATCTCTCCGTCTCCCCACCGCACGAACTCTCTCGCAGCATTATGCAAGGGCGCTCCAGTGGAATGGCGGAAACGGACACATCCCGACGAATAATTCACCAACTCCTTGGCCGCTCACCTTATGAAAAGGCAACATTTTGCTCGTTCATCATACTTTTTTTTCCTTTTTTTATAATTGTAGTAGACGCTTATCTCCGTCACTGGCTAAGAAACCAGTGCTAATTTTTATTCATATTTTACAGAAGGATTACTTGGAATCGGAGAATGTGACGAAAGTTATTGAAAGACACTCAAACAGGAACCTTCCACTCAACAAGGCGACTTTATTCAAAAAGTGCAGTGTGTCGGTTTCGGAACTGATAGCAAACTGTTGGCACCAACAAAAACGAACAAAGCGAAGCCGTCGGCGAAGCACATTTATTTAGCGAAAAGCAAATACGTTCCGGGTACAGTAATCGGACTGCGCGCGCTTTTTTCTGTCAATGTGTTCTGTAAATGAAATCGTTCAGGCCCATTGACGAAGGAAGTTTCTTCTGCGAATCGCGGCTGATCAAAAGTGAACATGGGACAAAATTGGTATCTAGACAACAAAAAGTGCAGTTTACGCATCCGTACAGTCTGTTGACGTCTTTTCCGATTCGGATGGCTTCTGGAATCAAATCTGATAGGAATAAATTAGAACGGTGGAATGAAACTTGCCTCTGGCGTGGATGACGTCGGATCCATCGGTATGTCGGCCTTTTCTTCACCAGTACTGGGGACGACGACTGGGATCGTGGGAGCTGCCTCTTCGACTTCATCGATTTCCATATCGACCACATCCGTGTTGTCTTCACCTTCTTCAACAGCAAGCTTCTCTGGGGGTTTGGCGATATCTTCCTCTTCCGACTGATTCTTGTTTGACTTTCTTGCCGACGACACGAACAATACTTCCAGTCGTATCCGTCAGAATCACATCCCCAAAGAATGACTGTTCGCAAAGTTTGGCAAGTGGACGGTCACGGGTACGCGGCAATTTTTAAAAATTGCGCGTAACATATGCTGTCAAAGACGCAATACGTCGGTTACGTCTGTGTTTGCAGACTGAGATTAGATGACAAAACAACTGCTCCTGAATATCCTAATTTAACGCTCGTTTCCTCTTTTTTCCGTTGAATGCGTTCAAAATGTTTGTTTTCAGAGCTACATAATTTCAACTGGATAATTTTTCCTGAAACCATCGCATTCACTCGGATGCCACTCCCTGTTTTCCCGATTTTCTTTAGTTTTTTTTGTTTTTCTTAAAAGCGGTAAGCATTTTGTGTTCATTTTCATATTCGGAGATCTTTTTTTTTAAGATTCCACTCAATGTCGATCGGAGTCCTGGATTTTTCTGAATTTTTCGGAACTTTCCAAAAAATTTGCGCGTACTGAGTCAGAAAGGTGAGCCGAAATCGAGAAAAAAAAAACACACACACTTCACAAAACGCCCAAAAAAAGTCGCGAAGAAGCGGCTTTCGGACCGCGCTGCGGGCCCATATCGAAAATCGTTTGAAATGATAATTTCAGTTCGTGACCTGCTCCAGTTCCTCTTCAGCATCTACGCATTTCCGAAACGCGACAACAAAGGACGGAAGGCACGTGGATGAGCAAGCGTCATCCTTGGCTGGAGGAGAGCACTAAACTGTGTGGTCACAATTTTCTCCAAGTTGAAAAAGAACGCCAGACCCTCGTTCCGAGAGCTAATCACAACGTTTTTAATTTTATTGAATAAATAATGTTATTGCAAAGAATTATTGGTTCACGACTCACAAATGGGCAGTAATGAAGTCCTGGAACACTATGAAGTTCTAAAATGAGCTGGTAGCAGATTATGACACAAAGTCCACTCGGACCTATAATACAATTGAACTGTATAAAAAGATCTACAAATCAAAAATAGTCATTTTCAAGGTGTCGTTAAACTTGAAATTCCTTTTTCCGTCTCGTTCCACGTGGAAGGCCGACTTGACTAGGTTAGCACGCCGTCTTGCCTCTTTCTCCTCGACCGTCTCGCTTCCAATCTTTAAGCTTCCAATCTTTTGTGTAGTCCTTGTCCATAGTCTTGATCGACACCATGCACTCTTTGAACTTTTTCTGCAAACGGAATGTGATTAGAAACTTTCTGACTGTCTGGAATTCTCACGTCTTTCTCTTCTGCTTTTTTCTTATCCTTAATATCCGAAATTTCCGAATCGTCCGAGAGAGAGAGAGAGAGAGAGAGATCTGACTTCTTGCATAGCAATGACGTCAGAGGAACAAATAATTTACATTTCTCGCTTTTTTCTTGTTCTTGGCTCCTATTCTCAAGTGTACCCGACTTGTACATTCGTTTGTTCTGAATAACCCCCAAGTGATTCTAAATAATCTCATTTATTAACGAATCTATTGGGGAGCGACTATGCAAAGAGCGCCAAAGTTCCGCCAAAGCATATGTAAAGTGCGTTTCATAAGTATAGGGCCACCCCTAAAATTGAATATATCGTCTTTCCCAAACAAAATACCACTCCAAGACCTTGAAAATCGAAATCAGCATCACAAATAACCCACGGGAAACAATTTTGAGAGCAGTGCATAGGATAGTTGGGGAATGGTGCTGAAATATCTGAAAATGTTGCAACTGCAAGCGTTTTATAAGAATAGGGCCACCCCTGAAAACACTCCGGAAGCCTCTTAAAGTGATAAGCATTTTTGAAATCATGTGCAATGACCCCGACGCCACCTAGGGCCACTCTCCCAGGTTTAGCCTCATGTTCTGTGTGGAGCTCGGGAGTGGAGCCGGGGAACTCCGATGATCTCAAATGAGTCAAATCTTGTTTGAAACAAATTTTTTTGAGCATTTTCAAGTCAATTTTGTTAAAGCATGTCGGAGCTCTAATACGTGATATCAGATTTTTGGCCAAAATGAAACCAAGCCCAACAAGGATCAGACTGGCTTGAGCGTCAAACTCCAGGCTGACATTGCCCACTTTTAGGACTTCATAAGGAAGGTTTGAAACATGACATGTTTGAGTTTGGTGTCAATCGAATCAGTTTCAACCGAGTTATGAGCTCCTGATTGTTGAAGTGAAGAAAAACAGAGTTTGGCGCTCAAGCCAGTCTGATCCTTGTTGGGCCTGGCTTCATTTTGGCCAAACATCTGATGTCAGGTTCTAGCGAATCGAGAGGCTTGAACGAATCTGGCTTGAACAAATCTGAACAGCGCCCATTTGGTAGCTGTTGTCATGAGAGCAGCGCCCATTTGGTAGCTGCTGTCGCGAGAGCAGCGTCGATTTGGTAGTTGCTGTCGTGAGAGCAGCGCCTATTTGGTAGCTGCTGTCGCGAGAGCAGCGTCGATTTGGTAGCTGCTGTCGCGAGAACAGCGTCGATTTGGTAGTTGCTGTCGTGAGAGCAGCGCCCATTTGGTAGCTGCTGTCGCGAGAGCAGCGTCGATTTGGTAGCTGCTGTCGCGAGAGCAGCGTCCATTTGGTAGTTGCTGTCGTGAGAGCAGCGCCCATTTGGTAGCTGCTGTCGCGAGAGCAGCGTCGATTTGGTAGTTGCTGTCGTGAGAGCAGCGCCCATTTGGTAGCTGCTGTCGCGAGAGCAGCGTCGATTTGATAGTTGCTGTCGTGAGAGCAGCGCCCATTTAGTAGCTGCTGTCGCGAGAGCAGCGTCGATTTGGTAGCTGCTGTCGCGAGAGCAGCGTCGATTTGGTAGTTGCTGTCGTGAGAGCAGCGCCCATTTGGTAGCTGCTGTCATGAGAGCAGCGCCCATTTAGTAGTTGCTGTCGTGAGAGCAGCGCCCATTTAGTAGCTGCTGTCGCGAGAGCAGCGTCGATTTGGTAGCTGCTGTCGCGAGAGCAGCGTCGATTTGGTAGTTGCTGTCGTGAGAGCAGCGCCCATTTGGTAGTTGCTGTCGTGAGAGCAGCGCCCATTTGGTAGCTGCTGTCGCGAGAGCAGCGTCGATTTGGTAGTTGCTGTCGTGAGAGCAGCGCCCATTTGGTAGTTGCTGTCGTGAGAGCAGCGCCCATTTGGTAGCTGCTGTCGCGAGAGCAGCGTCGATTTGGTAGTTGCTGTCGTGAGAGCAGCGCCCATTTGGTAGTTGCTGTCGTGAGAGCAGCGCCCATTTGGTAGCTGCTGTCGCGTGAGCAGCGTCGATTTGGTAGTTGCTGTCGTGAGAGCAGCGCCCATTTGGTAGCTGCTGTCGCGTGAGCAGCGTCGATTTGGTAGCTGCTGTCGCGTGAGCAGCGTCGATTTGGTAGTTGCTGTCGCGAGAGCAGTGTCGATTTTGTAGTTGCTATCGTGAGAGAAGCGCTTATTTGGTAGCTGCTGTCTTAGTTAGATAATACCATAAGAGTTTCTAGAAGAGGCATTTACTGTTGACAGCAGCAAAGTTGAGTGGAATTCCGCCTTTCGCTTTCCGTCTTCACCAAAAGTAGACCTAATTTATCATACTTTCAGTTAGTTTCTGTCAAAATTTCTTTGCGTAATTCCTACTTTTTTTCAGATCGTCTTCCTGGCAGCCAGCCATCACACCAACTCCTCTCCTCTGATTTTGTTTCTTTTTAGTATGTATGCTTCTGTTAAAAGTTCACCGCATAATTTTTTCTGTTCTTCAGCTGATCTCTGTTCACCCGGCATACCCCCTTTCTTCTATTTTTTCTCCGTTCGGTGAGTTCGGTGAGTGGTTATCAATCATCTTCGTAATTCCGGGTTTTTTCCAGATTGTCTCACCTGGCAGCCACCCGGCACACCAACTCTTCTATTATTTTATCGTTGGGCGCCTGGACGAAGTTGCAGTAGATGTCGTTGAGCAGAGATATTCTAGTCCTATGGTAACTGCAACACTACCAAAAAGAAGCTACTGTATCCTTTTCAACTCTTATGTTACTGTAGTACTGTAATTTTAAAAGTTATAGGATTATTGTAGAAAATCCTGTGTCGAAAATCCTTTAACGCTCTTTTTTCGAATGCTTCTGCCACGGTGCCATGACGTTTCGAAATCCCAATCGTTCTTTCCCATCAGAGTCCTTTGTCGGCGTCCTTATCACTAAACTCCCCTGGTAATCAAGACCGCAGGAATTTCAGCTTCAAGCGGATTTGCGGAAAATTTCAAAGCAATCGACTTAATTATCGATTAGTGATGAGGACGCCGACAAAGGGCTCTGATGGGAAAGAACGATTGGGATTTTGAAACGTCATGGCACCGTGCCAAGAGGATTCAGAAAAAGAGTGATAAGGAATTGAAGGATTTCCGATTTCGAATGCAAGCATTCAACACAGAGTCGATAGTCCGATCGGTCTGTAACTTGGACTCAATAGACAGTAGAAAAGTATGGTAACATGTTGAAATCTGTTTGTATGCTGAATCTCCGAGTTGGCCTTGCGCAACTGTCTTGCTACATCCAGTCTTGACATCCTGCTTCTCCTCTAGAGATTCACGGAACTATTCACGCTCCTATGGTACTCCGACAGTTGCGAATAGATGAAGTTTGGCAGCAAGCTTGTTAGCTATCACTTCACCGTTTTGGTTCAGTTTCAGAGCGATTCCAATCGAACTGATTGATTTCCGACCAAAAGCGTGCGTTAGCGTCGGTAAGTCCACGCGGTGCAGCGAGTGGGGCGAACCAAAATGGCGATAAATTTTCCACGTGTCCAACCACTCCATCAACTTCAATGGCAGTTACACCATTCCAAATCTCGCCTCACCGATAGTTGCACAAGGGCAAAGTAACCTATAAAATTGTATAGTTTTAATATTTCTGACCACTTACCAGCAATGAAGTAGAACCCGAGAAGAATGGACATACATAGTGAGCGAAGCGGATGCCTTAGAGCTGTTGAATCCGACAACCAATACAGGCTGAAGAGTCTTTCCGACAATAAAGATGACTCCATCAAAGATCATGTTGAGGAGGAAGGAGGAGAGAAGAAGACGAAAGCGCATCTTTATCCACCGCCTGCTTCCGGACGATCAGTGTTGAAACCGCATCCGAAAAGGCGAGACCGCCTATCAGAGCGTGATAATTTAAAAAGAAACGAGGATATATGTATAGGAACAGAAAATGGTACATTAGAAAACAATGAAAACATTGCAAAACAATACATTGGTTTTTCATCTCGGCTTTCGCATAGGATTTGAGAAGCGGGAAATCGGAGATATGACTTGAGATGAAAAAATTAAGTGGGAGAGTTTGGCAAGGACAAATACATAAAAGGGTGTACATTGAATTGAATTTCACAAAATATGCTACAAGTCCAAAAGATTCAATTTCCGATTGTCATTGTTTTGTAAATGTTGGTTAAGTTGGATGGGCTGTCATCCGAGAGCGGTTGAAAGCGAGTTGAGTTTCTGGACTATAGAAAGTTGAAAGTAAAAGTGCCGATAGGAAATGTCTTACTTTTTGTTTCAAAGTGGAAGTCATGTCGATTAATGTCAATGGTTGGCGGTCGGCTCAGTCTAGTACACGATGAGTTGTGCTTCCACGACGTCGTCATCAGACAAATCGTCAGATGCTTCCAGAGAAGAATCGAAAGCTGGGATCCAATAGTTCTGCGGCTTCTTTGAGTACTTTGCGTTCTTCCTCTTCCGATTTTTCTTCTTCAGTCGCCTTTTCTCCGCAACTGCCTCCTGCTCTAGCATCTTCTGTCCATTTTTCATCATCTCTCTGACGAGTTCGACCTCCTTTTCGAATGATTTAGTTAGTTTCAGGCACGTTTTCGGCTTTTCCTGCAATTATGAACGTAAACTATATCTGACTGTCTGAAATTCATGTACCTGTTTCTCTGCGGCTTCATCGTCTTTGCTAATAATACCCGGATCGTCGAAGTCGTTGTCTTCACCTGGAATCATATAAACTTTCAAAAAATAGTTTTGTTAATATCCCTTACCTTTTTCATCAAAATAAGAGTAAGGGATCATCTGGAACTCGGTATTGTTGTCTGGTCCATCTTTTTTCTGGTTCTGCAACAGAACTGGTTGCTCCATATCGTTGGCCTCCATTTTCGGCACTTTGCAAATCTGCTCCTCTTCGATTTCTTTTCCAGTTCGTTTTTGATTATTCATCTGAAGAGAATTGGATGAAATTAAACGATAAAGCAAGAATTAAAGCAAAGTACAATTAAGCCGCCGCGAAAAACAGTTGAGAAAATATGAAAGCAGCCAAAGAGTCAAACAATATTTATTTAAACAACAAGAAGAAGTCGGAGTTTTTTGAACAAACATCTGGGAAATTGCTTAAATTGAAAAAGTAGTCACTTCAATCTGTCTTGCGTCTGCACACGAATGTGTAATATCTCAAGAATCTTGTACGCCAACACAGAACGTTTCTCGAAATGGTTGATGTTGTCGTCAGTCACAGTCCTGTTCAGTTTAATCAGGTGTTGCTGTGAAGTATCCGTCGGTCATAGGTGGACAGATCATATCATCCACTTCCTTGGCAACGGTTCGTCTTTCGAGGCAAGTGAAAGAATATAAGAAGCAGCAAGGAGTAATCAGGTTCTCCAATCAGGTTCAAGATCTCGACAATCTTGGCGACGGTGAATCCGGAGATGGTGATGGCAAAAGTGTAGACAAAGAATTGCTGTCAATCTCTTTTCACAAACTCCCAGACGACATCGTTGAGCATCGCGAAGATAGTCGTTCCTATTCCAGTTCCGCAAACAGCGATTCATGTGGCCAGCGATCGTTGCTAAGCAAAATATAGGGAAATTATCACAATCGCCGAGCAACATTCCGAATCCAGCTCCACGATTAGTCCGAAAATGCGAGCAGCGACGTTGGCGGTATATTCGTTGAAGATGACATTCATGCAGAGATATGAGCACTTGAAACTTTCATTATCAATTCGTTGATGGTCTCGACGGGATCCGTTGCAAAGCTGAAACGAATTTAGTGAATAATTGTTTCCTGAGAGAAAATGCTCACGTTCTAAAGATTTTCGGTGTTGTGCAGGTCCTGAGATTTAAAGTTTGGATGGCAGCAATTGCTGGGAATTGACAGCATGAGAACCGTCTCCTTGGTTTTCTCAACAACCTCATAAACCTTCTCAAATAGTTTATGTCTGCCCTTCAAGGATTCACACGATTCTACGACCACATGCAAGTATTGGGAAATTATCACAATAGCCAGATGGTGCATCACTCCAAATCCAACACCACCAATGAGTCTGAAGGTAAGGTACAAGAGGTTTGGGTCGGAATGGAGGCCAGGAATCGGACGGCAGCTAGTATCGATCAGTTCAAAGCGACCTGCCGACACCGACAACTTCCGGGCTATCAGCGGAGAAGCGGCATCCGCACATTCAAAACCGCCGATCAGATGGTGAGAGTTTTCAAAGTAGCCACACGAATCCGAGAGACTGGAGAATCTTCAAGGCCTGTCCGATGTCCGCCAGCACAGCTCGCTCCTTGACACGGTCGACGGTTCCGTCATCAGCCCCGGTCGGGTTCAGTTTGGACAAGTATTGTTGTGGAGTATTCTGTTTCAGATTGTCACGGAGATGCTTCGAGCGCTCACTGGCTTCTTTTCGGTTCACTGAAAAATTGTCGCATTTTTTACAGCTAAAGACAAAAAAAACCAACTGGTTCGAGCGGGCATCCGGCAGGGATTTCAGTGGTCGATCCGGTGATGAGATCTTTTGCTCGCAGCTTGGCAACTTCAGGTGTGTCAGCGAGAGTTTCCGAGCGAGATGCGTGTTGCGCGTCAAAAATCAATGTGCGGGGCCGACTGCCGAGTCCGTAATTTTGCGTGACGGTGTTTACGGCTGAGACGAGCATTTGAGGGTTCTCTCCAAAGAGATGCCAGTTTTTAATGAATTTCAGCTCTGAAAAATCATTTCCTTGCGGAATTCGATCATAAAACGGATACGGAAGCTGTTCTAGTTGACAGATGTACAACGTTCAAATAAACTGGAAACCACAATATAATCCAACAGAGTTCACGCAATTTATTAAAAAAAGAGAAAAAAAAACGGGATGGATAACTGGAAACAACGGGAGCCAATTGCATCGAGAAAATGAAATGGGGGACAGGTCATTCATTGGTGTGGTTCTTATTAGAAAATATGTTAAACAGTGCTATGAAACACGTAGTTTGAGAAATGAAGGATGATGGGGGAGGGATGGATGAGAACAAAACAAACAATATCAATTAAATGATATACTCGAAAGTTGAACAATACTCAACAGAGATTTTAAAATGCGGAAGGGGAGAAAGTGAACAACAGAAAATGGAAACAAAGGTTACAGAAAAAACCAATATCGAGACATTCAGTTGTCATCCTTGAGCTTCTGGAGTTCCACCTCGGTCTTGGCATCGGTCTTGGTAGCACGGGACATCTCCCACTTGCGCAGGGAAGCGAGCGGAATGCAGATTGCTCCACTGATCGCCATCAAGGCTCCCATCACGTAGAAAGAGGTGTCGAAATTGCCGGTATAGTCTTTGATGGCAGCTGAAAATACGTTTGGTGCAATATCACTGCTCTAGAAGACCGAAGGAAGAACGGTGTTCAACTTACCAGCCATTGGCGATCCGACGACAGCTCCAACTCCCATAAAGGTGAGGAGGATTCCGAAAGCATTGCTCATCTTCTCCAGGCCAATCAGCTCGAGCACAATGACGGAGCGGAGGGCAGCGAAACAAGCGACTCCGATCGAGAACGGAATGCAATAGACCAAGAAATGCCAGTACTCCGTGTAGAACGGAACGGTCATGGTGGCGAGTCCGGCCAGGATGAGGGCGATGTTGTTGACGACGAGGGCAGAGACTTCCGGGCGGTCAGCAATGTAGCCGCATCCAATACGAGCAATGATGTTGAGAACTCCGATCAGAGAGACGGTGAATGACTTCTGGGCGACGGTGAGACCCGCAATCTGGAGAGTATCATGATTTAAGACTAATATTTTTAGATTTAACTGACCTTGTCCAAGTGATTTCCGAGATAGATGAACGGGACGTAGAAGCAGCAAAGTGTGAGCGTTCCGGAGAAAGCGAGGAGCAGGAAGGACGGGGATCCAAGGAGTTGACGGTCCAGGAGACTCTTCAGGGCCTGTCCGATGTCGGCCAGCACAGATCGCTCCTTGACATGATTGATGGTTCCGTCTTCCGCCACAGTCAGATCCACTTTCGAAAGGTACTGCTGTGGAGTGTCCTCCTTCAGGTTGTCACGGAGATGCTTCAAGTGCTCAGCCGCTTCTTCTCGGTTCACTGAAAAAGCTATGCATTTCCCCCCAGCTGAGCACAAAAGCGAACTAACTGGTTCCAGTGCGGCTTCTGGCAGCGATGTTGGTAGTGGATCCGGTGTAGAAGACGTCCATACGGGAAAGCGGGCGATTCAGATCCTCAACATCCTTGGCAACGGCTTCGATGATGCTTTTGACGGATCCATTACGGTGCTGAAAGGTACATATCTCATGAGAATCTCGTATAGTGTGTGGAAATGCTTACATTATGAAGCTTTCCGGTGGTGTGAAGTTCCAGAGAGCTCAGGAACGGAGTGTTGTGCTTGCTGAGGCTCGGAGACTCTGGGACCTTTTCCTTGGTTTCTTCGTACTGCTCGACAATCTTGGCGACTTCTTCAATCTGCTCTTGGCTGGCTTTCAACGGTCTCAGGAGAAGAGCAGCGGCGAATCCGCTGATAGTAACGGCAGAAGTGTAGACAAGGAATTGCTGCCAATCTCTCTTCACAAACTCCCAGACGACGTCGTTGAGCATTGCGAAGATAGTCGTTCCAATTCCACTTCCGCAGACGGCGATTCCAGTAGCCAACGAGCGCTTCTTTGCAAAATATTGTGAAATGATCACGATTGCCGGAAGATACATCATTCCAAATCCGGCTCCACCAATGAGTCCAAAGGTGAGGTACAAGACGTAGATGTTCGGGGCAGGGATAGAGGCCAGGAATCCGATGGCAGCTATTATCGATCCAGCCAGAGCGACCTGCCGACAACCGAAGACGTTGCACAAGGCCGAGGCGAAGGGACCTGTAAAAATGAATCGTTTTAACAAGGTTTTGTCGAAAAGAGGGGTATTTGTGTTTGCTTACCAACAAAGAAGTAGAACCCGGATAGAATGGACATAGTGAGGGAGGCGGAAGCCTCGGAGACGTTGAATCCGGCGACCCAGGCAGGCTGAAGAATTTTTCCGACGGTGAAGATGACACCATCGACGATCATGTTGAGGAGGAAGGAGGAGATGACGATTGCCCATCCATATCCACCTGTAATCAGAAGTTTGATACCGAATTCCCCGTATTTAGGTTAAGACAAAGTTTCTGATGACTCACCATCTGGCGGCGGGACGAATCCAATCTCCTCGAGCTCCTTCTCCACAGTTTCTGGATCCTGGGAAAGCGGTTGCTTCTCGTCGCTCTGCTGCTTACCCTCGGTCATCTCGTTGTCTTGATTCGGATGACTGTCACCGCCGAATCTGTGAAACAAAAGAATTAATCGAAATGAAAATGATAATTTGGACGGATAGAACTGATAGCCAAAGGTGTTTCGGGGGAGGAGGAAAAAGACGAATGGATCTGATGATTGAGGTGACAAAGAATGTGAGATACCGGCTTTTCTCTATTTCTATTCTCGATTGACCACATTCTGGCCGCGAATGAGGTAAATATGAGATGAGCGGAAGAGGAGCATGTTTGTAAAAGTGTACGTGCTGATGTTGATACGGTTTTCAGGTGCATTATCAGCGAGTTGTTGTCCGAAAAACTGCTGACGGGTTTTTCCGCAAAATGTAGTCGAGATGAGTCATTTTCAAAATGGAAAGTTGTATTGTTGCAGAGGTAGGCTGAGGGAAGATGGTGTGAAGAATTTCTAATGTGAATTCGAGGGGCCCGTGAGATGAATGCCCTCGAGGATAGAATACCAAGTGTTCTTCATCAAAATGCTAATAGATCAGTCGTTGGTCGGAATTTTTGAATAAAAAATGCTTAGAGGCTGTTTGATAGACTTTAAGAATACAAAGTTTGAAACTCATCGAAATCCGCCCAAAGAATGACTAAAACTACAATGAGACAACGTAAAAAGTGCATTACACCAGCACCACGCAACATTTTATCATCAATACAAACGTCCAGTCGCTCGGAAGAGTTGCTAAGCCGCGGTCAATGAACTCGAGCGCCGTTGTCTCAGATTACATAAGACTGCGGCAACGAAACGTACACGCTTCGCAGATTACGGGGTGTCTAAGCCGTCCAGAACCTGACGCCTTATTATCATGCAAAAGTGCGTATGATATGAAGAAAATTTGCGGCTGTCGAGAGTACGTATATATGTAATTTGATAGTGGGGCTCGAAGTGTGGAAATGAAGAGCAATTGGAAGGGTCGACGCCCGAACAAACTGAAAACAAAAGTGATTTATCTATTGACCTTAGACACCAGGTGTCTACTTTTTGTCCCGTCCTTTCCGATATCAATACTTTCTGTTTTTACTGCACGAGACAGGTAACATTGACAGAACTAATCCTGTGCGACGCATATATTTTTTGTCTCACAAAAAGCTTTTAAAAATGGTATTTCTGACCTCGAAAGTTCAGATTTTGGACGCTCAGAAAGATACATTTTTACAGTCTTCTAATCAGCAGACAATCAAAAAACCATAAAATGAACGCGGAATCGTTATCAGGGGGAAAGTGGAAACCGAAAAAGTGCACTTTTGATGAGTTCTGAAAGAAATATCAGACTTGTATCGGACCGGGCTATAAACTTAGAAATTCTACCGCGTTTTTCTATTTTTTTAAATTGTTCAAGCAAGTCTGCAAAAGAGGGACTTTGCCCCACGTTGCGCTTTTGAAAAAACGATACTCCTAACTTTGCATGTGAATACAGATGGAAAAGATGGAAAAGTATCTATGGACGGGACATATCGTTATTGTATTAGACGCACAATGCGTGTATGGGCGAAAGGGTACGTGTGTGGGGGGCGCACACGCCACATGACAGATGGTAGAGTGCCAACCAATCCAACGACGGGTGCCAGACCACACACAGATTTCATAAATGCATTCTGCTGGCAGAGGTGTCTGTCGGAGTGGAGTGGCCGCCACCACCCACACGCGCACTCACTCTTTTCTCCTATAATATAAACGGTGCGACTTTTTGTCGGCTTTTTCTTTTTTCGTTCGCAACAAAAAAACTCTTTTGTGGCTCCGTTTTATTAGAACATTAAAAGTGGAGAAGAGTGAAGAGTGATTGCGAAAAGGTGGTCGGAATGAAGCCTGAGGGGGTGGGCGCATGAATGGAAAACTGAGCGGGAGGGATTGAAAAAGCAAATAAAAACAGTTTCGTGTGTGTGCAGCATACCCGCAGCGGACCTCGGAAGATCCAGGAATGTGTGCATGCGCAACAGGCAGAGGTCAATCTGTTTGAACTTTTTCCTTTGATGAGCACACACGGGGAGCCGCGGGAGGAAAGGCTCGGGTGGGTAGAGAAGAGAACGAGAGAGGGGAGTTAATGGAAATGCTAACAGTAAATTCATAGTGATTATTGCAAATTGAAAGAAAATCTCAGACATCTGACTGTTTTAGAACGTTCCCAAGAAAATAAGAGTGCTTCTAGAAAGTGTGAAATCTTCAGCAAACTTACAGAGCATCGCAGATAAATGCGCAGCCAAGTGTGACCTGCTGGATAGTATGGACCACGCCATGTGTCAAACACTGACACAGATCCATTGCACCGTTGATGGAATGGGATAGCACACAGAGCGAGAATCAATCGGGGTGATATAAACGTTGCAAGTGATGATAGAATAGGCCAAATGCGTCGGTGGCTCGCAATTTCGACCTTTCACCCGCCACCATAAACGACATTAGTTTGCGGCGGAATAGCGTTGCGCCCTGTAGAGACGCAGAAAAAGTGAGTAAGGAACGCTCAAAAGTACACACGGAGGGCGCCTGGGACACTGAGATTACCGACAGGCAGAGTACGTCGCCCTTTGGCATGTGGCACTGGGCGCAAAGAACAAAAACGGAAAAGGCGCGCAGATTTTCGAAAGTGTCTGTAGGTATCGAAAAACGAGAATTTTAGAAAGCATAGTACCTAAAGTCCCAAGTTTTGAAATAGGAGAAACCTTATGATTATCCGGGTCCAAAGTTCTTTTTGAAACTAGACTAGTGTGAACCTAGAAGTATTGTAGTTATCTGGCTCCGACACAATTTGCTTATGTGGGTGACTAATGAAATTGGTCAGAAAAAGGATTTTACTTCTGTTTTGAAGTTTTCGATCACTTTATCAACCCACATTGCCAGTGAGGAAATCTTAAAAAGAACAGAAACAATTTCTGAAAATGGATGCCGTTTCTCCACCACAAAACGTTTAGAAAAACACAGTTTGGCCCTACCACAAGTCCACAAAATCGTCATCCATTGCAAAGACTCAGTAGAGAAGCTGATGTAACAAACACAAAAGCGAAGAAAGCAGAAAACGACGAATATTGGGAGAAGATTAGGTCACAAAGATGACGGGAAACTCATTCCTGCCCCACGCCATTGGTCAAATCATCGGCGGCGCCTCTTCCTCCCCCATCTTCTTCTTCTTCTCTTTCTTCTTCTCTCCGTGTCGGCCGCTGGCCCATTCAACTCGCAACGTGGGTGCCTTTGTGTGTGTAATCGAAGGGAAGAGAGAGAGAGAGAGGGAACGGGAGTTGCGTGTTTGTCTCTGTTTCGCATGTGGTGTGAGTGACGAGAAGGATGAAGCTCGTTGACTTTTTGCCGATGACTAAGGACATGGTGGCCGGAGAATTATTTATGAGAGTAGAGGGTGGGGGAAGTCATGTCAAGTCCAGATGGCGGATCCGTCAACGTCAACTTGCAGAGTGTTCGGAGACGTTCCTTCTAAAATAAGCTTCTTTCCTGAAATCGTCTGATTTGCACATTAATCTCTGACCATCAACATTTCATCATTTCCAGCAATTAGGAACTTCTTCCCTCCCTCACAGATAAGACGGGCACCGAATGAAATCATAGGGTCTCACTAATCCAACATAATTGGATTACGAATCTTTTTTTCTGAGCACCGAGAGCTTCTCGCTTTTTCTTGCTCTCCCGTTTGCAGATCGAGTAAGTTCTGCCCCTTCCTATCATCATCTTTCGGCGAATTGAAAGTTGGCCCGAGTCCAAACGATCATACACACTCACACATGACGGATTGCCGTTATTACTGCAACTTTGAGAAGAGGGGAAGAGGGGGGTGTTCGATTGGTGAGCAGAGATCAAGGCGGAATTCAGACGGAGTGTAATTTAGTTTGTCATCAATCATTTCCTGCGAGATTGAGACACAAGTTATGGAATCTTTCTCTCGGTTTTCATTTCACTTCTTTGCAAACAAGTGGTCAAGTACATTTTTCTGTGGCGCTGATAAAGATGATGATGATGATGATGATGATGATGAACTTGTTCCATTGTGATCAATCACTTTTTGCACGATCGTCTTGGAGTTTGATTTAACAGGGACCTGTGTGAATTCCTGTGAATGTTCTGAAATGAATTCTGAAAGTGTCAACATTCCATTTCTCCATTCTTCTCAACTTCACACACTTTATTCATAAGGAAAATGAAAATAGGAACGGAAAAGTTGGACAGTACAATTTCAAAATGTGGCGAGGGAACTCTTAACTTATTCAAGAGAAAAAGGCAAGTACATACACCAATTCAGTAAAAAGTTAATATTAGTATGACAACATCAAAATATGTCAAATGACAAGACAAGAACAATGGGAGTGGAAATCAAATATTAAAGAGATTCTGGAATTTTCCGAGCCCAGAGTCGCGGATTCGATTTTTGATGCCCAGAAGCCGTGAGAAAATGGAAAGAAGGATTGAGAAAGGGACAAAGAGAAGTGTGTACTAGTGGAAGTTGAGAAAAAAATTTGTGTGTGTGTGTAGATTGATGATGGTCCCCTCAAATTGACGCTGTAGAAGTGGAAGAAGAGGTCGACGGTCCCTAAAAATTGGTAATTGAATTAGTGGCAAGTAAACTTTGAGGCACTAAAGGTTCAGATAGGTTGAAAGTGCAAAAAACCGGCCGCAAGCGTGCTCTACTCATCTGAGTGGTTAAGAATTTGAGCATCTAACCAGGTTGAGCCCAATTACCTGGTTGCCGTTCTGACCATCCCTCTTCTCCGCCGATCCGTCGTCGTTACCGTCCTCCTTCTTCTCCGAGATGCCGAACTTGGTCTCCATCTCCTCGGCAAGTTTGTTGGCGGCGTCACGCTCGGCGATCTTGCGCTGAATCACCTCCTCGGTATACTTGAGGACACGGAGATCCACAAGTGGCTGCAGATCGCGGTAGAACATGAAGTCGATGTACTCCTGCGAGAAGATGATGCGGCCATCGGGTCCACGCTCCTGGTCATCGAGCGACGGCGACTTCTTGATGCGTTCTGAAACGATTTGGCGTAAGCGAAGGTTATTGTAATTGGTGGCAACTCACTCTCGTTGTATTCGTGCGCTTTGAGGCGCTGGAACTCCTTGTTCTGAGCGGCGAGCTCCTCGAGCGGCACGTTCAGGTTGCCGTTGACATAGTCTTCGGCCTCCTTGCGCTCCTTTTCCTCTCTAGTCGGTCCGTCGACTCCACGCGGAACGTGTCCCGACGGTCTTCCAGAGTAAACAAGAGCCCAATCCATGAATCGGTGATGGAGGTTCGTGAAAACCTGGAAAACAAAGAATGAGCGAGTGATTTTTAAGACTTCAAGACGAGAACAAGATCTGCTGAGCCCCGCCCTACTTTTTCTTCTACAAACAAGGCCAATTACTATTAAGGAAAAAGGAGGACGACAGAAAGAATGTTCTCTGCAAGACTAAGTCTTTGAGCAAGTCTGCAGATTTGCTGAAGCACTTGTCAGACATTTGGAGCAGAAAATAGGATGAGAAAAGAGAGAAAATCAGGCGAAAAGCGGGTGTGAGAGAGATTTTTTCGCCTTGCAAACGCAATGCAAACGAGACGGAAATCACATTGTGCGAGCTTCTTTTGATGTTCTTTTTTTATACTCAGGAATGTTTCGTTGTTGTTTCGCTCTGTAATATTTCGAGCAAAATGTCATGGAATGTTGAGGAATTCATAGAAATACGAAGGGATTAGTGAGTCAGAATCCATTTTTTGCTTTGATCTGCACACAAACCGCAACATTTCAGGTAATCGAATAAGTGCAGTGGTGCGAGAATGAAAAAATGTATAAATTTAATCAGTCAAGCAGATGTGGAAGTATTTTCGGAAATATCGCAGATTGTATTTGAGAACAAAAATTTGACTGAGAAGAGAGTGGATGATTCCTACAGAAACCAAGTGATTTCACATTTCACACTTCCGATGCGTGTTTCCTTTCCGGAAAACACACACGCCTTCTTTCCCAGACAAAGCTTTTTTTGAAGTCTTGATGAAAACGGGACGGGTTCAAAAAAAGGGGAGAGAAAATTGGATTGGATTGCGTAAAAAAAGGATGAAGAGGGGAAATAAAAGTCTTTAGATTGTGTTAGCAAAAAGTTAATGAAATGGAAATTGGATTTCGGGGGGGCACTGAGCAGCATACAATAGGAAGCCTTCATTAGGAATTCTTTAGAGTCCTACATGTTTAATGTCATTTTCTCAATCGAGTGGAATATTGTAGTTCACACGAAATTCTATTTCTGCAACAAGAACCTTCCAAGTAGGTGGGAGGAGGAGGGGAGGAGGGACGTGAAATAGCAATTACGGGCAGTTTTTTCTCAAAATAATTTCGTGTTTTGAAGAGAGAATTCGGTGTTCGGTTCTCAGAAAATGAGCATAGACATAGAGACATCACCCACTCAACTTCTCGGAACGAATGTTTGGTTTGTGACCACCACGACCACGACCACGATCACAAAAAAACAAAAAAAAAATGACGGAGTGCTTTTCATCTCAAGGTAGAGAGCCCAGCGGTGTCTTCGTTGTAACCCATTATTTAGTGAGGAGCTATGAAGCCAGTGTTCAGGTCTCTTTGCTCTCCAAAAAATCACTGCTTTTGTTCGTTGTTTTGGGAAAAGTAAACATGCATGGACATACTGGAGAAAACAAAAAAAACACGGAAGTTTTTGAGTACTTTTACCAAATGGGAAGTGTTGGAAAACAAGAAAGTGTATGTGTGGGTGTGCTCGATTAGCAAAATCTCGAAACTAGAAAAGCGTGGAGAACAAGTTGTTGATGACGCTCATTATTCATCATCAAAATGCACCGGATGACACAAGAAAGTGTGGAAATAGAATGAAGAGATTGCAGACGTTTCATCTAATCCTTTTTGCTCACTCACTCACCACGTGCATGAGCAAAAAACAGCTAGCGCCTCCTCTCGTGGTTACAATCTGACTCATCCATCTCATTTTGCAAGATTTCCCTCAAACTTGGACTCTTTTGTGATCGTCCCAGACTCTCACAGAATAATTAATGCGCTTCCTATTCATTATCCGCCGTAAAAGTGCAAGTATTTTCATAGACTTCTAGTTCCAGGCAGATTGGGGCGTGAATGAGTGAGTGCAAGGCAAGAAAGACCTAGAATGTTCCGGGTATTTATAGAAATGTGATGAGAAAGCGCTGGAACGGAAAACAAGAAAAATCGTACTTTTTGCTTTGAACACTTAGGATGGACAAAGATTGCAGTTTTTCACATTCAGTTCAGCATTTCGAACAAACAATAGTTGCATTCGACTATTTATTGTAGTCAAACTTGTGGCGTCTCGGCCTGGGTTTTAGAACTAAGACTTTTGACAAGTATTTTTTGCTACGCGGCTGTTAAATCTGCAGAAGACTGGCGTGTTTTGGGAAATTTTCATTGCCGGTTTTACGATTGACCCGAGGATCTTTTTTTCGGAAACGTGTTCGCAGCTGACATTAGGATGACTCATTGTTCTCTAGGAAAAGGATTAGTCACAAACATTTCTAGGAAAGGAACAAACTACACATTTTTCATTTCGTTTGGTTCTATGCTCATTGTGTACGAAATAATGAGAACTAATGGTCATGGTCTGAAGCAGACTCGCAGAAAATCAGCCCATTCCGGCTCGGTCGGCACAGATTGAAAATTTTTGAGAAAGTGACCCATCAGATCATGACTATCGAGCATGCTGTAATCCAGAAAACTCGATACTGGAAGCTTTTCCGGAAAGTTCAACCTTCACCTAGTTGTTTTGCAAAAAAGAAGAAGGTAAACGAGTGCGTCAAGTTTCCGAAAAGCGCAGCAAAGTTGTTGGTTGCCGTATTTCGATCTTTCACTCCACCACTTCTACAGTAATCCTAATCATATCTACTGAAAATTCAAGGCAAAAATTGAAAAAAGTTAGGCGTCAGAATATCGAGTTTCTCCAGCGTCGCGTTGAAAAGGTACAAGACGAGTTCGAAGCGAGCACTCCTATCAAAAAAACAGTTTTCGAAATGACATTTTCTCAACAAAAAAATGACGATAGTCCGTGTTGATGATAACAACCGTACAATAGTGATTCTTCTGCAAGACGCAAAGCGAAAATTCTGCAAAAAAACGAGGAGATAAGAGCGCGGCGACAACAAACAGTTATGCAGATTTATGATGGGAACACACACACGTTTTGTGCAGACACCAAGATCAAACACGTGTGTTTTTTGTCTGTCATCAGTCGTGGCGAAGAGAGAGAGAGAGAGAGAGAGAGAGAGAGAGAGAGAGAGAATCGGATCAGACATTCTGGATGTATGTGTACAACTACAACTTCAACATTTGGAGAGAAGTCTGGAGAATTTTGTACCAGCTGTAAGCAGACAGAATTTGTGAGTCATTGCATGAATGAAAAGGAGACATGTCTAGAAGCAATTTCAAAAAAATGTGTATCTCTCTCTTGAGGGAGAATATGATGCAATTGCAGCACATTATAAAATTATGAGGCAGGGGCCTTCTGTCTTCTGCCAAAATAATGGCTGTCTCAGAAAAACGGACAAGATAGAGTTTGAGCAGCAACACAGTATGGGTCATCAAGAACACATGCGCGAGAAGAGATCTGTTTTGAAACCACTAGATTATCGATCGATTTGGTATGATGCGGCAGCGCAGGTATGCGCAAAGTAGGGACTATCTCGTAGGACGACTGAATTGAAGGTGATTGGAATATTCGAGAACACTTTGTGGCGCGATCGAGACAATCTCCCTTCAATGACCTTGACCGTATCAAATTATGAAATTCGAAAATCTGAGAACGATGGAAACAGATGCCAAAAAGTAGAAGACAGACGAGAGGTCGAGGAAACAATGAGTTAAAATGATTCACGACAGTTTTATAGGGGTATTTGGGGCGAGCTTCCAGAAATTTTATGAAACAATTCGACTATCCCGTGGGCAGCGGGAAGTTCCGTGTCTACGCGCAAGAATACATTGTGACGTGGCAGCGGAGAGGAGGAGCGACCCCAATTTACCAGAATACTCCGTGAGCGCATAAGCGAAACGAAATGAGTAAACAAATTGGTGGAAATGACGCATGTTTCTGTTCGCAATCGCTTGACTATCCCGTGGGCGCTCGACAGTTGACGTTTCAATACCCAAAGCTATTTTATGACGTGGCATGCATGACCCATGTTGACAAAAGTACTCTTAAAAGAGTAGAGCCAAAACGTTGAGGTTTGAAGTTTGGTTTATTTCGCCGACAAGGATTCGATTTCGCAAAAAGTCTGGTCACGGAAGCTACATAGTTCAAAAACGTTCATGTCTGCCTTCTCAGTTTTTAGGCCTTTACACAGAGATTGCAGAAAATATCATCTAATTACTCAACACCGGACGTCACTCTTCCAAGATAGAAAAGTGTCGGATTCTAAGCATTTCAATTAGAAAAGAGTGCGCTAGTACCCAAATGATTTCTGACTCCATTCCAAACATTGTTGTTTGTTTCGTTTTTATCCTGGTGCAAAGGAAATTAGAGAGAAATGGGCGTTGGAAATTGGAGTATTGGAAAGTTTAGAAGTTGAACTAAAAAAAAGCGGTGGGCTTTCAAACATTCGGCACGTAGAACACCCTCTCTCTCTCTCTTTCCATTTCTTTTCTTCTCATCTTGCAACTCGCCAAAAATTGGAGGTCAATGAATTCACGCATTTCGCAAACACGCAAAAGAATGCGAAAAAAGAGGGGCAGACTTGCTCATGGATATCAATTTTCTGAAAGGAGCGGACGTCCGTTGGAAAAGAAGAAAACCAGGAGAGTGTGGAACGCGGCGCGCATGGGTTTGGGTGAATGAGAGTGAAAATGGGCAGGGACGTCGACCAAAAAAGATAGAGATGTGCACTTTGAAAGTGCACGCGTACGATGCACATGTCACTGTTTGAAAGGGTTAGTACGTCTTTGTCATCTCCCGGGTCAAACTATATTTTAGCTATTTCTATTTGCTTTTTACCGCTGCAGGTGCTCGAGGGAGGTCGGCCCGGATTTCAGTACTGGAATCTTCGGAACTAGACTTGTAAGCAACGGGAAAGGACCTTGCCGAACTTTGCAGATTTCTTAGATTTACGTAAATTGGATCAACATTTCAGACCGACCGGATTATCTGGAAACGAGATAAATATAGCAGCGACTACCGCTCTGTACGTGAATTCAATGCTAAATTGGAGAAAGGGCGCCATCTCCATATGTCTACAGAAAAGCACAAAACGACACAACACATTGAAAAAAAAACTTTCTGGAGCTAAAGTCTTAGTCATTTTGAGACCCACCTTTCGAGCCGTCGAGCACAGTTTCTTTGCTCCTGGCATCCACGGGCAGCATCCGTAGTTCTTCGTTTTCACGGACATTGCGTCGTACTGATCCTCCTCCCACTTTACGCGTTTTTTATTGAGAAGCGTGATTCTGCAGTCGTCCAAATCGTCGAAAGGTGCTGTTTTTGTCATTTTCATTTTCATTCGTATATTCGCATTTTTTTCCAAGGCAGCATTGATCTTCTTGCAAATCTCTTCGATAGTTGGAATGACGTTTTTGCACTGATTGCGATTCTTCCGATGCCGTTTTGTCGATCTGGTTTCTGGAGTAGACGGAGAGTTTTTCTTCGTTTGTTCATTGGATCCCGAGTTTCTCAAGCGTTTACTTTTTCCTCTTGGCGAAGCTACTTGTTTGGTCGGCTTCTGTCTCGTTCTGGCAAGCCACTTGTAGCTCGAAGTCGGACTATCCGCAATCGATGGTGGAGCGGACGAACTCTGATTGTTTAGAAGATCCGATCGTTTCGGAGACGGGGAAGTTGGTGGCGGAAGTGGCGGAGGTGGTGGGGGTGGAGGTCGCGGTGGTGCCGGCGAGTCGGTCTCGAAGACCATGTCCGCCGAGTCGTTGTCCGAGCTGTAGCGCACCAATATGGACGGACTGCTTTCCTCGTCGTACAGGCTACCCATAATCTTTCTGAAATACAATATATTGGAAAAAAAAAGAATGGGTCTATAAAGAGTACACAATACAATAGTATTGCGCAGGGCAAGAGGCGGGCACAGACTTTTCCAAAGACTAACGAGGCCTGCAATTTTGCCCCCTTGCAGTAATCCAATCGGGTCCAAGCTTTGTAGGCTTCCTGGACTTGGATTGAAGCATATTGAGTCTATGCTTCCAAACATCAGGATCATCTTGCCTGGTCCGGAGTTATGCAAAAATTACAAAAAGGCCGCAATTTTCGCATTAACCCGGTCTTTTCGGCCACACATCCACATATCTCTGTTTCAGATGATCCGATCGGTCTGAAACTTAGACCCAAGGCACCTCAATCAAAGTCCAAAATGCCTACAAAGTTCCGACTCAATGAAATTATTTCAGGGAGGTCAAAAGTCCATTTCTTGGCAAGCTTTCGAAAAGTCTGGTTCGTCCTTTTGCCTATCCCTGCTGTAAACTAAAGAAATGTAGAGTTCAAAAGTTAAAATTTATTCAAAATTTGAGATGCAAGTACTAGTTAACGTAGAGTTCAAAAAGCGGAACGACGAGTCAGCAAGGCTCGAGCAAAAACGAGATGAAACATAATATTTTTGGTGCCCCAAAAGATTAGGATAGGACCGCTATTAGAATATGAAATGAGACGCCTTGGAGGGCTTTGGCATACTAAAGCAGATGAAAAGTTGAAATGGGAGGAAAGTTCATGTCTATGAAACTATATTGTGCTCGTGATCTTTCTCCGCTCGTCTTTGCCTGTAACCAGCTCTGGGAAAAGGCAGTCCAAAGGCCTACCGAGTGCTGGACTTTTGACCTACCCAATCTTTGCAGCCTTCATTAACTTGGATTGAAGTATCTCGGCCTTTGATCCTATCTCCGGACCAGAAAATCTGATTAGTTTGAAACAAGATACTTGAGTTCAAGTCCAAGAAGCTTGCAAAGTTTGGGTTCGATCAGATTATTGCAAGTGGGCCAAAAGTCGGTCCGGTCTTTTGCACAGCTGTGCCTGTAAGCGACCAGAAATTTCTAAACGACATTTGAGAGCTTAAACTGAAAAAGCTTTTCAATTCAATTCTATTATTGGGTACCTCATCTCATAAACTGAATACTATGGCTTTTCCAAATCTAACCCCCACCCCCTTTCACGTCGCCCACTCACTCCGTATTTCGATGAAATTTGAAAAAAAAGGAGGAAGTTTCGGCAAAATATTATGCCTGTGTTCTCACTGTCTTTTAAGAGTGTCAATGAGGAAATAACAATAGCGTACCGGCGTACATGTTAGACGGAAATTGTTGTGATCAAATGAGAAAGGGAGTAGGGCGAGGTGGATGAGGAGGAGGACTACGTGGATTCTGCTATGAGAATGTCACTTGCAGAAACATAAAGTTTAATATGAATACGTTTCTTGAAACGTATTGAAAACGTAATTGGCCGTTTAGATGAACTGGGAGGAAAGCGCTGGCTGAGAAACGGTTTCTTCTAGACTTGGATAGCTATTTTAACGAGGGATAAAACAAAATACTGACGGTAAATTGATACAAGAAGCAGCCTGCACATGTTCTTCAAATTCACGAGAAAACAAAATAGTAACGAAAACTAGAAATCCCGTCTGAATTCGTTGGAGAACTTTTGTGAAGCGATCTGAACAACACCGGCAGGTGTACTAGCCGAACAAAAGAGCAAAACCAGAAAATTTGCGTGTGCTCTCCGTGCTCAGCGGCCGCCACCGACCCCCACCCACAGCGACAACCGGCGGCCTCGTCTTTAATTCTAGGCTACGACTACATGATGTTTCGTTTCGTCGCAATTATACATGCGGTCAGCCACCGCTCCCTACCACTTACTCAACCTTTTTTTCAGGAAACATAAGATGGGAGCAAAAAGAAAAGAAGAAGAGTGGGGGGGTAAAGGGCGAAAAAGACCAAAGGCGCCATTGCCATTCCATTCATTATATCTAGGCGTCACATTACTTATGCATAACTTCTGATGGATACTAGCACTTCAGGCGTTCTTTTTTTGAGAATTTAAAAATTGCGAGAAACAAATGGGATGAGAGACGACGTTTAGAAACGTTTCGAACAGGAAGTGCGACCAAATAAGGTGTCTCTTTCGGATCCGCTGTGCCCTCGACAAAATGGAAATGGTGGGGGGTGATGAATGGCCGCAGATAAAGTGTTTTTGATTAGTCGCGCAACGTGATCAGTATCATTGGTCGCAAAAGTTGAACGTAGCAGAGAGAAGGGAGAGAAAACAGGTGTTCAGCTTTCAGGGAGACATGGATGTAGACTTTAATGAAATTTTATCGCTTTTTGGTCTGACTTTTTTTGCGAGAGGATGACGTGGGCCGCTTACAAACTTACAGAATTAAATTGTGAAAGTATGAGATGATAGAAAACTGAATACTCTCAATATTAGAGTTTTCGACGTCAATGAAATGGTGAACTTGAGATGAAAAGAAGAAGTGAGGGTGGTGAGTGTTGAATATCAATTAGATGAACTCATTTGTAACTTGTGCCCAAAAAAAAAGCCAAACATCAAAAGTTTTCAAAGCCACTACATACATACAAAACAAAGAAAACGCTGAACCTGTGGTGTGGTCACATTTTTGTATTACCAAAAGCTTGACGGGGCAGAAAATGGAATTATAGGAAAAAAAAAAGTAAATGCGCTCCAATGAACTTATGTTAGGAAAAAGATTCAGAAAAAGTAGTGGGAACGGAAGTGGACTTTCACATTTTCAGACTTTCATCAATGTTTCAAGCGAAACAGAACTGGCCTACACGGTTGTCCTAGAAACTGCCGAAAGGCGATGTATTCCGTTTCTAATCAACGCCACTCAATCCAGTTAAGAATGTGTGTGACACGAGCACAGGAGTGAAAAAATGAGTTCACGTGGTTTGAGAAACTTCTGGGCGCAGATTTGGCCTAAAGTTTTTTGCAAAAAGAACATGACTTTTACGATTTTTCGGCATTCTCAGATTTATTACTACATAGTACTGACAGGCGACTGCTGCGCGGACTAAATTGAATGGAAAAGAGAGGAAAATAGACAAAGCTCAAAGTTTCAGGAAGAAAGGACTTACTGAGAAATGCATGACTAGAGTTGTGTATTCTTATCAAAAAATAGTGAACTCATTTTTTCTCACTGATGTGTATGCCCTAAAAACAGAATTTACGTGGCCCGACCCGGGTTTTAGTACTTTTAGTACTTAAATTTTCTCATAATAGTCCTTTTCTAAGCATTTCTGCTAGTGAAACAAATTTACATATTCTCTCAAAAATCAGCTGTTTTCCAGGAATCCTTTTATGATTCTGTCTCCCTTCTACAAATGGGCATCTCTCAAATCTGCAAAATTCAAAGAAACCAGGTGCAAAACATGTTTTCAGAAGACACCGACATACACGAGACGCTGGATAGAACAAACGATCTGATCAGCTAACATGATATTGACGAAAAGGCTAAAAAGTTGGAAAGTTTTGTGGAAAACTCCGCTGCCAGTAAGACAAATTGCAAAAGGGAGCAAGCTGAACAAATTGTGTTCGCGTTTTGAATGTGAAACATTGGAAATGGTTTGCAGAAGTATGCATGTATGTACATGGCAAACATTGGGAAGGGAAATTGGAATCGGACCTTTACAGGAACTGTTTTGCATTCCCGATAGAGTACAGTATTGAAATCCAGAAGGAATGGCGAGTATCGCATAGATGAACCATCATTCGATCCACTGAACCAATCTGAAAATCATCCGCACCTCTCGCCAAAACCAGAATTTTTTGGCCTCAAACCGGTATCTCGAAACCAACGAACATTAGTTCAAGTCCTGGTTCTCCGAGTTACTCTTTTTCTTGTCCATCGTCCTTTTCTGAATGATTCTTGCCTGTGCATCGTACTTTGAGGTGATGACCGTGATCTGCTTGGCTATTCTCTCGCCGTTTTGTCTCTGGTTGACTGTAGAAATCCCTAAGAGTTTAGTGTTTTTGTTTGATTAAAGGAGAAACTTAGGGTTGCAGAACAGGCGATTGTTCTGCAAAATTTCCACGTTAAAATTGCAAAACAGGCGAAAACAGGCGCCTGGCCTGCAACCCTAGAGAAACTGCTTAAAATTAGATTTTGGCAGACGGAATCCCGATAATCAAAGATGCACTTTGCAGCGATTCAGATAAAGTTGACAACAAAACGTGTTCGCGCGGTGCAACAGGAAGGATGACTCAAATGGCAATCGATTATCTGTGTTCTCCGTCAATCCGTCAATTTCTTGGGAAACTACTCTGCAATTAGCCACAATAAAACCTACATTATCGAACTCACTCTACAAAAACTACCGCCCAGGTGCGGATACTCCCCCCACCTTGCCAACTATCTAATTTTAAAACGCTGCTCCACCTCACTAGCTCTTCCCCTCTCTCTCATCTTCTCTAAATCATTCTCTTCCTCTTCGCTTCCCTTATGTTGGAAACATTCGGTTGTCATTCCTGTCCCTAAAAAAGGTAACCTCTCCGACCCCTCCAATTACCGCCCAATCTCTTTAACTGACCCTATCTCCCGTGTTATGGAACGCATCATCTGTCGTCGCCTTCTTTCTGACCACTTCTCCAAATTCCATCCTAATCAGCACGGCTTCCTCCCTCTCGGTCTTGCACTTCCTCGCTTCTTGACTCCATCTCTACCTACAGACATTTACTTTCCTCTCATAAAACTTTGGACATCATTTACTTTGATTTCCAAAAAGCTTTTTGACAAAGTTGACCACAATCTCCTCCTTCGTAAACTGGACATCTTTGGAATTCCTCCCTTTTCTGCAGATGGTTTGAAGACTTCCTCTCCCATCGATCCTTCTCCATCAAAATCAACTCCCATGTCCAGCCCTCTAGAACCCCAATACCTTCGGGAGTTCCACAAGGCTCCGTCTCTGGCCCCTTTCTCTTTCTTATATTCCTCAACGACTTACTCGACAGCCTTCCTCCCTCTGTTCACTTCGCTGTTTTTGCTGATGACCTAAAAATTTACCACCCTGCCCCTCTCCTCCTACAATCTGCCATTGACTCCGTGCTTTCCTGGTCCACCCTCAATCTCCTCCCTCTCGCCGAAACTAAAACCTCTCTTCTGAGGCTTGGTTCCCGCAATCCCGAGTTTCCCTACACAATTAACAACACCTTTATCTCCTCATCCGCCTCTGTCCGTGACCTTGGGCTTCTCACGGACCCCTCTCTCAAATTCGAGCTTCACATAAATCAGAAAGTTGCCCTCTGTCTCCTCCGTTCCCACCAGCTCCTCAAATCCTTTCGCTCAACTAATCCATCTTTCTACGCCTCCCTATTTAAAAACCTACATTCTCCCGATTCTTGAGTACTGCTCCCCAATCTTCTCCCCTCCTCCTGCATCCAAACTCGCCTTAAAAACTTGAACGTCCTCTCCGACACTTCTCGAAAATTGCTCTCCAACGCTGTAACATCCCGTTCTCCTCTTACCACCACCGTCTTGCCATCCTTAACATGTCTTCAATCCGTCACCGCCGCCTCAAATCACAGTTAACTCTCCTCTATCGTCTAATTACCGGTGCCTCATACTTCCCCCATCTAAGTCATTTTATCTCTCTTACCACCTCTCCCCGTAGACCCATGCTCATCCGCGTCCTTAAACCTCGTGTAAAAGACTTCTTCTCACTGACCGTTCCCATATGGAACTCTATACTCTCTAACACCTCCACCTTCCTCTCCCCTCTCCAGTTCGAACTCTCTATCGACTCCTCCATTACCCGTTTCTAACTTCTCTCCTTCTTGCCCTACTTCCCCTCTACCATATAACCCCTCCTTATCTCCCCTAATCCCTAGGTACGTCTCGTGAGGGACTGTCCTCTCCACCATTCGTCCTCCCCTCTCACGTGTTGTATCTTTCTTTCTCTTACATTGATAAATAAACGAATGAAACCAAAAAAAACCTACTCTCAGCTTAAAATGTAGAGAAAAACCCGGCCGAGGAGAAGGAGCACAGTGAAGGAATGTTGAGCGAGAACAGAATATCTTTCGCGTAAAGTCCGTGCTCCTACAATGTTTGAAGCAGAGAATCAGCTGAAAAACAATGTTTGTCTCAATTCATCTTCAGCGTTGTTCTCGCGCACCTCATCATCGAATTGTTCTTGTTCTATGTCGAGATGCGGATAAGAACAACTGAACTTTTCTGTTCTAACAAGTGAACGTTTGTTTTAGCTGCCCAAAGTCTTGGACACGACTAGAAAACCTGCGAATTGCTCTCGATTGGTCTTTTCCGAACGAAATAGAGTTGTTTGATGACGATGAAAAAAAAAGCGTATTCCATTGCAGAAGTACGTTCCATTTAGATGCTTGCCGTTTGATACTTATTTTTCACGCACAACTAGTCGCTCTGCTGCTTGACCGTTCCGAATAACTGAAATTAAGATAAATCGTCCGGAAATTGCATCAAAAATGACTTACATCGCTTCGTCAAGAGTATTTGAAAAGTTTAGCAATAAAAAGTAGCGGGAATTAGCGTTGACGTTGACAAAGTCATCGGAAATCTCGTGAAAAACGAAGACATAATCGTGTCCGACGGGAGTCCGCGGCGTAATTTCTAGGCCGGCGGCCACACACAGGAGCAACAACAGGAAAAGACAGCAACTACATCAGAGGTGACAAAAACCGACGCTTGAAGAGAATGGAGATGTATTGGAGTGATTGCTTCATTAGGTTTTCGTCGAATCTATGGCCATTGAAGTTGATGGAGTGGTTGGACACGCGGAGAATTTATCGTCGTTTTGAATCGCCCCACCGGCTGCACCGCGTGGACACACCGACGCTAACACACGCTTTTGGTCGGCAATTAATCAGTTCGATTGCTATCGCTCTAAAACTGAAACCAAAACGTTGAAGTGATAGCTAACAAGCTTGCTGCCACTCTTTTTCTAAATCGTCTTGGCACGGTGCCATGACGTTTCGAAATCCCAATCGTTCTTTCCCATCAGAGTCCTTTGTCGGCGTCCTTATCACTAATTTCCAACGGTAATTAAGTCGATCGCTTTGAAATTTGCCGCAAATCCGCTTGAAGCTGAAATTTCTGCGGTCTTGATTACCGGGGGAGATTAATGATAAGAACGCCGACAAAGGACTCTGATGGGAAAGTACAATTGGGATTTCGAAACGTCATGCCACCGTGCCAAGAGGATTCGAGAAAAGAGTGTTGAAGGATTTTCGACACAGGATTTTCTACAATAATCCTATAACTTTTGAAATTACAGTACAGTAACTTCTTTTTGGTAGTGTTACAGTTACCATAAGACTAGAATACCTCAAATAATGGTGGAGCTTCTAGAAAAACAATACTTTTTCCTTTCAATGATATCGCAGAGTGCATCCAATTCGCCGTCTACCCGGGCAACTCCAACCGTAACGCTCTGCTCAACGACATCTACTGCAACTTCGTCCGGCGCCCAACGACCCGGACTATTTGCTATGGCGGAACTTTGGCGCTCTTTGCGTAGTCGCTCCCCAATAGATTCGTTAATAAATGAGATTATTTAGAATCACTTGGGGTTATTCAGAACAAACGAATGTACAAGTCGGGTACACTTGAGAATAGGAGCCAAGAACAAGAAAAAAGCGAGAAATGTAAAATATTTATTCCTCTGACGTCATTGCTATGCAAGAAGTCAGCTCTCTCTCTTCCTTCCTCTGACGTTACTGCTATTCAAGAAGTCAGATCTCTCTCTCTCTCTCTCTCTCTCTCTCTCTCTCTCTCTCTCTCTTTCTCTCTCTCTCGCTCTGACGATTCGGAAATCTCGGATATTATGGATGAGAAAGAAGCAGAAGAGAAGGACGTGAGAATTCCAGACAGTCAGAAAGTTTCTAATCACATTCCGTTTGCAGAAAAAGTTCAAAGAGTGCATGGAGTCGATCAAGACTATGGACAAGGACTACACAAAAGATTGGAAGCTTAAAGATTGGAAGTGAGACGGTCGAGGAGAAAGAGGCAAGACGGCGTGCTAACCTAGTCAAGTCGGCCTTCCACGTGGAACGAGACGGAAAAAGGAATTTCAAGCTTAACGACACCTTGAAAATGACTATTTTTGATTTGTATATCTTTTTATACAGTTCAATTGTAAATATTATAGGTCCGAGTGGACTTTGTGTCATAATCTGCTACCAACTCATTTTAGAACTTCATAGTGTTCCAGGACTTCATTACTGCCCATTTGTGAGTCGTGAACCAATAATTCTTTGCAATAACATTATTTATTCAATAAAATTAAAAACGTTGTGATTAGCTCTCGGAACGAGGGTCTGGCGTTCTTTTTCAACTTGGAGAAAATTGTGACCACACAATTTAGTGCTCTCCTCCAGCCAAGGATGACGCTTGCTCATCCACGTGCCTTCCGTCCTTTGTTGTCGCGCTTCGGAGATGCGTAGGTGCTGAAGATGAACTGGAGCAGGTCACGAACTGAAATTATCATTTCAAACGATTTTCGATATGGGCCCGCAGCGCGGTCCGAAAGCCGCTTCTTCGCGACTTTTTTTGGGCGTTTTGTGAAGTGTGTGTGTTTTTTTTTCTCGATTTTGGCTCACCTTTCTGACTCAGTACGCGCAAATTTTTTGGAAAGTTCCGAAAAATTCAGAGAAATTCAGGACTCCGATCGACATTGAATGGAATCTTAAAAAAAAGATCTTCGAATATGAAAATGAACACAAAATGCTTACCGCTTTTAAGAGAAAACAAAAAACTAAAGAAAATCGGGAAAACAGGGAGTGGCATCCGAGTGAATGCGATGGTTTCAGGAAAAATTATCCAGTTGAAATTATGTAGCTCTGAAAACAAACATTTTGAACGCATTCAACGGAAAAAAGAGGATACGAGCGTTAAATTAAGATATTCAGGAGCAGATGTTTTGTCATCTAATCTCAGTCTGCAAACACAGACGTAACCGACGTATTGCGTCTTTGACAGCATATGTTACGCGCAATTTTTAAAAATTGCCGCGTACCCGTGACCGTCAAGGGGTCCATGCCAATTTTTAAAAATTGCCGTGTACCCGTGACCGTCAAGTTTGCCAAACTTTGCGAACAGTCATTCTTTGGGGATGTGATTCTGACGGGTACGACTGGAAGTATTGTTCGTGTCGTCGGCAAGGAAGTCAAACAAGTCGCTAGTTTTATAGTCGATTGCTTCGGTGATACCGATGGAATTCAGATCAAACGAGGTCCAGCAGATGAGATGAAAGACATTGAAGAATTAATTGCAAAAGAGGCACCGATTCAGAAAATGGAAGAGTTCGAGGATGAGTCTATGGTTGCGAAATTCTGCTGTTTCTAACACTTGATCGAAAACTATTACAGAATCAGTCGGAAGAGGAAGATATCGCCAAACCCCCAGAGAAGCTTGCTGTTGAATAAGGTGAAGACAACACGGATGTGGTCAATATGGAGATTGATGAATTCGAGGAGGCAGCTCCCACGATCCCAGTCGTCGTCCCCAGTACTGGTGAAGAAGAGGCCGACATACCGATGGATCCGACGTCATCCACGCCAGCGGCAAGTTTCATTCCACCGTTCTTATTTATTCCTATCAGATTTGATTCCAGAAGCCATCCTAATCGGAACAGACGTCAACAGACTGTACGGATGCGTAAACTGCACTTTTTGTTGTCTAGATACCAATTTTGTCCCATGTTCACTTTTGATCAGCCGCCTACCCGTAATCCTACCAAGTTTTACTGCGCTTTCAGTTACAGTAGCGCAGAATGTTTATAATAAAGTTGCAGTTTAGAGCTACCACATTCTAAGGTCAAAACTAGTAAATCAATGATGGTTCTACAAGTAATCCGTATTTTTAGCTAGGGTGGCGCAGAATCGCCCTCGCCCGCCCCAACAAAAAAATTGTAGTTTTTTTTCAACTTTTCATTTCTAAAGTCATAAAAATTGTTGAGGCCCCTTTTCGTGTCCTGAAATGAAATTCGTCTCTACTGGAGGCGAAAACAAACGCCCTTTTATTCTGAGGCGCTGGGCGCCTTCGCCTTCCCCTTAAGAGGCGAGAGGCCCCTCAAAACGTCCTTTTTGCCAGCCTACTTTTAGCTACTTCTTCTTCAGTAGCCCCCTTATCTCTTCTCCTTCTTCCGCATTCAGCACAAATATCCGCGACTTGTCATAGGCTACAATTGCCCGCAGAAACTTAGTTCGGGTAGCAGAAGCGGGATATGATCTGTAATACGGAAGAACATGTTTAAAATTGTATGCCCTGAAACATTGGCAGTGTAAAGACGTAGATACGGAAAGATCATGGTCGGCGTGGCATCGACGACAAGCTTCTCGTGGCGGGAGCATCGACGGAGACGCAGTCTGGTGATAATGTCCACTTTCTTGATGATTTCCACTTTTATCTCGACAGGCATAGCGTTCCAGTTCTTTGCTTCTGGCCCATTCCCGGCCGCTTTCAGTCTTCGACGAGCACAACAACTCAACATTTGTATAGGAATGGTTTATTGGAATTGGAACAACGGACTGATAGTGGATATTTTCTCGTTTATAGTGGTTTCAATAAATTATAGTTGAATTTTCATGTTGGTTCGAGTATTTTTGCAAAAGTTACATCACATTGAATGTGTTACCATACTTTTGGCGTACCAGGTTACAGACCGATCGGACTATCGACTCTTCTTCCTTCATCTTTCAATTCCTTTAATCTTTCAATTCCTTATCACTCTTTTTCTGAATCCTCTTGGCACGGTGCCATGACGTTTCAAAATCCCAATCGTTGTTTCCCATCGGAGTACTTTGTCGGCGTCCTTATCACTCCGTCTGTAATTAAGTCTGCTTCTTTGAAACTTTCCGCAAATCCGCTTGAAGCTCACATTCCCACACCATCTTAATTAAAGGCGGAGGTTAGTGATAAGAATGCCGACAAAGGACTGTGATGGGAAAGTATACCAGGCTCACAACAGGAAGAAGGAAAAGCCAGGTGCAGTGGCCACGCCCACTAACTACAATCAGTAGCCACGCCCACAGGGGTATATAAAGGCAGAAATAGTCATTTTAGATATCTCTTTGTCTCTCTTCCTCTGATCGGACGTTACTGCTATGCAAGAAGTCAGCTCTCTCTCTTCTTTCCCCTGATGTTATTGCTATGCAAGAAGTCAGTTCTGTCTCTCTCTCTCTCTTCCTCTGGTCGGACGTTATTGCTATGCAAAAAGTCAGCTCTCTCTATCTTCCTTCCTCTGACGTTATTGCTATGCAGCTACCATACTTTTGGCGCACCCTGTAAGTTTTCATGTGATACTCTCGAAAAGACTTGCTAAATTTTGGGCGGAGGGTTTTGCTGCCACAAAATGTCTGAGGAAAAATCTACAGCGACTCCGCTTCTAAACAAAGTTGAAGCCTACCAGGCCGACCTGATCTATGGTTTTCCGAATCTATGGTTTTCACCCTTCGGCACGGCTCGGCGCGTGTTGTTGCATGTCTACTCTCAATCTTATGCTTAAAGGAATTCTGAACCTTATTTTCCAATCCGAAACACATTCCCTTTGTTCTCTGAAAAACAACAGAGAGCAGTTGCTCCTCCTGGTGGCATTTAGACCGATGAGAAAACGGGAGCAAACGGAGAAAATGTTTGTGAGCACGCCCCGAGAACTCCGCGAGCAGTAAATAAGAAATGGGTTCAATTTTTGACTTAACGCATTTTTGGCAAATCTCTGTACTCCTTTTTTTATGTTCCAAAGTTTTTTCTTACAGTTTTTCGCACTACACCTTCACAGTCGATTAGGTACGTTTTCTGTGAAGTTATGCCTAAAGTTTGGTAACTAGCAAGTGAATGTAGAACCTTTACTGGATGGTTAGCGTCTAAACCTCTTCAAAACTTCCAAACAAATATTGATGGCCAATGACAATTGCAGAAAATGAGCAAGGCCATTAAGATCTTCGTTCTCATTGTCGCCGCCCTCATCGTCATGACCAATGCGGAAGAAGAATTCTCTGTGAGTTAATCAATGATCTCATTCGAACTATGCGAACAATTTTCAGTGCATACAGAAACTGACCGAGTTGATCAACGTACTTTGCAAGGGGCATTTTAATAAAGACAGGGTCCCGAGCTTGCAGGATATTTGTTGCAGAGATATGTGTGCATATACAAGATTAAAGAGAATATTTTGCCCACAAAAGGTTTAGTTATTACGTATTCTTAATGTTTTTGGGAGCCAGTTTAGAAGTTGTGTGTTCTACTTCCATTACGTATGTCTGTTTCTAGTCGAATAAATTAGTTACAAGTTATTTTGATGCATGTCCTACATACTCAATGCACACCTTCTGTTTTTAAAACTCTCACTCCGGAAATCAAGAAACAGATGCGTTTCTCAGTGTTCTTGTAACCGATAAGAAAAGAAGATAGAAAAGAGAGGAAATTGTTTGTCGAAAAGTGGCGACAAACGTTGAACACGGAGATCATGGACACAACTTCTTTACACACTTTTGGGGCGTCACTGAAAGAGTTTAGGTATGCACAAAACCTGTCTAACGTGGATCAGACAGATTTGGACCTTTGGCAGAACTTTGCAGAGATGTTGAAAGAAAATCGAATTATTTTCATGGTTCGAAAGTATTTACTCGTCTTTTGAACCTCCACTCGTGTTAACTAGTCGCCTTGTCAAGAGAAACACTACAGAAAGGAAGTCTAAACTCTCACTCGATTACGGTGGTTCTCTTCTTTTCTTGTTCCTAAAATCCCGGAGACATGTTCTCGTTTTCTTAACTCCCACATCGTCAGTTGCCAAAAAGTTGCTCCACTCGGTGGCATCTTGACCGATGGAAAAAGGGGGGGGCAAATGAAGAAAATGTTTGTCGGCACGCACCGAGAACTCCGTGAGCAGTAAACAAGAAATGGGTTCAATTGTTGACTTCGAATGTTGCACAACGCAACAACAAACGCATTTTTGACAAATCTTTTTACTCTTTTATATTTTCCGTTTGTTTTTAACGTTTTTTCCTACAGTTTCTCACACCACGCCTTCAGAAGTTCACCAGTGTCGCTGCGGTAAGTTTTGTGCGAAGTATACCTAAATTTTGATAACAACCAAGTCAGTTCAATGGTTAGCATCTGAATTTCTTCAAAACTTCTAAATACTGATGCACATTGACGAATTGCAGAATATGTGCGCCCTCAAATTGTTCGTTCTGCTCATCGCCGCCCTCTTCGTCAGCAACAACGCACAAATGACTTTTTCTGTGAGTTATTCAATGATCTCTTTCAAAAAATGCGAACAATTTTCAGTGTGTGAGAGAAGTGGCCGTGTTGATCAGCCACCTCTGTAAAGGCCAGTTCAAGCACTACACGGGTGTTGAGCACATGTGGGCTTGCTGTTACAAACCTTGCAAATATTCTCATTTAATGAACAAATTTTGCCCAGATCAGATGAATGCCTAATAATTCGGTTCTTGTTATGTTTTTTAGGATCGAGTTTTATCATAGTTTAGAAGTTTTATGCTCTATTTCCGTTATGTATGTCTGTTTCTGGCCGAATAAAATAATTAAGAGCTACTTCGATGTAAGCCTTACTTACTCAATGCATACTTTCTTTTTTTGAAACTCTCCCTCCGGAAATCAAGAAACAGATGCGTTTCTCAGTGTTCTTGGAGAGAAAAAATTGTTTGTTTGGCACAAAACGATCTAACGTGGATTAGACAGATTTCAACCCTTAGCAGAACTTCGCAGAGATGTTGAAGGAATTCAACATGAAGTTTCCAGGGAATCACTAACATCTCTCTGCTTTGATTTTCAAGTTACTGATGCATTCTCTCGTTTTCTGAACCCCCACACTGCCAGTTGCCAAAAAGTTTCTTCTCACGGCGGCAATTTGACCGATGAAAAAACAGAAGAAACAGAGCAAATGTTTGTCGAAACGCAACGTGGATTTCGTTGGGAGTAAACAAGAAAAGGAATGGGTTCGATACTACATTTTTGCGGAACGAAAGAAGGAACTGTGTCAACAATAGCTCTCAGTAGAGAAAATTGAGAACTTTTTGGATTTCTCTGACAGATGAATTATGTTACAGGGTCTGAATGAGGGGTGTGCTACTCATGATAATCATTTGGCTGATCTCTGAATAGTAAAAAGGCATTGGAAGTATCAAAATACATTCGATCTTTTGTCTTTTCCACAATTCCTTCTGTTCTTGTCTTTGCATGTTTCTAACTTTTTCAGTTTTCACTGGCAATCGGTCAAATTGTAAATCCCAAGAGATACGCGTTGTAAAAATTGCTCTCGCTTTCTGAACTCCCACACAGAAAGTTGCCAAAAAGTTTCTCCGCTCGGTGGCATTTTGACCGACGGAAAAAGAGAAGAAACGGAGCAAATGTTTGTCGAGACGAGCGGCGAATTTTGTTGGCAGTAAACAACAAAAAGGATGGGTTCGATTTTGAGTTGCGGGGTTGCAGAACGCAAAAACGAACTGAATAAACAATGGGCTCTCACCAGACATCTTTTTTAACTGCTTTCACTGTCAGTCAGTTTGGCTTTAAGGGGACAATTGCCGAGACCGTAAAATAGAACAGGAAGGAACTACGGGCATTCTGACAGATGCCCGTTGGAAAGATTCGAAAACGCTCGCATTTAATCCAGAAAAGAGCTGTAAAAAACTGTCTATTCTCGTTTTCTGATCGCTTTAACCTAATTGCAACAGGAGAACCACTGGGAAACGAAATTTGACACAGATTGTTGTTCTCCTTCCATGTATTGTTCTCTTCTGCAAAAACCCCGGAGGCAACCTCTTTTTTTTCTGAACTCCCACACAGATAGCTGCCGACCCGTTTCTCCACTCGGTGGCAATTGACCGATGGAAAAAGAGAAGCGACGGAGCAAACATTTGTCGCGACGGGCTGGGGGTTCAACGCTGAGTTTCTGCGGAAAAGAAAAGACGAACTGCGTAAACAATGCATGCAACTGACAAACTTGAGAACTTCTTACAAAGTTGAGAACTTCTTCCACACTCATGAATATTTGGCTGACAGAAATAGTTGAAACAATGATAACATAGCTCGCAATTTATTAATTTAGAGCTCTCCGAAGGTATCAATGGACATTTTGTCTCTTGTCTTCTCCATAATGCCTTTTGTTCTTGTCTTCAAATCTGAAACTTCCGGCATCCGATTTTCCAACTTTTTCAATAAACTCGCCTTGCAGGTTGCAACAATTGTGCTCGTTTTCAAACGCTCGGTGGCATTCTCTCGTTCTGGTTTCTGTTTTCCGACGCAACATTGAAACACTTCTCCTTTCTGTAATCCCTCCATTTCTTTCATTTCTGAGAAACTCTGTGGCACGAGTAGCAAATTTCGAAGCGCTCCCAAGAGACGCGTTACCCCAATTCTCCTCGTTTTCTGAACTCGTTCACAAAATGTTGCGAAAAAGTTTCTCCGCTCGCTCGGTGGCATCTTGACCGATGTAAAAAGAGAAGGAAACTGAGCAAATGTTTATCGAGACGCGCCACGAATTTCGTTGGCAGTAAACAAGAAACGGACATAATAAGTTCCTATCTGGGTCTTGTTGTTGCTGTACACATATTGTTTCTTTCTGCGTGCGTACCGCTCCTAGAAATTGACGATTTACATTTTTGGCGGTAACAGAACTCTGTGTACACTTCGCGGCAGCATGAAATAGCGAACATCACTTATAAAACGTTTACTCTAGCCGATAAATAGTAGTTTGAGATGAAATCTGCACCACCGCTCGCTTTCCTAATTTCTGAATATCCATTCTTTTTCTGTTTTTTTCCGGATGTCTTCTCAAGCGTTTCAAACGCTCGTACGCATCTTCTCGTTTTCTGAACTCCCACACCGTCAGTTGCCAAAAAGTTTCTGCGCTCGGTGACATCCTGACCGGTGTAAAATTTGAGCAACCGTAGCAAATGTTTGTCGGGGGCGGGGCGTGTCACGAAAAACGTTTTGTGTTGTAAATAGGAAAAGAGATAGAATGAGTTCAGTTTTGTGATAAAATGTTGCAATCAAGGTTCTCATTGGTGGCTTTTTGAAGCCGGGCCTGGCAGATTTTCAACAAGACTGACTTCGAGGTTATTCTAATCTTTTCCTACGTTTGCTATGCTCACGAAATATCATTCATGTTCTTCTTTATCCTCTTGTCCTGGCACAGCCTTAAGCTGTGTAGTAATTCGTTCAACATTTTCAGGTAAAACTTCGAGTCCACCAAACATGGTTTCGTTTTCTATCCTTCTCCTCTTCCTCGTTCTCGGAGTTACTGCTGTTCCAACGCCGCAGGTAGGCAAAAACCAGACGTTTTTCAGACTTTACAAACACTTTTGAGCTCGACAACACCACCCTCGATCGAGACACGGTACAACTGTTGGGTTCTCGGGTTATGCTGCGTGAAACCGTGAGAAAGAGAGCTTTGCGTGCCGGAAATCGTCTCGTACTGCATTGCCGATTTCTAACATTCCCCACCGAAACGATCTCATGGAAATTAAACGGGCAGCCTATCCATGGAGTGTCATTTCCAATGGACATGTACGAAACGGATGAAGAAAAACGCTCAGGAAGCTGTATGATGGAATCGACTTTGATGATTGACGATGTGGTGAGGAAGGATAGCGGCGACTATATTTGTCAAGCAGACAATTTAGTACACTCTATCCAAAGTATGTATTCCGTTTACGTGAATGGTAAGCATTTTGTGATTGAGAATTATAATTTCACTAATTTTTTTCAGAACGGACACCACTAAGACGTCCGACCGTTCCTCGCCAACCGAAAGTTAATACATGGAGTTCTCTGATTCTCGGAAAATTGGGCAAACAAGCTCAGTTGGTGTGCAACTCGAACGATGCTAAGGAATTTATGTGGAAGCACAACTCTAACGAGATAAACTCTACTAATCCCCATTTCTCACTAAGGCCTAACGGGAATTTGTTGATCGAAAAACTGACAGAGGAACACAGTGGCAAGTATACCTGTACCTTCTATACCCCCATTCAAAAACATACTATGGACATACTTCTTATTGCTTTAAAATAAAGCCAGTATATTCTATGTGCTTATATGAATTACTTAGTTGATATATTTCTGATTAATAAACATTGTTTTGACAAGAATTCACAGAGCAATACAAAAAATTCGAGAAAGATGTACTCGCAGATAGGATTCAGATTTTCGCGTGTTGTGAAATTTGTTTACAACTGACGGACGGGCTGTTGCGTTACCAGACAAGTCTTTGGTGAATGAGGGAAATAATAGAGAACGGACTGGTGTAACACAAATTGGTGGATCATAAATCAGCTTGCTTCTTCACTTTCCTGTTTCACACGACTTTCTACCCGAGCAGTGATACAGGAACTTTTCAGATTTTAAATTCGTTGCTTTTAAAAAGAGTACCGATGATCAACAAGCTTAGGGATTGCTACAGAAAGCTAATGACCGTTAAGAACTATTATGTACAATTTTCTCCTGTGGTTTGCAGTGAAACACATAGTAAAAGACTTACATGAAAGAATACAGAAGATTGGGAAGCAGAATAAAAGTTGCGGGAGGAATAGCGTTGTGAGTAGAGACAACAGTTGCCCTCTCGCAAGAAGAATGAGTCGCCCGGAGCTCTCGGTTGCTCCTCCGCAGTCGCCGCCCACTTCCTATATATTTTGGCCGCACATACTCTTTTTTTTTCGTGCACAAAAAGCTTACGCAGCGCCGTGGCGCCAGCAAGAAGACACTCTTTGAGGTTTAGAGAAAAACATAAAGAAAGAGATGACATTGCCAGCAATCACATATTTGCAAAAATTGAGGAAAAAAGATATTCACACGATTGAGGCGTAGAGAAAAAGAGAAAGTAAAAGACGGGAAGAGCTATCGACTGGGTCGGGAAACGAGTAGCTTTCTATGTGTTCAGGCCAAGAAAATAGTTCGCGTTGGCGCAATTTTTCTAAACAAAAGTTCTTGAATTGAATCGGGTGTTGTCGAGCGCAACAATATTCATATTAGCACATCCACAAATGTTCCAGATTGTCATAAAGCTCGGCCAGTTCAGAAATTTTGCTGGTGATCTGATTTTTTAGGAAAACCACCTACTCGCTGGTCAGACAAACTCAGGAAGCGTTGTGAAGCAAGGCTGGTTCCTAAGATCTAATCGAATTACATTTATGTTATAAACTACAGCTTTTCGACATGGAAGGTAGCATGGATCCTGCCGAGTTTGAATCATCACGGCAACAATCTCGTGCTACCTATCATGTACTCAAGCGTTTTTTGTTGCAGCAAACCGAGAATATTTCGGCCATTTGTAATCGCTAGAAGGAAAAAATGTGCGAAGCCTCACGTGCTGAGAGTGGATAATAAGTACGAGGGAAAAGGTTTCCAAGTTTTAGTAAATTGCCACCTTTTGCTTGAGCTCATATGACTGATAATAATCGTTCTGAAACCAAAACACAAAGAGGAAGAAACAGGAGTGATAAAATTCGTTTGATAGGTAGCTTCAGCATTACCTTTTTTGACAGCCGACTGACTTGTCCAAAACAACGCTTTCTTTCTAAAAATAAGAACACGTTTCTATGAACGCCCTCAACAACCGGAAATCACATCGGCCAATGCACAGTATGCTGACTGAACACAAATCGCCGGGATTTAGAGGCCATGGCAACGAATGAAGAGTATCGAGACACGACCTTTAGCTGGTGCTTTTACTTCGCAGCATGATCCTAATGTCACCAATAATTCTACAAGAGTCTAATTTTTGCTTTCACCGAAAGTCCTACCGAGAGTAAGGAGAAATGCGTTGGCAAATTGGTCTTAGTGATTCCTCCTGATTTCCGGAAGAGAAGTCTACATAAACTAGCACGTTGAGTGCAAAAATAAACAGTAAAACGAATGATTTTGAAAAAATTATACGTAAGCTAGAGTAAGTGTAAAGGTTGGAAAATAATACCCGGAACATGATGCATTTATGTTGAACAAAACGTGAATAACTCAAAGAAGAAAACATTGCATAGTGTAACATTATTAAAATTACGTATACGTTCAATAATACGCTCGACGACCAGTTGGATAAGTTGTATAAACTGGAGAATTTTTGAAGCTGACAAAAAACACATTAGCGACAACTTTTTCTAGAATTTCGTTGAGGATTTCTGGAAATGTTCAAATTGTGCACTTCTTTTTCTCTCGACTCACTTCTCAAAGCTTTTCTGTAATCCGTCACAACGAACATAACAATCATAGAATCAATAGCCGGATAAATTGTGAAAATACAAAGTAATATGCCAACTGGGAAACTGAATTCCAGATCCAACACGGGTAAAATGACGAATGTCACTGCAGGAACGTAGAGCAGAAAAGTGGGAACTAGAACTTGAAGGACAAGCGTTTGGAACAACTGTTTGTGCAGTTTTCGCATCGCACATGACACTACTTGCAACTTTTCATCCATTTTTAGCCACATATGGACTGCACAATATAAAATGATGGTGTACTGAATGACCATAGAGACAGTGATATTGAATAGACCCAATAAATTCCGTATTCGAAGGGTGCCTTCGGGACTATAAGCAACCATTCCAACTGCAGCGATTTCATCAATATCTAATCCATACTTTTCTAGCATTATATTCCTGAAATGGTTTTTATTCATTTTCTGATTTTTCTAAAACCAACTTCCAGTACTCCCTTGAATAATCATCGAGTTTCTGTGAAAAATAGAAGCAAACACTCCACTGAACTCCAAAAAATGTACAATACATCATTGGGATCAGAAAATAACATCCTCTGAACAGGTACAACTTAGAGTCCCTGTAAAAAAGATCATTTATGTATAAAGGGTGGTAAACTGACTCGAAAACTGCCCAATAGCGATATAAAAACTGCACCGACAACAAGCATATTGTAGATGTGTAGATTCCGACGTAAGAAACCAATGCACAAATAACAAAAGACTTGCTTCCCTCGAAAGGTATACTGGTACTGTAGTAAACACCACCAGAGTTATGAAAATGAACTTTCTAAACCACTTTCAGATCACCTTTAGATGCACAAAAACCCTACCGGATTCAAAGCGAATTCAGTTGCTGAAAAAAATATTCCGAGAATTGAAGACATGATGAGGAGGTATGAATAACTTCCCAGTTTCCTTTTCACTCCGAACAATGTGATTAATATAAGCAGAATGCAACAGAACGTTGAAAAACACACACCGATATTGGAGATGGTTTGTGAAATGTTCATCCATGTTTTGAATGTGGCTTTTTCCTGGGTGATATCCATTTCCGCTACAATTTTTCTGCTGAAAGTGATTGCAAGTGCGTTTGTTGTGTCAAATACAAAGTATTTCAGGGAAGATAAGGTCGCGACCCTCAAGATTCGGAGAACGTGCACTCTTATTTATTATAAACATAAAAAACTTATGAAGACCAAGAAGTCAAAACTGATTGTAAGAAAAGAAGAAAAAATCAGCGCTAGTACTTCCGAAACAACGTTCGCTTCCAAATGAATGATTTGCTACGTGTGCTTGTTATGAAAATAAGAGCCTAATTATACAAGTCGAATAGTTCAGCAACCGATCAAATGTCATACTTTTTTGTTATTTTGGCTCCGACAAGAATGTCGAAAAACACATTGCAGAATGTGTGAGCTTAGCCGTCGTCTGGTACTGGTTGACACTGATAACTTCAAGACAGGAAATTAGATGGAAGCGATGATAATATGCATGAAATACAGAGTGGAAAACAATGTTTTGCTGTAAAGGAAATGAACCTGTGTAGTGTATACTTGCATAGACCTTGTTTCAACAGAATAGTGAGGAACAATTAAAGGACCAGGGAACCCTCAAATTTTTTAATTTTTTTGTGAAATTTTTGTGTCCGTTTGACTTGTCTCTTATTGCCTCATACACTGGTGAAATGCTGACTCTCTGAAATGCCAATGAACGAAACGGCGTGCAGTTGAAGTTGTGGCCGTGGCCTAGGAGACTCCGGTGTGAAAACTCTTCCCTGTGAGCAGTTTGATGCTCTTGCACTCTGTATGAATGCTGATTTGTGTGAATGTTTTGCAACGTATGAATATTGTGCCGAACGCGAAAAAAAAAATCCGGAAAAGATCACCTAGAACTTTTCTGGACCACGGCCACAACTTTGGCTAAGCGCTGTTCCATTCACAGGTATTTCTGAAAGTTGGGGCTCGGACAGTGAATGTGGCAATAAGAAGCAATTCAGTCAGACACATAAACTCGGAGGGTTCCTTGGTCCTTTAATCTGGAAAGGGGTCCCTTTATAAAAGAAAAACTATTTTTTCTGAAATGCCCTTCATTTCGCTGAATGAACTTTGATTTACACTAGGATTGTCGAGGTTGAGATTAAAATGTTTCTAACCTGGACCGGCCGGCGACAATTATGCGTTAACGTCATTCTTACTTTTCATTTCTTCACAAATTTCAGTTGAAACTTGAGAATGTCGAACCTCGAATTGATGATAAACAGACACCGCTCTAATCTGCGGAGAAACGAGTTTCACTCCAAGGATCATCGAATGGCGGCTGCTACTGTCGAATTGATTTCACTTTGAGATGATGTGTCTCGACTGTTCTGTACCCATTTTCTATCTACATATTTTCCACATTTTGCTGTTGAAGGCTACAATAAATTGCAGATTTGTGAAGCTCAGGTCCAGGCCAATGATTCAGTGATTTTGTCTGAAATCTTGACTTTACTTTCCCATTCTGAAAATCTGAAATTCTCCAACCGCTTCCTCTCTTTCTCTTTATCATTTCTTTGTTCATTTTCTCGAGTGCAGCGGGTAATACAAACAGATGTGGGTGCTGTCCGAGTATTTGGCCGATGCGTCAACTGCCGTGTCCCCCGTCCTTTCGTTTGAGGTCAACGCGAAATATAATGCTAGTGCGAGAGACGCAGGGTTGTCGGTAGAGCGCACTTGCATTCGGCCTATAGCTTTGTTCATTTGTTCATTGTTTTTATTGATGTTTCTCTGATTGCCTAACATTTTTTTGGTAAAATTATACTCTACTTTATTGAATTTTTAATTCTGCTTTCTTTTCTCAAGTTTTATCCGCGATTTTCTTTCAAAATATCAGCAAAAATCATTAAAATTCAGAATGGAACCAGGATCGGGGTCTCCGTTAACGGCACGGGCCAAATTTGAATTTCAAGGAACTAATAACGATGAGGTAAGTCTATTTATGCAGATTTCAATCATTTGATTTTAATTTTTCAGTTGAGCTTCGAAAAAGACGACATCATCACGATTACACAGCAACAAGATGGTGGATGGTGGGAAGGAACCCACGAAGGACTCACCGGATGGTTTCCGAGCGGATATGTCACTCTCATCACTGAAAAAGGTACGAAAACTTCCGGTTTTTTCGATCAACGCCTCGATTTTCCAGACAAACTTCAACGATCGCGGTCTGTGCCCAATGCGACTGCTAGAGGTAACGTTTTCCGGCATTTTCCGCTGCTTTGAACAATTTTAGTGTCATTTCAGAAGTAGTTGCACTCGGAGCTCAACCAGACTATCGGAGCGACGTACTAAAGAGTTTTGTGGAGGGAGAAACAGAGTACATCAAGAATCTGCTGAAAACTCTGCAATCTCTGCTCATTCCGATCGGAACTGCTCACATGTACGTTTTTGGTGCACTGTCAAAGCTGTGAAACCATGGTTTTGACAAGAAGAGCCGAAAAGCGGCCATACCTTTTTTTCACAACCATACATTTTTCAGCCTCTCCGCAGACGACTATTGCATTTTGGTCGGAAACTTTGAGGACATCTACATTCTCCAAAAAAATCTTCTCTCCAATTTGGAAACTGAACAGAAGTAAGCATTTTCTGGTCGCTTCAACCTTCAACCTCAATATTTCCAGCGAGGAGCTTCCAAAAATGAAGATCGGAGGAGTATTCATGAGCGCCGCTTTGGAAATGCGTACCGCACTGTCTGCATACGCCGATAACCATCCGAACGCCGTCGAAGTTCTCAAGAAAAAGCAGTTAGTGATGACGGAGATGATGATTGCGCAGTTGTGACGTATTTTCAGGAAGGAACTGGACAAAGTGGCAAAGGAACAGGGCAGAGACTACAAGGAACTGATAGCGGGGCTCAGCGAGCCAATGCGTCACGTCGACAAGTACTACAATCTGTTGCAAGAACTGGAGAGAATCGTCCCGGTTAGTGGAATCACTTGCAGAAAGTCCCTAACACATTTTCATTCCCATTCCTCTTGTTTTCACGGTAAAAGAACCAAATCCTAATTAAATTTTCCAATCACTGCCTCGTCGTCAGCTACATAATTCCCATGTTTTTGCAGCCAAACCACCCGGATCGTGGGGATTTGCAGCGCGGAGCCGCTGTTTTCCGGGAGACCAAGGTATCACGACAAAATGAACGCAAAAAAAAAACACACAGATGAGAACGGAATTATTACAGGATTTGTGCGAAACCCTTCGGAAGCAGAAAGAAGCCCAGCTTGACTTTCTGTACGTATCGAAAGTCGACAAAATTGTGTCGGCAGCGGAAAGAGGCAATATGTTGTACGTGGGCGTTGCGAATGTTGAGTTTGTCAAGGATGAATCTGTGGACAGGTACATTAAAAAATGGGAATTAGTTGAAAGTGAAGAGCTTCAGGTTCATTGCCCTGTTCTCCAAGTACATCATGTTTTTCGAAGTGAACAAAGACATGAACTACGATATCAAAGAGAAGTACCCGATTCAAGGATTCACGGTCCGCCGGAAGGATGTTGCAGAAGTAGTTTTTGGTGAGTTTGTGAATTTTCCCTAACTTTGAGCGAAATGTTCATTTCAGAACGCCCAAACACTGGAGAGTTTATATTGAATCTTGTTGCCTCTGGCGGAGAGGTCGAACGATTCATGACGGCACTGAACAGAGCTGAGAAGGTGCTCGTCATCGCCACTCCGTCCACTACAATCGTTCGTCGTCCATCGAAGAACGCTGCGGACGCGATGAACCACTCACAGATCCAGAGTCCCGAGACTCCGCTCACTGCGAAACCACCACATCCGCCAACAGTTTCGGATAGCATACTCGGACTGATGAACAAGAGGAAAAGTTCAAAAGCGTGAGTTAAAAAAAAATGGTGGTTTATTAAGACTCTGATTCACATATCGACGGACCAGATGATCCGATAGGTCTTGAACTTGGACCCAGCATATTACAATCCAAGTCTTAGAAGTTTGGCACCAATCGGATTATATCAAATAATCTAAAAGTTCGGGCGTCGGCCTTCCTTTTGCCCAGCCCTGGTTGAATGACATCTGCCTCATGATGACTGGCCTCCCTCACTGTTTGCCACCTCGCGCCTAAGCACGTGCCGACCGCGTTTTTGCCTTCTACTTTACTTGCCCGCGCCTTACCGACTTTCGCCGCCCGGTTAGCTCAGTCGGTAGAGCACCAGACTCTTAATCTGGTTGTCGCGGGTTCGAGCCCCGCATTGGGCTTACGTTTTTTGCATTTCGATCCCACGACCCTGATGTTCCTCTGTAACCAAACAAGAAGCTAAATATTTTTGTGGTTTTTTTTGGATACACCACGCCAATAAAGAAAATCAAAAAATCAGTGAATTAGGAAGCTCTGTCTGGTGACTCAATTCCCTTGTTTTTGTTCGAATATATTTCTCGGTCAGCTGGGATGTATGCATACAAAACACGAACCGCTACGTCAAGATCGGTATCGGAAGATCAAGAACAAAAAAAAAGAGATGGATAAGATTGTAGTGGGAATTCGGGAAAAACTGTTTTGAAAGTGAAAGCACGGAAGGGAAACAAATTACGGTAGTTCTACTTACAGTTTCGATGATCCGATGAACGCGAGCAGCATCAAATTCGACCATGAACTCGGAATGGTGCTCCCCGAAGGCTTTGAACTGCCCACAAGCAGCCGTAACTCTCGAAATACTTCCGGTTCGTCTTGTTATTTCATTATTTCTGTTTTCCTCCCACATCACATCATTACCCGACAAAAAAACACGGTATTTGTATTCATTTCAGATAATGTTCAATTCTCTCAATTCCCTGCGTATTTCCTGAGTGGAAATGCCGGCAAAAGAAGCGATCGTGGATTCCGCCTACGCAAAGACGCTGCGCGCGAGGAGGAGATCGAGTTTGAGACGCTTCGAATTCTCGACGGTTACTGTGTCGAGTCGGTGGGAGCACAATCGGATTTCCATGGAGCCAACGATAGCTATCAGCAGCCGCATCTGATTGTCGCCGAGGACGAGAAGATACTGGTCGAGGAGATGGTCGGAGACGAAGTCGTTTTCCAGGAGAAGTACGTGTTTTTTTTTCCTTGTGCTTGGTCCCGCTGAGTGTCCGTGAAGGACATATGGACGCCCCCGTGGGCGGGTGTGTTTAGAAGACAATTGTGGCTGGTTTATTCATGAACAATGCTAATCCACTTGAGAATGAAAGTGAGCGAAACAAAGACAATAATATATTGGAAACATTGGAAAGTGGTGATTTCTCGTGAAAAAAATTGATAGATTCGGGGGATTACTGTACCAATAGACATCAAAACACATTGTGTATATCTAGTAAGCAAAAGCATAAACAACTTTTTCGATCATCTTTCAAGTATCAAAAATTGCTCCAATTGTGCATAGTTTGACCCCTCGTTTTTTGCTCGCCTAGCTCTACTCCCCCCGCTCTCACAGCCCACTGCTTCTCGTTTCTCTGCTCATTTCCCGTCGGTTTTTCAGAAGCATTGTTGACGCCGTCTACTCCATCAAAGATCAGCTCTCGTTTCTGCAGACTGAATTCCAAAAACTGGCCAAGGTAAGAGCACTATTACTTAAATATTCTGGGAGGGAGGGGACTCTTTTGAAAACGGAAGAAAAGAGAAAGGAAGAGAGAGAACTCGAGAAACAACACATTAAAAATCTATGACGAGGCATGGCAGGCATTCAAGTGAATAGAAAGCAGCTCACAAGATTTTTTTGCAGGTCGTTGAGTCTGAGCAAAAAGCACGTCGCCGTTTGGAGCACAATCTGCCGAAAATGTCCGGGATTATATCCCCGGATGGAAGTGTGAGCACTCCGAGAAAAGAGATCAACTCTTTTGACTCTTGAGTGTCGGGAACTTTTATTTTTCGAATACGTTTTTTCTGACATTTAGAACTATTTGTCATACTTGTTACCAAACGCGCATTTTCTCTTTTCCCCACTCCGTTCAGCCTTATACTTCTAAAAAGTGCCTTTTCCTTTTCCTCTTCATCTTTTTCTTATTCCCAAGTCGTGTAACTTTGCTCACTTTCTTTCTCCCTATTGTATGCCTTCTTTTTCATCGACTACATCATCATCCATGAACGGAAATAAATGCGACACACTCAGTCTTCATTCTCTCCTCTTATTCCTCCTCTCCTCTCCTCTTTTTCTCCTCCTCTCTCATCGGAATCTTCCATTCATTCTCGCCGGTTTTCGCCACCAGGACCGCCGCTCCGCTCATTATTGCGACCAGAAAAAGGAGAAGGAAATTTGGGCGGACAACACAAGAGAAGTGCACTTGAACTTGGCCATAAGTGGCCACAATTTTGCAAAAGTTCGTATTGCAATGTAACTTACGCGCCGGCGACTAAAGAACGCCCGAATATTAAGTATTTCTATGTATGAACTGTCATGTTTACGCACATTGTACGTGTTTCGGAAGTCTGGACGTTCCGGGCATGGTTTTGATAGACATACAAGGAGGGATGGTTTTCAGTTGATCTTTGTCTGTGCGCTCCTTTTCATGCTGATTTTTATGGAAATCGGGTTTTCTAAACGCGATTTTAATGTAACCAATGACGTGTCATCCATCAGAAAACGGTCCCCTAAGGATCTAAGCTCTATCTATACCTTCGAGTTTTTCATGTAGGTTCAATATGTACAGTTCCATGAAAACATCAATTGGGTTGGGTTCAGGAAGTTACAAAACGGAACAGCAAATGGATAAACAGAAACACTTCACTATTTACATACATAGTGTTCGCCAAAAGTGTTCCCTCCCCAATTTTCATCGATGTTCTTATAATTTGAAATTTTCGGAGTGTCCCACACCGCGTAAACGATGATAGCGATCGAGGTTTTTGGCTGGTGCCGACGTCCTCCCCCCCGCCAAGTTTTGATGGATCGTTTAGATAATCAGATGACGTCCGTGTCCTCATACCTTCCTCAAACGCAACACTTCTAGATCTTCTCACCTTGATCTTTTGTGTTGTTTATCCCGAAAAGTACTAGATTCTGGTTGCGTTGCTCCGACCTAAAATCAGTTCGGATTTTGTGCGTTGAACGAGATAGGTTATGCTTGTCGAAAGGTCGTGGGTTGGTCATTGGCACTAAGCACAAACCTAAAACCTATTATTTATTGATATTGGTCCAATTTATTTTTGACGCCTGAATGTAGTTTGTTTTCCATTTTCCATTTTCCCTTTTCCCTTATTCATTCTCCCTAATAACACATTTCTGTCTTGTTGATCCATTAATCTTATTCTAAGTAACTGTCAGGTCATGAAAAAGTACCGTTTTTTTTGGAAACCGAAACCTATTCTCACGTCTTCTAGTTACTTTTTCACGCTATTTACCTTTTCAGTGACATTTCATGAAGGTGATAAACTTTCGAATACCTTTACTAACGTCATTTTTCCCTTCCAGAAGCCACCTGTTCTAGCCCAAAACTACTGTTCACAGTTCAGAGAACACCCTGATGAGGTTGGAGTCCTAACTTTTAGTACCCGCTTTTCAAAGCGTTTTGTTCCGATATTTTCCGGAAGTTGCTTGGTCATTCATTTCAGTAATATAATTTGAAGGCGTTTTGATTCTGAAAATTGGTTTTTCCTTTCCCGAAACCAGAGAAAATGTGATTTAAAATGGAAACGTCAGAGTGCTGGAAACTCCCAAAAAAAACGTCTCTGCGTCATCGAAAGATGATGTGATAAGTGTACGAAAAGTGCGTCTAAGCCAGCACGAGCCAAAAAGTTTAGAATGTGCAATTTGCTTATTCTTCAAATTTTTTACTCGGACACACTTTCGGTTTTTCACCCGAAAACTTGAAGAATCTTCTATTCTAAAACTGTCTCGAGTCAAAATTCCCCTCTTCCTTGAGAACGAAAGTCTCACGAGTCGAAAAAAAAGAAAAAAGTTCAGCCAACATTTCTTGTGGGGCAAATGTAACTGAACCCATTGGACGTCTCAAATTCCGCGCCATTTGCTGCTGTCACTCACCTTACACACTTCAGCGCTGATGCTCTTCTTCTTAGTATCTCTGAGTCTATTTATGTACCATTTAGTCTGTCTATTCTTTCATTCTTTGACCGATTCTGTTCTATTGCATTTATGTCCTTTTCCGTACTTACGGAAGTTGGCACAGGAAACCACTTGTATTTATTCTTCTCTCCCTCTCCCTCTCTCTCTCTCTCTCTTTCTTTTTCTATCTCATCCGCCGATGTCGTCATAGTCATACACTTTTTGGTCCCTCGTCTCTTTTTCCTTTTACGGAGCACGCCGGACCCTTCTTCTCGACCAAAATCTTCAGAAGCGAGAGAGGAAGAGAGAAAGAGAAGCCGGCTTTTTGTGGGGCCCGTGGGCGCAAATGTTGCTGAGAGGGTCGAGAATGAACTGACGGGAAGGAGAGAGATAGAGCAGGCCAGTGCCCTTCCTGTCTCTGGGACCCTCTCCCTCTCTCTCTCTCTCTCTTCCCTCGTTGGTTCCGGAGGAGAGAAGAGAGTCCGTACTTTGTGTGGTGGTCTTTCTGCAACTCTCATCCACACACGTGCCGTTTCGTTTTTGCCATCTTCTTCTCCTTTTCTTCAAAAGTTTCTTAGCATGCACATCCATCATCTCCAACTTCTTGTCATACATTAAAAATGTTCTAAAGGTCATTCATTGTTGGACGGACTCTTTGGAATATCAATATCTTTTCCCAAATGAAAAGATGACGTAGGCCGTGATCATGATCATCGTCATTTCCTAATCTTGTCAAAAACTGCATTCAGCGAGCTAATGCCAAGTTCAACTCTTCAAATTCAAACAAAAAATCAGCTGCAGTATCAATTTTAACTTCCTTTTCTTATTTTGAGCTGAGAATACATAGTTTAGATCAAAGGAATCAGCCACTAAACAATCTTTTTGAATTGATACATAGAAACGAGAGCTTTCGCAGAAAGTTTCATTAATTGCTCTTCTTCATTGAATTGCCCACATATTTCTTCTTCTTCTTCTTTTTCATTGCTCTATGTATGAACCTCCCATAAACATTTCCCATGCATCGTGTTTCTTGGTCAAGCCACGCCCACAAAGTTTTCTTCTTTGGCGTGGCTCTCGTTGCTAACCACCCGAAAGCTTCGTCTTTGACTTTTTGACTTGACTGACTCCCTCCAAACGCACCTGCAATCTATATAAGTTTTCTCGACCACCCAGATTATTTATTTTGTCTACTTTGCGCCTACTTCTCACACTTGTTTTGATGTTTTTGTGCTGAGCCGTAATCTTATCGGTAAAACTGCACAAAAATTGATCTCAAATGAGAAGGAACCGAACGGAAATGTTGTTATTGTCGACGAGCAGACATGTTTTGCACATTCCTCTTCATATGCACATGTCTGATCTCAAAAAAAAAAAGAAAATAATCTGGCATATATTTTTTAGTGTGAGGCTGTGGTTGACTTGAAACAGGAAATCCGGCCAAAAACCGTGTAGCTTACTAAATCTTCGGTCCCCGAAGGTAAATGGACACTGCTGCATCTTTTGATCTCGCACACATCCACATACATACAGATTCACTTTTAACTTGGGGGTCACCAATCTCCGATCGATCGGATAGACAATAGAGTAGATGGTATTCGGTGATCATCCATAGTTTGTATTTTGGCGTATTTTCTTCTTGATCAGACACTATTCTGATCTCGGATTGTTCGACTGTGTCCTGTGTATTGGACGGATACCGTTTCTCAACAATTACGCGACATTTGTGGTGACGATTCCCGAAAAGTTGGAAGAAATTTGTCTCAAACAGGTATCGCCTGGCACTTTGCATTCTTACAAAGATCACGATCGTTTTTGAAAAAAAACTATTTTGGGACTATCCAGTGAAAAGAATCGAAATGTTCTGTTTTCCGTTCTTCCGATATCTCACGCTTCCATGCAGTTCATAGCAAATGGTGTTTTTCTCATCCCTCTTTCATTTTTGTAGAAAGTGCAACAGCTTGTTAGCACAAATAAGGTTTCCGAACCCATCGCAGGTCCACTCTGCGGACACCTTTTCCTGTTTTCCCGACGTCCTTCTCCTCTTTTCGGTGCGTCTTTTCAATAGAATCGCATGTTTACAAAGTTGTCCGAATGTTCATTCACCCTCTGTTCTCTGGTGTAACAAATGGCATTCCTGGTGTCAGAACGGAACAAAACAACAAAGTGAACTGTCCTTTGGAAGTCATTGCGGGACTACACCAAGTACGAAAACTTAGTACGTTGCAAAAAACAAACACAATTCGATCTTTACTGGCATTCGCGCAATAATCTTTATTTTCTCCGCAACAAGGACAGGGCAGCCCATACCCTCCTGTTCTCTCTCTCTCTCTCTCTCTCTCTCTCTTTCTCTCTTTTCATTTTCCTCTTTCCTGCTCTTTTTTCGGCCGCACAATGAGCAAACAGTGCGGATCAACAGAACAACCACGCGGCGCTACCCACCCTTTCTATTGATTTGACGTAAAACCGTTTCATTATCCACTTCCCCCTTTGCTTTTCGCTTTTCAGATTTTGTAACTGGCTTGGCACAAGGCCGGTCCAGGCTTATGCTTTTTGAGGCCTGAACTTTTATTAACCCATTTGCAATAATCCTGTCGGACCCAAACTTGCCGGCTTGAAGTTTTGTAATGTAAAAAATGTGTTAAACTTTTGAACAATTTCTCCAAGACTTTCATTCTAACTTTCACCCCACTCTCAGATTGGTATTGACCGGATTAGCTTGGTCTAACAGCTCTAACACACTTTTCATCTTTCTCTCCTCCTCTCCTATCCCCTTCCTTCCTCATTTCGCTCGAAAAAACTGCAAGGCTCTCTCCGACCGCCGTGAATTGTTGACCGACCAAACCGGAAAAAAATATCTATCAAATAACGTGAACGTGTTCGTTTTTCCATTTCCCTCAGCTTGTTTCTGGGAATATACTGACAGAACTCACCTGAACGCCGGCAACACAATCTCATTCGTTTTGCCATTTTCCTACAAATAATTTATCTAATTCCAGTACAATGAATGTAAAATAAAGGCCAACCCACCGCACCCACTCATTTTTCATTACGTAGGTTTGGGGTAATCGAATTGAAACGCATACGCAAACGCACATATGCTTCAAGTAAGTAACTTCAGTCGTTTCCGGTTTAACTGATGCATACATACACACGACAGTTTGCCGTTGTGTGTTCAGTTACACTTTGACCAGAAATCAACATCGCCAGCAAGAAAATCTAGTTTTGTCTTTAAAATTTTGGACTACTACCCCTACATATCAAAATTTTGGAAGACTATAATTAATTCCGACCGAAGATCTCTTCCGAATTCTAACTAAGCTCTAACTTTTTGTGCAGCGCACTTTTCGATGAACTTTGAGGTCAGATAGGGCTGAGACGGTCTGACAATAGTTTGCACTCGAACGAATAATCCGTTGTGTACAAATGTGAAATTATGATCGACATCGAACAAGACTTTTTCGTGAAATTTGTGGGAATTTAAACAATTTCGAGGTGTTCATGTCCCGAACCCGAACCTTCTGAGTGTCAATTCAAATCTCCGGATCTCGCGATTTCCGATCTCTGCGGGTCCGAAGATTTTTGATCTTTGTGTCGCCGCGCGCAATCGTAGCAATGTGTGTATGCGGGAGAAGAAAAGCAGAAAGAAGCGAAAAACGAAATGAAGAGGAAAGAAAGAGAAGTTTTCTCTGTCTCCCTCTCTTCGTTTTGCCTCTTATCACTCATTTCTCGCGGACGATACCTGGTGTCCACTGATCACATCACAATTCTCACATTGCGTCGACAATGTCCTTCACTTCTATCTTCTCGTTCCATCCGTTTTTTCGCTTCCCGCCCTCACCCGAACCCGGCGCCGGGGGCTTGATTTATATCGCTTCTTCTCTTTCCGCATCATGTCAATCGATAATTAATTAATGCATGTACTTTTCTGCTGGTCGGCCCGCGAGGGAAGCCCTCATTTGCCTCTCTTTGTCATCGGCGCGAAAAGAGAGGAGAAACGAGAGTGAATGATGGGCTGCCGGTTAGTACCCTAAACTGACAATTTTCACTGCTTCTCGTCAGCTGAGAACACTGTCTCTCTAATGTCTCAATCATCGATTCGAATCGAATCAAGCTTGTCATCATCCTCATCCCCATCGCCATCCGTATCCTCATCCATTCTCCATCACCCATACCCCATCGCCATCTTCATCTCCATCTCCGTCTTCTTCTCCCTCTGATTCTCCCTCTTATGCCAGTCAGTCATTTAGTCAACATTTTCTCGTTTGTAACGGAAATCAATCGATTGCCCATTTAGTTTCTGATTATCATACCATACTTGTTTGTTCACTCACGGACCCGAGTCCACGTGATTCCACACCTTTATCATACTTTTTTGAGGGCGATAAGAACTTTCCTCGCTCCGCTTTTGACGCAGAAAATCATTGAAATCATTCGGCTTCGTAATTCACTTTCAGCCAAAAGGGAAATAACATTTTGTGACGTTTCTGTAACTATTGTAGTTAGACGGTTCATTTTTGTTCGCATGAGACGCAGACATCTCGTCGGTGCCACGTTGTCAACGAACCGAACAGTTCAATCGAAAACCATCAAATCTCGTGCTATCTTTGCAGTTTATTTCTTCTTTTTCTAGAACTGGTCCTATTTTACGGTAATTCTCACAGAACAGGATTCGGAAAACCTTGAAATTTCTCCATCTTTAGTTGTTATCAAAAAAAGAAAAAAGTGTTAGCGGATCAGTTTTCGGGTCGCTGTCCGTCATTCTCATTTGATCCGACTCACCGGCGCCACGAACATACTTTTTCACATAATCTTTCAATTTCCTCTTTGTGCTAAACTTTCGAAACCAAAAAAAAAACCGAAAATTCTCTCACAATTCTAGCAATTTCCGCTTGAAAATGCGTTCAGAAACTGAAGCTGAAGCTGAAATTTGGCGGCGACTCACGCGCACGTTTACAGTGAGCCACGTTGCGACGCCAATCGACTGCAAATGCGCTCCGCCGAGATGTTCGCTCACCTCTTCCGCTCAGCGCGCTCACTCGGGACGGCAATGCCGACGACCACTCATTTCTGTCTTCCTTCCTGCCCTTTGCCCTTACAACTCTGCGGCGCAACGCGTTTTTGATTGATTTGAACGCGCAAAAAAGAACTAACGGTTGGTTTTAATCGGGGTCGCCGCCGGCCGTCCTCATCTCGTCGCAAAGTACTCGAACTTTTTCTCGTTTTTTTTTTCCTCCTTTTCCTCCCTCTCCCCAACAACAATCAGTTTGGCTGTACATATTTCCGTCGAGGTCAACAAGACCTCGTGGTAGTCCATTTTTTTGAATTAACCCCCAACCCATCGAAACTGACAACATGACCATGAATGGTTCCGTTTACGACTTTTCCGAATAACTTTTTCGTTCCGTGGTGCAATTGCAACTTGCAACGCTTTTATGATTTCGCTCCGCTTCCGATCGGGTTCTTCGCTCACATTGTGTTCTGTTTATTCAGATTTCCAATTCTCACTTCATAACAGACGACTACTTGCTCTGCTTATTTCTCTCTCTCTTTCTCTCTTAATTGCAAGTGAGATAACACATATTTTTTCAGCCAAAGACCTCCACACTACCCACCTAGGAAGTGAGCTTCCCTCTTCTCCCCGCTCACAAACAAGTCGTCGTCGTCGTCGGTCGTCGGTCGTCGAGAGAGAAGACTATAACGCTGGCTGTTGACGGAGTCATCATGAAAGACGAATACAATTCGCAGGTAATCTTGCCAAGACCATGCTGACGTAGGATCTCTGACGGAGATCCTCATAAAAAGAGGGAGCGAGAGTCGTGAAGAGAGAGGAGCGAGCTCGTCACTTTTTCATGAATAGCTAACAGAAGACTATCAAATGACTGGCTGTTGCGGACCGCCGACACACTTTATGGGGACCAGATCATGCAAAAAGGTGAACTTTGCTTTTCCAGGAATGTATGGTGTGTTCGGCGCCGGCTGACGGTCTCCATTACGGTGCAATCAGCTGCCGTTCGTGCAACGCCTTCTTTCGTCGAACGGTCGTCGAGAAAGCGGTATGTTTCGTTTCCGCGAACAAGTGGGAAAACGAGGGACTTTCTGTCATCCTTGTGCGCCAACAGGATGAAACTTATTTGTCAATCAGTGAAGAGCGTATGCAAACAGCCTTCGCTCGATAGTTTCGGTTTGGGCGATCCAAGATCACTGTTGTGAACATAGAAATCTTGCACAACGTTCTATGCTGCTGCCGTCGTCGCCTTGCTTGCAAATGGGGGAGCAAACAAGCCACACTGTGCACGTTTTGAAATGCGCTGATATGTAGCACGTTCAGCTGTTAAAGAATAGAAGAGAAAGAAGATAAGCCGGAGATTACTGTAATAGATGATTCCAATTGCTTTGGACAGAGCGTAAGAACAAAACAGTCGCAGGAAATCCCATTAGACGCATTCCCCGCTCAATTTGATTAATAGTCTGCTTTCCATAAAGATTACACAGTCGGGGCCTTTCCGAGGGTCGTACACCTCTGTCAGCCCGAGCCGGCCCGGTACTTCTAGCCCGATACATGGGTTTTGACGGAAATTTTTTGAAATGACTTCTGAAAATAAAGGCAATTTGTATAATTCAACTTTTCAGGAATACCGCTGCAAACACAGCAACAACTGCGTCATTGACCCGGATGGAAGGTGTGCGTGTCGTTCGTGTCGATTCAACAAGTGCAAGGAAGCGGGAATGAAGACCTCTGGTCAGTGATCGTTGCGTGACGGAAACGAGAAGTTTTCTTCCGGTTCTCGGTCGGAAATTGAAGTGAAAAGTGTTGCCTTAAATCTGATTTCATCTCTTTCCTTTCCCTAGCAAATCCAACCAACCATTTCAGCAGTCCAACCGCGACGAGACCCCACTGGATCGCAAAAAGAGCGTCGGAAGAGAACGAGCGGACAAGCGAACCCCGATGGTTCCATGTCAAACAGTCCGATGGAGCGCAGCAACAACAGCTTCTCCTCGACGGACGGATTCACGCCGAACAACTCGTCGTTTATTGTGGATGCCATCAAGTCGGACTATGGATTTGTCGTTCCGGCGAAAGTTTCTCATGAATATGTGAATTCGCCGCAAGAGCGCTATGGAAAGCACGTGAAGATGGAGGTCGACGAGGAGCCAGTGCCTAGCACAAGTTCTGTGCCAGAGAAGGTACGGAAGCGAGACTGAATGAGTACTGATACGGCAGCATTTGATAGAACTTTGAAGTTCCCGCTGAACTCCAAACACCAAAAACGTCATGAGCTAGTAACCCAATTCCGAGTGACATTCTAACTCTCCGTTTGCAGATCTCCCGCCTCAGCACACCACACGATGATGAGCAGCAAGAGTTTCGGCACTTGGTGTACGCTTACGGCGAGCATCAACGCATGATGCAGCTCTCGTTTTCCACGTTCGAGCAGTTTCTGGATGAGCACAATAGTGGGCAGAAACTACGGAAAATGGAGCCGGTGGACGTGAGCAAATTGTCGGCGGTCGAGTTGACCGGATTGTTGTACTGGATCGAGAAGCAGCAGCCGTATACAGAGCTGTCGAGCGAAGACAAATCGGTGTTGCTGAAACGGTACTCGGTCCGAAAGCTGAGTTTGGATCACTTTTACAGTGCATCGAAACACCCGGAATATGTAAGTGATGTGGAGATTGAAGGCAATTTAGTTAATCGTTACGGAAAAAGTCAAAGAGTCAATTGAATCTCCGCAAAAAACCTTGAACCAAAGTATCAGATTAGCCGAAATTTGTTAGACTGAACTAAAAATACATACATAGATGGACGTGTTTTCATGAACTCTCAAATTTGGCTTTCAGTGCTGTGCTCTTCTTGTTTCGCCAAATGAACATGAAAAAAATAACGTTATTTTCAGTGCGCCCGCGGCGAATTCGTCATGAACAACTACACATTTGTCCCGGCTGACCGCACCGGATTCGAGTTGCCCGACGACGATCCGCATCAAATTCAGGCCAAGAGAGAGTAAGCGTTTCACAATTATCATTCTGTTCTCAGAAATGAACCCCTCCCCCGAGACCTTAACCTGTGTCGTCACCAACTAACGTCACCTAACCCGAAACGCGTCGAGAAACAGATAGTATCCCGCGTTTTGTTGAGTTTAGTCTTTTCAGAACGTTCGCACCAACATTCTCGCGATTCTGGAGCAACGTCATCCATCCGTTTGTGGCGATGAAAGTGAACGACGCGGAGATTGTGTTCCTGCATATTATGCTGCTTTGGAGTCTGACAAGTGAGTCTGGAAGTTCCAGACATAAACAAAACATGTTTTTTGGTGTCTAGTTACTGGAAATTGTTTATTTCAGATAACGAGCATGTGACCGATGTGACCCGAAAAGTGATGAAGGAGCGCAGGGACTGGGCGATGAACCGGCTGTTCGAGTGGTACAACGAACATCGGGTCGAAGATCCCGAACTTCGATTCGGGCAGATGATCCTGTTGCTCGGAGAGATTGAGGCACATACAATATTTGATCAGACTCTGGGAAAGAACCCAATTATTTCAGCTCATTTGTGACATGCATTGCCAAGACTTCCAAGTGGCCAAACTGTTCGAGTTCTGCGACATGAGCAAATTCTGGTACGAGACGTTGTGCTACGCGCCGTGCAACACCAACGTTTTGAAATTCGATCCGAACCTGCTCGAGAACTTGAAGAGATTCACTGCGATAAGTACGTTTACTTTTTCACTTAAATTTTCACTTGTCTAGCAAAACGTTTCTCCAGTTTTTTCGCTTGCCAGTGTCACTAGGGAGGGGAGAAAGAAAGACATTAAAAAAAAATTCTAATCGGCTAATGGCCTGACTGCACACTGTCCAATAACAATCTTGATTTCAGGTGTTATGGAAGCAAACAACGCAAACGTCAAGTCCGAACTGAAAGCGGAGCTCAAGTCGGAGCCAAGTCCGTTCACAATGGACATGGAAAACGGGCAGAACGTGTACAGTGAGCAGACACAGTACACGTGCTCCAAGACGAGCATCGACGCGTCGCTGGCCAACATTGATCCGGCGCTTCTGGTCTTCAATGCGCACATGCTGCCAAATGTGCTGGCGCCGCTTCCCGACGACCTGGACTACAGCCACGCGGGACTGTTCCAGCACTCTGGCGAAGAGATCATGTTATGACAACCACAGTACAATAGGCCGCCGATTATTTCCATGTAGAAGGAGTGTTTTGATTATATATACATTTATAATTTTTGTTCTATTTTGTTTATTTAGTTTTTAGTTCCACATACCAACCTATAATATAACTACCAAATCAATTTTGTCCGGGTTTTTTTGTTTCAAATACATAGGTACCGTATTTCTCCCCCTTTATTACTACTCCCCCCACTCACCAACCCTTAAAACCTCTGTCAGTTAGTCATTCTTTCACAAAAAATGATCTCGTAACGTCGACATTCCCAATGTGATATATGTTTTAGTTGAAATCGACCGATTTTCTTTCTCGCACTGTTTGTGAATGAGTCCGCCGACTTTGAATTATTGTGCCAAATTTGTGGTTTGCATACATTCGTTTGAGGTGTTCACTTGAAATGCAATAAATTTGTGTTTAAGAATTCATCGAAATTGTCTTGTTTTTCGTATTGCCTATTTTTAGACAGTGAATTAACTGGAATCTAACTATTTTTAGCGGTGTCGGTCTCTGGTCAATTATTCATTGTTAACAACACGAAATCGATATTCTGCGAGTAGAGAACAGCGACCACCTAGACCACTAATCCTAATCCGTTTATGGCGAAAACGGGGAGGGGGGAGGGAGGGTTTCTTCATCTTTTTCTCTCGTCTGCGTTCTCTTTTGTAGAAGTGATCACTCACTATTCAAAAATCTGAAAATATTTTCATTTTTGTTCCTTCCAACCAGACAGTGGCGTGACCTTACCGATACCGATAAAAACAAGTGTGTGGCGGGTTAAGAACTACTTGTGAATTAGTGTTTTTGCGGTTGTGGCTTGTCTTGCCCCTTTCCTTTTTTGGCGAAAAAAAAAGAAAGTTAGATTGTGCCGTCCCGAGTTTTCTGACAGTTTGTTCTCAAAACATTTCTGTCGCACAACAATAGTCAATGTGAATTCAATGCTCGACTGTTTGCCTTTGTCATTTCGTTACTTTTAAGATGAAAAATCTATCGAAAATCGTTTCGCTGTAAAGTGAATCTATGAATCGATCGAAAAGAACCATTTTTGATCCGATGTGTGTGATCCAAATGCAAACACGTTGTTGTTCCTAGACAAAGAGACCCTTCTTCTTCTCTCTCTCTCTCTCTCTCTCTCCATCTCTCTTTCTCACCCTGCCAAGAAGAGGGTCTTGAGAGGCGAGATACTCTTTCTCTCTCTCTCTCTCTTCCCGATCCTCCTCCCGTCACATGCACTATGTTTTTCTCACGTCAAGCGTATTTTCACCATATTTTTGCTTCTCCCCATCTTTCGACTCGCTCTTTCCCGCACTTCTTTCTCCATCTCTCCCCCCTCAACGAGTTGCACCTGAAATTGAAAAAAGCTTTGTCCCCCATTCCCCCCCACTGTTACTGGATTACCTTCGTTAAACAAATTGAAACAAACAATATTATAGTGTCATCGCGTATCAGCGGACGTCGTCGATTGACCAAAAAAAAGCGACAACAATGGGGAACAATCAGCCGGGAGGAATGTACAAGCGGGATCGTCCGTTCGACTCGGAAAAGAGCCAGTCGAGAAGCCGATCCGGAGTGCCGTCATCCTCGCCGCCGTTGGGAGATGATGAATGCCCAGTTCAGGTGATTTTTTAGTGTACTTGATAAGAGCAGAGCAGCCAAAAATTGCCGTGTTCTTTTACCCTCTTTTCGTCATTGCAGGGGGAGGGTTCGAACTTTTTGATAAGTGTGTGCTATAAGTTAGCGAGTGCAAATTACGAGGCTTGTCGCGGGCCGGTCCGGAGTCAATTTTGCTAATTTCAATAGAGTATACATATTTTCGCCAAGTGTCCAAGTTACAAACTGTGTTTACAGATGAAAATTGCAAAAAGCGGCGATGAGGCCAAGGAATTTCCGGTGGTCTTCAAATGGAATTGCAGCAATTTGTAAGTGATCAAAATTCGATCTATCATATGATGAAATGAAAAAAAATTTCAGAGCGCCCCGTGCCGTCTACATTTGCGGATCCTGGGATGGGTGGCGTCAGAAGATTCCGCTCGTCAAATCGACTGCCGATTTCTCGACAATCGTGGATCTGGAGCCCGGAAAGCACGAGTACAAGTTCATGGTCGACACGAAATGGGTGGTGGACGACAATCAGCAGAAGACGAGCAACAATATGGGCGGCGAGAACAACGTGATCTTGATCGATGAAGCCGATTTTGAGGTGAGCGCAAGTGCCACATAAAATCTGCATAGAGTCGTAAAGCCGAAACTTAAACCGACACCACGCGGTGCTTTTTTGACAGTTCTCCTCTCGGTTTTATTGCCAAACCCTTCGGCTTATATTTCGTATTCGGCCGGTCAGAAACATACTTTTTGTTCCTGTGAATTTGTTCCCAATGAGCTCGACAACTCCGTCTAGTACAGATGAGGTCCAAAAGTTGAGTCTAAGGTTTCTATCCGACACTTTCTATTCCAAAACCGCAAACGCATGCAAATGACATGTGTGTCGGTGACTTTGAAATGGCAATACGCATGTTTTTGACGTCACCACACACTAATTGTGTGGATGGTTTATAAACTTTCAAATATCAGGGACCCATGAGAATTTATTTCCAGGTCTTCGACGCTCTCGACAAGGATCTGGCTTCTTCCAACGCTGGCGAGGCCCTTCGGAACACACACCCCACCAAGGAATCGCACGACACCCCGAACGACCGCGAACTGGAGAAACTTCACCAGTTTGGTCAGGAAACCCCAACCCGTGCGGACTTCAACAAAGCCGCTCCGCCGCCAGTGCTCCCACCGCATCTGCTCCAAGTCATCCTCAATAAAGACACTCCGGTTCAATGCGATCCGAACGTGCTCCCCGAACCGGATCACGTCATGCTGAACCACTTGTACGCGCTCTCCATCAAAGATGGAGTCATGGTTCTCTCAGCCACGCACCGCTACAGGAAGAAGTTCGTTACCACTCTGCTTTACAAGCCCATCTAATTCAATCCCGGAGATGAATGTTTTCTTGAAACCGCTGCTTTTTTTTGGAATATATATATTTGTGATAATATTTTGCGAAAATGCTAGTTTTTTGGTAGCTGACCCCTCGAAATAGCCCCGCACTCATTCCACTGCTCCATCAGTTATCCGCCACAATTTTTCTAAATCGAAGTTCGTAATGTTACATGTGTACATTCACATTTACTTTTTTTTTGATAGCACCGAAAATAAAGTCAATGACGTAAAACTTGGTAATTTTTGATCACACAAACGATTCCTCGAAGAACGGAATGTGTTTGAGAGCACTGTTATCGGCGAAATTGCCATGTGGAAAGGCGATATCAAAAGAATGCGACTTGAAATTGTTATCAGTCGCTTCATTCTGCTTTCGAAGGCCAAATGAAGCTTCTGTTAGCTATTTTTCTCCACTTCTCGTTTATATTGAACTCGATCTTGGCGGCGGATCCGACAATTGATGTAACTGTCACGACTTCCAATGGAACTGCTACTATCAGAGGTGAGTTGAGAGCAAGATTGGGGTGGAATTGGGAAATTCAAGTTTGTTCATGCTTGAAATAATTTCACGCATATGTGGTTTTGAGTTGAAGCGTCACAGGTGTCTCGAGAGGGTATGTAGGTTGAACTTTGGTGCGTTAGAAATCTGATTTATCATTCTTTTGGTTTGAGGTGGTTTATCGGATTAACGAGGGAACAAACACTTTTTGAACTCATGGTTGAGAATAAAATAGTATCCTGCCCGGCTTGAACATTCAGAAAATAGAGAAATTTGAACTGAACCATCATTTTCCGGTTTTTTTGAAGTATCGACCTGGCCCGGGTTGCAATTTTGCAAATATACCTTACAGTATTTCTACTACAAAACACGTTTTAGGTTACCAACATCCTTACGGCACCTCGTTCCGTGGAATTCGTTACGCTCAGGCGCCACTCGGTAACCTCCGTTTTGCCGAAGCGCAAAGATTAGACCCATCCGGTCTAATTGAAGCACTCGCGTACGGTCGAATTTGTGTTCAAGGAGATGGAAAATCATCGTCCGAAGACTGCCTCTACATCAACGTGTTCACGCCGAATGTACGTGATGCTAATCTAATCAGACACATCACATTGAAAATAGATAATCGAATGATCATTTTGATCGCTCGCTTTTCAGAATGTGACTCAATCATCCAAACTTCCGGTATACGTATACATCCACGGAGGCGGTTTCATTGAAGGCAGTGGCGATATGGGCGCGGGAATTTATCCGAATTTGGTGAACAAGGGACCGATTGTGATGGTTTCAATGAACTACAGAATGGGACCGTTTGGTATGAGCATGCAACTGAAGTTGTACATATGTACATAGAGATTTCAACATTTTGAAGGATTTTTCTCGACTCGTGACGCATTGGCTCGTGGAAACTGGGCAATTTCTGATTGGATTGAGGGCCTCAATTGGGTTCAGCGCTACATTTCATTTTTCGGAGGAGATCCGAACCGCGTAACGATCGGCGGACAAAGTTCTGGCGCCGAAGCAGTTTCCACGCTAACACTTACTCCGCTGGCAAAATGTACGCTTTGCTCAGATTTTATAAAGACAGAAACTATGTAGTTTTCAGCACTCTACAAGCAGTCGATACACGAGTCGGGAAGTGCGTTCGGCGCGGCCGTCATGTCTTATTCGGAGAAAACAAGAGATACCAGTAAACAACTGTCCATAAAATTGGGATGTGCGACTAAAGATCAATGGGAGAGTGGAACTGATTTCGGGGTAAAAACAACGGATTTTTAGAAGTCATTTTCAGACTTAAGAGATAAATTGCCGATTCGAGAAAACATTAAAGATTTTGTCCAAAAATTTCGAACTTTCAGCCGATTCTCAACTGCCTGAGAGGTCTGACCCATGACAAACTCGTATCTGCCGACCAATCCCTGCCTAATCACCGAATGAAATGGTCCATTGTCCAGGACAAAAAGTACCTCGCTCAACGTCTGGAGTACCTTGCACTCCAGCGTGACTCCTCGAAAAACGTCTTGATTGGTGATGTCCACGATGAATGGCTCGGGTGGGGTAGGTGTTTTCTTTTAACCTCAATCTCATCGGTTTCAGTTCAGAAATGAATAACATCCTCCACAACTTGAACAGCACTCACAACACTGGTGCGCAGATCCGTCACGACTTGACCGACTCCTATGAAATGAAGTATTGGGATAACCCGACGTCGGTCACTGTTGCTGCTAACAATAAGTACGTGAACAATCAAGGATGGCCTGAGGATGATCATGAAGATTGGGAGGCCAGAAGAATTCAGGTAACGGGTCTCGACGGACTGAATTGGACTGGTCTTTCGGTGATTTCAGTTGTGGAGTGAGATGGTGTTTATCGGTCCAACCCTAAGGGACGCTCAATACTTCCAATACATGAAAAACAATGTGTACTTGTACTCGCTCGATTGGCTCAGCCCCGAAGGTATTAGGAACCGAGATTATTCATAAATTTCGGCTGAAAGTCTGCACCAAACTCATTTCCAGCCCTTCCTCAAGTCACCAACCCCAAGTTCCGTGGGTGCGAACACACTTGGGAGCTACAGTACATCTTCTCGACCTCCTGCAACGGATTCACGTGCACCGACCAGGATGAGATCCTCCGCAATTATTTCACCACTACTTGGCTAAACTTTATCATTGGAGGGTACGTGAATTTCGAAAGAATATGTGACGGGAATGGAATTTCAGAAACCCGACACCGGCTGGAAGTTCTCTGCCTTTCAAGTGGCTCGCTATGGACAAAACTAACAGATTCCTTTCGTTCAGTCCAAATCCAAAAATGCAAGCCGACTATCATCCGGATTCCACTTTCTGGTCATGTACCGCACCAACTATTGACGGGTACAAAGGTCCATTCTGCTAAAGTCTCTTGCTTACGTACTGTAATAAAGTGTTTGCAAAAACGACAAGAAGAAAATGCCCGATTCCTTTATTAAAGTAGAAAAAACATTTGCGTACAAAAGACAAAAAGTTGAAGGCTATCAGACAAATCTCAATTTCTATTGAATACTCTAAAACGTTTGGTACGCATGTACCAAAGTGAAGATGGAAGTTTTGAAAGAGAAAAATCACGCAGCTGCTTGATTTTTTGTTTTGACAGAAAAAAAATAAAAGAGTTCAGAACCGTTGGCTCAACGAAATCAATCACACATTGTGTTATATTATAGAAAGATGGGTGTGCTGGAAATGAGGATGAAAAAGGTTACAAATGAGAAAAGGGGGTCAAGTATGAAATGAACTGATGAAAATGCATAAATGAGCCACTTCTGGAACATTCAAATTTCTAAAAGAAAACTGAAAGTTTTTCAAGCTAATTTTTCTTTAAAGTTGAGTGTTCCACAATTGAAAACCGTTCAATATGGTGTGAGATATGAGGGGGGAAAGTTGTTTGTTTCAGTGATTATTAAATGTATGCATAAACTGTTTTTCCCTCATAAAAAAGTTGGTTTGAGTATAAAGCAATAGGATGATTACATATGAAACAGGGAAATGCAATCTGGAACTTTTTTTTTGGTTTTTTTTCATTGTCGGGTTCACTTCTACAGTATGACTCTACCAGATGGAATAAAGTGTCGAAATGATACCTACTCTGACCGAGGTTCGTCTTTTTCTTTTCTGAATATCGGGGTTTTTCGGATGTACAAGTTGTTTATGAAATGGGAAGAGTCAGAAGGAAAAAGAAGAAACCAAAGTCAAAACAAGTTTTGAGATTTTTAGGGGGCGAGTGATTCTGATTCAAAATTTATAAAGATTTAGGCAGCTGGGGCGGCGGCTGGGACCTTGTCCTCGACGAGCATTTCAAAGTAGACCATTCCGAGACGGGTGGTGATGTCGTGCTCGATGTTGAGGGCGTAAGCGCGGCATTCGACGATGACGAGCTTGTTGCGAGGGATCGTTTCGAACTTGACCATGGCCTAGAAGATTTGGTAATAAAAGTTATTGACATCTTCAGATTTACTAACAATTGGCTGCTGGTAGGATGGAGTGAACACGTATGGGTAGTAACGTCCGTCGATTCCGGACTCTGGGAGGTACTTGAGCTTTCCGAGGTGTTCCTTGTCGAAAGAGTTCTGAAATCCGATAAAATTGTCATTTCAAATCCCCTGCTGCTTTGTTCTTACAGCTCCTTCACAGTTGACGGCAATGGATCCCTTCTTGTATCTGCCCTTGACTTCTTCTGGGACACTTCCGGCCTCATAATCCACCGGGCGCCATCCGATGAGTCTGTTCAGCGAGACAATGACGCATGGCTGCAAGTTTCCTGTTGTCAGGTGGACTGTAAGCACTCAAATACCTTTCCAGACTTGAATCCGTACTGGTCTTTTGGTCCACAGTTGGCTTTATCGAAAATTCCGAGGTCGAAACGGCACGGAGCGGCATCCGGGTCAGTCTCGAGGGCTCCGTTGTTGTCGCTCGGTCCGCAAGCTCTCGTGTCCTCAGTGTTGTTGTACTTGGAGAGGTAGTCGTCAAGTTGCGAGACGTACGGGGCCCAGGACTTTGGATCTTGCAGGTTGAACTTGATGATGGTCGAATCCGGATTCTCCTTGAGCCACGGCTGGTATCCGACTCCTGAAACAGACGCAATTCAGTCCCTTAAAGTACACAGCATTGTCTTATTATTATCGATTCTGATTCAATGTTTCGAGGTGTTGCAACACGACACTTTCTTTCATAGAGGTAAGCTGATAGACATTCCGGTGATAATTTCGTAAACTACGTCAAAGTTTTGCGGTTTTCGCAAGAGTGTGTGCTGTTTGCTCGTTGAAAGTTTATAACATAGTGCACAATCAAATTGGCTATGCAAATTGTGTGACTTGGCACGGCACTTTTTGCTGCACTACACAAGAACTGACTAATCGGAGGAAACCACACTCTGTTTTCCGTGTTCTTTGCTGCAAGCCAGTTGGAGTGCAAACCTCTTGAAAGGGATCTTTTCCATCTACCCAACACACAAACGTATCAGTGGCGCAACAAAAAGTGAAGAGTTACAGGCGAAAAAAAAACGAGTGACTCTTTCTTCCTTCCCCTCTTTTTGTCTTTCTGAACTCTGCACTCACCCGGGTTCGCTCCGATGATGGTTCCTTTTCCGTAGAAGCGTGGCACTTTCGGGTCGAGAGTCTTCAGGAAGATGGCCAGACATCCGACGAAGAATGCCGACAGGATGATGTAGAAGATGATGTAGAACACCGTGATTTGGACTGGAAAATGAGAAATTGCAGTCAGAGGTGTACTTAAGACCATCTAAGAAAGTATTCACTTTATCCTGAGCCGAGATTTTCCTAAATTTGTTCAAAAGTACTCCATTAGACAGCTTAGGTTGCAACTAATATGGCGTAAACCAAATTTGTTGTAGTTACAGAAAGTAAATTGCGCATTCCGCTGGTATTGACTTAAAGAGGAGTTCAACCCCAAACTTACACCACGACTTTCCAGTTCTTCCAAGAACGGTTCCATTTTTCCGATTGAAAAGGAATTGAGCAAACGTTTCCACTTCGGCCTTTTCTCTTTCTCCGTCCATGAGCTGAAAAGCATGAGTTTCGCAATAATTTGACAAGAGCTCACTTCCTTCGGCTCTTATTCAGTCTCTACTACACTGCCGGTCATAATTATAGGTTCACTTCAATTTTTCGAATATTTCGAAAACTAGGCGCTGTATTCAAAAAAGTTCTTAAGGGGATTTTCGGTCACCCAAGGTACCACAAATGTACAAACTAAACCATTCGACTTCAGTGAGAAATTTTCCAAAAATCGTGATTTCTCGAAAAAGTGACTTTAGCGGTTGGTCATAATTATAGGTTCACCACTGAAATTAGCCAGAGGGTCAACTGAATAATTTTTAATTTTAGCCATAACGTCTTCTAAGACTGATTATGACCGTTTTACATCGATTTCCGACAAGCTTCTCGGTTCCCTGATTTTTTTAACCAACTTTCATTGGGTTTTGGGTCAATCATAACTTTTCGTCTTAAAATCGAACCTAACTTTGGTTTTTTGGCCGGACGACAACAGGATCATTCTGGAATGAGTATTTTGTGAGGTTTTGTGAAGTTTCATTGAGAATCTACGAGAATTTGATATCTTTTTCTAATGTTGAAGTGCTTTGGTCGACTAATCCCAAGTAAGTTTACATCTGGTTTTTGCTCAAATTTGGAGCAATCTCTGAGAGACTTGACGGCAACATGAAGGACCCAACCAACAATGCACTTGCCAAGTTTGGTACGAATCCGATCATTCTGACCAAACTTCGGAGACGGTTGTCAGTTTCGATCCTTCAAAAAATGCAGAAAAATTTCATGCTCTGGATTTGCTCGGGACTAGGGGGGAATGAAAGCTCCCATGAAGGGTAAAAAACGCGTAAAAGGTTTCATCTCTGTTTTGGTGTTTAGCCGAGATATGATCAAAAGTATGAAAAAACGGTACATCTTTTTCGAAAAGTCGCATCTCCGTCAGTTTTTGAGTAAAACACTCGGTAAAAAAAGGAAAATGTAGCTAATGAGATGATCTTTAAACATGCAATTGACTATCATTGACGAAACAAATTCTTAAAAGAGATATTCAACAAAATATGAAAACGTTTGTACTTATGTACACTATTTTGCGAATACAGTTTGACGGGACTATCACCATTAGATTCAGCGTCCAAAATAAGGGCCGTAAGCAAAAATTTTGCCTTGGGAAATCGCTTTGACGAAAAAAAAGTTATCGACAATATGCTTTGCCCCTGTTTTCTTGTGGTTCTGTCTGTTTGCTAGCCTGTATCTCCTCAACCGGTAGAGATACCAAAACGTTGTCAACTGTAAAGTTAAAGGTACATGTCCAAGCTATAAAACTTTAGTTGAACGCTTTTTGATATCTTTACTCGTTCACAAGTTATGGCCGTTTCCGAGTGATCACTCTAAAACTGATATTATCGCATTTAAGGAGTGGTCCTACAATTTCGGTCTCAACATAAAAAGTGCTCAATAAGAGGCTAGACATCAAATGTCGTTCAGCCTGTGTTGATCCGATCTCTTTCGAAATATTTTATGACTCATGCTTGTTTCGAACACCCTTCTCTACTTGACGGTAGGAGAGTCACACTTCGAAAGAGATCGGATCAACACAGGCTGAACGACATTTGATGTCTAGCCTCTTATTGAGCATTTTTTATGTTGAGACCGAAATTGTAGGACCACTCCTTAAATGCGATAATATCAGTTTTTGAGTGATCACTCGGAAACGGCCATAACTTGTGAACGAGTAGAGATAAAAAAAAGCGTTCAACTAAAGTTTTATAGCTTGGACATGTACCTTTAACTTTACAGTTGACAACGTTTTGGTATCTCTACCGGTTGAGGAGATACAGGCTAGCAAACAGACAGAACCACAAGAAAACAGGGGCAAAGCATATTGTCGATAACTTTTTTTTCGTCAAAGCGATTTCCCAAGGCAAAATTTTTGCATACGGCACTTATTTTGGACGCTGAATCTAATGGTGATAGTCCCGTCAAACTGTATTCGCAAAATAGTGTACATAAGTACAAACGTTTTCATATTTTGTTGAATATCTCTTTTAAGAATTTGTTTCGTCAAAGATAATCAATTGCATGCTTAAAGACCATCTCATTAGCTACATTTTCCTTTTTTTACCGAATGTTTTACTCAAAAATTGACGGAGATGCGACTTTTCGAAAAAGATGTACCGTTTTTTCATACTTTTGATCATATCTCGGCTAAACACCAAAACAGAGATGAAACCTTTTTCGCGTTTTTTACCCTTTATAGGGCCTTTCATTCCCCCCTAGTCCCGAGCAAATCCAGAGCATGAAATTTTTCTGCATTTTTTGAAGGATCGAAACTGACAACCGTCTCCGAAGTTTGGTCAGAATGATCGGATTTGTACCAAACTTGGCAAGTGCATTGTTGGTTGGGTCCTTCATGTTGCCGTCAAGTCTCTCAGAGATTGCTCCAAATTTGAGCAAAAACCAGATGTAAACTTACTTGGGACTAGTCGACCAAAGCACTTCAACATTAGAAAAAGATATCAAATTCTCGTAGATTCTCAATGAAACTTCACAAAACCTTACTAAATACTCATTCCAGAATGATCCTGTTGTCGTCCGGCCAAAAAACCGAAGTTAGGTTCGATTTTAAGACGAAAAGTTATGATTGACCCAAAACTCAATGAAAGTTGGTTCAAAAAATCAGGGAACCGAGAAGCTTGTCGGAAATCGATGTAAAACGGTCATAATCAGTCTTAGAAGACGTTATGGCTAAAATTAAAAATTATTCAGTTGACCCTCTGGCTAATTTCAGTGGTGAACCTATAATTATGACCAACCGCTAAAGTCACTTTTTCGAGAAATCACGATTTTTGGAAAATTTCTCACTGAAGTCGAATGGTTTAGTTTGTACATTTGTGGTACCTTGGGTGACCGAAAATCCCCTTAAGAACTTTTTTGAATACAGCGCCTAGTTTTCGAAATATTCGAAAAATTGAAGTGAACCTATAATTATGACCGGCAGTGTAGATCAGCTACGTCACAACACTACTACGCGTCTTTTTCCCCCCTTTTTTCTCATTTTTATTCTTATTCTGTGCTCTTCTCCTGGGAGGAATGAAGGGCCGGGATAGTTCGCGGCTATCCAGAGAGACGCCGAGAAGAGCGCTCCCCTCACTAACTGACTGACGTGCGTTGAAATCTCTTTGCCTCCTTTTTTCGGTTCTCTAAATCCGAGTGGGTGCAAAAGAGAGAAAATGAAGTAAATTGAATGGAATTTCATGGCATTTTTTGATGGGGCAAAAAAGTGAGTGAAATAATTTTTCCTGGCAACCAATTCCTCTTTACAGGAAATGTGTCCAAAAAGCTTTTTTAACACAACTTTTCCATCTTTTTTTTGACTCTCACGCGATGTATCATGTCTTGCATTTCTGAGCATAAATTGACGAGTCCCGCGAGCACCAAATTGAAAAAAAAAATGGAAAAATTGGTTTTTCATGTTTTTCATAAACACAAACATCTGTGAATTCAAAGAAAAAAGTGCATACCGTTGTATTCTCCTCGCCATTTGTTTTAGCGGCCGACATTGTGCTAGCTTGCCTCGATGGACTTTTACCCAAACTTTCTGAAAAATGGAACATTCATAAAGAGGAAAAAGAGGGAGAAGAGAACGAGAACAAAACACAAAGAAGATCCCAGAAAAAGAAGAAAACACAACAAGGATGTATGGATGGAAAAGCTGCTGGCTGCTGGGCTCCATTTGGTGATGATGTCACGGTCCCCCTCGTTTTTTGGGAAAGGGGTGAGGAAGAGTCGGTCGTCGTGCCTTTTTTCTTGCTGGACGACGAAAACTGAGAGGCACACACACGGAATGGAATGGCAAAGAAAGGGGGTTGGAGGAGGAAGGTCCGAGAGATTCGATCAACTTGTTTCTTTGACAAACAAAACAAGTGGGGGGTGCATCAGCATCAGCAAAAAGTGTTCGTTTCTCTTACAAGTACCATCCACTCTCAGGAATTGTACAAAAATAAACATATCTTTGTCGCTTTTCACTTTTCGTGTCAGTCAATGTGTTGCGGGGGGGGGGGGTCTAGCTCTCTTGGGATGGGAACCCACTCCCTGGAATTTTTTTCAAAATAAAGTGCGCATTGAATTGCATTGCTCGCTCGCTACATCGAAAAAAGGGAGAAAGGCTAGATCGAGTTTCACCCGACGCATTCCTAAAAAAAAGTCGCTCACTTTATTTCACTGACCAATTCCTCGTTACCTTCCTTCTTTAGAAGATCGAATGAGAAGAAAAGAACTTTGGTTGTTTTCTTGTTTTTAATTTTCCAGTTTCTCACGTTTTACCAGTGACGCAGACGTCCAAATGAAGAAGATGTTTATCATTTCCTGTCACAAGTACTCACACACAGGTAAAGATGGGTATCTTTTTTCAAGGTTCTGTTTGTTGAAGGACACTCCACTCAAGAATCGCTAAAAAATCAGCAGCAACGACAGAAGAAGAGCGGAGGAGGGAAAAGACATGTAAAAATGACCGATCGGTGGGTTGGTGACCAGACTGAGTGGCGAGAAATGAGAATAGTTTCGGTGTAGAGAGGGAGAGAGTGAGGTCTAGGCTCCGCCCCTTTTCTTAAAGAATTCCAAGACCGTAATATGCTTTTGCAATCGTTTATTGAGCTCTTTGCTGATCAAAACTTTGCTCCGACGTTCAGCTGCGAAAAACGCGGAAAACAATGGTTTCTTCGAAATGTTTGTGCTTGTCTTTTCAAAGGTTGCACCATCAGCCCATCTCGTCAAGCACAAATATGTACAGTCTACAAAAATTTGCGATGGGCAACAGTAAAGCCATTGAAAAAACAAACGCAGTGCACTGCCGCCAGACAGGTGAACCCAAAAACTCGACACGAAACACCGAGAACAAAAAATGCGGGTATTCAGTTTCGGGGACTGACCTACACGCGAGTTTGTCGAAATTAACTTCAACTTCCGCTTCCCACACCAAAATAGCAGCCCAATTCCATCAGAAAAACAAAAAAGACTCAATGTGACATGGAAGGGAGAAAACCTTCTTTTCTTCTTTTTCATTCGATTGTCGATCAATGTGTCACAAAAGATTATCAAGGGTAGTAGGAGTAGGAGTCGAAGGAACTTTCACCCTTTTCTTCTCCTTCTTTTTCTTCTCCTTTCCGATTTTCAATAAGATTGGCATTCTGTCTCTTTTCCTCTTCTCGTTCACCAAAACGTATGACGTTGTAAAACTGAAGAGGAATGGCGTCAATTGGAGCACTTATCATACTTTGGGCCGGGGAAACCCGTCTGATAGTTGTGAATTTGATTAGATAAGAGCACTGAAAACCACATAAAGGCACCAAATATTTCCGGAATTTGTTTGGAAACCGCAAAGAACTTTTTTTTCTCGTCTACTTTTCAAAGAACATGAACACAGCAGGAAGAGTAGAAGAAGAAAAAGAAGAAGAAGAAGAAAAAGTAGAGACGAAAAGTGACGCTCAGCTGTCGAGGACCACCTGCTCTTCTCTGCTTTTTGCCACCTCTTACTCAGTGCCATTATGTTAAAATACAAAAAATTGAGTTCAGACGGCGGAAGTGTGCGGGAAAACCGTACAAAAATGTGACCACTGAGGGTACAATGAACGATTAGCCCCGAAAAAGGTAAAGTAAAGACAAGGCCAGCGTGCGTCATTTACTTTTGAAACAAAACAGGGACTAAAATGGTAACCGACTAAAATCTGCACTCCTAATTCCAGTCTATTCTTTTACTATTCGCCTGAGGGGCAACGTAGAGAATGAGCCTGACTAGACGATCCGGGGGGGAAAACCATAGAAACGTCGGGCGAAGACGATTGTTTTGTTGTTTCTTCCAAACGAAATATCACGCAAGAGAAAAGTGCGCGTCTTGTGGTGTGTACAGGCATGATGCGTTTGACAAATGAGCTTAACTGTGGCATTTTTTGCGAGTGATAGTGATTGGAAGTGATGAGAGAACAGTATCAAACAATGGAAAACCAGAAAGGTATTTGTTCAGCTTCAGTGTACTTTGGAAATGTGCCAAATTGCGGTGAGCTTAGAAAAAATGATCATATCAAAAATGAAAAGAAAGGTGATTGTTTTCTAGAATTTTAGAGTATAGATTCAGTAAATTTATGCTTCAGTTGAAAAAACGTCTGAGAGGTTCTGTCTCAGGCTTGCTTTTGGTTTAAAAAAATTACAAAACGATCTGATACAGTGTAGTACCTATAGAAACCAAGTAAAACAAAAAAAACACAACAAACCGAAATCCAATCTGTTTGCGTTTGACAGAGAGTTGAGCCGCCGAGACAGAATACATACTAATCGGACTGGATCACCAGTAAACCATTCGAAAGTGAGTGTCCTCTGCCTGTGCCAGTGTCCTCCTCGAAAACTCAAAACTACACCGATTCTTCCCCCCTCTCCTCGTTTCCCTGTATATTTATCATCACCGGAGCAGCCAAAAAGCAGAGAAAAAATGCGTCGAGTTTTGAGCTATTACGTCAATTGGATCACTAACGACGCAGAGAGACTATCAGTGAGCATTTCGATTTTATCAACACAACTCAATGGTCATAAAAATATCAGCGGTCTCCTACTTTTGTTTCCGGTGAAGATAGTGGAATAGTTTGCAACAGACAATAAGAAAAATGGGGAGACTGATTTCAAGAGGAATAAATTAACTAAATCTTTTGATCTATTGTGATAAACCGGAAAGCAAGTTCACAGAAAACGGGGCAGATATCGTCGGCTGAATGAATACACAGAGGCACGTTCTCACAGATTGACCATTCTACAACATCTCTCACTTTTCCGATGATCTTTTGTTGACCGGTGAGGTGACCAGAACGTAAAACCGCTTGAAGGAGGGTACACGCCCGGGAGGTAGAGAGGCAGAAGGACACACATAGAGCTACGAAACCAAATCATAGAGAAGAAGCCAAGAGGGTCGGGTGGCCGAGGGGTGTATTAATTTAGGGGACGATGGAGGCGGCTAGCGGGTGCCATAAACACATATGCATATGCTTGGAATTGACGAGGGGGTGAAATGTTCGAAAAAGCGTCAAGAAGTCACCACATTCAAGACCGGAAACTGTTCACTTTACCTAAAATGATGTGATTCTTGACATCAGCCAGACGAAACTGAACTTTGAGAGATACCCTCCCTCTGCCGGCGGAGTTTTCATCTCTCTCTTTCCGCTCCACATCGACCGGGGGTCATTAAACCCGGAGGAGATCATTAGGTAAAGAAGAGAAATATCTTGACGAGTGATGCATTTGTCAGGTGTTCCCCTGACAAGTGGTTCTTTCTGTCCCGCCAAAAAACTGCTGAGCTTCTCTAAAGAGCTCATTGAAAAATCAAAAAAGAAAGCGTTTGTTTCCCGGTGACTAAGACGGGATAAGCGCGGGAAATTGATAAGAAAACGTTGTTTATGTGCGTACATACGAAACAAGGCAGACCGTCTAATAATAGATGCGTTTTGAAGGTCGACGCCGTCCTCCGAAATGAAATGAAAACGGGCGGAAAGAAGAAGAAGAAGAAGTTGAAGAGGGCTAGGTTAGGTTATAGAAGAAGGAGAAGAAGAGGTTGCGAGAAAGGAAGATGTTGAAAGAACTTTTTATGTATGTATGTGGCCCGGCCAAAATTGGAGGCCATGGAATTTCAATGCCTGCGCCTAACTCAATTTTGAATGTAATAGTAAGATTCTCCATTCACACCCATTTTCAAAAGGAGCGACGAAGAACGGGAGGATTATGTCACAAAAGTCTCAAAAAGTGAATAAAGTTGCGGAAGATGGCTGCTGCTCTCGCCAGCCTACTCCCACTCGGTCGCAAATTTTAATCCATTAGCCAACAATAGTGTCTTCCTCTTTCTTCTTCTTTTTCTTCTTCTTCTTCTTCTTCCTCCTCTTTTTTTGACTTTTTCTAGGGCCATCCTCGCAACAGGAGCCTACCCATTCTAATCCGAACCGCATACCCCCACCGCCCACGAAATTTTAATAACTCGCAAATATTTGGCGGTTTCTCTCTATTTTTGTACTAAAATTACACCGTTTGGAGACTTGAAAGACTAAGGTGGCACTAAAAATAAATAGAAAGACGATAAATATCGGAAACTGACGACGAGAGAGGGGGAAAACAAAACACTGAAATAACGGGGCCTAAAAATGTGTTGTTGTGGTTTTTTGTTTGCTTCTGTTTTGTTCTAGGCGGGGGGGGGGGGACCACTTTTGCTTGCCGAAGAGCTCACTTGTTCACGTTTTCAGTAGGCTACAATATTGAAGGCGAATTCTGAGAAAGCAGCACAAAAAGAACTCTTTGATTCCTTTGTTTCTTTTTGTTTAATTTGAAATACGTCAAATCATCAAAAAAGTGAGCAAATGATCTTTGTTCCGATGTGTACTCATTGAGCACATCGAGCATTCTTTGTAAATAAACGGTCGGCGACGAGCTACCTGGCATTTCGATTCGGCAAGGTCAAACTACTGTATTTTTTCAGGCGGCGCTTAAAAAAAATGTTTTTGTTTCAAAAAAAAGTAGTGCATATTCATATTCGTATCACATCATCACCATTTCGGCAACTTCAAAGGGGAAATTGTGTACACAATGATAGTACAATATGAATTCAAAAAAAGAGGAGGAAAACAGCTTGGAATGAATGAAATGCGCATTCGGAATGCACTCTCATCAATCAGTACCCGCACCGAAATGGAAACGAATGGGAATGGAAAATTGAGAATTGAGGGCCGAGTGACGGCTTCGATTGACAAAAGGAGAATGGAAAAAGAGAGAAAAAGAGAGAGAGAGAGAGAGGGACGCAATAATATTCAGTGTAATGACACCCAAAAATCGGTAATTGTCGGTGATTTCGACGGTCACGGTCGACGAGAGTCTGCCGCCAGATTGCACGAATTCGTGGCCTTGAATTCATGTGAATGAGTGTATTTTGATTCGATTGCTTGTAAAGATAGGTGATTCTTCCAGGGAGGAATTAACAGACTTGTTTCGGCCAGGTACCAGCCGATTCCGACAAAGAAACCATATTTCGAAAACTGAAAAAAAGAATCGAGTTCAAAAGATTCACAGATTAGAGATCTGACACATTTCAAGTGTCGCGTCGAGGAAATTGAAATTGAGAAAAAGAGATAGATTGTTCAAGTGGCCTGCGCCGCCGCGTTATCTACTCATTACAACGGTCTTTGAATCGCCGCCCGGTTAGCTCAGTCGGTAGAGCACCAGACTCTTAATCTGGTTGTCGCGGGTTCGAGCCCCGCATTGGGCTTACGTTTTGCGATTTTGTTTTGTACGAATACGATGTGATTCACTCAAAAAACTGGTCAAGTTATACACTCTGCCGAACGCAAAATTCATATTGTAACCCTTTAAACGCATTGCTTTCTTGTGCAAATCGGCCATTGACCGGTGTTGCTGTCCACTGGTCAAACAATCTCGAAATTGCACCCCTAGTATCTTTGAAAAAAGTCAAAAACGTAAGCCCAATGCGGGGCTCGAACCCGCGACAACCAGATTAAGAGTCTGGTGCTCTACCGACTGAGCTAACCGGGCGGCGAATGTCCCTTCTCTGCAATCAGTTGATAACGGCGCCTCTTCAACAACCTGTTTCGATGTTTATTTGATTACACGATACTGATAATAGTCTTCTCGGCGTCCGACATAGTTTTCACAGTGAAATTGAAGTTAAGAAAGTTGCCTTATTACCAGAAATGTTTATACTGATTAATGCAACTTTTCAACAAGATAGTCATTCTCAATTTTGTAGATTTTCCCCCGAACTTTTAAAACTTTTCGAGAACAGTCGTTGTGTAATAATTTTTATTTCTTGTACGTCAGTATGAATCACCGTCAAACGTTGAATGTGTTTCTTCCTGCAATGCTCAACGCCATTTGCATGATTGAACCGATCGCCTATAAAACATCTAGGAACATCGTTTTGCTTGCATTTCTTCCAGCACCCTAAAATATGCGAATTCTTCAACTATTCTTAATGTTTCTAATGGGAGCATCGACCCGTTTCATGCCCTTCATATGTCCGCCGGAAGAGGACGAGTACGGCACAATCGTTGAAAGTTTCACAGTTGACGCTGTAACTGAGAACATCTGGGACGAACTGGACAACGGAGAAAAAGAATGCAATGCCGTGGAAGACGAGGAGAGAGAGGAAGATGACGACTCCCTCTATGAAGACCTTTACGATCCTTATCCTTTCTAAGTTTCTGAATTGTGTGCACCATTGCTAATTTAAATAAAATACTGTTGGATTGGAAAGCGGCAGTTTGCTTCCATTGAGTCAGAAAACATTTCTGAATTCTGGCTGTTAGGGACATTTTCATTGCTCCAAACCCGACCTAGTCGTTTCCAGGGAATTGAATAAAAATAGAGCAATTGTTAAGCAGTCGGAGTGAACAGATGCCCTCTTTTCAGTGCGCATTTCATTGGCAATACGTGTGACTGTGACAGATCGCTCGTCTTCATTCTCAATGCACTCATTTGAATTTCCAATTTCGGTTTTGAAATTCACCAATCAGTCATTTGGACAAGGCGAAATACGTAAAGACAATTCAACTGTCAAATGTTATCAACTGATGATTGAGTTTTAAACGGGTCGTTGAAGAGGCGCCGATATGAACTATTCGCAGAAAAGAAAGAATCGCCGCCCGGTTAGCTCAGTCTGTAGAGCTCCACACTCGTAATCTGGTTCTAGTTTCTCGCAAATCGGCTTGTTGCTGTCCACTGGTCCAGCAATTTCCAAATTGCATCCCTAGTATCTTTGAAAAAAGTCAAAAACGTAAGCCCAATGCGGGGCTCGAACCCGCGACAACCAGATTAAGAGTCTGGTGCTCTACCGACTGAGCTAACCGGGCGGCGATTCAGAGACCGTTGTAATGAGTAGATAATGCGGCGGCGGCCGCCACTTGAACAATCTATCTCTCATTTTCAATTGATATTTGCAGACAGGGAAGTCGGCAGTTGAAATGAAGGGAAATGTGCTTAGAAGACACAGGACACAGATGTACTTTTATTAGAAAAATAAGGCTCCCTTTGTCTTTTTCATCCAATGCACCCCTCTCTATTTTTGCTCTCCCCGCAGACAATCTTTTTGCGTGTAGTCGAAACGGCATCTATCTCGCCAAATCCTTTTCTGACCAAATCCAATCAAGCGTCGATGTTTCTCGTAATCCCCCAGTCCAATGCACATTTATTTTCTTGTTGATTTGCACTTTTCTGTTAGTAAAATAAGAGTATGCATGCACTTTTGAAGATCTCTCAAAGATCGAAGAAGAATTTTGCGCGTCCGTGATAAAAGTGCACATGAGCAAAGAGGATTAGGATTATGATTAGAGTCTGTGGTTATTTTTGGAATATATGTGCTCTGAAGAACTCAAACCCGGCTCGAATGTCATGAAAGTGGTCCAGTTGAGCTAGCGTCTTTGTTTTACATTTCTTTATGCCCACTGAAGAAAAGACGAAAAGTGTCAGTTGCTGCTTTGAGTGAGGTCAGTGAAACAACAGAACGCGGTGGCTTTATTGCCAATTGCTCTTTTCCTCGATTCGTTTGAGTTCAGCAGGACTGGACAGAATTCCAGTCGAGGCTTGGATTTTTGAACACTTGCAATATTCCGATTGAAATCAAACTTTGCAGCCTTTTTGGTATTAGATTGAGGTATCTTGTGCCAAGTTTCAGACCTATCGGATCATTTGATCTTGCGGCTTGTTAGACCCCCTTTGGAACCGATCAGATTACTGAATGACGGTCAAAATTCCAAGTCCTTGAGAAGCCTGGACCGGATTTCTAAAATCTTGGGCCAATCTTTTGCCCAGCCCTATTTGAGTTGAACTTTAAATTCAAAACATATCAACAACTTGAGATGGCGTCAATCAAGATCAACAAACCGGCTAGGTTCGGTCCGGGTGGCCCGGCTAAGGCTACAATTTTCTTTGAAACTTGATACTTTTCAGACAGAACTGGGAATTTTTGGAACAATCTTCTTTATGAAGCAAAACATAGTTTCTTTCCGAATGAAAAACAGGGACGTTATTTGACCTCGGTTCGCCCGGCCGCAATCTATGCTGGCTGGCTACAGCGCGTGTTTTGAACTCTTCTCACGTCCCCTCCGAAAGCATCTCATCTTCTTCTCGTTAACGCTTCAACAGACGTTGAGTCCTTCTAAAAGTACAAGGGACATGAATGTGTGCCAGCCGCACCCTTTTGATTCAAAAATAGAGTCAGCTATACGAAAAACGTCACGATCAGGAAGATATTGAGAAAGAGAGCAGAAGTCACAAAGTCAGATCTTAAAAGTGCATACTGAATATGTAATGGGAATGAAGAAAAGGGCAAAGGTTTATTCGAATTCTAGAGGATGATTTTTGATCCGTTTTTGAACTTTGTGGAAATCTTCGGTTAACGGGCAGTTTACTTGGTCACTTTGGAAAGTTATCAGAAGTTCCTTCAAACTGTAGCCGGGTTTGAATGAACCATCTGAAAGTTGACCTCAAATATTGCAAAAAAATGTAGAAAAAACTGCTTTTTGGGTTTTTTCGGGAAATTGTGTTTTCATCGAAGCTATGACAAGCAGAAAAACCAAAACTTGGGTCGGGCTTGCGAGACCTTCTATGATCATTATTCAAACGGTGGTTTCCAAATTCTACTTCCTTGCTGATGTTTCTCGGATCCCTTAGTCTTTAGCCTCTCAATGTGGCACAAGAAGTTCCTTGACACTATCCAGTTGATGAGCCCATTCCAAACCTCTGGACGTAATAAAAGCGAGTCGTAAACTGGATGTAACGTTTCTCTTTTCTTTTCTCTTCCCATCCGATGTCTGGGTCACTTTGTTGCCACCCGGTTCCAATTGCCTTCTGGTATTTTATCCTTTCTTCTCCGCAGTGATTTGTTGGGTAGAGTCCGTTGTCTTGCTGGCCATTTTTCTGCGGAATAAACACGACAACAGGCGTCTGTTGGTCGCGTCGGAAACGTCAGTTTGGATGGATTCGTATGTGTGTGTGTGTGTGTGTGTCTGTCCGTGCGTCAAAGTGCAGGAGGCAGTATGGATGTACCCGGGGACAATGGTGGTCAAACACTGTTTCTTGTGACAACTACCAATTCAAATCCGAATACCCTATGGAGCTGGATTCGTTTCTGCGCTGGGAAGGAACAGGGATCTATACACAAACAGTCCGAAGAATGAAAAACGTGTTCCAACTAAATTTTTCAGATTTTTGATAGATCACGATGAATAATAACTGATCAAATATCACGCAGACAAGACGTGTTCTCACGGCATTTTGTCTCGTAATACGCGTACAAATCGGATACTTCTACGCCGTCTGATCGTCATGATCTTGTCGGGATTAGGGAACGAATTTCAGATGGAACAAACGTTTTAACACTCAGCAATCTTACTGTAGCCTAGGAGGAACATGAAGAGGAAGAATTACGGTAGGAAACAAGATGAGCGTGGGTGGTCGCATTTGATTAATCGTCCGAAGAAAAATGAATCGGTGTCTTAGGTGTAAGGCCAGGACCGTGTTCGGAGGCAAACCGGTTCAAAAAGACCTTCTCAACGGGTGATCTTGCACTTTTCTATCTGGCGAAAGAAAAAAAAGGAGAAATGAAATAAAATCGCGCCAGGGTTTGAAATGGTATGGACAATGAAGTGGCAGGTGCAAGGCAGATGTTTAGGGCTGGATCGGCAATGAAGAATAATGGTTCTGATGTCGAGGGAGAAAACATTTTCAAATCCAGACTTTTGCCACGTTTCTTCCGGTCACCCAGTTTGTTCTTATAATTGGTTACATTCTCCGATAAGATCTCTTGTCCTCGTCAGATTCGGCGGCTCAAGCAGTCCATTTCGGCAAATGCACTTTTATCAGTATGTGCATTTCCAAGACTGCACAACCCGTTATCATTCCCTGAACTTTCAAATGCCAGTGCTTACAGCCCACAACTTTTTTCCCGATCTTTCATTTTCATTTTTAGTCGGTTCTCCGAGTCCATAATCTTCTTTAGGAGCTAAATCCTTGCCGGTACCGTGCCGTTCCATTCGGGCTCCTTTGCAACATGCGCAATCTTCTTATGTCTTCTCCGACGTAGAGCCTCGACGTGTCTTCTCTAAACGAACTCGCAGCCTTTCTTTTCCCCCTCTCAGCCTTCTCTCTTCCGTGCCACAGATACCGTGGGGGCGTGGCGGCGATGCCAACGGCACCAAGCTCCGCCCCTTCTGCCGAGGTAGGCCGGCGATCAGTTCCGGTCGTCACTTGTGTCCAGAGTCCGGGAAATGAGAACCCGCAACCTTCTTTTCCTTTTGTCCCTTCTGGGAGCCGAGGTTCTGGCTTACTCCAGCACTCAGTCTCATGACTTTGACATTGAGCCGTACTCACGGAAGCTTGTCAAGCATCATAAAAGCGTCTGGTATGGACTTATGGGCTCTGGAGACACGGGCATTATGTGCATCAACCTCACGACTTCGGCAAAGGCGGAGCTGCTCCTCGGATCGTGTCAGAAAGTCTTCTCACTCGGACACTTTGAAACTGGGCACATCTCGATGAATCGCTCAGTCGTGGAACGTGGACTGAAGCTCGCCCGCGGAGACTCTGACTGCCATCATACTCTGTAAGTTTACCTGAAAATAAGCCCTCAATCTTCTCAACTCAACATTTCTAGGATTAACATGCACATTCGTTCGCATGACGAGGCTATCTATGGACAGGTCAACTTCTTCAAGTGCCGCGAGGAAGTGACATTCCCGGAGCCGCAGAACAAATTCGGAGAAGTGGTCACGGAGCTCAAGCCAGTCGAGATCAACTCGGCTGACCTGTACCAGGAGTTCCCGTTCAACCATGCAAACGGAGATGTCGTTGTCAACTCGTTGAAGATGAGAAACACGGTTGACGCAAGTGAGTACAGGAATGGATGAGTTGGGTTGAACAAAAGGGCAGACTGAAACTCGGAGACTTACTCAAGCGTGAATTAATTTAGGGCAAGCAAGGCGCCAGACAATTCTAAAATAAGTAGCTATAGTCTTTCCGCTTCAATGAGAAATTAGAGTGTTCTTTCGAGTGTTAGCAATCTATTTTGAGATTCGATTTGCCCTTTTATGTTGTTCTGATCAATCTTTGGTGCCAACCTCTACTCTCTACATTTAACCTGCAAAATACATAGTCCACCCGTAGCTTTGCATGAAACTTAAGACACAGATGCTTCAGACATTACTCCTGCTCGTTACTAGTTCTTAGACTTTAGTTCGAATCCTGCAAGCAACCTTCTCCACTCTCTTACCTTTCTTAGACCACCCACGAAGTTTTCTCTCCTTTTCTCTTTTCGCGTCGTAATTGAAAAATGCGGCGCCTTGTCCACTTGCAAAAATTGCCGCGGACACTCTGGGGGCGCTCGCGACAAACGCCTATTGCAATCGGTTCGAAGCCAAAGGACACACATTGCTACATTCTCTTTTTTCTTCCAAATCAGACACTGACAGATGACAGAGACGGAGGATGGATGCGGACTGGAGGAGTGCACGGGTGGTGTCTTGTCTAGACGGGTCGACTTGCCCAAGGTTTTATTGTCCGGGTGGTCTTCTTCATTTTGGCCTTGGCGCCAACGAAACCGAAAAGGATGTTGCGCGCCACGGGGTACGGTAGCATTGCACTTTAGCGGCCTTTTCTAAAATGGGGACGATTTCAAGGACTAAAGGATAGGATCGTTGGCAATGCGATGTGAGACAAAACGAAAAACGATTCGGATCAGGGGGGCCAGACATGGAATATGTCATTGGGTGCAAGGTAGACACTGATAACAAACTAATACAATGTTTGCGCGAGGAACTTGATAACAAATCAGGTCTGCGGACCTTCGTTCGTTCTGTTTTGGTTATCTTTATGAGTACAATCAATACAATATGATAGGCGCGTCTGTGATAAACCAATGTGTAGACAACGTTTTCTAGACAACGGGGTGAAAAACTAATTAGGATATTATAGAATTTCTCTTCGCGGTATGCTTTCTTTTCATCTTTGACCTTATAAAGAAGTACGGTAGCAATTCTCTTTCGCTCCTTTGCGCCGGTGTTGCACTTTACATCCTTCCTCTCAATTCAAATCTGCGTTCTTTATGGCGGCCAAACCGATTAGACACTGCTGCCAGTCGCTTATGAAGGGCAAGTGGGAAGAGAGAGAGAGAGAGAGAAGGTGAGAAGGTGAGAATGACAGCAAGTAAACCACGGGAATTTGAACGTTTTTCATTGGCTAGGTGACTTGCTATGTAATAATTATTGTTCAGTGGTCTACTCCAAAGACTTCACCGTTTGCTTCAAACTGCTGGATGCTCCTTTCGCAAAAGTGACCCTGTCCAAGTGTGCCGGCACGAACGACCTTGTCCTCCTCCTCAACCGAGACACTACCGTCGGTCTGAGCTTTGAAGCCAGGTCAAAATTCCTGAATCTAGCTGGAGAAAAGTGTGACGACCGTGAAGGAGAGCACGAATGGTACATGAAAACGGAAGGATCCTTCGGCAAGGACGTTGTCAGTGGGGCGGTTTCCGTGTTCCCATGCAAGCACGAGGTGACCCGCCAGGATGGTGCCCGTTACGACACATTCAAGCCAAACTTCATGCAAGACAGATCTCAGAATACATTCCACTTCTCTCTCGAAGCTCATCATCACGGAGTTTACTCGGCTACTCTGAAGGAAATGCTCGACAGAGCCACCTACAGTAAGACAAATCATCACTTATTTTCCAGCAATCCTTTTGTTTTCAGACAAGGCTGCCATGATGCAGATCAAAGTCAACATTGAGACCACTGGACCCGTTTCCGTCGCAGTTTCCAGATGCAAAACACATGTAGAAGATGAGAAAATCTACATCGCGGAAAATCAAGACGCCGGAACCATCTACATCAATCATTCCAAACTGAAAGATCTGCAGAAGCTCACGATGCGGCCAGTTTGCGGACCGCTGGAATCCGAGGAGGGACTTTGGCTGTACATCAAGGCGCACGATTCTGATGCTCGTGGACGCATGGTCATTTCTCTGGAGCAGCCCGACACTGAGAATCGAATTTTCAACCTTGCCCTCACGAATCTGTTCACTATCCGTGCGAATGGGACGATCAAGAGACAAGCGCATCTCGAGCACACTTTTGATGACGGTAGGCCGAAATGCACTTCTTAATTTTAGCACTTAACATTTTCAGCTCTGCAAACAAATCGTTTCATCGGAATCGATCTGAAGACCTCCAAGAACATCACTCTCTCCATGAGCAAGTGCATGAACTCCCCGAAACAGATTCTCGCCGAGAACGTTGGCACCGGCTTGCATTACTACCGCATCCAGGCTATCATCAAGATGTATTATCTGATAAAGAACACAATCTGCCCAGAGCGAGAAAACTCGGGTTACGGTAACGTGGTCTTCCACATCACTGCTGTCGGAGGCGAGGCTACCGGTGAGATGCAATTCGTCCGTTTGTTCAAGCACAAGGCTCCGGAGGGACATATCGTGTCAGTGGGACCCATTGATGATATGGAGTACGCCAGAAGAGGTGAGCGCAATGCACAACGAGCACAACGAGACTGAAAAGAAACGTTTTTTCAGCTACTTTCGATCGCGCTAACCTCTCCGTGTCTATTGACAACATCCAGGACAAGACTCCAGCCGAAGTGGACATCCGTTTCTATGTCGAGCACGCCCTCCGCAATCCACGTATCAACTTTGTCATTGACACCGACAGCAAGAAGCCGGTGACCATCAAGCTCAGCAAGTTCTCCGACCCTGAGGAGAAAGGATTTTCCGTGACTGTCGACGAGAAGAGAGTAGTGCCATTGCAAGAACTTCTCGAGCTCCAAGTACTCATAAAGAGCGCCTTGAAGAACAATACTGCTCGCTACGGACTGTTTGTGCACGTTCTGGATAAGAGTTTCAACGGAAGCGTCACCTTTTACACCCTCGACTTCCACTACGAGCACATGCAGGACATGGGATACTACAACGTCGGACGTAAGTTTAAAATACTGTCAATACCGTAACATTCCGATTTCAGTCGGCAAGTCGTACATCTCTGGAGTGGACATGCATTCGTTCGATCGTGCGGTGGTCATTGAAGTGTCCAACTGGCAGAAGCATCCGATGACAGTCACCGTGTCCATGTGCAACGCCGAGAAAGGAAAGAAGGTCATCGAAGGACAGTTCGTGACCCAGGCCAGCGTCCGAATCGAGCCGATGATGCTGTACGAGCTGTACAACATGTGCCCACAGAAGGACGGCGCCTCCATTCTTTTCGTTCAAATCCAATCGGATTCTGCCGAGGGACTCATCAACATCGACAAAAGACCAGACGAGGAGTGGAAGCTCGAGTGCCAGGGATGGGCTTGCCGTGCTCCGACCCAGATCTACTACTCGAAGAAGCAGGAGAAGACCATGCGTTCTCTCTGTAAGTTCATGTTTTTACAATGTATTTCTGAAATATTGTTGTGTTGTTTTCCAGACTAAATCCATCCGGCTAGCCTTCACTCAACTGCATCTCGTCAACTTAACCGCATCTCAATCTCTATTATCCTTCTTACTTTAATCTTTTTCGCTACAATACTCCCTGAATGTATTGAGACTCGGAACGATTGGATGGAAACGGAGAGAACGGAGTCAAATCCCTCCCGAATCCTTTTCAGATAGTCTTTTCGCTGCCCAATACCCTAACTTTTTTGTAAGCCCCTTTTCTTCAGATATCTGTCCTTTTGTGAATGTCTTCAAGTCACCTGCGTTCATATCTGAATGGTCAGAAATCTTACCCTTCCCCCTTCCCTCTCAATTACTCTTTTTGGATGTCAAATGGTTTCAGTTGGGCTAGTTGCGTTCGCGACTGGTGTCCATACCACTTCAACTACAGTAATCATACCATACCAAATTGTTGCTCTCTTTCCCCCCTTCCCCTTTCTTCTCTCCTCTCCGGCTGGATGACTCATTTGGACCAGTTTCATCTAGTGTCTTTTTCACGTACACGCTTTTCAGTTAACCTGTCCCCCTCCCCTCCCCAATCAACCCAATTAAGGCTCTTTCTGCCCAGTTTTAAGTTAAGTCTCTTCGACGCTTCCTGCCGTTTCTCTTTTCTTTCCCCCGTTCTTTGTTCCTAAAGATCTGATGAATTTCCACCCTCATCTATTCGCCCATTTGACTGTACCTACCCGGCCGCTTCCTCCATTCACAACTTCCAATTCTCGACAGTGCCATTCATTCGAGGATTCTTTTTCTTTAGGACCCTGTTTTGTGCATATGTAAGTTCTTTTTTGGATTGTTAATTGAGTTTGCTGCCGAATAAAGTCAACGTTAATACAAAATCATCAAAGCCGGGAAAATGAGAAGAAATTGAACATTAAATGATAGACTGGGTGAATAGAGAAAGTACAAGTGGAAGTAAGAGGAAAAAGGATGAGGAAGAATGTTTCGAAAGATCTCCGGAAGACATGGGTTTTGATTGACTTGGCAATGGAAGTTAGGCAGTGATATTTTTGGTACTACAGACTAAAAAAAGCTAAGCCGAGTAAGTGCAAACCGGAATTTTGCAAAAGATATTAGGATGATAAAAACTCTGTTTGCCCGCGACCAGACTGATGTCTTATGTTTAAATCAAATAAGGTTTAGAATGAATAAAGTATACTGAAGGAAGTTCAAACACCCAGGGAACATTAACAAACGACATTTGGGAAGGCCGAGGCACGAAACTTGGCCGACATTTCGTAAATCAACTCGCGTTTCGGAAGGCGTTGCACCTGATCAATGTTCTGTTGTGGGTGTCTCGAATAAATCTTGCGGCGGATCGAAGACCAGATTCGACTGTTGCATGGGGCACGCGGCGAGGCGCATCTTTCAGTTCCGTGATGCGATGGCAGGCGACAGACCGGGCGGAATTGCTGAAATAAAGTTCACGGTTATGAAAAATTGAAAAATTTGCTAGTTTACCTCGATGAAAAGGAGTTTTTTCGCAACGTTGAATGTGAAGACGGTGAAGCAGAACTGGACAAGCAGAGGAGACAAACGGAGCAGAATGAGACCAAAGAAAGTTAGGTTGGTAAGGTAATGGGATAGGAAGCCAGGACCAAAGTCGTTTTCTGAAAATCACCTTCATTTGTGCAACACAAAAAGACGGAATTACCTGTTCTCAACGAGTGAATACTTTCCTGGAGAACGCCGTATGGAAAGAGGTAATTCGCAATTCCGTATCCAAGAATGCAAATTTGGAGAAAAAGCAGAGGCATCACGAACACAGCACGATGGTGAATGAGCCCGAGGACTGCCGAGAGACACGTGGCGCCGAGAGTGGTGACGACAATCGCAATGACTCCGAACACTTCTTTGCCCATCTGGAAATTAGTGGTTTACATGGAAAGAATCATAATTGCAACGGATGTCATAGCCAGGACCACCCAGTTTTTTAGATCGCAAAACTGTCAGTACCTTTCTGAAATTATAGCTTTCCGAGTCGACAACGAAAACGAAGAGCATCATGAGAGTGAAGTATCCAAAGAGAAGAAACTTGCACACTTGGTGACTTTTGGTGACGAATTTTGCGACGCCATCGATGAACTTTTTCTGAAAACGTTTTTGTAATAGATTGTTTTAACGTGAAAATGTTCCAAAAAAAAAACAAACCGCTTCTTCCAATTTCTTCCTGCGTTCAGCAATTCTGGCCTGAAGGGCAGGAGGCAGTTGAATAGGCCCTACCAGCATTCTGCTTCCTGCTTCAAAAAATGATGTGAAATGAGTCAAATGAGTGATGAAAAAATCATAAGACGCATGATGGAAGTAAGTAATCATCCTAAAAGGAAAGCGAAACGACACAATGTTCACAGAATATTTGAGGAAGAGCAAACTTTGACATACGCTTCCCACAATCGTGTTTTTAGAAACAACATTAACGGGGTTCCGAAAACGGACAAAATTTGACTCAGAAATCATTTAACGATAATCTAAACAAGCTAATTCTTCAAAAAACAAAATTCAATACCCGCAATACGTGCTATCGACCCGTACAGGATGCTTTCCGTGGCAGTATTGTTTGTTTTGTAAATTGTCGTATTTTTATGATAGAGGTGTGAGAGATCTATCATTTTTTTCGTTTTCTCCCAAACTGATACAAGGAGTATCTCAAACTGTTTTGCCAATTTTGAGTTTTGTCATAAAAACGAGTGGCATTTCAAAATGAGCTCTGTTGCAATTGTGTTCTTCAGAATCCAGTTTCAAATTGAAAAACAAAGATTCAAGAACACCCGTATCTCCGCAAAATCACGCAAAAAAGTGTTCATTTCAAACGGAACATCATTGATTATTAACGCTTGAAAGAGCACATTTGAGGCGGAAAGACTAAAAAGAGTGCAAACGGAGTGAGACCCTATTAAGTGCAATCGTTTGAGCGGCCCGCCACGTCTGCAAATGGGGTGCCTTCGTGCCGGGCGCCCACGACCATCTGCCCGCTCCAACACTGCAATTGTTACGTCACTCGTTGAGCTGGCGCCAGCAGATGTGGGGGGGCAGATTTGCTAGAAAAGGGAACATTTGGGCCGCGTGCTGGCCTATCAAATGTATACTATACAAAACGAAACGTGGATTGTGGTTGAGCTTATTCAAATTCAAATTTTCTGTGCGGACAAAGGAAGAAAAGTTAAAAAAAAAGAAGTGTACAACAGGTTGTGTGCGAAAAGAAGAATTAGCGAGATGGTCCTATGTTTTTCTAAGAACATGACTCATGTTTTTGTACAGTTTGCTCTTCACTCTCTGCTTTTTGCCCACAAAAACCTACGTAGTGCAGTAACGTACATACATAAACGTGCGTATGTGGCATGACATTCACATCACTAATATGCAGTAAACGCAGTCGTTCTTTTTCAAACGTGTTGGTTTAGCGTTTCGCCGTGGCGTCAAATGGACGTTCGAAAGACTAATATTGGCCACGAAGAATGCTCCAATCACCTTGGAAACATTGGAAGGGGTCCGAATCAGGGGTGTGCGGAAAAAGTTGTCCGCACACCCCTGGTCCGAATGAAAATCTGCTTTTTTGCTTTGCCTTACAAGATGTTTATCCAATAGGAGCGACGAAAGGGCGAGAAAAAATCGGGTAGCCCATAAAATGGCACCTGACAGAAAACAGAATGGAATACATGTGCAATTGAAATGGATGAAGGAGGTACCAGTCAGAGAGGAGCATAATGCGATCGTAAAACATTTGTGTTCCTCTTTGCTCCCATGGGGTCTTCGTCTTTTTTTCGGTGCGTCGGCGACAAAATCTGTTTGAATATTTATTCTCTTTGGCACAATTACATACTAGACAATTGTAGGGGGGGGTGAAACTGGGATGTTTGAATGAGACTAAATTATGTCAGTGGTTATGTATATTGTCTGTGTGATTAGGTGTATGCTGACTAAATGAATGAATTAAATTGAAACAAAATAAGAGCAATCGGCATAGCAGTTCAATCAGTTTTCAGTCAAAAAGGAAGCACGGGGAGTTGTGAAGAGGGGATGAAATGGAATTGTTGGAATTGGGCGACTAGGACACAGTATCACGTGATGCTGATTAGCAAGAGAACATACAAGTTGGGTGGAAACTTATTTACGAAGCATGAAAAAGATGAAGATGGATTGGACGAGAGATGTTATCACGAAGACGAACAGCAGAGTAGACTGAAGAGCTTGCACGGTACGCGACGACTGACGCTCGTTTGCTGCCTCCATTCTACGGATGGCTACTTCGAATTTGCGCTCCATTTCCTTAAAAAAAACACATTTTTCACATTGAACCGAAATTCTAGTACTGAAACCCGCGACAAGGCTGAGATTCAGATTCGGAAGGAGCCATTTCAAGTCCGGTAAACGCTTACCTTCATTCTCTCATCCGCAACTGCCGGCTCGAATGGCTTCGACGCCGTCAATGTCACCACCTTCTTCTTGATCTTGGTCTCCACAACTTCTTCATCGCTGTCGCTGGCCTCGGAAGTGTTGTCGCTTCCCATTGCCGTGCTGGTTCCTGGCTTCGTTTTCGAGTGTTTTGAGATCGTTTTTACCACATACGCGTTCTCAATCTGCTGGATATCATTGTTGTTGTCCCATGGTCGGTAACTGAACAAATTTCTCATCAGATTTCTCAGAAGATTTCTCAGAAGACGCTTACTCCGCATGAATGTATTCAAAATCGTCTCCGTGATGGCCCTTTTTGAAATACTTGGTCTCGTGTGGAATTCCAGACTTTGCTCGCGCCCTCTGATCGTTTTCGAGTGCCGTTTTTTCCTCGGTCGCCTTGTACTGATCCTCGTTGCTAATCGCGTCAGTGACGTGTCGCCAAAGTTTCGCGGATTCCCATTCGCCCTGCTCTTCCAGGCTAATTTCGTAACGGGGAAGACGAGATTTGATGACTTCCGGCGTCGGGTTCCACAATTCTCTTTTACCCTGAAACATTAAAAATATTTGATTTCTCAATCTTTGCATCTTGCGGCTCACATCCGGTCCTTTGATGCGAATGACACTATCCCAAGCGCCTTCGATGCTGGCGAGTCGGTCACTTCCGTACTTGATGCTTCCCTCGATTTGATTATAAGCGCCGCCCAACATTGGCTTGAGTTTAAAGTCCAAAGTGGTACGGTAGCCGGTCTTCTCGCACTCAATGTTAACCTCTCCGCCAAGCTCCATAGTCATGGTTCCAATCATGATACCTTTGCAGTTGGCGTACGGCAGATTGACAATATAAGTTTCTCCAAGATTCAAAAGGGTCAGTCTCAGTTTTCCGACAAGAATTGCGGAGAGCGAATTTCCGTAGTACTTGCTCTTGGCCAAAATGGTTCCGCTAATGTTGAACCCAGCTTTTCGGTTGGTGATGAAGAGTGAGGACACTGGAGGATGGTGGGACACTTGTTCGGCGATGTAGAACGTGGTCGATCCATCGGGATGCTCCCATTTGCACCGGAACGTCTCTCCGAGAATCGGATTGTACGGTTTTTTGAGTCCTCTTGGCTTTTTGTAAAATCCAGAGAGGAAGAACTTGGTGATCTTCACAATACGCTGGAATGGATCCGGTTCGGCAACAGCCCTGAAAAAGAATAACATAAAAACGTGACTTTGAATATTGTATGCTCACTCTGAGATGAGATCAGCGTGATAGTAGTAGTCGGCAAGTTTTTCGAGGAAAGAGCGTGGTTCGAGGATGAAAGTGGGCAGCACAACTTTCGAAAGGTCCATTCCCGGACGAATTTGCTTGAGCAGCGTCCAAATGAGCGATTTGTTCTCCTCGCCGACTTCTTCGGTCAGAATTCCGTCAGTGCCAATCTAAACATGTCAAGTTTTAAAAAGATTCCGAAAATGTAAGCACTCACCACTTCCTTGGGACTCATGATCCACGAGCTCTCAGTGAACGCCTCTCTGATGGTATCACTTGTCTCCGACATCTTCCCGTCCTCATGGTCCTCGTCTTGTGCATCATCAATCTCTTGAAAGTGTTTCTCGGCATCAGTGTCCGATACTCCGTGTCTTCCCACTTCATCTCCGTCCGAGTCCCTAGACATTCTCGACTCATCCCTATGGTCCCCATTCACTCCGTTCTCGCCGTTTTTGTCGTCAAGCTGCAAAAAAATGTGAGAGATGCAAACGAAACGCGTCAAGAGTGCAAAATGCAATTACCTGACTCATCGTCTTTTTCAGCAGTCCAGTGCACTTGAATGACAGCTCAAGAGCGTCCATCCAACAACGACCGGCCTGAAACGAAGAGAAATTTGTTCTAGTAGAGCTACGTATGTGCGGAGATGCTTTAGGAAAGAAATGAGTGGAAAAAACAGGCTAAGGATTGATGCTCTTCATACGGTCGTACTATTTTTGTTTGCCCCCCGCTCACTGAACCGGGAGCGAGAGCAAACAAATACTGACCGAAAAAAAGAGAGAATCGTATGATATGATTACGGTGAAAAATGAAAGAACAGACCTGGTCGCTGGCGGCGCGGCATATCAGGAAAGAAGTGTTCAAAGGGTTGAGGGTGAAACTACCGAACGATTGTCCGAGTGGTCCACGGTTTCCCCAGATGCTCATGTCCATTGGCTGAAAAAAAACAGGATTTTGTTTCATCAGAACCGCCTAATCCCCTTTACACTCACATGGTAAAGTTTGAAACAGAATCCGTCTTTCTTGGACGGTCGTTCGATCAGCTCGCAATGGTTGAGAAGCACGGTCCCAACCCAATCTCCCTGCAAACTCTGAAATTTGAACTCAATTCGTCTCGAGTTCTTACTCTTACCCTATCCGCCTTCTTGTGCTTGTACAAAATGAGCAATCCGGGCTTGAGAACGCAATAATAGCGGGTCCACTTTTTCAGCGCTCCACGAATTTTGAGCGTGTCAGCCATGACGACAACTGTGGGATCGCGGAGAGCCGAGAGGAGCTCATCGTTGACTCTTTTCTTTTCATCTCGATACTCTTTCTTCTGCTTCTGTAATAGTTTACGAATAATTTTAGTGAATACTGCCATTTTCATGTGTGGTACTGTCTAGTTTTGATCTTTCTCTCCTACTTTGTCATTTGATCCTTCCACGGGTTCTACCCGTGACTATGCAATCCTCTTTTTTCTTCTTCCTTTCTTTTTTAGTTTTCCACATACATTTGCATACATACTCGCATGACCACAACCTATCAGTGAGTATACATAAGTCTCTCTCTCTCTCTCTTTCTCTTTCTCTTTCTCCCCAACTACATATTTCAGTGCTACGTATACAAATAACTTGTGAAGGAGGAGGAGGAGGGGGAGAGTACCTTGATGGGCGAGGAGGAGAACGATAGTAGTCGGTGATAAGCGACACTGAGCGAAGCCCGCCGATGCTTCGGCGCTTGTGGCTCCACCAGTTTCGTCTCTTCGTTCGGGGCCGTGATTGTGAGCTTTCGCTCTCTTCGCCTCTCCATGAGGTCTACAAGGGACCAGGGTCAAAGTACTTGGTATTAGGCTAAAAGGATCAAGAAATATTTAGGTAGACGGCACAGGAAACAATGATAGAACGGTGAATCGAAAACATACTTTCAAATCTCAAAAAGTCAATTTCCCAAGGAAAATTTACATTTGGAAAGCTCTCCAGGTTTCCTTGCAAAGTGCAGAATTGGAAAAGAGACAGTATCAGCTCACGGGCTCACTCAGTCTGGCAAAAAACAGGTAAACAACCAGACTAGCAACGGGCAGGGTCGGGTCAGAACTTGATCTTCTCCTGCCCGCGCCGACACGTTCCAACACCACTAAAAATTTCATAAAATGTGTTCAAAAGTTGGCGAATCGGCACCGTAGCACCCACTTTTAGCAAGTTTACCTCACGTGTCTTTCATTTTTTTCACAAAAAATCGTTCTAAATTCGTTCCGGCCGAAATCTTGCGAATCTGGTAAAAACCGGTTTTTACAGTTTTTTTTCGGTTTTTTACCTGACCATCAGCAATCAGATGTTGTTCTCCAAGAAAGCAGCATAAAAACAAGATTGCTGGGGAGAAGTGCAAGATAATTATGTGTTTCCTTCCAAAAAATGCCATTTTTCAATTCACGCGTGTGCGTAGAAAAGATTACAAGGTTGAAAGACAAAAAGGCACGCGTAGCATGAAAATGATTTGTTCTCACGCTCACGAGAGAGATGTGGACATGTCGAGATGAAAAAGAAGAAGAAAAAAAAGGACAAGAGCTTTCTTGGCTTTGAGATCCGGAAATAGAAAAATGGAAATGAACAAGGAGCGCAATTTCCCTTTTTTTGTTGGATTAATGAGGTTTGGGAAGTGAATATTAAGAGGCAATGTCTGAGAACCTCGAAATTCGCTAATTACACCAGGTCACTAAAAATTCAGAATGCTTCAATTTGTCTCATATTATACCCAATGGGTACTTACATAACAGTGATACATCAGACAAGTTTTGGTCCGGCTCCTTGGTCCCTAGTCCGATCACGGTCACAAAATAGGTCAAACCTGTAACTAATTTCAAAAAAATGCTAGCGTCTCAGACTCAACGCCATTCGATTTCTCGCATCTTTTTAAGCATTTTTCATGTTGGCACCAAAAATTTATCACCTTTCCTTCATGGAGAAATTTCGGATTTTTTTCGTGAAAAAAAGTTGAGTTGTTGTGCAGTTTTCCTCCGTGGTGAAAAATTTTTTTGCACTTCATAGCCACGATTTTATTTCAAATTCATAATCTACGGACAATTTTACGTCGATATACCATACTGTCGCACATTTGCCGATTGACATCAAAGGAGTTTTTTTCAAAAAGTTTGATCCGGTCTCAAAAAAAGTTTCTGTTCTGCTTTTGGAAAACTTACAGAAACAAAGGGAATTCCTGTTTATAGACGTTTTTTTCATGCTAAAAAAACTGTAATTCTGTTATGTATTCGTCAGGTACAGCTTTGTAAACGTAGCGTTTAAAAACATGTTGAAATTTTTTTGTCAGCCGGATAGATTTTTTTCGAGATGTGTTCGCTTTTTACCCAATATTTTATGCTTTCTCTCGTTTTTATTTTTCAATGTTCATCTTACTTTTTGTGAAGCATTTATTTGGTCGTTCTCCGATTGATTCAAGAACGGTAAACAAGAAGTACATATTATAGGGGCACCGCACAGAAATGGCGCTCTGTTGAGAAACTCTTTTTGCAGTTCAAATTGAGCGACCTCGGGACCGAGTTTGAAAAGTTAGGCCATATTTTCAGTAGAAAATTACTTCGCGGCCTAGAAATTCGACCAGATTGCGAACAGCGCGCCTTTTCCGTCCGGTGTCCCTATAATACACATGGGGCAACACTCAACAACAAAAGTACATCAAATAGGTATAAAAGCACAAAGCAAATTTTGTGTAGCTATTCTTCTTACTATTTTCAAACTGCTGATATTATTAGATGGTCAATATTACAGATTATAATGAAACTCATTGTATTCCTGATTGTATAGTTGCTCTTGCAGTGGTCAATTTGTTCCGTAAAGTAATTTGAAGTCATTGACTGGAACATACGAGTTCCAACATGCCGGATACACTTCAACTGTGATTGGGTCTATTGATGAAGAACGAAATGCTGTACTGTCGCAGAAGCAGACCAAGTTTTGGTACTTTCCGGAATGTACTAAGTCAACTGATTCTCAAAACACTGCTTGCATTGAAGAAGAAGATGAAAATGAAGTGGAAAGCGATGAAGTGAGACCGCGGTACGAAGACGCTTTGGAAAAGATATTTACATGCCCAGAGGAAGGATGCTCAGCTACATTTTTGAGATATTCAAGCGTGGTCAAGCATGTTGAACGTGGACAACATATAATTCGACCTGAACGGCAGCAGACACTTCGTGATTTTTCATTGAAATAATTTATTCGTGGTTTGGAAGAAGTGGTCAAAAAGTTGCCCAATAATTTCGAATGCTGTGAAAAAACTGAAGGAGACGAACGAGAAGACGGAATTGGAGGACGGATGGGTACTTCAAGTAAGAAATGTCAACATGCGGATCCGAGAATTGTTGAAAAGAGAATGGCAGAAGCTAGAAATCCGGACGGTTCTAAGCGGTTTTCAGTGGATCAAAGGAAAGACTTCCGTCAGATTGCCGGGTTCTTCTCCCGTGAAGCAGCGAAAAGGCAATCAAAAGCAGCATGATCGCGACGCGCTCAAGAAATGAAGGATGACTCGTGGAAGGATGTAGTTTTTCACTGAAAATGTGGCCTAACTTTCAAACTCGGTCCCGAGGTCGCTCAATTTGAACTGCAAAAAGAGTTTCTCAACAGAGCGCCATTTCTGTGCGGTGCTCCTATAATATGTACTTTTTTTGTTTACCGTTCTTGAATCAATCGGAGAACGACCAAATAAATGCTTCACAAAAAAAGTAAGATGAACATTGAAAAAAATAAAAAAACGAGAGAAAGCATAAAAATATTGGGTAAAAAGCGAACACATCTCGAAAAAAATCTATCCGGCTGAAAAAAATTTCAACATGTTTTTAAACGCTACGTTTACAAAGCTGTACCTGACGAATACATAACAGAATTACAGTTTTTTTAGCATGAAAAAAACGTCTATAAACAGGAATTCCCTTGTTTCTGTAAGTTTTCCAAAAAGCAGAACAGAAACTTTTTTTGAGACCGGATCAAACTTTTGAAAAAAACTCCTTTGATGTCAATCGGCAAATGTGCGACAGTATGGTATATCGACGTAAAAATTGTCCGTAGATTATGAATTTGAAATAAAAATCGTGGCTATGAAGTGCAAAAAAATTTTTCACCACGGAGGAAAACTGCACAACAACTCAACTTTTTCACGAAAAATCCGAAATTTCTCCATGAAGGAAAGGTGATAAATTTTTGGTGCCAACATGAAAAATGCTTAAAAAGATGCGAGAAATCGAATGGCGTTGAGTCTGAGACGCTAGCATTTTTTTGAAATTAGTTACAGGTTTGACCTATTTTGTGACCGTGATCGGACTAGAGACTACGGAGCCGGACCAAAACTTGTCTGATGTATCACTGTTATGTAAGTACCCATTGGGTATAATATGAGACAAATTGAAGCATTCTGAATTTTTAGTGACCTGCAGTTTTTGAACTTCTCAGACATTGCCTCTTAAAGGACCAGGGAACCCAAAAATTTTTTGATTAATTTGTGAAATTTTTTTGTGACTGTTTGAATTGTCTCTTATTGCCTCATACATTGGTGAAATGCTGCCTCTCAAAAATGCCAATGAACGAAACGGCATGCAGTTGAAGTTGTGGCCGTGGCCTAGCGCCAATGGCCGAAAAATATATAAAAAAATATGCGCTTCTCGGCCATTTTATTTTTTTCCGCTTTTTTTACCGGTTTTTTTCCAAAAAAATTCACGGTTTCTCCCATTTTGGCACTTCATATCGACTGAATGAAAGCAATTTTTTAGCAGTGAAAAAATACGTAAGTGCCGAACAAATGTCAATCATCTGAAAAATGGGAGAAACCGTGAATTTTTGGAAAAAAACCTGTAAAAAAGCGGAAAAAATAAAATGGCCGAGAAGCGCATATATTTTTATATATTTTTCGGCCATTGGCGCTAGGCCACGGCCACAACTTCAACTGCATGCCGTTTCGTTCATTGGCATTTTTGAGAGGCAGCATTTCACCAATGTATGAGGCAATAAGAGACAATTCAAACAGTCACAAAAACATTTCACAAAAACATCAAAAAATTTTTGGGTTCCCTGGTCCTTTAAAACATGTTGCTATTTTTTCTCAGCCGGATAGATTTTTCGAGATGTGTTCGCTTTTACCCAATATTTTATGCTTTCTCTCGTTTTTATATTTGAATGTTCATCTTACTTTTTGTGAAGAATTTATTTGGTCGTTCTCCGATTGATTCAAGAACGGTAAACAAGAAGTACATATTATAGGGGCACCGCACAGAAATGGCGCTCTGTTGAGAAACTCTTTTTGCAGTGCAAATTGAGCGACCTCGGGGCCGAGTTTGAAAAGTTAGGCCACATTTTCAGTGGAAAACTACATCCTTCCACGAGTCATCCTTCATTTCTTGAGCGCGTCGCGATCGTGCTGCTTTTGATTGCCTTTTCGCTGCTTCACGGGAGAAGAACCCGGCAATCTGACGGAAGTCTTTCCTTTGATCCACTGAAAACCGCTTAGAACCGTCCGGATTTCTAGCTTCTGCCATTCTCCTTTCAACAATTCTCGGATCCGCATGTTGACATTTCTTACTTGGAGTGCCCATCCGTCCTCCAATTCCGTCTTCTCGTTCGTCTCCTTCAGTTTTTTCACAGCATTCGAAATTATTGGGCAACTTTTTGACCACTTCTTCCAAACCACGAATAAATTATTTCAATGAAAAATCACGAAGTGTCTGCTGCCGTTCAGGTCGAATTATATGTTGTCCACGTTCAACATGCTCGACCACGCTTGAATATCTCAAAAATGTAGCTGAGCAT